AAAATATATACGCTCTAATCTTATAGTAGCTTTACTACTATTTTATAAAATTAACTTAAACTAGATAATATACGTATAGTCCCTACTTTATTAGAATATAGTTTCTGTATCTAGAAATTTGCAACTTACTTATGTATAAGTAGTTAGTAAGTAAAGCTTGCTATTATTATTATAAATAATTATAAATAGTCTTGCACTGTTTCTAATTTTAACTAATAGTGTCTATTAGAAAGCAAAAAACACTTATACTTATATTTATACTGCTAATGCAATTTATGCGTTCTGCGTTTATAATATAAAGCTAGCTTATAGTCCTAAGTTTTTAGTTACTTTTACTTTTACTTTACTCGCCCTACTTTTATATAACATCTAATTTTAATTTACTATAACTCTACTATTATAATAATATCTATAAATACCTTTTAGTTTCTTGCCCTACTAATAATAAACTAGCAATGCTGCTATTATACTCTACTACTTGTTTACTTTTTTTGCGCTATTTTTACAAGCGCCTAATTAGTAACGCAAGTACGCGCAATTTTCTGTCTATTATATAGCAAATGCAATACTGTATAAAAGTATAATATAACTAATATGCGCAATTTTGTAGCTTATAACTACTTTCTAATACATATTTTTAGTAATTATACTGCCTTGCGTATATTGCTTATAACTATCTTTTACTATAACGCACAGCTCTTAGTATAGTTAAAGCATTTTAAGACGCTAGCAATAAAAACTGCTAGCGTCTACTTAAAAACGCGCAGTAGTATAGAAACTATATAAATAAGCCTAGTTTAAATAATATATCCTAAGCAATTATAAAACAGGGCTATAACCTTAACGCAATTAACTTTAATATTTTTATTAATAACTTTATTAAATTTACTAAAACTAAAGAACTCTATAATATAATTAAATATCTTACTACTTAGTTTAATAAACTTAAGTTGCTGCGCATACTAAAGTTAAAGTAATAGCTAGAAGTTATAGTTTATCTTTAATTATATAATATAAATATTCCTGTAGAGTTCTATAAGGCCGTAGCTAGCGCTATATAAAGTATAATACTTTCTAAAATAAGAAAGTATAAAAAAGTTAAAAATAAAGTGCGCAGTAAAATGCTAATATTTATACTAAGTAAAGTAGAACGCAAGTAGTTGTTCTTAATTGCCTTAAATATGTTTATAGTATTAGTAACTAAAAAAATAGGCCTTGCTACACTAGACACTAAAGTAATACTTAATAACGCAAATATTTTTATTATAAACAACATAAACTATAAAGTCGCCTAAAACTTCCTATTATTTAAGTTAATATTAGCCGCCTGCTAGGAACAGCTTAAAGAAAATAACTTTAATATTAAGCTATAGTATTTTAAATTTAATATACTTATTACTTACTTATTGCAAGCAAAGTTTAGCGAGTAGTACACGCCTAGTAAGTTAGGAATTTTTAATGCACTAGCTTTTTATTTAATTATAAATAATAATAACCTGTTAGCTACTATTAATACCTATATTAAAGTAAAAAAATATCTAGGCATTACTATTAAATATTATAACCTAGCGCTAGCGAATCCGAAACTAACAGGTAATATAATATATTTTAGTATAACAATATTAATAGCTAATTATAAACTATAGTTTGCTTTTAATTTTCTGCGCTTAGTCTTACTTTGCCTGCGTTACAATTCTGCAGAAAGTAGAAACTAATTATTTCTAGTTCTAACTCTAAAGACAACACAGACCCTAGTACAACTACTAGAATACTAAAGAAAATAAAAAAGTAAAAATTATTAGCTACTATAATAGGCAAGCAGGGGAATAGGACAAGAAGAGCAAAACAGGAAAAAAAAAAAAAAAAAAAAAAAAAAAATAAAAAAAATAAAAGGGCAGAGCAAGACAAAAATATAAAAAATAAGTTAAAATAGAAAAGTTCTACAAAAAGCTCTGTTAACTTAACCCTTAGCAAAAAAAATAAAAATAATAATAAGTTTAAAATAGCAGAAAAGCTTGCAAAAGAAGATTAGCAGCGCTTTTAAGCTTTACTAAATGCAAAGTAAGTATATAGTAGAATATAGTTAATAATTATTTATAATACTAATATACTGCTTAAGGCTTAAGATGCCTTAAAGGCGCAAGCTAGGACAGCAATAAAATACTATACTATTAAAAAATAGAAAAAAGTAGCTAAATTCTTTAGTATTTATATTAAAAATTTTTAAAAAAGTAAATTAATTACCTTGCTACTAGTCTAAGGCCTTTATATCCTGTTTACACTATACTAACTAAGCAAGGCCTATATTCTATATAAAAAAAAGTAGTTAATAGACAATAGTAGTATATTTGCGAATATAATAGGCATAAAAAAAATAAGGGCTGCACTACTTATGCTACTAATAGGGCACGTTTACTTACTAAATTAGTTAGAAGTAATAAAAGCTTAAGCAGCTAGAAATATAAGTTAATACTAAACTACAGAAAAAAGTAGTATACTATACCTATTAGCTAAAAAGAGGACCTTCTAATGTACATGTAAAAAATTACTATTAATACTAAAAAAGCCGCGCGTATATTTAACGCTAGTTAGTAAATAAAGCTACGTAATAAACGCATAAAAAAAGGAAGCTATAAAAATAGGTTTTTTCTATTTTAAGTAGTGCTATTTAGCAAATTTACTTATACTCTGCTTTTATTTTATAAATAATAAATTACTAAACAGCATAGAGCTACTAATAAAAGATAAAAAAGTAAAAATAAAAATTAATCCGCGCGTTAACATACGCATTATAAACTATAATAAAAATATTATTTTTTATAAATATACTATTAGCTACAAAAAAAAGTCTAAAATAGTACTATAAATAATTAAAAATAATAATATGCTAGCAGTTTACAAAGATGCAATAAAAAACTGTTTTACTCTATTTATAAAATAGTTTATTATTATATATAGCTTTACTACACTTTTAAACTATATCTTAAAAAAGTATAACAAGATAACTATTAAGCTCTACTACTTTATAACTAGAAAAAATACTAAAGTACTTAAATCTATAATGCTCTATATTTCTAGTTATATTATAGTTTAGGGGCGTATTATTTTTAACAAATTCTATAACTGCAAATTTATAAATATAATTATAAGTAACTTATATAGAAAGCTCTAAGAGCATAACTACAGATACTAATAAAAAGCCTAAGCTCTGTCTAGTACCTTAATAAAAAAAGGCTTATATAAAATCTTAATCTTTATTTCTTTAGCTCTTATTAAACTAAAAAACAAAAATAAAGTAACTAACTAGTATAATCTAATTACTAAGCTAGACTTTAATAGCATTATTAAGTATAAGTTTATAGATAAAGTATACAAAAATATTGCAACTATTGCCCTAGCCTAAAGCTAATATAAAAAAATAATAAAAGGCCTAGCTGTAGTAAAAAATTAGGCTAATATAATCTTAAAAGCTAAGGACAGTATTAAAAATATTATAAATTTTAAAAAGTATAACTTGCTTATAAGTACTAGAATAAAAATTTTTACTAAGTTTATATTCTACTAAATGCTTGTTATACAGGACCCCTAAAACAAGAATATATTAGGAATTAAAAGAAAATTTCTAATTTATTTCTGCCCTTATAGCTAACTAAACCTAGTTGCAATTATATATACTACTGCTAAATAGTGCAGGGCAGTACTATGCAAGGATAGGATAACTCTAAAAAAAGCTTATATAATAGTTATTTTTAATTATACTAAAATGCAAGCAATTGCAACGTATTTAGCACTAGCTAAGTTAAAATATAAAAAGTATAAAAGCAAAAGTAGTAAAAAAACTAAATAATTTATATTAGCGCACTTCTAGCTATTTTTTGCAACGCTAGACTAGGGGCTTTTTTTTTACTATTTTAAAAACCTAGTTAAAACAAGTACAAAGTACTAATAAGTTAAAACTAAGTGCAAAGTAATTAGCTGCTAAATAACGCTAAACTGCAACTAGAGTTAGGCTATTAAAAATAAGGCTAGAAATACTAGAAAGCTAATATTTCTAAAAATAGTCTAGGCGAAAATACTAATAAAATTATATAAGCTTTTAGTACAGCTTATTACGTAGCTAAGGCTTTAAAAGAAGTATAGTAATAATAAAGTTTTTCTAATAAAAGAAAGAATAAAAAAATTAAAATTAAATAAAGTGCTTCTAAAATAGAAAGACCTAAATAAACTATTTATTTTAGTAGCATCTATAGCCTTTGCAGAGGCTATTACACTAATAAAAGCAAGTATAGTTATAATTATAAAGTTATAAAATAAGCAGAATACTTAAAACTAGTTTATATTTAGGATATATTGCCTAGGCTAGCTTACTTTAATATGCGTTAGTTATATTTTATACATATTAAAAAGCAAGCTAAAAGTTAGTATATTAAGCAAATAGTTTATTAAAATAGCTTTAAAAAATAAATTATAAAGTAAGAAGACAATAGATAGTGCGCACATTAAGTAGGATATAATAGAAAATATAGCTATAAAGCTTAAAAGTTTATAAAAAAGTTTAACTCTGCAATATTAACAAAAGTAGATAGTAGAAAATAGTAGAAGATAGTAAAAGACAGTAGAAAATAGTAGAAGACAGTAGAAAATAGTGCAAGACTATATATATAAATTAAATTACCTAGTATACTAGTTTTAACCCTAACTTAACTTTTATAAAAGATATATTCTATATTTAACTTTTACAGACTATATTACTAGCCTGTACTCTATTACTAAGACGCTAACTGTCTAATAAGTACTATTAATCTAGTTTTTATAAAAATATAGAATAATAACCTTGCAGGCAGTAGGGTGTATATATATAAAAAGTTTATACTAACAGTAATACTAGCAACTTGCGCAATACTAGCAACTTGCCTAAATTAGTAGCTGCCTAACTACTAATAAGCATATACAACTATGCGTAACTGTCTGCTACTGTGCAACTTAGCTAGATTAACTCTTTAGAACTTGAACACGGACCGAACACGATTGAATTTTCCTGACGATAAAGCGACTAGCCCCGGGACGACGATGGAGAGCACTGGCGCACTAAAGACAGCCGCCGCACCGTGGTAAACGGCCTGGCCAGGCGCCATATCGCTCTCCGTGGAGAAGAAGTACGTCTTGGCCGCATTCTTGCCAACCGAGGGGTCAGGATGAATATTCTGGGCGGGGATAGCGCAGACTTTGGTCGGATCGTAGACGGGACAGCGTCTCCGGTAGGCGTTTTGGCTGCGCTCCGTGTCTGTGCTGTTGAAGTAGGCCTTCATGTAGGATATCGTCATGACGGTGTCGCTGTCCGGCGGGCCGGCTGACCACGACGGGTCGCCGTTGCTCCAGTGATTGAAGAACATGGCGCCGCCCTCGGTGGGCATGTTCTGCTTCATGTCGTACAGGAAGACGCTGTCTACGTAAAAGGCCACACGGTCCTTGGTCCAGTCGAAGCGGTACTCGTGGAAGTTCTCGTCGGGGCGGAAGGGCAGGCGCTGGACTTGGAATGCTGAGGTGCCTGAGGCATCGTAGCCGTGGGTCACAGACTCCGGGGATTGCATTACGAGGTTCACGGTCCCCTGGGATTCGTTGAATTGGTGCGAGAGGAATTCCATGTCGATCTCTTGCGAGTTGTTGTGGTACTGCCCGTCATTAGCGATGCTCAAGCTCACAGTAGTAGATGGGAGTCTTCGTACAAAGAAGAAAGCGCCGCATGTTCCAGACGAGTTGGACATTTTCATTCCCACGCGATAGCTACCGAGAAGCATGTCGTTCCTATGTGTGACGATCTCCGCTCCGCTCACGAAGCCGTCTTGATGATCTCCTCGCACCCACAACTCAAGACCAGCATCGCCGCCATGCTCAGATTGCCCTGACCAAGCTGCCCTGTTCTTAAGCGGATTTGTGACGACGTTGCCCAGCTCCATATTCTTGCCAAAGGGCCCTCGCGCGTTCTTGGAACTAACATTGTAGACCTGGGGCGCCCATCCTACTTCAGAAAGGTTCTTGGTCGACGTGTGTAGAAAGTCGTTCTCGAGCAACTCTGTAAAGACGGCGTAAGACGCGTCGCTTGTTTTATTAAGTGAATAGCCGCATTCGCAGGCGGCATTGGCTGGAGGAGCGCATCCAGTCAGCACAATCAATCGGTAGGAACAAGACAGCCGGACAAGGCTGTGGTCTAGTACACTCACAGAAGCGAGACATGGTGAGTAACAGCCAAGGTAAGGCGCCCAAAGCACCGTGAAACAACATTTCAGCGAATTAGAAGTATATAGCGAGTGACTGAGGTGAGGAGGTACAAAAGAAAAGGATTGGGCGACGAGTTGCCAAAAAAAAGTTGTGAGGACTGCGGGACCCAGCAGCAGTTGCAAGTAAGTAAGTAGTAGGTAAAAGTAAGAGGTAGGGAAGAGCACACTGTCTCCTGTGCTTTTTGGAGAGACAAGCAACCCCGACCTGTCCTAAAAGCAGCAGGTAGGGCTGCAGCCACTCACGCCCGGTCTGGGCGTTACCGTTGTCCAAGGATCGACCTTCCTGAGTCCGAAGTCACCATACTAGGTTCTTGTGACTGCCAGAAACCCAGGCTTAGCGTATTGGTACGAGGCCGGAGCAGTGGCCCAAGTAGCCTGTTAAGGCCAAGGAAGCTTAGATCGATAGCCCTTCATCAGCAAGGAGAGATAGAAAGGATAGCATTGACGAGACCGTGGTCATGTTATCTCCGGGGAGAAGCGTTGAGTGAAAACGGCGCAAAACGAGCAGGCTGCGGACTCCCTGTCATGTTCAACGGCGGTACCAGACTTTGGAACAAGGACGCGAGAACCAGACGTAATCCCCCCCCTTCAGCTGTGTCCAGTCTTTGTGCATTCCTGCTCCGTTGCAACGGCTTCGTAGTGTTGCACAACGTCAATATCACTAATTGGCTCCCTTACCTTCCCACCCTTGACTAATGCCCCTTGGCGCTCGCACGGTTCTTGCTTGCTTCCCGGACATGCTTCCCCACAGAAGGAAAACCCGAAGGGAAGCCGGGAAGGAGCCAGGAGAAATTCCATGGGGCGCGCATTCGACGTTGAAATTAGATGATCGTCGCATCGCAAATCACGGGGGCTAACACACTCACCCGGTGCCACTGGCCAATCCTACGAATCCCCCTCCCCCCCCCCCCTAAAACGCCGACTTCAGCCTTTGCCGCCCCAGGGCTGTCGAAAAACGTCCTGCTGATGCAGGGTTGCACAGGGTGGAACCAAATTTCGCGAGCAGCACCAGCCCTGGGGGGTACATCTGGCTTCATTAGTTAGCAGCCAGTCGCTTCACTCGACTGATGCTCAAACAGGAGGGAGCTTAGCCCACCTGAGGCAAATCTGCGTAGGCTTGCTAAGCCTTGGCAAGGTACCATATTTAGGGCTGTAATGACAATGGGCAGCTGGGCACTTCGTGATTCTAATTGCTCGGAGCTCCCCTAATCCTAAAATGTGGTGCCCATTGCTGATGCCAATCGTCAAACACGCCCGAACACGAGGGCGAAGAACGCCGGATTCTGCTCAACAGGCCGCATACGCCGACTGTCCATAACATAACAATGCTCCACAATCGCCAGAGTGTCGTAAATCTGTAGCATCAAAAGGCGTTTCAGTCGCCCTCGTTCATCCTCACAGGTGCACCGTAGTAGCCAACATGTAACGTTACGAAACTCGTCCATTCAAACTGCTAAACAATGCGTGCATCAGGGGTATCAATCATCACAAGAATCCAGACTCGGAGAGAAGCCTACTCCTCGTTAGTCCACCCTATACACTTATCAGCGGAAGTAATGCGGGGTGTACCTTGCAATCTTCTCGTCTTCCCTTTCCCTCGGCTCAACACTCAAACTCATCTCATACATCTCATGCACATCCCCCGCGCTCTGCATATTCGTCAAGATGTAGTCTTGCAACTCCGGGACCGGCTGCAACGGGTAGGGCACGTTCTGGTACTGCTGGATGTCGCGGATGACTTCGGCCGTTTTGGCACGCTTGGCAAAGTTGATGAGGTTTGTGCGCTTGATGAGCGAAGGTATGCCATCTTCGATAAACGTCAGGTCCGTGAGGTAGACACCTATACAAGTTAGTGAGGCATGGTTTTGGAGTCAAGCAGAGACGGACCGAAGAAAGGTATACATGGCGGATTCGCACGGTGGAGCGTGTCTCGGTATTCCGCAAAGTTCTTGGTGCTACCCATGAGTTTGCGCATACTCTCCAGCACACCCATCGATCGCTGATTGACTGCGCTCCATGTCCTATTCAGACGGTGGATTGGCGCAGTTCCTAGCGCTGAGATGATGGATGTCAGTGTTGAGAAGTTGTTCGATTGCCGGCATTTCTACATCACATTAGCCGTCATTGCTGTGGGCGCGGCAGATGAAGACTTACATCGGCCACATTAACAAAATGCTTGATGACAATCACTCTCCGTTTGACATCCTGTTGCGTCAGGATCATCTGTGCGACCCAATTCGTCAATTGGTTAGAGTGGAGGATAAGCGCCTTGACGTTGGCGGCCGGGTCGGGCTCGCCAGGCGCGAGCTTCTTCTGCCACGTTTTATTGAGACACTCTGTTGGTCGAATTTTGCCGTATAGCCTTGACTCAATAATGGTAAGTTGGCGAGCGAACTCTGTCGCATCAATATCGAGAAACTTGAGCTTCTTCATGTGCTTCGGCAGAATAGGCTGTGGTGTCTGGGCGCTCAATGTGGGAACGAGGCGTTTGGTAGGCATGTCTGGACCACGAGATCGTTGCTCAACCGATGTCATCAGCGGAGCCGCTCCAGGGGTGCTAGTAGTTGCTACATGGTCTTTCGCAAAGTTGTACACTCTTTGGATCAGTATCCGTGCCTCTTCGTCGTTCCCTTCCATCCAGTAGTTGTCGAACCAACTCTTCAGGATGTTCACCACACGAAACCTGATGGGCTTCTGCTTCTTATCCACCCAATGCTGGTAATCTTCTTTGTCGAGTCCGTGGGGTGGCTGTATGCTCCACCTCTTTACTAGCATTTCAAAAAGCTCAGAAGCGGTAGTAAACGATCGATATGTGAGTAGGAATGTGTTGTTGAACGCTGGGTCAAGACGATCGTGCCGAGTGAGCTGCTCCACAAGACCTGCCAGAGTGCCACCGCGCAGTTGAGGCGGTGTTGCTTTGTGATCATACGAGATCTCACCTTCGTGATCGAGCTTCAAAAACTCGGGAATCTCTTCGACTGTTGCTTGTGGGATCACTGGGACCTCACCAAAAAAGTCCTTGATCTTTTTGTTACTGTTTGCAGATCGTATTGGTTCGATCTTGGTCTCTTCTGCAGCTCCAAGCTGAGTACCTTCGCTGTAGGTTTGCGATTGCGGCATGTCCTTGAGCAGTGGCCTTTGACCAGACGGTACTCGAGCGTGAGAGTTTGTTAGTTCGCTATCTGTATTTCTTCGAGAGTCTGCCCGGGGCGCAATGTCTGCCAACGGTACTGCATCCGACAAAGCGTGCAGTATTCCGTATTGTTGCGCGACTGTCCCTTCCAGGTCCCGCGAGATGGCTCGTACAGCGTTGATACGATCTTCAAGAGAGTCACCGCGTAGTTCTGCCCACTCGTCTCCAAGGGGTGCTGCAACTCCTTGGCACGCAATCACAAGCTCGGAGACGATATCGTACGCCTTCTGCTTGTGAATGCTGAAATCGTGGAGCTGTTGTGCTTGCGGCATTGTGGCTAGCGAAGCAAGGTTGATTGATTCAATGGTTGATATCCAAGGCCGGCAAACATCCAGTACCTTTCCTGCCGCGCCGCATATATGCTCACCTATGGCCTGGTGCTTCTGATGCGTGATGATTCTATCTCGAACGATGAGTTGCTCGTCTAATCGGCGAAGGCTAGAGACGATGAGCCTCTTGATGTCCTCCAACCTTTCCAAAACGCGAGAGTCTAGTTTGACTGTGGGCTCGATTGAGGGTTCGTAATCTTCTTGATCGATGAACGACAACGAGGGATTCGACTCGCGAGCCTCTGTGCCGTTGTTGTGCCAACTTCCACCATGATTGCTACAGACTACGAAGCCAGGTACAAGGCGAGGAATTTCTTCCCCTCGCTGCTGGCGAGCTACTTCGACGAAGCCAAATACGCCATTCAAGACGCCATCCGCTTCTTTCAAGCACTTTGAGTAGGAATCAGGGGGCGGAAAGTCAGATGCTGCGATGTGGGAGGACAAGACCAATTTGGAGAATCGTGACATGGTTTCTCGAAAGTGGGGGTAGAGAGCTTTGTTGGTAGATATAATGGATGGGTTGCCGGAATGATTGTCGGTAGTCCCTGATCCTGCAGCAAGTAGTAGTCGTAGATGGTCAGAAATGTCTTCGGCCCGCTTGACGAACTCGGACCGGTCGCTGTTATTGATGGCTTCTCTGTAGCGCTCAATAGCGCGGCGCATATCCTCGACCATCCTGTTCCATGTCAGAGGGACGGGGTTTACATCGTCGTAGAATTTCCGCGACTGTGTAGAGGTGCCATTTGGTGCGCCCGCATTAGGGCTGTTAGCGAACGAAGTGGCCGTGGTACCGGTTGGAGGGAGGGCAGCAGCCGAAAAGCTCATACCACCTGTGTCGTAGGACCTTTTCGCAAAGCCCGCATTCATGGAATCCATCGAGGTTGCTGATGAGAGACCGTCGGAGAGACGATGCCTTCCCTGCTGTGATGATAGTCAGCTCTCGCTCACTCAAACAACATGACAGTACTTACCCTAGAGCTGTATGAGCCCTTCGTCCCGGGGCCTTCGAAGTCGGACGCTGACGTTTCATCGTCCGTGTCCTCGACGCTGTATCCAGAGGCGAGCAGCTCGGGCGGCGGTCGAGACGACTCGGGTATAAAGACGTTGACGCGGTCGCGTGGGCCGCTCTCGTTTGGCGAGGGCGACTCCAAGGGCAGTTCCATGGTGCTGACACCTGTCAAGGTGTTGAAGTAGAACAAGCGCCCGTCTGGCGTGGCCTGGGGGATCCAGAAAGCCGCCTCCTCCTCTTTGCTGCTCTCATTGCGCTCAATGGGCAGTATTGTGTCGTTCCCGCTCAGTGACTCCGTGTCCGAGTTTGTGTAATCTGTGCCGCCCAGCGAATGCGTGTCTTGATCGTCGTCGACATCCCCGCCATTCCTGTCGTCCTCGACGTCTTCGCTCGGGCGTTGGAGTACGGTGCAGTAGTTGCTCGGGAACCAGCCGCGGACGCCGTTGATGACGCCGTCCCACCAGCCGCTCTCCAGCTGCGTAATAACCTGTATTATGTCGCCTTGCCGGAAGCTCAAGCTCGTGCGGTCGTCGGCGTCGTAGTCGTAAAGCGCTTTCACGTACATGCCGCCTGGCGAGACGGTGCCGTTGAAGCCGTTCATGGTCGAAGGCGCGACCGTCTCGTGCGCGACGAGGCGGAAAGGCAGCAGCGTCCTTTTCACTCCTAAGCGTGGGCTTCCCCTCTGCTGCAGCCCAAGACAAAGGCTAATTCGGCGTCGTAAAGTGGGCTGACTGAGCTTGCGACCCGGTCGACTCTGGAGGTTCAAATAGCCCGCGTATTATGGCCAGGGTGGAAGGAGGGGATGCAATTGGACTAGAGGGCGGCACCGACATGCGAATTAGAGCCCGCACATTCGCGCCTAGCAGATGGACGCAGCGAATCGAAGCCCGCAGGAGCTGTGTTGCAGTGATGCTCGAGAGGAGAGAGAGAGGTGTCGTCGAGCGAAAGAGACTGCAACACCAGGGCAGGATGCTGGCAGGGCGTCGTGAGCGGTGGACGCCCTGACTGTGGGGACCTGTTGTCCCGACCGCACGTGATAGCCTGGGTACGGTTAAAGGCAGCTAAAAGTGTGTCAAGCCCTAGCTAGGTTCATCCTTCGTGAATAAATAAATGGCTCTAGTATTCATGCGCCTCCAGGGCTGTATGTCTATCTACACCTTGTCCTCTCCTGCACCTCTATATATCCAAGCCTGTTCTGCGGCCGATGATGTGCATGCGCGCAATCTATTCAGACGGCAACGAACCGACGCTGGGCCAATCCCTTGTTGGTGGTGCATTTGTCAAAGGAACTGGGGACAACGCAGACACCTGTTATGCGACCGAACAAGAGATCCTGGTGTCAGTCTCTCTAGATTCATCTAGAACCCCGCTGTAGTCTTGACTCGCCCCAGCTTCATGGGCGACATGCCATGAAACGTGGGAGATCATCACCGTAGTAGCGGACGGAAGCCGGAGCTTCGAGATATGTGCGACCTCGCATCTTGTACAACCATGTTTATTTTCGACCTCTAACGTTCTGTCTACCAGTGTTGTTCACGTTTTTGTTCTTGCGTGAGACGTTACTGCGCTTGCCCCGCAGAGCCACAGCTACGGGCTTTCGTGTAGCTGCACAGCTGCTACTATTTGAGAATGACAAAGCGATCATGGCAGTCTACCTCGTACCTAGCCGTGAGAAGACACTGCAAGTGCAACAATTATTGAACAATAGTGGCTGTAGATCGCTGAACTCCGCGCTGAACTCGCATGAGATGTGCGGTGAGTAACACGCGATAGACGGCCCGATGGAAGCTCGGAAAGAAAACTTGCGGGCCTTTTGGGGTTGATTCCAGTCTCAAAGTTGCTTGGTGTCGCGCGGAAGCGGAAGAGGAATTGCCTTTAGGTCTGCGACACTGGTGGGTGGGTCGAGCTCGAGTGGGATTAATTCTTGAATCATTCATCAGCACTTTGTCTCATGTGGAGTTGAGACCTAGTGGGGTGTTGAGGGAGGTTGTGGCAGATAAGGACTCATCGATAGGATGAGTGTGGGCATGCCCTTGAGTGGGGGATCAGCACCCGTTCATTTGTTCTCGGGCAATTCTATGAGGCGTACCCAGGTGCTTGGGCAAACAAAGCGTGTGATAGCGGGCTGGTCATCGCCTTGGGGTTCGACAGCTTTGGCAGCGTTCGTCCTGTTGACCGCGTAGGCTGAGTGTCTTCAGTCCATGGAGGCCCTACTGTTGTTGAGTTGCTCATAATAACAATATACCTATGCGGACACGCCCCGAGCCTTGGACATCCGTGCTTGCGAACAGACCGCCCAATGCCACTTGAAACCACAAGCACAAACGGGCCTTTCTCTTCTGAAGCATTACGAGAAACGTGCTAGCGCGGGGGTTTCGAGGAAAAGCAATGCCCCTCTTGTGTTTGGACACGGTGACTTGGGGGGAACTTTGATATGCAATCTCAAGTCGCGATTGTCGTGGTCGCTCGCTCGCTTGCAGAGGCGAACGGTGAAGGACGACGAGCTGTCACGGTAGCGACGCCGTTCGTTACGACGGCGGGCCACGCGCCATGGTCAAGGATTCTAGTCCATGTCCGACTCGACAGAGGCAAGCGGGGCAGGTAGGTGGCGGGCTCTGCGAGCTCAACATGACACAGAGGGGCGCTTCTGTACGGTGCCAAAGTCTATCTAAAGCCCTGGTGAGCTCGGTGGTCAGTCTACTGCATGTGTGGACCGGGACCAAGTGACGAAGTGGGTCCGGGGAGCGGGAATCATGGCCCGAAAGTATGGATTTCAGGAACAAGTGAGCGTAAGCGGCGATCGCCCTGGTCTTGTTGAAATTACTCGTAGCCGGAGCATTTGTTTGGTAACGTTAAAGCCAAGTTGGTGGAGAGTGAGGTTACCCCTTTTTCGTGACGCGGCGTCATGGAATGACACCAGCACACAGGCCAGGAGGGGGGCGAATCTTGGACTTGTCTTGTATTTTTTTTGGCGTGCTGTGTCAGTATTCTATTCCATGGCGCGGGTGTGGATAGTGAGGCGGTGAGCCATGACAAGCGTCGGATGCATCTGATAGCGGGCTGCGTGTAGACTACCTCTTCAACAGGTAAAAGTCGACTGGCCATTCTTACCGCTCTTTCTTGACGCCGTACGACAACTGGCCGTTGAGGCAGTCGACTCCGCTGCCAGCGGGTGGTACGGCGGAACCATTCTTGAAGAGGCTCCCGCAAGAGCAATGGTTGGACAGGCGGCTGCCATGTTGCAATTGGGCCCAGAAGCGTGGTGATTTTAGGCGCAATGCTAAGGGAATACCCGGAGAGCGACAAGTAGCCATGTCAAGGCGAGGGTGAGAGAATTCAGTGTCGAGAAATGGACCGTGATGGACGGGATATCGAGTCACTACTGTAGATGAGATGACGCCTTGCTCGATGAAGGTTCAAGGAGGAGAGCAGGCTGATAGACGACTGTCGACGAGAATCAATTACAACTACAACTAGAATTAAAACTAGACTTTGAATTTCTGGAAAGTAGGATTTGGCCGTCGTTTTCTACGTATTAGCGTTGTCATGCGGAGCTGTATTAATTCAGGTCGAGCGACATTCACAGGGGTGGCTGGTGAGGCTACTTAGTAGACGACCGTGCAGGCGCCCCCCCATCTCTTGATTTTGTGAGAAGCTGCCCGCGCCCGCAGCCCCTCTCTTGTCTGTCTCCTTATTCCGCCCTCCCATCATCATCATCACCACCATCACCACCACCACGACGCATTCTTCCATCGTTGCGCGCGCAAGCCAGCAAGCCGTTTGTGCCGTCGCCCCCCCTTCTGACCCTCTTTCACCGGCCGTCCCGGTGTCGTATCGTCATCGTATGCCCACTTCGCGGAATGAAAGAGCACAGTTATTTCACCGAACCCATCAACACGCTTTAACGCCCACGCGCGCCGGCCGTCAACGACATCCTTACGCCTCGGCCTGACACGTCGACCTAATAACCGCATCCCGTATATACCTGCTGCTTTGCTGACATGGCGTCCAACTCGACGCCCGCGGCGGCTCGCAAAACGGGTGCGCCCGAGAAGAAGTACAAGTGCCAGTTCTGCAACCGCGCCTTCAGCCGGAGCGAGCATCGCAGCCGGCACGAGCGTTCTCGTAAGTCGTCGTCGTCCATCTCGTAGTCGTTTCTTTCGCGATGAGAGCTGCCATTGTTTTGCGCGGGGTAGCTGTTTACTGATGCGGGACACTCGCGCCGTGGTCGCGCTGCGGGGAAGACAAGCACAGAACGGTGTTGCTAACTGCCCCTCACCCATCAGACACCAAAGAACGCCCCTTCAAGTGCCTCAAGTGCCGCAGCACCTTTGTGCGTCGCGACCTCCTCCTGCGCCACGACCGCACCGTTCACGCAAAAGATGGGGGCGCCCCTCTCCCCAGCGAGCAGAAGCGCCGTACGAGCAACAAGGCCGCCGCCGACGCTGGGCCCTCGAAGCCGCCGCCGCCCCTCAATCCCGCCACTACCCTCGAGCAGATCGAAGACAGCAACGAGGCCATGGAGGATGCCGACCTCGAGGCCGCCGCCATGCTGATGACCGACTTCCACCACAAGGCCATGGCCAGCCAGGAGCCCGAGATGATGCCAGAGCACCACGAGCCCGTCATCTCACCGACTGGCCCGGCCATGATGGAGCCCGTCATGCCCTACACGGCCCCTGGCCAGAACATGTTGCCGCAGATGCCGTGGAGAGACTCGATGGTTCCGCAGCCCGACTCCAAGGCGCAGCCAGATACCCACTCGGCCTTCAACAGCGCCAGCGCCCTCAACTCGCACCCCCACCAGCTGCCCCCGCTGATGGAGCGTACCATGTCGGGCAGCGACAACCTCGCACCCACCTTCCAGTCGATGAATGGCGGTAACGGCCTTGGCACCCCTGGCGCGCTCTCCCCTTATCCTTCCATGATGGGCCCGGTATCGCCCGTCGACTATCGCAAGTCGCCCGGCCCCAACCAGGCTCTGATGATAACGAGGGCGCCCCAGCTTGACTCGGAAGAGCAGTGCGCGCGCATTTACGAGAACATCAAGCAGTACGACAGCGAGAACGCGCTGCTCGAGACGTTCCACCTACCTAGCCTCAACACGCTCAACCGCCTCCTGAAGACGTACTTTGACCTCTTCCACCATCACCTACCCTTCCTGCACCCAGCTACCTTCAACCCCACTGAAGTGTCTGCGCCGCTACTGCTAGCCGTGCTGTCAATAGGTGCCCTATACATCTTCGACCAGGATCAGGCCTACATGCTTCACATCGGTTCCAAGGTTCTTGTCAATCAATTCCTACAAAACAAAGAGAACTTCAGCTCGCGCAAATGTCCCCTGTGGACTATGCAAAGTACACTGCTGAACATGATCTTCTCCAGCTGGAGCGGTGATCCCAAGGGTCTGGAATGGGCTTGTTCAATCAAGAGTCTTTTGGCAAATGTAAGCTTTTCTGCGCTCGTTTCTACTTCGTCAACTAACACGTGCTAGATGGTTGCTGGAAACCGTTACGAGCTCAAGCTTCGCGCCGACGCCCGAGAGGGAGCCCAGCCAAACCACGAAGAGTGGGTGGTTGACGAGCAATGCCGACGGACATACTATGCAGTATACATCTTCTTCGGCCTGTTGACGCTGACCTACAACCATACGCCAGCTATGGGCTTCAACGAATTCGACACCTTGGAGCTCCCTTCGTCAGAGTCCCTCTGGACTATGGAGGTATCTGATGACGAAGCATGGCGCGAGAGTCTAGCGGCATCGAAGATCATCACCTTCCGCCAGGCACATGACAACCTTTTCCAGGGAGAGAATGCGCGCTACAGCGCCTTCGCTACCCGCGTCATGATCAATGCCCTGTTTCTCGAAGTCTGGTATCACAAGCGGAGTCCAGAAGCCCTTCAAGACGTTGTTACTGAGTACAAGCTCCGACTAGCCTTGGAGACTTGGGAGAGGTCGCTCGAGCTGTGCGAGCCAGAAACGGTTGTCGTTCAGCTGAGCGCCCCTCACAAGGGTCATCCCTTGATCTTCAACGCCATGGCCCTGTACAGAAACACCCGGGCCCGGCTTGTCGTTGACCTCAAGTCCATCCAGGAAGCCCTCCGCTACCACGACTCGTATGAAGTTGCGGCAGCCATGACGAACGCTCGTGACAAGGTCCAGCGCTCGCCGGAAATGATCAAGGTCATCCAGGAGTGCTTCGATTGTATCGAAGTAGCAGCCGTACAGGGCATTCGTTGGGTTGCACGAACCTCCGCAACCAACTGGAGCATCGAACATCCTCTCACTGGCATGGATCTGATGGTCATCCTTACGCTTTGGCTTTACCGCCTAGAACACGACGAAGAGCCAGCTACCGAGGAAGAGTTGGCCATGTACAACAAATTACGAAACCTGTTTGATGACGATTCTGTGGATGTGTATGGTGCGAAATTGAGCTCCACCGTGGCCCGACTCTGGGGAAGCATGATTGATGAGGTCGTTGTCTGGGGGTAAGCACCATCATTCTCCCTTCCGTTGTATCTAGCACTAACACTGGACAGCATCACTAAGCTCATGGGCGAGGCCTTCAAACTTCATTCGCAAGCCCTCGTCGGCTACGAGGACGCCATGTCCTCGCGATCTGGATCTGCGACACCGTCACTGGCTACCGGTGGTGTCCAGGTTCTTGAGATGCAGATGGCTTACTAGGCCAGAGCAGCATTGCCAGCGACCTGCTGACAGTCTCCTCATGTTGATCTTATCTCTTTTGTTTTGCTTTTGTGTTTAGACTGTGCGATCTCCCATCTGTGCTTCTGTTGTCATCTCCTTGCATCTGGGAGCATGGCTTGGAGTTCGGCGTACCAGCATTCGACTTCTCTTCTCTCTTTCCTATCTCCTATCTCCTATCTCCTATTTCATATTATTCAAGATCGGGGTAACATGGCGCAATGGGGCGGTCTGGTCCAGCTTCATACACCTCTGAGCTCAGGCTCTCCTCTTTGGCATCCTTCTAATATCTTCCCTCGTTCATACCCAATGTTCTGGACTACTTTGGAGGCTGGCCCCAAGCGCGATTTCGTTCGATCTAGTTGCAAGCGTCGCCTTTGCTGCATTCGACTAATACCTCGTCCTTTTCTCTTAGGCTCTAGCCGACATGGATTTCCTTCTGCATATACCACAGTATTGTTCATTTGTTTTGCGGCGACAAGGGTGGACGGGATTGAGGTGGTAGATTGATGATGCAGAGTGATGGTCTCCCTTTGGTCTCAAAATAGTCATGTATAAATATGTTCCTTTACAATGATTTTGCCCGTGTTTGCCGTGATGCGATCCTAAGTAACCTGATAGCCTCGAGATCCGCGAGAGTCGTGGTGCCAAGACGCTAAGCACAATCGCTGCTAGTGCCCTCGAAATTTTGGAAAAGTGCGAATGCAGCTCCGGGCAGAGAGCTCTACAAGCTTGCAACGCCGCAGCACTCGCAGTCAACCACAGCAGGAAATACCCCCTGTCCCATCATTACCGAGCATAATCAATCGCAATCATACACAATGGCCAAAGAGATCAAAGAGAAGAAGGAGAAGAAGGAGAAGCGCGCAGAGAGCGATGGTGTAACGAAGAAGAGCAAAAAGGACAAGAAGGAGAAGAAGGCCAAGGCCGACGTGGATATGGTAGATGCACTTGAGGCCGAGCTTGAGAAGGCGCCAGAAGTCTCACTCGTCAGGGTCGTGGACGGCGAAGAGGGCGATGAGCCCCGCGGCGCACTCGTTCCTTTCGCATTCCCACTAGCAGACAATGATAAGGAGGTCAAGAAGATTCTGAAGACTGTCAAGAAGTGTATGTGCTACCCTAGTCACATATCCTTGCGATTGGCACCTGCACATTTGCTAATGTTCTCCCACAGCCGCGAAGACCAAAACCCTCCGCCGTGGAGTCAAGGAAGTTGTCAAGGCGCTCCGCAAATCCGCCGCATCCGCACCCTCTTCCTCAGACATCTCCAACCCGTCCGCTGTCGTCGTCATCGCCGCCGACATCTCGCCCATGGACGTCATCTCGCACATTCCCGTACTCTGCGAAGATCACAACGTTCCCTACATCTACATCAAGTCGCGTGCGCAGCTAGGAGAGGCAAGCGCAACCAAGAGGCCGACGAGCGTAGTCATGATTGCAAAGGACAGGCAGGGCAAGAAGAAGGACGGAAAGGACGAGGACATGGAGGATTTTGCCGAGGTCTATGGAGACCTAGTGAAGCTGGTTGGCAAGGCGAGCAAGACGGTTAGGAAGTAAGAAGGGATCATCATCGCATATGATATGATCTGATGGCAAGGCAGAAGATATATGTGTGCAAGATTGCAAAGAAATGTCTGGCTTGTCTACCATGTTGAGTTCATACTGTTCAAAAAGGGACGCGGAGTCTGGCGTTTGCAATAGTAGACTGATTCTATTACCGCATAGGAATCTCTTTCTCTCTCTGTCTTTTGCTGCTACGAGCCGGGTAGCGGGTTTGGCTGTTTCTTGCGCTTGACAAATAAAAATCTAGTCAACGCATTCGAAAGGCCTGAAACGCGAACTTGTTATTCTCTTGCTACCCACTGACTGACTAGGAGAGAAGCTAACGAAAAGGGAGCTCGTCTCGCAGCCTGCTTATGTGAACCTCTCTCCCAAATACTTCATAGCAGTACCAACTGAAGCACTTCTCCTGGCGCGCATTCTACTGCGCCAGCACATCAAGAATTACAGATGGTACAGTATATTGTAGCCCTGGGGCACTTATAAGATTACTTCAAACTGTAGGCAATCGATTGCATATATACCCGGGCCCAACTAAAAGCCACCGTGCAGATTCCTCACTTCTCTTCCCTTCCAACACATCTAGCCAGTCCACACCTTCGGCCCAGGGGGCGTATACGTCGTAACAGCACTAGAATACGTATCCACCGTAATCCCCGGATCATTCTGCGGCGCATACCCTGGAATATTCGCCAGATACTCGCCGCCTGGCTGCGCGCTCCCCGAGCCCGTGACTTCGATCTGCGCACACTCGGCGTAGAACTGCGGCGTGTTGGCCTGGTGCAGTGCAAGCAGTTCATGGCGAACGAGGTAGTTGCCTGGTGCAAGCGACTTGGGCACGGTGGACTCCCAGAAGAGGTTCTTGAGGACTTTTGCGGTGCCCCATGCGCGGCCGCTGAGGGGTGGTGCCGTCATGCCTTCTTGGTCGATCTATATTTGGAGACGTTTGTTAGCGTTGAAAGAGGACGGGGGCGGCGTGTGGAGTTTATGTGTGTGTGCGTACTTTGAACCATTTCTTGCCGCTTCCATCGCAGCTCTTGAAGTCGCCGGAGCACTTGTACATCCAGACCATGACGGGACCCTGCTCATGTGTCCACTGCTTATACACTGCCTTGATCTTTCCTCCAGCGGCTACCTTGGCGGACAGGTCGGCTGAAGTCCCGCCGTTACACATGACCTTCTTGTCAGTCACGGTCATGGTGGGGTTGTAGTCTGGCCATTGACGCTGGATGGTCTTCGGGGACGTAGCGGGCGCGAAGCCTTCGTAACTGGAGAAGGGTGTTAGTCAACAATCGAGACGATTTGAATCTCGGAAATGAGGGGAATGAGGAGTTTGTTGCATACCCTGGGTAAGTAACGCCATCGATTACATAGCTCGTGACGGCACCGTGAGCAGCAGCCTGAGCCGCGAGAAGCGCAATAGTCGTGAAGACGCTTGAAAACAGCATTCTGGCGTTGATCCAAGTCTAGAATGTTGACGATGCGGACTGTATACGAGCAAGTCGAGTGCTCCCTTTTATATACTCACCCTTCTACAAGGGGCCAACCTACACCACCCTTTCCGACCACGTACAATATTGCCCCTTCCCATCTGGTCACATTCGCCCTCCCCGCCCACCACCTCATCGCGTTGACACCGCATCACTCGACCCTCACATAGATGGGATAGTAGTCTACAATTTCCGCGCACTATACGCCCGTCCTGTTTCCCGGACCGGTTAATCTTCATTGGCTGGAAATCACTATACTTGCCTCGCTAGTAGCATCTTCATGCCGGCTCTTGTGCCGCCGCACCAGATCGGGCAGTGATGTGAAAGCCTTGCGGTACCCCGGATGTTTAATCTGTGCCTGCTATGGGGCGCATGCGAGATGACGAGTTTGGAAGTGAGGGTGCGGATGGTATTGGGTAAGCAGGGCTTTCTGGATGCATTGTGTCTTGGAGGGGATATGTATTAGGGTGTGTGGAGTTAAGACTCGGTTTTTGTTCCGTGGGTTCTCAGGTTGAGTCAAGTACAGTGGTGTTCACTGATGTTCGATTCCGGTTGGTGGTGGAGATGATTGAGATATAAGGTGGCGAGGAGACGTGTCGCATGAACAGTGACCAGCGAGTGTCGGAAATATAGAATCCGGGATTAAACTTGTAATACGAATCCGTGGGCACCCTCAAAGTAAAGAAGTTGATGTAGCTGTGTGTGCTCCTCTTCTAAGCGTGCGGTGTACGGGCAACGCCTTTTCGCGCCTGTTCGGCATTCTTCGAATCGTTAACGCGATGAGCCTCGGAGAAGAAATTGTTTATAGAAGCCTGTCATCATTGATTGATTACTCGTTCATTAAGGAATAGCGAAAGTCGCCCGACCGCCTCAGACCTAGGCACGCTACAAGACGCTAAATTGGCCCGCCTCGCAACAAAGTTAGCGCCACCGATTCTAGAATTCAAAGATTGTGACATCGAACTCAGCAGCATCATCCTTAAACATGTCCCTGGAGAGATACCAGGCGCCTCTAATTCGCCAGACCTCCACTAGCGGAAAAGCATCTGGGGCTACTGTACTAGACGCATGAACCCAATCGACGACCTCCAATCACAAGAGAAAAATGCAAGTAGGGGATTTCCGCGCTTTTTGTTTTGTCGACTACCCAGCCACGGGAATACAACATCTTTCAGGTCTGATAAGGACATGTAGCTAAATGTTGATCGCCCTGTGCTGTGACGTGCACGCCAGCGATAAGCGAAGGAAGTCAAATGTGAATGTAGTAAGAAGGAATAGAGGCATTACGGGAACAGTGATCGATCGTGACCCGTCGACTGGTCTGGTATCTCCAGGTAAAAATCGGTAGCAACTTCGACTCCAGCGCGTACAACATGATATCTCATAACGCATTTTAAAAAACAATGCACCACCGTGTTCAAAAATCTCTAGAGCTGCAAACCCATCCTTAGAAGTTCTTCGAGTGCATCGCCTCGCCCATTGGCGCGTGCTTCCCACTGCCTCCATGCATGACCTCCTCATCATACCGATCAGCATCACTATCTTGATACGCAACCGAGACATCAGTAATCTCATCACCGACTTCCATCCACGTGTCGCTCGTTGCGGGGATAGGCGAGATTTTGCAGAGCGCATAGTACGTGAGAGAAGCAACGAGGAAGCCCGCGAAGAAATTGAGATCGTAGATGCGTTTCGCGCCAATGGGGACTGGTTTGCCAATGGCACCTGCGAATCCGACGACGTTGATGAGGATTCCCGCGATGTAGGCGGCGTAACCGCGCCAGTGGAAGCCGAATGTGTAGTAGTATGGACCGGTTTTCTTGCCAGAGTACAGGTCTTTAATCTGTAGGTAGCCCTTACGCACCCAGTAGTAGTCGCAGATCATGACGCCTGCAATGGAGGAGAGGAAGACTGAGTAAGCTGACAGGTAGGTGGTGAAGTTGTTTGACGATGAGAGGAGCTTCCAGGGGCACATGACGAGACCAACGAACGCGCAAACGTATCCACCACGGCGAATGCTGATCCATCGCGGGGCGAGGGCTGTCATGTCGGTACCGGCGGAAATGGAATTGGCTGCAATGTTGGTACCAAGCTGTGCAAGCGTAAAGGCAGCAGCAATAATGAAGACGCCGAATCGTTGACCAGAGCCGCCTTCCTTTAGGAATGCCTCTAGCAGGTCCAGGGGGTTCCAGATAGCTTTGCCGAAGATCACAGTCGACGATGAGGACACGATGATTCCGATGAAGGAAGTGATGGCAAATCCAACGGGGATAGTGATCAGCTGTGGCAGAAACGCGTCTGAGGGCTTGCGAGCAAAACGAGAAAAATCGGGATCGTTGACAATTAGGGTCGCAAAGTTGGCGATGGCCGACATGATTCCGCGGACCATGAGCCAACCGAGAGCAGATCCCTTTGCTGTACCAGACTGGTGGACGATGGGACCAATTCCCTTAGCGCGGACGACAGCCCAGATGAAGAAGGCGACACCCGCCGTTGGCACAAAATATGCCTTGACAGTGAACAGATGCCGAATCTTGTGAACTGGGGGGTAGATGAATGGGAGGGAGCCCAGCCAGAAGAAGAAGAAGGATACGAAGTGCACCGTTGTGGTTCCGGAGCTAGGAATTCCGTTCTTGACACCACCAAACGCATCTTCCTGTGACGAGTTAGTCGAGGAGATGAGACTATGAAGAAAAAACATACATCGCGCCAGTTGCTCCAGATGGCTCGGATCATCAGATAGACGCAGGTGCCTCCGATCCAAGCCTGTACACCGTACCAGATGCATGCCATGGCTGCGCGGTTGAAGACTGGCCATAGCGCGCCCCAGACGCCGAATGAAGCTCGATTGACGACGGGGAAAGAAATGTGGTACATTGCGCCGATTCGGCCAGTCATGCAGACGAAGCAAGCAGCGATTGTGTATCCAAGCTATTGATAAATCAGCAAGAGTTGTTGTGGCAAGATGGTAATGTCTCCTACCCAGACGCAAATCCATGACTGCCACCATGAAAGACCGTCAACAATGTTTGCTGAGGAAATCATCCAAGTGTTGATGTTGAAAGAATCGGCTGCGAAGAGAATTAGACCATGTCCAGATCCGAATTGAGTACATATGACACACCAACCCAGAAACCCACAAAGTTCCAGGCACCCCATTGTCGACGCGCAGGTTCAACCTTGACCGCTTAGCAGGTAGTCTCATGTTCCTATATAAGTGATACAAACAGGTTTGAGATCGTGGTTGAACAGCATAAGCTGGGCGGTGGTGAGGTTGGGTTCACTCTCCACAGCGAGCTTGCTACCCCAGTAAGCCACCTTGGAACGCTTGACCTTCTCCATGATGGAGCTGGAGAAGAAAAACCCTTTGTCGCTTGAACGATGGAACGTCGAGGTCGCACGGGGCTTTAAGAAGCTTTGGCTCTGGCTGGTCGAGCCAGTTGCCTGGTAGGATTGCTGATCCCCGCTCGAATGACGTGGGGGGTGGGCAGAAGCGAGTGAAGGACTCGGTGCGCCTGGCGCTGGTGAGGCTTGCTGTTGGATGAGCGGTTCACGTTCAGAATCCAGGATGCAGCAGCGGGGGCCCGGGAGCTAGTTCCAAGTTATGGGTAAATGGTAGCGAATGTATTTTTATTGCGCGTGTTGGTGTTCAAACCCAAGATTCTACTCGTTCTCCACACAACTTGCGGTGCGGGGGGTTCGCTCCATCTTATATCTCCAGATGATTAACGTAACCAGGAACCGACTGTCTAAGATCCACTCCACGTTGGGTCCGATTCGGAGACATCAGGAAGAGTATTGGAGATTGATGACAGCTGGTAGGCCCGTTGTCACCAGCCTTATCTTCGAGTGGGAATAGCACGCCCGTGCGTTCAGCTCCCACATAATCCTTCACTACTACCATGTCCCGCTACGACTTGATGGACAGAGCGGGTGATGTATAGCTGGCGGCCTGCATCTCATCCAAACCGCGCAGACGAGGCACAAGTTGCGGCCTCTCCGAGCCCGAGGAGGAGGTCCCATGGTGGAGTGTAGCCGCGAATGACGCAGGCCCATGCAACGGTATGTATCGCGTGCCCCAAGTCGTGTTCTCAGCCTTCAGCATGTCTGCATGCTATCTCTGAGATAACCCCCCTAGATTGCAGAGATGTGCGCTGATGTTTGACTCGATAGAAACATGTCACCAAACAACCGGGACCCGGAGAAGTCTCTATCTCGCAGTATCGGGCGCCATGGGTAGTTGACGTCGCATCTTGACCTTCTTGGCCTCTCGCTTGAGGTTCCGGCTGGGCTGCTAAGGTGAAAAAGGGATAGCAGTGCAGCGGCAAGAGATAAGATGGTGTGGGGTACAACGGGGGCGCCGGGAGAGCCACTCAGCGGCGCCGGAGTCCTCTTTACTCGATGACATCGAGTAAACGACGGTCCCACAAGTCAGACCTCAACTATCATCCTTCTGGGCACGGCTCTTGGACACAAACCTCATCTCTCGCAAATCTTCCCACGCCTGCAAACGCCCTCACCCTCTAACGCCAAATAGTGCGTCGTTAACCATGCTATCGTTCGTTCTATCAATGCTGTTCATAGCCTTCTCCGATACACCCTACTTAATGGCGACAACACGTATCTGTAGAGAGCTTGGTGGACCATGAAGGACGCCGAGTTAAACAGGAGCAAGCACACACAAATCTCACTTCGTTTCGATCGAATAAATTATACAAAGCAACGGACTGCCTGTCAGTCTCTAAGCAAGACTACAAGACAAGAGTCATAGTTACATCATCGATGAATAAATCGTACTTTTCAGGGTTGTCACCAGGCAGACTGCATGCTCCGTCGACGAGCAAAGTCTGCTGTACAAGATCTCCCGCAGGAATATTGACGACTACGGAGATAGACGTATAAGAACTGCCCGGAGGGACGAACTCGCGAACGGCTCGATCGCCAAGGTAGATGCTTATAGAGCAAAATCCCTCGGTACTCTGTCTTCCAAAGACTTCAATGTTGTACGAAGCACCAGGCACGACGGTCACAGTCTGCCTCAAAATTACGTCGTACCCACCATTTGACTGGCCTCGACCGCGGATGGAATATGATCCTGTATGCGGATTTCTCTGAACGCGACCACTGGCACCGGCATCAATGACATAAAGACGTTCCACAGTCCAGTCGGTAGGGTCTGATCCGTCCCCGAGTTCGAAGCTCGGATTCACCACGATCTGAATTGGAGGCGTGACGGTTGGCGTCGAGCTTGGTTGCGTTGAGACGACAGAAGTGACCGTTTCGGCTACACTCGCCGATATGGTACCAAGTGCAGTCTGGCTCGAAACAGTGGTTGCGATAGAGGTGCTAAGTGATGATGACCCAGAAGCTAGCGAGGATATGACGGAACCAAGGACCAACGTGGATGATGCGGAGTTTGTAAACGTGGCTGATGGGCTAGACACGCTCATGGATGAAGGAGGACTTGAAGATATGGCGGATTGGGGTGTTGTTGACACCAAAGTAGAGGTAGACGGATTGATCGATGAGCCCGATACGGCGGTAGAGAGGGAAAAACTTGTGGTTGTACTAGACGATGCAGCCGACGAGCTGACCTGGGTTGAGGAAGATACCGGAATGATTGAGCTTGACGCGGAGGAGAATTGTGCCGACGATGAGGCGCTGGAAGAACGCAGCGACGATGTGCTGGACGATCGCACTGAGGAAGAGGCGCTGGAAGAACGCATCGACAATGTGCTGGACGATCGCACTGACGAAGACATGCCCGAGCAAGTTCCAAACCTAGGCTGGCAACCTGTTTCACAGTATCCAGACGTAGAGCCACTATTGGAAAGCATTAGCATTTAATCAATCAGACATGAGGTGGACTTTTACCAATAGGAGTACTGGCTACAGCAATCTCCATACGCTGATCCTTTGCAGCTGAAGCCGCCTTCCGCACCATTGGAGTAGCCACAGCGTGCATTTTTAGAGACCTGGATAGAAGGGGAGGCAGTGGCAGTAGATGAGGTGCGCGTGCTTGATGAAGCAATGGACGAAGACCGAGTATTAGGGATTATCGAAGTTCGAAGAGTCGAAGAACGTGTTGTTGAAGATACACCAGAACCGGAGCAAGTGCCGAAGTTGGGTCGACAACCAGTTCCACAGTGTCCTACTCAAGGTTTAGCATGTTAAGTTCTAAGCTTGCTTGTCGCACCAGATTTCTTGGGACTGACCTGAGGTACTACCGCACCAGCCATATCTGGTACACACGCGTTAGAACATAGCACGTAGAGCAAGCTGGTTTTTCTTAGGCTTACTGGGAACAGCAGTCTCCATAGGACGAGCCTTTACATACGCGATTGCTAAATTCGAGACCACAGCGGCCATTCGTGCTCACTTTCTGAGCAGAAATAGCTACGAAGGAGGAAACCGCCCAGATCAGAAATGTTCGCATAACTCTGGTTCCCCAATCTGGTGTACTGCGAGAACGTAAAAGGACAATTATGAAGGACCTCGTCTGACAAGTAAGGACAGAATGATGGACAAGGAATGGCGACACGTCTGAGGTTGAACCAATGTTGCGTACGGCGTTGACGCGGTCATATAAGGAGTGCTTTGCAGCCATGCTAGCTATTGTGACCGTCCGTGCTCAAGAAGCCGATGGCTTGAACTGTGCGTGGCGATCTGGCGCAATCTGGCCCTCTAGTGTATCGTCACCCCAGTTTAGATTTTCTTGCTGGTTTTAGAGCATCTTTCCTTCTCAAAGCCTACGCTGATCCTTAAACAGGTAGCCCAAAAGCTCGGGTAAGGTTCCCTTCCAGCTCCAAAGGGGAAATCTAAACCGATGATTGTGATCTCTGGTCGCAAAAGGGCAACATATACACTATCAGGGATCTTGACCAATGCGACGATAGGCTGTCCGTGCTGGTTTTGTGGCGTAGAATTGGGGGAGTCAATCATTGTGACTATCGTTTTCAGCTCAGTAGTTCCTGATGAGGCTTGAAACATCGGCCTAAGAGGGTAAGTATATGTTGGGATCAGGGATGTTCAGGATCGTCTATTCGCGTATATAGCTTCTTGGGGATCGAACTAGTTAGGAGACATGAGTAGTGTACTTTCGATCTTCAGATTCTAGACAGGGCTATGACGACCAATCGCTGCGCCACCGCCCTCGGCTGTATTGGGTGCTATGGAAATTAATGCCCAAAGCTGAAATGCGATCTACCTGGAAGCCACTATTTCGCTGAACTCACGCAGCCGCAGAGTTATGAATACTCAAAGTTGTAGTAGGTACCCTGTTGATAGCTGAAAAGATCTGAAGATAGCACGTGCGGCGGACGAGCCTTCACGGCGTGTCATATCTTCCCACGCCTGCGAACGCCCCTTTTATGTAGGCCGAACAGCCTCCGCCGATCGCAAGACCGCATGCTCCTCCTGGGGTTTGTGGCCTCTTCCAGATGTAACACGGCTGTTATTAGTTGCTCCCTCGGCATCAGTTGACAGTAATCATGGAGAGCAGAAAATCGATATTTGGTACCATGGGAGAATGATGAGGTTTGGAACCATGGTTGGCGACCGTCTCGACCTATCCTGGAAGAATCAATGTAATCACAAACATCTCCGCACTCAAAGTACTCTCACAGAACCAGCGATAGCTCAACTAGGGCGTAGGCGCTTTGAAAATCCTCTTGTTCCCTCGGCCTTTCCGGTCTTCAGATGGACCAGCATGGCAACAATCGTTCCTCTTTGTATCTGGGTTACTCATTGCTTTTTCAACGCCGCACGGAAATTCCATTGCCCAAATTTGGGTTCAATCGGACGGATCGCGTGTCCAGAACCATCAAGAATATCAAAATCATCTAATGCCGATGTGACAGGCCAAAACCTCTTAGACCTTGCCAAGGGTATTATGACGCCATGCGGTGACAAGCTCCTATCACCCGCTGCTAAAACGCCATATACAGATTTGAATGCTTGAGAGGTAAGCGAGGTTTGCGTGGGATCTTGTTATCTCGATCACTGTCATACTACCCATGAGGTCCATGGTCCTTCTCCGTGAGACTTGCGACGAGGTAGTCAGTATCACGTCTACAGACAAGATGGATAGTTCCGGCGGGTGCAGACATACTATATCTCGTTTTAGAAGAGGACATGCTTTGTACATGTTTGTCTTGAACAGAACCTCGGTTGTCCAAACGCATTCACCGCTGGCGACAATCCTTCAAAGGAAACGGCAAGGGATGTCTCGTCTCAGGCGAGACAGAATTCCACTTGACTTTTAGATGTAGGTACACTGGGACATTCCTTCGTTAATTCAAACTGTCATTAAAGGAGCCCGTCTTGTCTATTCTAGCCTGTTTGATCGAGCAGATTCCCGAGTCAAGCTGTCCTTGCCGACTTGAATCACAACGAGCAACTTCCATCGACACCAACCAGCCACGTGCCCCAAGCAAACATCACCCAGTACTCATCGTTTAATTCATCTTTCTCATCCAATCCCATTCCATATTACATCGTATGCTAATTTTACCGTCGCTACTTGCCCCCATTTCACCAAATCAACGTCACTCACTATACATTATCAGCATGTCCAACCCAGCGGAGAGGGTTGTACCTAACAAGCGATCGCGCTCGACTCCCACAGAAGTACCTACTACATCCGCTGATGCCTAGCAGGCCGAAGCTCAGCATGCAGAATCTCGATATGCGATCGACCTGACGGAGGTGACGCCTGCCGATCACGACAACGAGTCGCAGAGTAAAGCAGCGAAGACAATGCTGGAACATCAGACAGGGATTGAAGGGCACAATGTACAAGATAGTGTGCAAGAGCATAGCGATGAAGCGAACACGGCAAATTCACGAAGGTCTTCGGCGTCGACTGAACTTTTGCAGAGCTACTGTAAAGCCCGGGCTGAATTAGGAGGTGATGTTGCAACTACCGCAGAATACGACACATATAGTCAAGGTGAGGGCAGGACCACAGCAGATGCTCACTATGGTATCACACCTATGACATGTGGCAACCTGGCTTCGACATCTCCAGGCACAGCGAATTCTCAACCTGAGGGAGCGCTTCAGAAGCAATCGAATTTAGCTTCTCAGCAGTCTCAATGGGAAGACACGGAATCCGACGGGAGCGATGGCGGAATTCCCCTTACTCAACCTTCCAGCCCAGGTATATCGTATGATGCTCTTCCTGAATCTCACAATGGACAAGCCACGACTCCTGAAGTCGCGATCTCTCCGGCTCAGAATCCTGAAGCGCTCCAGAACGTACTATATTCTTCACTCCTGCAGCGCTTCCCGGAAATTATAGATTCTGACGAGAGTGACGGTGGCATTCCACTTCCTCTGCCTTCCAGCTCAGATATATCATCTCAGCCAGAAACTCTCTCAGAAGCAGATTCAGACGACAATACCGCACCTCAGTCAGAGGCATATTCAGATGACACTGAGCCATCTTTCTTATCGCAAGAAGACTTCTATCTGCAGCCGCAGCCCCCACCGATCCCTTCTCCGTCGGAACCTCTCTCAGAAGCGGGTTCAGACCACAACACTGCACCTCTCTCAGAAGCCGATTCAGACGACAATTCCGCACCTTGGTCAGAAGCCGATTCAGATGACACTGAGCCATCTTTCTTATCACAAGAAGATTTCTATCTGCAGCCTCAGCCACCACCGATCCCTTCTCCGCCAGTATTTTCCCCCTTTGAAAGCGCGGACGAACCAATTCAGCCATCCACCTCAGCACCTCGACCTTCGAATCACGGCCCAAGATTCTCACCCGGTAGAAATTCCGTCGTGGCAATTGCAATTCCTCCTCCCGTAGGCCACTCGGAATGCTGCCAACAAGCAGGCTGGAACGTGCTACAAAACATCAATCACCGGCTATACCGTATGGGTATAAGTCTGTTCTTCAAAGATCAGCCGTTGAGCGGCTCGGCGTGCGAACGTTGTCGGTTGCTGGCACGGCCGTGCAATCAGAGCTTTGGGTTGCCGTGTGTGAGCTGTCAGAATGACGGGAAATTATGTATCTTTTAGGTGGGAAGGATTAGTTGGATCGCGGGGAAGCCGGCTTTGTGATGGACGGTCTCTCCTTGCTTGAGGTCTGATGCATTCAAGTTAGGAGGATGATTTGCCAGATAAGACCGCATTGTCTGATATCTAGTTAATGCGGCCTTCTTGGGCTGGTTATTAGGTTGATGTTTATTCTTTGGAACACCTCTGTTACATTGCTCCACTTCTCCATAGTATTGACTTCTCGCACGTGGATGTAAATCATAACTTCACAAATCCCATCAGCCTCCACTATCGCAAGTTATACCGAATGCCAGATACATATATAACGAGTTTGATGATCTTCGGCTATTGCTCTACCCCGGCTTTGCTCCGCATTTAGCTCGGTGGCTCGTAGTTAGCCTACACTACCCCACACTCTACGAACCGCAAGGCCCGGAAAACCACATCCACAAAGCTGAAATTCAACCACTCACATCACCATCTTGACCGCAATTTTCGTTCTATTACTACCCTAGGGGCTTTGAGCTCTGGATTTACTGGGCCGGTTCGATTGAGAAGGGAATGCATCATCCAGCTGAGGTCACAGCTACTTGTCAGTTCCTATGATCAATGTATATAAGATGTTGTGCAGGGGCGTTGGATAAACCGGATGCCCCTGCGTGTGATTACCTTCTGGCAAGAACACACTTCCTATCATGGCGACGAGCAACGAGAAACAAGAAGTCCAGCGAACCTCGAATGAAATATCCAAAACATCCAACAGTTTAAGGGAGAAGGATGCCGAGGACCCGATGGCTGGCTACCTTCCCCGAAGTGATGAGGAATACAATGTCACCTTGAAAACATGGTGTGTCGTTTCTGTAGGTGGACAGTACCTGATCTCATTGGGAGTTATGGCTCATACATTCGTAGATTCTGGCGCTTTCCTATGGTATCAGTTTCTGGATAGTGCCTTCGCTCAGTGCTTGCGCTGCCGTTGTTGCAGCTCAATTGGGCGATCCTACCAAGGCCGCATGGTATGTCTCTCTATATACCGTAAGTCTCCAACCCAATAGGCTTCAGCTATCACACTGACATCGCATAGATGACTGTAACTATCGCTTTCATGTACGTCGTCTTTTCTTCATGCGTCCGTAAGTCGTCTCATCTCATCTTCCCAGGGTATGCGGAGCCAATAGCGACCTGTTCGGCCGCCGATGGTTCATCGTGGGTGGAAACGCCATACTCTTCGTTGGTTTCATTGTCGGAGGCTCCGCAAAGAACAACACAACGATGCTAGCGGCCATGTCACTCATTGGATTCGGTGCTGGCAATGCCCAGCTTGCCGCATTCGCTCTTCCAGAACTTCTACCCAACAAGTGGCGCGCTGCTGCAATCGTATTTGCAGATATCGGAGTCTACTTTGCTGTCCTTGTAGGTCCAGTAGCTGGGGCATTCGCAGCCCAAAGTGCTGATACGTGGAGATGGCTCTTCTACGCACCCGCAATTGCCGTCTTCTTCAGCTTCTTGGGCCTGTTCTTCTTCTATTACCCTCCGAAACACCCAAGAGGCCTTCCCACCACCCAGGCGCTAAAGGAGCTCGACTACATTGGCGCTATCCTATTCATTGCATCTGCGACTCTTATCCTCGTTGGAATCGTTTACACGACTACGCTTCCGTCAAAAGATCCGAAAGTCATCGGAACGCTTGTGAGCGGCTTCACAACCCTAGTCGCATTTGCTCTCTGGGAGACTTTTGCACCGCTCACACAGCCTTTAACACCAACTCATGTCTTTACGCGGGACAAGGGGCGTGAGCTCACTGCACCATTCATTGTTGGTTTCGTGGTAACCATGTTCTACTACGCAGTAAACATCATATACCCCACACAGATTGCTACGCTGTTCACAGACGCAACGACAGACTACAAGTACCGCATCGTGCTTGGACTGCCGGGAAACTTAGGTGAGTTGAGACTATGATCGCATACTAGTCATCAACTAACAAGTATCAGGTCTCTGCTTTGGTGCCCTCCTTCTTACAGTATTTGGTCACCGTATCGGTCACTGGAAATGGACACTTACTGCGTCCGTCACGGTTATGGTCGTTTTTGGCGCTTTGCTTGCTCTCGGCAATCCCCAGCGCAAGGGCATGATGATTGCCTTCGTACGTACTGTTCATAAACCCAACTCCGTGACAAATGATCACTAATTTCCCACCTATCTTTTATAGGTATTCCTCTGCCAAGTTGGCTTCGGGTGGGCACAGTATCTTTCCATTGCATTCATCCAGTTTGGTGTGCCGCAAGTCGAACTCGGTATCTCCGGTGGCCTCGCTGGTGTATCACGCTTTGCTGGCGGTGCAGTTGCAATCTCCGGTACGTAGTAGAGAGATATACCTTCTACTTATGTGAACGTCAATCGCTCACGAAGAACTTACAGTGTATCAAACCATCCTCACAAACGTGCAATCCTCCAAGACCCTCGAACTCGTCCCAACCGCCGCTACCGCAGCCGGCCTTCCCTCTTCCTCAGTCTCCGCGCTCCTCGCTGCGTTGCCGCTCGGGGCCACGGCCCTCGCAAAGGTGCCTGGAATCACCAATGAGATTATCGCTGCGGCTGGTGCGGCATTTCAACAAGCGTATGTAGTCGGTCTTCGAACCACTGCGCTGAGCTCTCTTAGTTTTGGTATTCTGGCTATTATTGCTTGCTGCTTCTGCAACGATATTGGGCCGAAGATGGATAATAAGATTGAGGTTTTCTTGGAGAATGATGAGAACGCGGAGAAGAATAGATATCATTGAGTAGGTAGCCCGAGTCGTTGGAGGCTCTGTGGCATGTTGTAATGGCTATAGAGGCCGACGCGACGAAAGGCATAATGGGTCACCTGTCTTTTGTCTGCTTTCGAAGTCACCATTCAGCAAACGACCAATATACGATTCTTGATTGTGACTTCTATGCTCATTCCCTTGTTGAAAGATGCGCCAACTAGTCTTATTGTCTCTCGTTCTGAAGATTTATGCCTCCTCAGTGAACTCAGTATACTCGCTCTTGCTCATCAGCTTGCCCTTCGGCTCCTCCACGACGGTGATCTTCGCAATCCACGCATCGCCCTCTGGGTCCTTGTTGATCTGCGCGGGCTTGTTCTCAAGATCCGAGTTGACTTCCGCGACCGTACCGCTGATGGGAGTGAGGATATCGGAAGCCGACTTTACGGACTCAACCGCGCCGATTGCGTCGCCCTCGCTGACCTCCATTTCGACCTGTGGGAGCTCGATGTATACGACGTCGCCGAGGGCCTTGGCTGCGTATTCGGAGATACCTAGTGTGCCTGTCCCATTGTAAGCCCTGATCAATTCATTTGTACAAATTGTAGGTCGCGAGAATAAGACACCAAGTGTGAATGCGGGGATTGGAGTTGAGCATACAAGTCTTGCCGTCCGCAGACATCTCAATCCACTCATGGTCCTCAGTATACTTCTTCTCCTTCACTACGTCTTCGTCAGCCGTTTGTCCCATCCCTCAATTGCTCCTCCAACATTTCGAACCTACATGCGGCAGATACCGAGAATAGCCGTTGCGCCTGGCTTGCCTGCTGCCATCGCTGGCACACAAACGGCGACGGCTTCCTCGCAGCAGCGGAAGTTAATTGGCGCGCAGCGCGGGCAACAGAGTATCGAGCAGCCATTTCGTTAAATCGTGTGTGGGAGAAGTAAGGATTCAAAGTTTGGAGTCCGGGGAGCTGTGGTGGGATTATGATGTTGCCAAGGCGCTGGGGTAGCTCCCGAGTCGCGGAAAGGTTGCCGGCATTCGAATACTTTTCGCGACGGAGAGTCAAGACCGCGACAACACACCAAGAGCTAGGCAAGATGTTGTACGAGATGATAGGAGTGGTATGTTCTATATTGCAATGCTGCCTAGAATAAATGCTGATGGACATAGGTTCGGCCTGGCCGCCTCTCCGAAGTAAAAGAGTAGTTCCACCCTCTCGTCACCCCCAAGTTCCATACCTCCACGCTCGCTACAGCCTTTAAGACGTATCCTGACACTATAACTAGAATCGCAAAGACCGCCGGGAAAATCGTCCTCGATCAGCGTGGCGTCGTCCGCGGCGTCTCCAACTGGGGCACCTTCCTCCTCCCCAAACCCACAAAAAAACTGCAGTCGACACACCACTACGGCCACCACTTCATCCTGCGCTTCGATGCAAGTGCGCGCGCACAGCATTCTCTACGGCGGACAATGAGTTTGGATCCGCGGCTGATCAGGTACTCGATTGTGAAGATGGGGACCAAGTTTGAGGAAATAAAAGATATACCTGGGACGGCTAGCTTCAGATGAGGGTCATAGGGAAAGGAATGGCGAATTAGGTTTTGTGAAGGGAGGAGAGAAGAGTGGATATGTATATTGGGTGTATAGACAGGAAAGAGAAATACTGCATTGCGCGCGGCGTTACGGTTGAGCTCTGGAATAAGCTACTTGTACAGACGCTGGAGGAATTGGACGAAATTTTACCCACAAGGGCTTTCAATTCATGACTTCTCCTATTGCGTGTTGTTGGGCTAGATGTTCGGCTCACAATACCCCATCGTCTCGCAAGTGTACCAAGCCTCCAGATAGGCGCACAGGATCCTCACTACTAAACAGATTTCTGGCGAGGATGGTCGATCATGAGTTGCTCTACTGCTTATTGCAGCTGCTTTTAGTTCAAATACACGTTATATGCTCTACTATGCGCAAGCTGAATCGCTACTTTGTTTATGGCGACCTGCTCAACTAGCGCTGTAAAATCCACTTTAGGACTATGAAAACATATTTGGCCGTGCCTTCTTCAGGCTCGATGAGTCTTCATACTGCAAATATGGTCAGCTTGAGGCCCAGTCCTTAAGAAGTAAAGGTGAGCTTACCTGTAAAAACCCAGTAACATCTACTAATATCGTCCAACAATCTACAAGGTCTACTAGATCTTGTTGTGTTTCCGCATGCTGACCCGCACCAACGTTGACACTCCTTTTGAATATGGATACCATACTATGCCTGTTCTCCTTCAGGAACTCTCTCGCCTGCCAAACCGTCTGATCGTTCTGCCTCCCCCTCGCAATGACCGCTGCATTAATCACCCTTAGCACCGCGAGCATCAGTTCGTAGTACTTTCGAAGCGCATTGGGATCATCAAACTCTAGACCAATATCGGGGTCAATGGAGAATATATGCGAGTCACGGATGGCAGGGAATAAGCCAGCATTGAGTACGTATGCCGCGCCAAGACGGGACTGGCATATCCGCAGGAGCAGGGCGAGACTGGCATCGTAGTAGGACAAGAGGATGGGGACTTGTGGGGCGGCTGCTGCACGAAGTTCTTCGGGTATGTGTTTGATGTTGTCAACTAAAACGCCCACGAAGTTGAGCGAGACGAAGGTTTCGAGAATATATTTCGACTGCTGCTGGGTAGCAACTGCTACTAGGGCGTTCAATAAGAGAAGAGCGGAGACTTTGCAGGTGCCTTGGCCGCTGTATGCATCATCGGAAACGACTTCAAGGAGATGGCTGCCGCAGTTCTTGATCGTGCTGAGGGTGTGTCGGCCGAGGAGAGAGTTTGTTGTCGCTTTGTTCGAGGTGCCGTGAATGTAGCGGAAGCAGATCTGATAGCAGTACTCCCGCAGCTCAGCGGTAGATACTGTGCTGTAGATGCCTGCAAGGGCAGCACGGAACAGTTGAGACAATCGATCATTCGCAAAATCTCCCGTCTTGTCGAAAGCGGTCGATTCAAAGTCAATCTTCTGGATGAGAGATTCGGCAAGTGTGATAAGTTGCATAGCAGTGAAGATATCGGTGTTGTAGGACTGCTCAAGCTTTGGTAGAATGACTTGTAACGTCTGCAGTATAAACGAACTTCGGGCGCCATTCTCAAAATCGCAGTTCTGTACGGCGACCATGACCACCTGGACCCATGACTGCAGAATCTCTTTGTGATAGCGGAGGAGTTGCGCGCGGCGATTCCAGTCAGCGAAGATTGCCATGAGTAATTCGGCCTGTTGGGCCAGTTCCTCCTCTAGAGCTACCTCGGTGATCAAGCCCTCTTTGCGCCAGAGTTTCAACTTCAATCGGATGACCTGTTCAAGCAAGGGTAAAGAGTACAGTGTGCTGCCTTCCTTCTCTACTTGACAAGACGAGAGGTTGACACCCTCAAAGAAGCGATGCTGATCCGGTAGACTGCGCTCGGGGTAGGCAAACTCGATGAAGTCGAATAGGTCAAAGATATTCGGGTTGGGTGCGGCATCTTCACCTGGTCGAATAGTGGTGCCGAGTAGAACTGATTGTATCCTTGACTTCATAGTAGGCATATTATCTTTGACTGTCAAGCGTAGCTCTCTTGACTCGTAATCCAAGAATGCCACACGTCGTTGGAGGATATTCTGGAGGGCAAGCGCTGGAGGTCCGGCAAAGAACTCTGAAAACTCGCTCGTCGCAGCCTCAAGTCCCTGGGCAAGAGTTACACCTTCCCAAGGAACGTCAAGGGTGATCGGGGCCAATCGAGGCGCCTCAATGAACAGCAGCTCGTTCTCCCGAAGCTCGTCCATGACAACGGCTGAAGTCAGTGGTGAACGCCACAACTTTTGCAATACGTCCCAACATCGTGTCTTGAGTGCTGATCTCCAGGCCGAAAATTGATCTCCATCATTGTCCGGGTACTCTACTCCTAAGAGAAGAATGTTGTGGAAGAGAGCTTGTCCATTGGCCCATAGACTGTCATCAGCGATACGGACTGTATTAGTACCGCACGAAAAGCCCAAGAGGATATGGGCTATTGTTGGCCTGAGAGATACCGCAGCAAGGCAACTGTTGAGAAAGTCTAGCACGCGTAGCTTGACAATGTACCCAGAAGCTTCCTCGCCAGCCTCGAGTTCTTCAGCATTGAAACGCATCAAGCTTGAAAGAGATCGACCAATGCGTTCCGCTTCGTTGTCCTTCTCTAGTATCCCCACAATCTTGCTTCGTCCAGATCGCTGTCCGAAGCCAGCCGGCGAGACGGCTAGCTTTCGGGACGATGCCATCTTCTCAAGGAGCTGGAGTGAGGCAATAGTCAACGCCTCATGGCCGGTACCGCAGTACAAGCCAAGGTCGACGATGATCTGTAAGTTATTTAGAATTGCATCTTCGAAGGAGGCAAGCGATAGGTTTGAGACTGGTGAATGTTGTAATGAGGGCTGCTGTTTGAGGACAGGTCTCACAATGTCGAGATATGTAGCTTGCAGCTTCATCACCAAATCCATTAGCTCAATGCTCAGCATCAACGATTGCACCAATGGCGAGTCTGATGGAGCCGCGTCTACCTCGTTGACATCTTGATGCGATGCAGCGAAGAGAGCCTTGAGGACGTTGTCGTTGAACAGCCACTCCATGATACGCGTGAAAGGATGCAAAGAGACGTAAACAGCCAAAGAAGAGGAGTCGATGATCGCGTCGACTGGTATGCTAGACTTGTTCGCGAACACGACAAGGTTCTCATTGAACGTGGAGAGACACGTTACCATAAAACGCAAGCACGTCCATCTCATGACGTTGCGTTGTAGCGGGTCGAGGACTTCTTGTGAACGTTCTGCAAAGACTTGTTGCATGACAAAATCAATATACCCTTCGATGCCCGGCATCCTGCGTGACGAGCCCAAACCTTCCGGAAATGGTAGGCTGTCGTTCAGGCCTTCGTTCTCTGGATAAGGCTCCACGAGCGAATGAAGGAACCGTACAAGGGCTATGGATTCATCGTACCCATCTGCCAGCGTGGCCCATAAGTCATCGCGCGGTACAGCTCCTAGTGTGTTACTCTGCTTGGATCCGGCGTAGAAGCCGTTCACGGTCCAGTCATCGAAGATGTGCCACATAGCACTCGCTCGCAGGACGTCTTTGCCTACAAGCAACGCGGAGAGAGCATCGAAGGCAGCTGCGCGAAGTCCACTCTCGACCTTGTCCGTGCATAGACCAAAGCAGATGTTGGCAAAATCGTATTCCTTGAGATCCAGTATCCAAGTGCGCGCAGTCAAGCTCTGTCGACATATATGCGCGAGAAGACGTAGGTAGCTTTCCAGCATAGTCGCGCTCTCAGGCTCCACGATTTGGTCCACGGGATTTGTTGAAGGCGCATATACGTTGCCTTGGATGGTTTTTTTCGGCTCATGAATGTCTTTCTCAAACTCTGTCAACTCGTTGAAGATGTGCGTGTAGCTGAGTGAGCTTGTCCGCCGAATCTTACCCGAGGAGGCTGTACCCTCCTCAAGTAAAAATCGATGCGCTGAGTCTGGGTTCGTTCCTCCAGTGGAGATCGCTCGTAGCATCTCGCAGAACATGGCGATGCGAGGGGTAGGCTGACGCTTGGCTGCCCACTGTAGAAACCCGTATAGATTACTCTCTCTGTCGCTCCAGAAGTCCTCTGCCGCATCAGCAAACCCATCGAAGGCGAAGGCTACAATAACCATGAATCTTTCCAGGTGGAGTGGGTACTCTCCCGTTGAATTTTGAAAGTGCAGTTGCAGCCGTCTTCGCTGGTCGTCCTCTTCAACTTTAAGTCTTCGTAGTGTGTCTGGCATATGAGTGATGAAAGAGTCGACGAAAGTTTGAAGCTGCTCCATGATGAGGACCTTGAAAAACTCTTCGGGCTGCGCTGACTCTGGGCCTAAGACTGGAGTATCCTGTAATAACGTCGATAGCATGCTCGTCTTCTGCGGGTCATACCAGCGGGTCGGTCGCACATCCTGGCTAAAGGAGAGCATAAAATGGAAAGCACCGTCGTTGAGTGCTTTGAGGAAGATGTCAGATCGAGTAGTGGCTTCCCCATCGAAATCGATGTTTTGCATCGCTGGATCTTGAGTGTTGGGGTCAACATATCGTCCGCTGTACTCTGCCAGCCACCAAGTTAACAGTGAAGAATGCAGGTTCCTCAAGGTCCAGTTGTCGTTCTCCCGTCCTGCCATTAGAGAGTCGTGCAGCGCTCGCGCATCCTTTAATGTGACATTAGTCTCCGACGCTGCCCAGGACGTGAGCCGGATGAGCATAGGGATGTAATGAACGGTGATGAGATCGTGCCGGTCAAGAGTTTTCGCTCTGGAAAGCAGTGTCTTGTAGTTGTCGAGATTCACATATCCGGCCTTGATCATGTGCGTGCATATTGCGGCCAAATTTTCGTGCTGCCTCGTCAGACTCTGCTGCTGGAAAGCCATTATCTCAACAAAGCCTGGCAGAGGGACCTGGCCGACTACGTGAGTGCTCTGGACGCGCTCTGCGATGAATTGCAGCCAATTCTCTATTGACTCCATGCTCACAAGACATTTAGTCCAGAAGCCATATGCATTCGCCAGATTTGAGCCGCCTTCCACGCCCACGATGATCTGTACGGCCATCTGCAGCGCCTGCATGCCCTCTACTTCAGAGTCGCCATTGTCCAGAGCGGTCTTCATCAGAATGCGCAGACAAAGGAGCACATATTCGCGGCGACGGTGGAAGCGTATTACGGCAGTCTGCAGCTGCGATCGATCGAGCTCTTGGGCTTCAATTTCGGCGCCTAGGAAGAGAGCGGCGGCGTCTAGCTCGTCGAGGTCTAAGGCATCTGCCAGCTCAAGCGTCTGCTGCTTGAAGTCATCGTTGACCTCATATTCGTTGTCGTTGATCTTGATCTTGCCTGGCGCAGTCAGTACTTGTCTCTGGTTCCTTCTTGTAGCAGTATTACCAGAGCCCAGCGTCTTCCTACTCGCATCGTTCTTTGGCTTCTTGTCTAACAGCGTCTTCAACTCGTCCAGATGCGCCTCCAAGTTCTGCAGCAGCCTCTCTAATACAGGCAGCTGCAGGTCGATGTGCGCGCAAAGGTCGCGATGCAGGCCCTGGAGGGCGGCGAGGCTGTCGTCTTCAGCCATGGAGATTTCGAGTGGCGGAGATGCGCATCATGTGCCGGAACAATGGGCGGAGGGGCGGGCAGGTGAGGGCGTGTTTGGTTGGTGTTTTCTTTAGTAACAATGGAGCTTGACTTTAGAACGCGATGAAGCTTGGACCATCGAACTTCGCAGCGTATCACCTCTAACAGGAGCTCAGCACAGCTTTCGTCTTCTTTACGAGTTACTGGAGACCTCGAACGAATTGCGACGAGTACGACAGGTCGATCAAGGTATACAGGACGTCTTCAGTCACTTGCTGACCTACACGGGAAAGACGCCAAAACTGATTCTTACCCGGGATATCTCGCTCGACTGGTGAATCTCCGCAAGAGCTCCGCACCCGCCGCAACTAAAGGAGAGAAGGCCACTGCGATCTTAGGACGGTCGCATGATTTCTGCGACTATGTCTGGCTCATAAACCTGCGCCAATTATCCTTTCGCGCTGGCAATGACCCATTTCCCTCGCACTTGTTCTCAGACGGCTAGGCACTGCAAACGGATGCCAGCATGGGTGCAACAAACATACAGGATGCGAAACGTAAGGCTTTCTTGTTGTACTATAGTATGACTGTACTGACACATAGTAGTCCTTATCCAGTCTTCGCGCGTGCTTGACCGTACAGCCGGCCTAAAGGACCTCGTTCATATCCTCAAGCACAACCGCGGGAAGCCCAGCCTCGAGGCTCTTGGCAATAAAGCCTATCTAGCACTCTGCGAGACTCTTTTCCAATGTATACGAGACGAGCGGTCGTCGTTCCTCCGCAGCAAATCCAAGTCAGCCAGAACTGCCGCGCTTCTTCCCCTCTCGGCCTCAGCATTGCGCCATGTCATTGCCTCCGGCGTGCGAACGATCAAGGGCTCCACCGTAGAGCTCATCATAGACACCATAATCGAGGTACTTCCGGGACAGGATGGCCTAATCAAGCCTCTACTCGAAGAAATTCCCAAGACACTACGATCACTGCTCGAGTATCAGCCGCACGTCGAGCGTCTCTCCAAAGACTGCTGGGACGCTGCAGTCCACTTTTGTATCGATTCATTGGCAGGAATTGTTGCTGAGCCGGAAGTTGAGCCGCAGGACAGCTGGAGTACTAATGTTTCCAGTCGAGCCCGAACCCCGCTTGAGCCTACAGATGTGACCCTGCCGAGAGCCAGCCCTCGAATACCAGTAACGAGAACCAAGACAGTCTCCGATGAGTATGCTCACTCAATAGAAGATTTTGTACACTGTCTTCATCTACTCGTCAAAGCTTCAAATGCCCCATTGCTAGACAAAGCCAAGGACGTCTTGAGCGCATTGCTGCAGTTCCTACAGCGAAGGACCGGGCGTGGTAATATCGCTGCCGCCGCGCTTGCTGCGATCAATTCGGTCCTCGCTCGAACAACACTACAATCACTTGAACTTACCAAGCGTACCGTGCAAGAGCTCCTTCCTTTGATGAAGTCCATGTGGTCTGAGCTTATAACTAGGGAAGAGATAATGATCACTCTGATGCATACTGAAGCACACATCTCGAGTCTTCTAGCTGACCCCGAAGATGAGACCACCCATCTAGATCTTGAAGCGCTCGTTGAGGCTATCTATGGCGACTACCGACGCAGACATGAGACGACGGCGCATCAATATCTTGAAGAAGACCACCTTTGCTTTCGGCATTTGGGTCGAGCTAACCAGGATACACATCCTCTGAACACTTGCGCATTCTCTATGGAGACAGAGCATCAGCGTTTTGAGGGATTGTGGAGTATCGTGTCTACTATTGCACGCTTCTCATTCATGCTCGATGGAAGGAGGCAGACCATCACTCTCGACCATAGCGACATAGAAGAGAGTACTAGCAAACGCCTCCGTGTCACTCAACTCTTCCCAGAATACCTTCGCCACGTCCTTGTACCTAGATCCAATGCTAAACGGGCAGCGCTACAAGTCGTCGCTTTTATGGTCCAAGAAGGGCCCGTTGACGAAGATGGTCTTCTATCAATGTTGGAGAAGCTCATTTCATGTATTTCTGACGAAAACCCTGTGCATTCGGTATGGGCAATGATAGGTTTGGCTGGGTGAGTTCAACTTGGTTGTGAGGGCGATAGCATCTAATTCTTGATTAGGGCTGCACTTCAACCGTCTGCAAGGCACGCGACTCTTCTACCATACTGGATCTCTGCTTGGCAAAGCGCTTCTCGCGCCGTCACGTCTATTTCGATATCCCGTGCGGCGTGTCATCTCATGGACGTTCTCCTCAGACTCGGCATTGTGCCTTTCTCCGCTGTTTCGGAAACTGTTCAGTCCATGCTAGTATCGATCGAATTAAGCGGTCCTGCGCTTCTCACAGAAACAAGTTCGTCTTTGTTGACCACCATCATCCGAGAGCGAATCAAAGAGAACCCAACACATTTTAACTCTACGGCAGAAAGGATCCTAAATTGGCTTCTTAACAAGTGGACTCCTAGTAAGTTCTCTGGTGTTGAAGACATCAATCCTTCTAACTTCGTTCAAGGTCTCTGGTCCGAGCGGACTTACTCCTCACTCAACGCGCACCACTGCAACGCCCGCGATGTGCTACGCGTTCTTTATGCCTGTCTAGACAGGCCTTTTGGTGTGGCAACATCAGCGCCTTTCCTAGTGTTAGGACCCATCGCACAAGCCAGAACGCGAAATGTTCGTTACAAAGACCTAGCACAGTACCTTTTGCTTCTTGATACCAAGGAAGAACATTTGGTTCAGGCGAAGGCTTCACAGGCCAAACCAACCGAGGTCGTTTCCGAACATCATCCCACGCAAATAGAAAACAGGATCCTCGACTTCTGTCTCTCTGAACTGGACAAAGCGAGGCATCGCTGGAAGGACATGGGTTCCACCAACGGTGCGGGCATAACATCAGACATGATGCGCATCGTCACTAATTTGTGCATCGTTGCGCCTGCTATCGCGACCTTGGCCGACCCTGACGATCATCGCGTCTCCACTTTGGAGTCCTCGGTCACTAGCTTGAGCAAATCCTTTGTCAACAACCTGACCAAGCCCCAAACCGAGCAGTACAAGATCGATGCTGTACTCGTAACCTGTACCAAAAGTCTTCCTGATATTAGCAACTTACCAAATTTGACTTCCGATGTTTTCAAACAAGCAGGCGTTTGTGTGCTTTCTCAGCACCTCTCGAAAGCACTTGGCGACCGCAGAGAGGTCAAACAGTCATTATATGTGGAAGATGAGGATTTCATGGATGTTGATGATGATGAAAACTCGCAAATGACTGTGGGTCAAACTGGCTCTGAAGTCGATGTTCCGCGACACGATGTGCAAGCAGAAAGCGACGCATCCGCTTTGCGTGCTTCGTGCTCAGCGTATTTGCATTTGGTCTCTTCGATCGCGGATAGCACCGCAATGGAACACCATCAACTTCCTTCGAAATTCGTGGATTATCTGATCGCCCTTCACGAGAGCGAACTTCTTCGATCCCGTCAGTTTTTACGCGCGCTCTGGAGCAGTGAGCTCAAGATATCACGAAGCGACTGTCTGAGTCTTCTAGAACGGTTCAGTGAGGCTCTTATTGATCCCCGCGCACGTGAATACAACACGTCTGAAGTCGCCAATGGTATGTTAGTAGAGGTTTTGATAGGCACTGCGCTTGTCTGGGTCCCTGATTCGACCGATCGAGAGGGTCAGGATCTCTATGAAAACGTTGAGGCGTTATATGCGTACTACGTCAAGGAGATGGAGAAAGGAGGAGTCCGAAGATCTGCGAATTTACAACAAACTATCGCTACCTTCCTACAAGGACTTCTCAGGCACCACCCGGATTTCGGTCAAACCCGCAGGGTTCCTTCGGTACGGACTAGTCTTTTTGAACTTCTGTCACGAGGTGAAATGACTGTGAAGTATCACATCGCCGAGCGCTTACCAAGAATGTTCGAGGATTTTGTACTATCCGAGCACAATAAGATCTTGCAAGACGTTGACAGCAGCTTACCTGGCAATGATGATGGCATTGAAGGCATTGCGGTCCGATTACTCGTGCTGTCCAAACTGGCGGCCCGATGGCACACCCTTCTACGCCAGAGCATCTATCGTATTTTTGCGACAGCGGGCGCCGTATCAGGAGCTGCGTGGCATGCCAAAGTCTGCATCTCCAATGTCGCTCACGCGAGAGGCCTTGAGAACTCACAGTGCCTATTCCGTCTCTTCGCACCCCAGATCATCTTCACTTGGTTGGATCGAGAACGAAAGATCGCTGATATACCGTTTCTGACATTTGGCTACACGACGCTCCTAGACCTTCTGCAAGATATCGAAGCTGAAGCAGTGGGACAGGCTATGATGCTTGGCCTGAAGGGTGAGGTGGAATACCTAGCAAGTCAATTAGGAGCCACAGCACCAGAAATCCTGTCAAAGAATATCGGCAAGGCGGCCGCATACACAATCGCATGGGACACGTGTAGAGGCTTTGCTAGAAACAAGGCTGCGCCAAGCTTCGCTAATTTGCTAAAGGAGATGATCGGGGCCGATAAATACTACGAATTGGTACAGAAACACTTCCCTCAAGTGCTAGGGCAGATATTTCAGACCATTGATCACGAAGAACGCATCAGTAACTCTTTGGACAAGAAACCACCCTTTAATGCAGCAGCGAAACTGATCACGGAGATGACCAGAATTAGCCACTCGGCACAAGGTCTCGACATCGGCATCGAGCCTTCGTTCTCCGCCTTCTATCTACCAGATCAATTGGAACGTTTATGCCGGCGGACAGCGGACGATCCCGCGAGCTTCTGGACACCGAGTAACTACACATATGTGATGCGATCTCTTCTCGATCGCATACATCCCGCTCTGGGCTCACTTTTCGCTCGATCTATGATTCGTAAAATCCGGATTGTGGTTGCTCTTGCCGGGCCAATAGCTTATGAAGGCTACCCACTTCAGATGACACTCCAATCCTTGCGCCCTTTTCTTACCGATGTGCAGTGTGCAGAAGATACAGTAGGAATTATGCAATATCTCTTTGAGCATGGTTCCCAATATCTCCGACAGCATCTCAGTTTCATCACAGGCATTGGACTGTCAATTCTTATCTCTGTCCGAGTATTTTTAGGCTCATCCCAGGACAGCACGACCCAGCAATCACAACACGTGGCGACCATGAATGCAGCGAACCGATTCCATACTTGGCTCACTGAGTACCTCAAGAACCATGCGCATGCGATCACTACGACCGAACGATCATCTGCTGTAAAGGCCTTCAGGCTCATCACTACCGCCGCCTCCCAAGTCAATGCGGAAGGCAATTCTATTCGTGGTAGCGAAGAGAGCAAGCTGCTCCTTGAGATATTAGACGATGCAAAGTCGGGTCGCAAACTCCTCAACAAAACGTCTCGCGAAGTTGCGCTCGATCTACTTTGTCAAAACTTCAAGCCTGCTCCATCGGCCCGCGACGACGTTCTAGGTCGCGACATCGATGCCGCTGAGTATGCGCCCCTCGTTTGGGAATCGTGTCGAAGGAGCAATGTTGGTGACGGTTACCTGTTGTGGACAGCAAGGGTACTCGGTCGCGCATTTAGTGCTCACGGAGAAGTAAAGAGAAACGCTACGCAACACTTGCCATGGGCTTCATTGGGACAATCATCCAAGGACTCGCTCGGGAAAACGTCAAGAGAGGCAATTGTTCGAGAAGTCATAGATCTATTCTACAGCGACAACCGTAGCGAAGTTAGCCTGGCAGAGGATGTTATTAGACGCTTGGTTTCTCGTCTCTCCGATGCAGATTCCCAATATATTGCAGAAATGCACCGAGTTATTCCTGAAGCCATTGGGAAAGCACTTGGCCTCTACATGCCTCAAGACTCAGAGCTTCTACCATCCCCAGAAGGGCTCAGCCAGGCAGTCTCACCAACCAGCACCAAGGCCGTGACCACCTGGATTAGAGACCTTGCGATTGCGTTATGTAGAGGTTCCGCAAATGAACCCATACTCAGCGCGCTTCCCAAATTTCTTCTAGGAATTGACCACATGGCTGGAAAGCTATTACCGTACATCCTGCATCTTGTACTGCTGGATGAGTTTGACGGAGACCGTAATGTCCGCGACATCATGTCGGACGCAACAATGAGGTGGTTCCGCGACTGTGACACTACGACAGCACCATACGTTCGAATTCTCATTCAATCCATTCTTCATCTCCGCAGTCAGCCAGTTCCAACGGAGGTCACAAGAGTGGATCGGGACCGCTGGCTCGAAGTAGATTTTCTGATCGCCTCACACGCCGCGAACGTCTGCAGTATGTACAGATGTGCTCTGTTATTCGCAGAGACATCGTCTGGTCAATCAATAGTCAAAAACAGTACGAGGCGCACTTCTGTTCTAGTGGATCCTCCTCGTATACCGCTAGAACTTCAGCTTTCCATCTACAAGAACCTTGACGAGCCCGACTCTTTTTATGGCGTTGACCGAGGATCAAGTCTTTTGTCCGTCGTGGACCGTCTCGATTACGAAGGAGATGGTGTCAAAAGCCTTTTATTTCGTGGCGCTCGACTCGACAGCCAGATGCGCCGACTCAATGAGTTCGAGCCACCAGATACCCGGGGTACAGTCAAGTCACTCATCATGCTAAACATGAACAGCGTTACACATTCTCTGCTATCGAATGGCCAGTTCCGGGATATAGGGGACGATATCGTTGAAAGCACTCTTCACACAGCGCGCAAGCTTGGGCATTGGGACATCAAGGCCCCAGAAGTGAACCACACCGAGTCCAGCACTCTTTTCAAAGCGTTCCAGGGGCTACATTTTGCCAAAAGCGCAACAGAGGCCCAAGAGAACTTTGATCGCCAGCTTTTAGTCACGATGGGCTTCCTATCGGGAAGGAATAGCTCTTCAGTGCCTACAAAGGTTCGCTTGCGGACGTTGGGAGCTCTGACAGAGGCGGACGAGATTATTAGAGCCGAACGGTCGGAACATCTTCTTGATACCTGGGACCGCATGAAAGCTCGGGAGAAGTGGATGCGAGCCGGCGAGTGAGTGAACATTTGCTACATCTGGTGATCTGACCAATGCTTACCTTGCCCAGATTCAACGACGTGCGCCAACTTCTTTCTTGTCGCGAAACGCTTTTCAATGTACTTAGCTCAAACGCTGTGCTCGTAGACTCGCTACGCGTAAGGACCGCGACTGTTCGTGGTATGGAAGTCGAAGCTCTTGTCTCATCTTCCACCGTCTGCCGGAAGCACGGCGCACTTCAAGAGTCTTTAGCCAGCGTAACATACCTTTCTGACATTGTGCCGGAATGCAAGTCTATAGGGCTCGACATTGATGCCACAGCTCAACATGAAGTGGCCAATGTTCTGTGGGAACAAGGCGAGACTGAGATATCAATACGCATGCGACAGCATCTCATTGATCATGCCGACTTTGACTCTCAGAACATAGATCTGAGTCTGCCTGTGCTACTCGCAAGACTCGTGAGTATTCCTAGGGGCGCGGCAATTCACTAATGCTAACAAAAGCAGGGTCACCATTTGGCTGAGGCTCGCCTTGCAAAGCCTGACACTATAATGCGAGACTATCTCGAGCCCGCGATACGCGAGCTGAAGGGTCAGAAGCAGGGTTCTGGTCCAGGTCAGGTCTTCCACGAATTCGCGCTCTTCTGTGACAAGCAGCTCCAGAATCCAGAAGCTGCGGAAGACATGGAGCGTATCAAAACCGTTATGGATCGGAAGTTACAAGAGTTCCACGAGTTCACAAAACTCTCCAAGACAGACAAAAGCAAAGGCATGCGAGACACGTATCATCGGAGCGCTCGAAGAGCGAAAGGCTGGTACGACCTTGACAATGCTGAATACGAGAGGATGCGGAAGGGCCGTGAACAATTCTTGCGACAATGTCTGGAGAACTATCTCTTGTCATTGTTCGCCAGTGACGAGTACAACAACGACGCCCTCCGCGTATTTTCCCTTTGGCTAGAGTACTCTGACACCGACCTGGCCAACGCAGCTGTCCAGACCTACCTCAAAGACGTTCCCAGCGGTAAGTTTGCCTTGCTCATGAATCAGCTATCATCCCGTTTGCAAGCGGAGGACAGTGCTTTCCAGCAGCTCCTGATGGCCCTTGTGTTCCGCATTTGCGTAGAACATCCTTATCATGGCATGCACCAGATCTTCGCCATACAGATGAAAGTCGGCGCAATCACAAGAGAAGATGTCGTACGAGCCAAGGACGAGTCGGCACGATCGCGCCAGAAAGCTGCAACAGGACTTGCGAATGCGCTTAGCAATGACAAGCGGGCACGAACATATTGGAGTTCAATCTTTCAGTCCAACGAGATCTATCACCATCTCGCAATGTTCAAGGGCGAGAAAGAGAGCACGCAGCAGGGTCGAGAGCTCCCGCTCGACAGGTACAAGGAGTCGAAAGACTTGGTCAGTAAGATACCGAAGCTTAACATTCCGCCAGCCACACTACAGATTGAGGTCAGACCCAACATGAACTACACTGATCTACCGAGAATTCAGTCGTTCAAGCCAACAATGAGCATTGCCAACGGATTGAGCGCGCCCAAGGTCATTACCGCGAAGGGGACCGACGGAAAGCCATATAAGCAGTTGGTAGGTATCTTTGACTTCTATGCTAATATCCTCTAGCTAACCCTTCCAGTTCAAATCCGGGAATGATGATCTCCGTCAAGACGCTATAATGGAGCAAGTATTCGATCAAGTTTCGCGACTCTTGAAGAACCACACAGCAACACGAATTCGCAATCTAGGTATCCGCACCTACAAAGTCCTGCCACTATCTACTCGCTCAGGCCTCATGGAGTTCGTGCAAAACACCATTCCTTTGCACCTTTGGGTCATGCCAGCGCACGAAAAGTATTATCCAAACGACTACAAACCCGACAGATGCCGCAAAGAAATCGGCGCATGCCAACAAGACTCCCTTACCACACGCGTAAAAGTTTGGCAAAAGGTCACAAATAATTTCCATCCCGTTCTGCGCTACTTCCTCCTCGAGCGCTTCCAAGACCCGGATGAATGGTTTGAGCGCCGCCTAGCCTACACACGCTCCACGGCTGCTATCTCCATCCTGGGCCATGTTCTCGGTCTCGGCGATCGACACTGTCACAATATCCTCTTGGATGAGAAGTCCGGCGAGATAGTACACATTGACCTAGGTGTGAGTTTTGAAGCAGGACGTGTGCTGCCGGTGCCCGAGGTTGTGCCTTTCCGGCTTACGCGCGACATGGTGGATGCGATGGGGTACACGAAAACGGAGGGGGTATTCAGGAGGTGTTGCGAGTTTACCATGGATACGCTTAGGGAGGAGAGGGAGAGTATCATGACACTCCTCAACGTCCTGCGCTACGATCCACTTGTGAATTGGAGCATTACGTCTACGAAAGCAAAGCGTATGCAGGAAGGCAATCAGGACACAGCTGCACCAAATGGAACGGCGCGTTCCACCACCGTTGCGCCTGGAGGTACACCCGCTCCTTCAGGCGCCCCGGTGGCGTCAGGACAGGTCGTTGGTGAGGAAGTCGTCCAAGAAAGCAACAAGAAGAAAGAGAAAGAGGAGCAGGCTGGTGAAGCTGGCAGAGCATTGAGCGTGGTGGAGAAGAAGCTCAGTAAGACGTTGAGTACAAAGGCGACGGTCAACGAGCTTATCCAGCAGAGTACTGATGAGCGAAATTTGGCGGTACTGTATATGGGGTGGGCAAGCTATGCATAGTTTTTCGTGTATCTATGATTTTCTTCGTGTGTACAAAGAATAGGGAACTTGCAATCGATTGAGCGCGGCGTTGGGCGAAACATGGATTAGGTCCTAGTATATATATTTAATACTGGACTTGAAGGGACTTGCCTTATTGTAAAGCCTGAATGGATTCACAGCCTCATGAGGGAGTAGCTAAACTAGCTAACAGTAGAGCCTGGATACATGTGCAAAGTAAGTTCTTCGCCCAGATCTATGTTCTAGCGCTATGAGCTCGGCTGTTGTTAGGCCAAGCAATGGTCGAGCGGGGGACGTAACCCGCAAGGGCGGCTGGTCTTTCTTTCAGCAATGCTATGATCAACTGAGGTAGTATTGGTTATGCGTAGCATGATAACGAGTGATCGCCTCGAATGTTACAGGTAAGATATTTTTTTCGCATTGAGTGCTAGAAATGGGACTTTTAAAGGACGCAAGATTTTTTTCGAAGGACTACCCTAGGGATACTTCCAACCACGGGGGCGAGATACTGTCATCCATGGTAGTGATTCGGTAAGCGATCAACGGTGCTTGCGACACCTGGTGCTATTCAGCAATATATGAAATTCGTGCAGCCAAAAAGTAGTAGATATTGTTGTTGAGTGACGCGATCTCCACCGTAAGCTTGTGCATTGTAAGCCTGGACAGACTGAATACAAGTGTATTGAAAATACTACCTCGAGCTGAGAAAACAACCCATCAACAACTATAGTAGGCATTAACGCGCGAAGTACCCGCATGTATGCATATTGTACCACGGAAGCCCTGTTGTTGAGCCTTGCGACGCGTGCTGAGTGGTCCGATGCCACTTGAGGTGAAACAGATGATCCCATGATCCCGCGTATGTTGATGCGCGGCTGTCACCCCGCCAACGCCGCTTCCGCAAATAAACCATGCGCTGCCACTATGACCACCAGGCCGCGCCCGAACACCCACAAGCACGCCTATCCACAGCATTGCATCACCTTCGCCTTGTGTATATCGCACGCCGCCACTTGCATTTCATTGTTTTGGGCCTTATCCAGAATACTTGCGGCGTGACTACCTTCGTTTGCACACTGCGACGTACGGCTTCCTGCAACAGCGTGCATTCCTCGCTTACTCGCCGCTCTCTGCCTTGAACATCCATAGCCAGGGCATCTTACACCGCATTCATACCGAGACGACGGTTGAAGAATCCCGCCAAACGCAGTCACGGTGCATGCGCCATTGACAAAATCGCTGGCGGGTCCGCAGTCAACATGGACACGAGCTACCTAGCCCAGCAGGTCACGACCATCATCGGCCAGCTGCACGGCCTATTCGACGACATAGGAGTTCCTAGCCATGAGCGGGACTCGCGCGAGGCAGAGGTACGTCAACCGAAAGTGTAGCTGCTAGTAAAGGCACTGACGATGCACAGCTCTTCTCTGCGCTGTCCGAGACGCTTCATAACCAGTTGCGCCAAGTCACAAACGAGAAACATGAGATGACAGAAGAGGCCCATCGCTTGATGACGACAATCAAGCAGATGGAGGCCTCGTTGGAGGACAACAAGCAAAACACCAACTACGAGCAACACGATCAAAGCGCCATCACCTACCCATTGACGCGCTGCCTACAGGGACTTAAGGAAAGATACAACGCAGTCAGCAAACTGCATCGCGAGCGCTTCGAGCAGGTGAGGAAACTCGCCGAAGCCCTTGATTCGTACGCGTCGCATCTTGAGGAATCATTCGTCGAGATTAAGCTCCCTCCCACGGCACAAAACGCGACCATCTCACCCTCTTTCGACATCTCCCCTTCCTACGTCGCTAAGTTAGACAACGAGTTTTCGCGCGTTTACGAAGAATACACGAGGCGCATCAACACTGTCAAGGTCTTGTGTCAAGAGATCATACAGCTTTGGGCCGAGCTGGGAACACCACAGGCGCAGACGGACAGCGCCATTGTGCAGTGTCATCGAGACGCCCCGGAGCAACTTGGTCTACACAAGGAGGATCTGACTCAGTTAAAGGCGAAGAAGGAGCGACTAGTCGAAGAGAAGCGCAGCCGAGAGCGACGTCTTGGACAACTACGCAACACCATCGAAGAGCTCTGGGAGCGTCTGGGCATCGAGCAGCACGAGCGCAAGCGATTCCTCACCAGCAATCGTGGATGTGGCTTGCGCACCATCAACGAGTTCGAAGATGAGCTGGCTAGGTTGAATGAGCTGAAGCGCCAAAACCTACATTTGTTCGTCGAGGAGGCGCGATGCAAGCTCCAGGAGCTTTGGGACTCGCTCTACTACTCGGAAGAGGAGATGCTCGACTTCACACCCGCCTTCTCTGACGTCTGCAGCGACGCCCTGCTTTCGGCGCATGAGGCTGAGGTTGCCCGCCTTGAGGCCTTGAAGGAACAGCGCCTGCCTATTCTTCAGAAGATTGACCGGCATCGTGAGCTAATCAAGGAGCGCAACGAGCTTCAGCAATCAAGCCAAGACGCGTCACGTCTGATGGCCCGCGGTCAGAAGGGTGAGAGACGGGATCCCGGAAAGCTGCTACGAGAAGAAAAGATGCGGAAGCGTATTGCCAAGGAGCTGCCGAAAGTCGAAGCTGTACGTATACAAATCAGCTCAACTGAGACAGATACTAATGTTGTTGCAGGACCTGAAGAATACACTTGAAAGTTGGGAGGATGAATATGGCCGGCCATTCTTGGTGCATGGTGATCGATATCTTGACGAGCTGTATGCTGCCGCATCCAGAGCCCCTCCACCGCGAGCGAAGACGCCTTCAAATGCTGGCATGCCTAGCCAACAAACACTCACTGCTTCCAAATCTGGCACCCTTCGGCGCGCTGGAACTCTCAATGGGCCACCAAGCCGAGCGAAGACACCCGTTTCGAACTTCGGTGCCAGTGTCTCTCGGAACCCGCTCTCGAGCTCTTTCGCGGCTTCCATGGGTCCAAAGAGTCCAACGAAGATTCCTGCTCGTGCTCCATTACGCAACATGCAGCACGGTGGTAACTCGCCTGAGCGCCGGCCTGCCCCCCCTACACGAGAGGACTCGGCCACTATGCGGAAGATGCCTCCTCCAATGGCACCTCCCCCACGGATGAAAGACTTATTTGTGCCCCCGGAGCCCAATGAAACCCCATTGAACCGCTTCCAGTTCAATCGCGGGGAGCGCAGCGAGAGCATTGTTCGAAACGTAGCACCAGAGGACCCGTACAATGACCGATCCTATATGTCACAAAGCCACAGCGTGCGTCCAGGGTACATCCCGGCGTATCCCCCGTCATTATCATCGGCTAGCAGTCGACAGATCTCACAGGCATCGCAAACGTCGTCGAATGGAACGACAGGAACGGGTGCGACGATGCAGTCAGGGTCAGAGAATTGGGAAACCTTCAGCGAGCAATCGGATGATGCTCCCGAGGCAGACGTCGACTTTCACAACTATCATCAACGGCAGATGAAGCGCTTCACGCCTGAGGGTGGTCATGTGGCCAGTCCGCGAAGCGTGCATGGCAAGAAGATTCGCAGCATTCGCAGTGTTGATGACGGCCTCATGATGGAGCAAGAAGGTCGTATGGTCCGCGTTATTGAGGGTAGCGAAGCGGGCTGGACTGATGAAGGCGATGGGTATTGAAAAAGCTTCTGCTTTTAGCGGCTGCCAGACTACGGTGTAGTCGACGCCTACGATGACGGACGCGACTCGAACAACGTTACTACGGCTTACCAGCATCTGGGCTCTTTCTCGACATGCCAGCTATTCCGTCTTGTCTGTTCACGCACACATGGCGACGGCTCGGCCTGAGGGATTTAAAAAGCCCTTTCACTTCTTCTCTTTATTGACGGGCGAGTGGCCTGGAGATGCGCCACGTAAAGTGTCAACAGGGTATAGCTGCATGTCATTGATGCAGTTCCCGCAGACACTTTGCGCGCTAGGACGGAATCGTGACATTTTTCGACCGTCCCGCCTTGCTTCACATGCGGCAGGGTCCGAGATTTTACTTTCTTAATACCACTTGCTTATTTGGCGCAAGCGGAACGGCGTTTTGGGTGGGTCGTGTTTTGGATAGCCTTTGGCGCGGTACATGTGCTTTTTGAACATTAAGGTTTTATTATGTCTGTGGGTGGCTGCGAGCTGCACACCCGACGAGTGAGAGCAAGACAAGTGGTATGTCGGGACAGACGTGTACTACTACGATTGAGCGAGAAACGACCACAATACAAAAGTTTCACTACTGCACTGCTTGAATTATTATACAGACTGTTTTTCTCATTTGAAGTAGTGACTCAATCATTCATAAGAGGGCATTGAGCCGCAAGCTGCGACCAGGTAACAGACAACCTTCCTCATCTGAAGTAGAATCCCGTTTTAAGCCACATGGAGAAGGTGCGACGATGGAAAATCTATGGCGACGATTTGCGCAATGTCCGTTCCATGCAAGTATGGCAGCCTCTGCGCAGTGGTGGAGTCGAATGCCCTGTACACACACTCACACACAGGTATTTACCTGGGAGTCACAACCACAAGCCGCCACTACACCCCCATACATGTACCCCACAGCCCGTTCAGGCGGTGATAGCCGCCTGGGGCTGCAAGACAGACTGACATGCGGCGGGCCACGGCTCCCAGGTAGATAGATAACGATAAGCTATCCGACAGGCTGAAGCCCGAGCAGCGTAGGCGGTCAAGCGCGCATCAGGAAATTGGCTTGCTGCAGCCCAGTGCTGTCATGTCCGGCGGAGAAACTTTGCAGGGCATGTACGTGTAATCACGAGTAGGTGGCTGACTGGCCTCGCGAGTAGCTGTGCATTGCGAGAGTGATACTGTATGCGAGTTGTTGTTTTTAGACATGATCTGAGGTTGGATGGCATGGGATGAGACGAGGGCGTATGTAGCCATCAGTCCTGTTGTTCATGTCGTTGAACTGAAGAGATCCTGGGCTCTTATAAATGCAAATGGCCAACGCTGCCGGATGACCTCGTATTGTATTGCTTTCCAGAAGACAGGCGGCGTGGGGTGGCTAGGGCTGAAATCGCGGAGACGGAGACGGAGAAAGGGCCAATCGGGGGGACGCAGTAGCAGATCACACACACAGTGTCGTATCTGCGTGCACGCCCAAGTGTTGCACAGCTGAAGGGACAGGGGATGACATGGCAGGCTGATGAGAGAGGCTCAGATGGTGACTGCTCATCAATCAGCCGCGATAGTCGGTAATGGTGGTGGTGGTGGTGCCTACGACAGAGAGTCTTGTGCCCGTCCTCTATCACTCACTTATCGGCTGCCCCGATAGCATCTCCGTCATCCGCGTCCTTATCGCCGCCGACTCCCTTCGCTACCCCATCTGCTGCCTCGCACCCTCTCTATTCTTCTTCGTCACTCATCCTCTGTTCATTTTCACCACCTCGTCTCTCCAAATATCTGGATACTATATTGTTATTATTATTACATGTAAGCAGTGCGCCACGGCCACGCTCGGCAAGACTGGACCCTTGCAGGCCTGATGTTGCCTGCTCGATCCCCTTGGACCCATCCATCCAATCCCGCCTCAGCAATAACGTAAAAGCAACCGAACAACACGCCCGGCGAAACGTCACAAAACGCCTAGCCGTACCTGAAGTCACCAAAGGGCTAGTCACGGGGAAATCCCCCTAGTGTCTACCTGTCAATCATGATGTACTCGCCGCGGTCCTACCCTTACCTCCACCCTTCTCCGCCCTCGCCGCGCAGCAGAACGTCTGAGAAGATGGGCACACGAGCTTCGAGGAATAGCCCCATTCCGCGCTCTGTCAAACCTATCGAACCACCAACGCCAACTATCAACAACACCCAGTCTACGTCCAACTCGGAACCTAGGCCGGAACAGCCACCTACGACCATGCTCGCTCATTCACAACCCGTTGTCATTCCGCCTCGGATGCCCTTGCATTCAGCCACGTCCACACAATCAGTGAGAGCAAGAGGCCACAATGGTGGCAGGCCGACACGCTCGTCGAAAAGTCACGACCCGAATGCGATTCCACCGGCCGTCGCTGCTCTGCTCGCTGTTACCGCGATTCCGAAGATGCCGTCCCGACGACGCAAGCATTCCACAAGAGACAGGAGGATATCCATGGACGAGTTGATTCAGGAGTGGAAACAGGACGACTCGGACGTTCCACCTTCACTTGTGGGTTCGCCTTTGGATGTCCTACTGGGTCGCGTGGACGAGTCGGACGACGAGTATGGCAGCCTGGCGAGCATGGAGCAAGAGAAGGAGTCTTTTGTGACATCTCGGTCCATCTCGAGCGACTCCATTACTACTATACCGCCGTCTCTGGACTTTGATGACCCTTCATTTTCCTCTCACTGGGATAATCTCAGCACACCGGACTCGCTTAGCCGAAAGTCGTTGGCGGAGCGCAAAGAGAAGGCTGTTTCGTCCCCACCAAAGGAAGATTGTGTCCTGGATCATCCACTGCTTCACTTTGGGCCGGAAGAATATGACGAAGTCATTGCGACAAATATTACCGAGGGTCTTACTTCGGCCACTTCCTCAAACGAACGGTTCAAGTCATTCAAGTCCAACTTGACCGCATCCCTCCAAGCACTCAAATCGGCCGCCAAATCATTTTCAAACTTCACTGCACCTAGTGTCCCGCCCGATGATTTCCTTACCCGGTCGTTGCTGTCACCACGGTTTACCAGCGAAATGCGTCCTAAGCATCTTGAAGGCCTACCGTCCCCCGAACTCCGACGATACCTAAACCCACAACCATCCCCAATCTCGCCAACCGAACTATCAATGCACCTTCACGATTCCCTCACCCTCGACGCTGACGACGACACTCAAGCCCCCATGATCCAAATGCAAACCTACGAACGCCGCGGGCGCTCCCAAAAATCCCGTCGCTCTCGCACATCCGATCCCCTTTCTGAAGCCGGCAGAGCTTTGTCCAACGAGCCCACTGTCCGCCAGCGCGAACCGAGAGAGAACAGCGATTTTCTAAGGGTCATTGTCTTGGAGATGAACATGCGCCGGATCGGCAAGCTCGATGGCAAGGCTGTAGGCAAAGCCAGGATCTGGCTGCCGCCAAGGAAATTGGGCACCAGCAAAGCACCTGCCACTGACGGTGTAAGTGGTGTGCCGAATAGATGGATTGGGGTCGCGGCGGAATAGATGCACCCAACCGTACGCAGAGCATTCTCGTTACGTGCACAAACGACACCGGGAAACGAGAGCATGCGACATACGTAGCGCACGTCAACCCACGAATCGAATCTGACGTAAACGGCGCGCGTTCCTGGAGTCGATCGCGCATTGGACCCCATGACCTCTGGCGGCTGTTGGCGGCGGAATTAGCGTCAGGGAATTGTGGGTCGCGTATCCTGACGTTGTCGCTTGAGGAATAGGCAACACCACGACCATTAGCCTGGGATACTTTTCTTGGACTGCACTTGGTATCTAGAACAAGGGTCCAATGTGTACAACACCGGATGAAGCTTCGAGCATCCATTGCAGGAACTTTCTTGGATACCACGGCGGACATGACGGCCACCGGGCGACGAAAACCAAACCCACTGTTCGGATACGCGCGGTGACAAAATTTTCACACGACACCCAAATGGCCATGCGATGCTCCAGACCCGACCGCAAAGACTTCGGTTCCCACATCGTGAGGCGGGAGGAGGATTCTACAAGATAATAATAATCGGGGCTTTCTCAGAATCTTTTGCCTCTTGCGGTAACTCGAAACGCTCGGAACCATGGTGCCGGGACTCGCCGATGCCGGACAAGTGGGGGCACACTGATTAGATGTTTGCATCGAGCAATTGGGCGAGAGAGAGAGAGAGAGATATCGGCAGGACGTCCGATTTGAAGAGAGTGGGAGTTGAGCATTTTTAGCGATTGTGCGCGAGATCAGCGAAAGAGCAGGAGTTTGAAATATTGACATGGATACTGGCAAATGACGGTCAAGCGCTGACCGTCATGTTGCGTCTCATCTCGCATTTTGGATGTTTTGAATATTTTGGACATTGGGCTGCATTGCATGGATGGACACATTCTTTTTTTCTTACTCTCTTTGAGCGACGCATTTTGGCATGGCATTTCATTGTACACGGTGTATGCAGGACGTTCTGACAGTCATTTCTGCATCATCTTTCCTATTTCTGTCCGTAAATAAATATCAATAACCTGGCAATATGTAGATAACATAGATGATCATCGATAAACAATTCAAACTATATATACAAAATACTGCGCTTGCCTGAAGTTGTTATTAGAATGAATCAAAAGGAATGCGAGTAGGTACTTGACGAAACAGCTACGTGTCGCACATGAGAGTAACAAACAGTATTCTCATTATCCTACTACGTTCCAATGTGCACCGATATCCTCCAACGGCCCTCCCTTACTTACACAAAACACGAGAACTAACTCAAGCCAAAAAACAAAACGAGCAGGCTATTCAAAACACCACAAAACAGAAGTCGCAGGTGCAAGAGAAAAAAAAAACATCAAAAAGTGACCTAACCAGGGGTCGAACCTGGAATCTCTTGATTTGCCGATTGCAGAGCTGTTTACACCCTTTGGATCGTAGTCAAGCGCCTTGCCATTGGGCCATTAGGCCGTGTGTTATGTTGTTGATGAATATGTTCAGAAATATCTGGATTGTATAGGCGGCAGTGTTGTGCGCGTGTGGCTGCTGGTGTCCTTCCTGCAGTGCATTTGGCCCTGTGAAGATGCGGAATTCGCTGTGCGTGGAGCGGGGCGGGGTTGGTTGGCTAGTCTTTGTTTGGTTTGTTAGTGGGTGTGGGTTGGGTTGGGGTGCTTACGTCATTTGGAGGGTTTTGTGGTTTCTTAGCAATGGATGCGAGGGTTGGTGGGCGATGCGATGTTCGTGTATAGGGTTGTCTGTTGGATCTGATCTCTGTGTAGGTAGCGGTCAAGTTGGACGAGACTCTAGCTGGGTAGTTGTGGTAAGTCTAGGTGCATGACGAGGGCTACTGCAGGTATAGCACCGCTGTGGAAGACGAGTTTTGATCAGAGTTAAGGAAGTAATCTTGTACGACGACTAGTAGCTAAAGATACTGAATACATTTTGATAAGCGCTTGGTACTCGCGTTGCCTGACAGCAGCGTGGAGATGGTACGGTCTCGCAGGTGTCTGCGCCGAATTAGGGCTGGCGCAGTAGCTAGCGTCTAAAAGAGGTAAAGGTTAGCGAACCTCCTCCCTCCGTCTCTTTCTCTTTGAGCCTCTATCCAAATAATCTCATTGATACCCGCGACCTCGCCGAAGACAGCCATGTATCATGGTATTGTCAATGAGAGTTTTCACAGTATAGTATGGATCTGGTATGGCCCTCGACGACATGTGCTAGAGATTCACAAGTAAACGATTCCGTGTCTCTGCTTGTACATTGCCAAGTGAGGTACTCTTCAAGCCATTCTGCTAAACCTGCATTAGAATAGCCACACAATATCTAGCATCAACTTCGCTTCTCTGTCATTGCCAACCATCGCTGGCTTGATTCGCCCAGACTTGTCTACTCTTCTCCTTTTGGGTTCTGCAAGCCATGGTCTTGAGACGGTCAAAATTAGACTATTGTGCAGATGAGATTACGCAACGTCTCGCGAAGCATCAGTGTGGCCGTTTAGCGATCCACTTGCTATCGGTCTAAGCATCGTCATCTTTGTCCATTATTGCAACGCCTTTCTTTCCGTCTCTGATCCTACGTCTTTCTGCGTTTCTTTTCGGAACTTCCCATGTGGCTTTCCAAGCATTACACGGCTTGGAGTGAACAAAGGCTCGGCCGTGACCCTTCCCCAGATCGCAGAAGATCTAGCCTAAGGTCTGCCTCATTCTATGCCCTCGCATCTTAGACCTGGATGATGGTGGACCAGAATACGAATCTGCTTGGCACTTCTCGGCCACTCCCAAAGATCTGGCCGCCGTCCGGGGTACGATACACCCACCCCATAGTCCAGTGGTCGAGATCGGTCAAGCTATGCCTGCCTTGCGTGAAGCTCGGCAAGGCGTCAACAGCTGGGATGCAAGCCTCGTATTTCCCTATTTGACTCTACAATATCCACGCCAGAGGCTCGGCGTTACCAGAATAACGGCCTCCCGGACGCCCCATACTTCTATGAGCCTCGTCAATTGTGTAGGCAATATCGATGGCTGACACCGACTAGGCGTTACTGGCTTCGATGCGGTGCGAAACCTCTCTGTGGGACTTACATTTGCTCGAGACTTTGTTTCTCGTTTCTCGATCCTCAGTCCCCGAAGAAGACGCTTCTGCATGCTTGACGCGGGGAAGGAATGTCTAGATGTTGGTGGCAACCGTGGAGCATCGGTGATTTAATGCTAATGTAGACTGGCGGGCTCGATATGTGTATATATTGACGTGTAGATGCCATTCAACGGGGGAACCGGTATTCTATCCATCACCCCTCACGTTGTTGAAGTCTTCAAGATGAATCGTCTCTCACATCTTACTTCGCTACTTATGTTGGCTTCGGTCGGCTCAGCTCAAGTCCCTAATATTATCCCTTTCTCAGTCACTGGCTCTCTGGACAAGTAGGCATTTGAGCGCCAACATGACATCAACCAGCGTTGACAACTACCAGTTGCAATGCGGATGGTACATAATATAACTCTGGTGGTGGGATCGAAGTCAACAGCTTCAATATCAAAGTTCCCAAGAATCTGATCGTTCAATTTCCAGTGGTATGGGCGCTTTTCAGCGAATTATGTAGTGCTGAAGCTGGCGGCTACGAAACCACTGTCGTTGGTAACATAGTCAATGGCGAAGTTATCGCCGGCCAGGTCTCAGTTGCTCAAAGACTTGGTCTCGAGGGCAGCCATGGATACATTTCGACTATCAACTCGGACGGCACTCCCCAGATTGCTTCAGGCCCAAGAGTTAGGATCAATGATCCCGATGGCCTGTTTGGACCCAAAACCGATGCGAAGAGGTACTGAATCGCCGGCACGGCCAATCCTTCTGTCACTGCTTTTTCGTGATTTCCAATGTGCATTCCATGTTCAGGGAATACCGACAAGTGCAAGGGCTCCAACTGGCCCAATGGCCAGACCTTCAGTCCTCCCGGCCCTCTTAGCATGGTGCTATCTAAAGTCGGTGACTTTATTGAACATAGTGGCCTTAGGGTGGGATCTGAGGAAATTCTCGCTTCCTCTATTGTTTGCATAAACCTCCATATCACGACTCAAGCGGGCAACAACGTCCCTAATTACACTCGAGTTGAAGACTTCCTCATGGGCGTTCCGGACACTGCTGGCAACGTTGAGGTTGCAGACATTCGCGTTATCAGGTTTCTCTCAGGTTGTGCCTGCTCTACGGTCACAATCAGTGCGATTGAAGTCGACCCTTGCACAGGGAAGGAAACCTATCGCTCTATCAGTACTGCCACTCCTAGACAAGAGACCCGTTGCAAATGGGAAGCTCGCATCGCCTCACCTGCGCAGGCGCCCTTCACTCGCGAATACCGCATCACTACCAACACGCCAGTCAAGGAGACCAACGACGGTATCAAAGCTGGCCAGTACATTCAGGCCGTCAGCGAATGGATCTTCCCCGAAGTTGATGTTCCAGGGACCAACCCGCCAGCCTTTAAATTCACTGATATACGTGGGCTTGTTCGGGGAGACTTTCTCGACGGCAAGCAATACGGTCCGCTAAGCCCGTTCCCCGGCTCTAGTCCACCCGTTCCGTCCAAGGCATGCAAGCCTGAAGACATAACAGATCCAAACGCAACACCTACTCCTTCGTGTACACCCAACACTGACTCACCGCAAACCGCCCCTGTGGCATCCATCGCAGCCATCGCCTCAGCCCAGCGCGCTGGCATTGAGGTCTTCCTATCTGGCTCTAATATCGCGCAAGGTCTGAATGACAACGATCTGAACTTCAACTGGACCAAGACGTCGCCTTCGTCATCCTCCGTAAGCGTCACAAATGCCAACTCACCCAAGGCTACCTTTATTGCCCCTATATTAAATATCGAAACCTCCTTCGTTTTCCAACTTACCGTGAGTCTAAAGTCCACCGCCACGAACTTCAGCAAGGCGAATGTCACTGTCAAGGTCAACCCAACAGTGGCCGACAGCGTCACCCTGGACACATATATCTGGGGGTCTCGCCAGTCTGGCTCTATCGCTGTGACATGCAGCTCCAACGTCAAGAATGGCAATATTAAAGGCATGACACTTGTTCTTAATGGCAACACCCGGCTTGCCATGTCCAAGAATGGCGAAGAGGGCAAGTGGACGTACAGCGCGAGGAACACGGGTAGACCGAATAACTTGAAGTGTGTTTCTGACCTCAAGGGTGAGAGCCCGTCGAGGCTGGGTACGGCAACGACTCGAAGGAGGTGAGGTGTGATGTGATGATGTGGAGACTGCAACAAGACTTTAACCTGTCTATATAGCGTTTTCTCTTTGGGTTTACATATTGATGGGTGTTTGTAGGATGCGTACACTTTGGTGGGAAAACCCCCCCTTTACGATCCCAAGGTAGTTACCAGCTTAACAAAAGCTCGACGATATGGCGGTAATGGAATAATTTGCGTCTTTGTCCAGTAGCTAGACTTACTTTCATGTCCCACAAAGATGAAATAACAATGCACAAGGTAAGTAGGAGGCCGTAGAAGACCTTTGGACAGCGCTTATGCAATTTCAGCACCATGCGTATGATACCTTCCGCATGTGGCAAGTTTAAGGGAAACGTCGATTGCTGTAAGACTTGGCACAGTTCAGCTGTCCCAGCCTTGGCGCGGTTGGGCTGTCTTGGATTATTGCAACCCTGATTTTGTTGGTTAAGTATTCCCAGCGATTACCACGAGTTAAGACATCTGAAAAATGGGCTATACTCGCTATACAAATAACAGCGCCGCTTAGAATTACTTTGCATTGCCATATGGTGTGGTGTTCAACCTGGGAAGCTGCGAAGGGGCCGGCACTAGCTCCTCGCTTAGCCCGCACCCGAGGATCGCCCGGTCAATATTGAATCTTGCGGCCGCAACTTCGACATCGTGAACGACAGCGCCAAACGAACGACCAACGACACCGCCGACGACCAGTCCTACTGTCAGTACCTACCTGGACATTACACAATACCTTTCGAGCACTGGAAAACTGACTCTCTGGGCAGTAGCGACCCGCAAACCCCAACCTCCAACCACACAACATGTCTCACGAGTCGGTCTGGTATTCGCGTCCTAGGACCTACGGCAAGGGCTCCCGCGAGTGGTACGTCTCTACAATCTACAATTTTGCTTCTGTTGTCGCAAAGTCTCTGGACGATGGAGGAAGGGCAATCTGCGCGCAGACAGGACAGATGAACAGCGGAATCTATAAGAGCGACTGCTGACACAGTTTTCCACAGCCGCGTCTGCACCCACCCCGCTGGTCTGATCCGCAAGTACGGACTCAACATCTGCCGTCAGTGCTTCCGTGAGAAGGCCGCCGACATTGGTTTCGTCAAGGTACGATATCCCTACCTGTTCTAAGCCCCCACAATGCACATTCTGTCCAGAAATGTCTTGCTGCACACCGCAGACCTAGACCGATTTTATATGGGCACTCAAATGCTGACGTTTCATAGCACCGATAAATTCCCTACGATTCAACGGCCGGAGTAGAGAAGGCGCAACGGTGTGACGCGATGATTACCTGCCGATACGAATCGGCTCGACTGTTACTCGAGCCAACATCGATATAGATGAGAAGTGGAGAGAGTTCCAGGACGGGCATGGTTCTGCATGGCGGCTTTCTAGGGATCCTTTCCTTGCATTCAGGTCGAGAGGTGGCTGGCTTTGATAAACAAAAATCAAACTGAGTTCACGACACATTATTGGTGCAAGACTGGATACGCTTGTTTTGGGAGTGAAGTCATATTGGCTGCGTACTGACATGGCAGGACAACCCGACTGGAATATGCTATACTGCTTCAACAGCATTGAAGTTCACGAACGATCTAACGAACGGGAAGCCCTCGAGGGTCACTTCAAACCTAAACTGAGTACTAGTTCGACGACATACAAACAAGCAAGATCTATCAACTGATGAGAAGTACTTGCACGTGTGATCATGGACAAACTTCGAAAGCATGGGCATGCAACGCGGTTGTATAGTAAACAACTTCCTACGTACCCTTGTTATTCCAAAACCCACGTATCATAATTGCTACGCAAAACGCTCAAAATGCCCATGTCCAATTACAATTCACTAGATTCTAACAATATCCACCCTCGTCCTCTCCCAAAGCTTATGCGACACTGCAAAACCCTTCTCCCTTTCCGCATCACTGATCACTGCAGGTTGCACGATGACACGTGCGTATGTTCCTGCTGCACGGCGCTTGGCTAGGGTGCCGGGGTTGATTACTAGGACGGATTCGACGACCTATGACAACAATGCATCAGTATACTGAGGTTGCTTGAGTAGTAAGGAAGCGTTGGGAGTGGTTGGACACGGGAATCAAAGATGTATGGGTGACGGAGAGTCGGAGAGCTCGACTTACCTTTACAGTCCCCTGAAGGACGCTGGGTGTGATGAGGATATCCGGCCGCACGTTGAGCATCTCACCCAATTTGAGATAGCTTGTATCGAGCATTGTTCCCAAGGGAAGGAAGGGGCTAGGTCCCTGCTCCTCTTCTTCTTCTGCTTGTTCGCCCTCTTTTTGTTCGCCGGTCGTTGTTCCGTTTGTGTTGCCTTTCTTCAGAACGTGCGCATCCACCGGCGCAGGGGGCATTTGCTTCTCCCTCCCAGTGGGCGGGAACACTGGCAGGAAGTTCCGCTGCTCAATGACATGCCGTGCGTAGCGCTCATAGGTGTTCATTGTCCGCGCCTTGCCGCTCGCCAATTCCTCTCTCCTTAGCATGTCCAAGATATCTATGCTCGACATGCCTACCGTCATCTCGTTCATGCTCACCGTCATGGGATTAGTAACGCACTGTACCATTTTGCCCGCTGCACCAAGACCTAATTCTTTCTTGATATACTTGTCCTGTGGAAAGGCGGCGTGGTGGTGATGTGCGTCTCGAAGACTGGGCACAAGTAGAATGTTACAAGTCGGCACTCGCTTACTGAAAGTTTGCAGAGCGGAGGAGATATGGTAACGAAAGAGATCAGCCATAGTCGCTTGGTCGGATGGGGCATTCAGCGGTGCATCAAAGTCTCCTGATCGGATCTGGGGGTGCTCTGCGTCGAGGAAAGGGCCGAGGAGGATGATGCTATCTGCATAGGCTTCGGCAGCATTGTCAAGGAATGTTTGAAGGGGTGAGAAGTCGAGGTTTTGATCTGTAGTGTAAGGTCCTGAGGCTATCATCATGGTCAACGGGCGCACGTTCTCTGGATCAGAGTCCGGCGTGTCGAGATATCGTGCATTCATTGCGTCGAGCTCGTCGGGTTTCGTAGCCGGTGCTAAGAGAAGAGGTAATGAGAGGACCTCGGAGACGACAAAAGAGTCGCCTGATGCGTTTGTACCGCGCAGAGCAACAATTTGGCCAGGGAAGAAGTTGTACGAAGATAGTCCAGCGACATCTAGGGGTGTGCGGCGACCAGAGCCGTACCTTCGTGAGCCTTCCAGAACCAGGGTTGCTGTGTTCAGTTTGCCTTCGCTCGTATCACTCGCTATCCGACCCACAGCTATTACTTCGCTCGGAGATTGGTAGTTGGGATTTCCGAATGCATTGTCGTCTAGCCCCATTGATTCTCTTATGAGTTCGCGAAACTCGTCAATTCTGTCGTCAAGGACTTCAGACGCTTCCGATAGCTTCATGGCCATGGTACGGTAGGAGAATTTTGACATGTCGGTGTTGGCCTTTAGCTTTATGCGGGGTTCTTTCGGTTCTTCAGAGGGAGGATCTGGGATGGTGATTTCAGTGCTCATGAACTGTTCGGTGATATCGTTGGCATTTGTGCGGGACGCAAAGTCGAAGACACTGTAGGTCGTCAGAAGTGGTGCATAAGAGGAGCGAAGTGGACGTACGCTCCACCCGGAGTCTCACCCTTTGGTGTCAAGACTCCAGCTGGTGAGCTCATCTCATGAGATTTACTTGCTTTGCCTCCTGGTGTTTGGAAATTGGACTTGCGCTTCACAGTACTGCCGTTGACGCCATTCAGCGCCGTTGGGCGTGGTGTGTTAGGAACCAGTTCCCCGAGTCTACATATGATCAGCCCAAGGCAAAGATATCCGTTGGTTCATTGAACATACATGTCATACATGTCCCCACCCTTCGCTCTCGGGGTTGGCTGACCCCGCTTGATATCATTTCTCTGATGTGCTTTCCCTCTGCTCTCCCGCTCTAGTGCATCTTGAATGGTCTTTTTGAAGTCGCGCGCAGTCTTGAGATCCATCTTGTTCTCCTCCCCACCCATCTTCATATTGTATGCCTGCCATTTGAAGTCCAGCTCTTCGGCCGATATAGAGTAGAGGCTTAGCATGGACCGCAGCTCGGTGAGGACCTCGACGGGCAGTTCATGGTCTTTAGTGTCGCAGTAGCGCTCGAAGCGCTCTGTGAGTTCAGTCGTTGCGTCGTCCATTGTATACTGGGAGGGATTGAGCACGAGAATTGGTGTTCTGTAACTGTGGGTTTGCGCGTGTGGGAGGACGCGTCGCGCGTCAACGGTAAAGTGGGAGCGCTAAGATGCGGCTGGTCTAGCGGGGATCGTCATGCATACAGGCGACCTGCATCTTTCTTAAAGTTATCTCACTGCTAAGCTTACCAACTCCGCAATCGGGAGCTGCTTTTCCCTCCTCAAACAAACTCAGTTCACTCCGTTCTCGTCCCAAAGTGTATTTGAGCTTCTATTTGTTCTATCGTCAACATGTCAGCCATTGGACCCTTTGCGGAGCCAGCACCAGGATGCAAGCCTGCAGCTCCCCCAGCCTTGACTGCAGACCAACAGGCTAAATATGAGCAATTCCTCACCGACGTTCGCTCTTGGGAATCTCTCCCCACCACATCAGCAAAGAATGCCGAATCTACACCGTTATCAGACGGTGAGCGCATGTGGCTTACCCGCGAGTGCCTGCTCCGCTACCTCCGCGCGACCAAATGGAATCTCGCCCAGGCAACGACCCGACTACGCTCAACGCTGATATGGCGCCGTGAATACGGCACCGATAAATTCACTGCAGATTACATTTCCGAAGAGAACGCAACCGGCAAGCAGGTCCTTCTAGGCTTCGATAAGGAGGGCAGACCATGTCTGTACTTGCTGCCGCAGAACCAGAATACCAAGGATACACCCAAGAGAGTGGAGCATCTGGTCTACATGCTGGAACGCACCATTGATGTGCATCCGCCGGGACAGGAAAGTTTGGCCTTGTTGATCGACTTCAGGAATACTGGAGCGGGTGGGACGCCGAGCTTGGGCACGGCCAAGCAAGTGCTTGACATTTTGCAGAACCACTACCCAGAGCGATTGGGCAGGGCGCTGCTCACACACTGTAGGACAGCTCTTCCATACTCCCGATTATAACCATGCTAACACTCTCCGACAGTGCCCTGGTACGTAACCGCCTTCCTCCGCGTCGTTAACCCCTTCATCGACCCCATCACCAAGACAAAAATAAAGCAAAACGAGCCTCTGCCCGACCACGTTCCCTCATCACAACTCATGAAAGTCTCCGGTGGCGACGTCGATTTCAAATACGATCATGCTGTCTACTGGCCTGCTCTTGAGAAGCTTGCAGCAGAGAGAAAACAGCAGAGGACAGTGCGATGGGAGCAGGGAGGGAAGCTAGTCGGAGAGAGCGAGATATACCTGTGGGGTGGAGAGGAAGGTAGCGTTGGTGGAGGCGCGGCTCCCCAAGAACATGCCGCAAACGGGACGGCGAATATTCCAGAAAACAGTAGCAACGAAGCTACGGCAGTCGGCGAGGCCAATGGATCGGCCAAGGACGATGCTACCCTCGCTAATGGCATCAACAAGCTTGATGTAAACGATAGCGAAGATACCAGGAAGGTTCAGGGACAGGCTGTTCCAGCCGTAGCATAGGCTGAAGACTAGCTTCTCTACGCACTTGTGCATAGCATATTCAATAGACCTTAGATGGATGTCTCTAATCCACTAAAGCTTCAGCCTCGCAGTATGTCCGAGAGGTTCTTAGTAGTGCGGAGGCGATCCGTAAGCAAGTGCTTTTGTACAGCTTTCCTTTCCTTGCTGTTTAAAAAGATTTGCAAGATATCAATTGGTTAGTACAATGTTGTGCACGTGCTTTCGCGCTTCGCTCGAGACCCTTTGCCCCGCTACCGCCTGTCTTACCAACACCAAACCTCAAATAGTATTACCAACTTTTGAGGCGCATCTTGGATTCACCTTGAATTCCTTGTCTTTCCCAGCACAACTTTAGTCTCTCCGCGCCTGGAGAAAGGATTGCGAAGGCATACTAGCGCGGATATTTGGACGCGACGGCGCCGCGCATAAGCGGAGCGAAATTTGCGACAGTGAGAGACAGGCGTTGAATGAGAGCCAGGCGCAGTGACCGCTAGTATGCCCCCCAAACGAGCGCGAGAGCGCAAACGACAGACGAAGATCGACTTCTCTCAGGCCGCGAAAGCCTCACCCTCCTCCAAGCCTTCGACCACAAACGCCATGGGTACCTCACCGTCTCGACCTGCCACGGCCAAGCCGACGAAAGCTGCGAAGACCCCTCGCAAAGGATCAACCAATGCGATGATCTTCTCATCCAGTGACGACGAGCTACAAGCGGAGACAGACAGAGGCATGCGGTTGGGCATGCCGGCCAAAGATACACCGCTGGGCCTGTTTGACAGCTCTGATGTCGGCCTTATTAGCTCTCAGAGCTCGGAGGAACAGGAAGAAGAGAAAATAAAGGCAAAACCTGCAACTCGCAAGCGGCGGCGTACAAAGGACTCTGGCAAACCCGAGGGTGAGCAAGCGGTTGAGGTTCTCCCGAGAAAGCGACAACGGCGGTCTGTGGTCAAGGTTGAGAGCTCAGGCGAGGAGGAGGAAGAAGAACTAAGGCTGCCTAGCAAGCGACAGAAAACCAAAAGACAGGACACGCCAGATGAAGAAGAAGAGCAGACTCCGCCACGAAGCACGAGGCGCATAGCAGTTAGGCGACGACCTGCATCAGAAGAGGCGGTCGAGGATCAGACTCCGCCTAGAAGCACCAGAAGGCGGATTGTTAAGAGGCGATCTCCATCGGATAACGAAGAAGAAGAGCAGGCTCCACCCCGGAGAAGGCTTAAAGTTGCCAGGGGGGATTCTGCGCTAGATGAGGAGGATCTGGACGATATTAATGAGGGTGGAGATGGCGAAGACGACAGCGAAGATGGCGGCGAAGAACGAGACGATCTCAAAGAAGATCTTGCATTCCTCAGATCATCACCGCTACTAGATCGCGGCAGGCTGAGGAGTACGCATGAGAAACCAAAGAATGAGCGGCAAAAGGCGTTAGAGGCCCTCAAGAAGCGGCGAGCTGGCACCAACGAACCCTCGTCTTCGGCAACTCCGATCCGTAAGAAGCCTGTCGTGGTAGACTCCGAATCCGAATCCGAGCTTGAAGTTATCAAGGAAGAGCAGGATAGCGATTTCGAAATTCTAGACCCGGTCGACGACGAGGACGACGAGGACGACGAGGACGATGATGAGCCAGAAGGAGATGACCGTGAGGCGAACATCCTGGATATGTTTCAAGAGGATGGCGACGACGAGGGCTTCATCGATGATGACGCAAATGCCACCATTGGCGAACCCTCAGCAATAGCAGATCTTGACGAACTGCGCCTCGTTACTGGCTTATCGCGTGCCAAAACCAAAGACCTATTCAAACACGCCATCGAATGGATGGTTATGAAAAAGATCCATCCCGCGTTCAACTCTACTAAAAACATCTACACCATCACTTTCCGCAAGTTAGACGACGAAGTCAAAGGCCTTGCAGGTTCGAAGTTCACTTCATCAGTTTGGACGCCTGACTTCACTAGGGCTATTCGCGCAAGACCGGACCTCATGCTCGACGAGATTAGTTTCGGAAGAAGAGAGGTGATGGCCGCTCATTGCGAAGCGTGTAACCGGACTAATCATACCGCCACATTTGAACTCATGCTCACGGGACCACCGTATGATGCGGAAACCTTAGAGCCTCTTGAGAACGACACGGACTCCGACTCTTCTGACTCCGACGATGACTCAGAATTATCGGCAGACTCAGAGGTACTTCTCAACGGCGAGAAGCCGGCTCACAACGCCCTAGGCGAACGTCTTCCGCCAGAATCGCATGGCTTTCCGCTTGGCTCAACATGCAAGGCCAACGCGCAGGTCGCCCATACTCTACACCATTGGCGCTACCATCTCTACCAGTGGGTCAAGGATTACCTCGCACGTGAAGGCTACCTGACGGCGGAGAAACTAGTCAAGAGGGACAAGTGGAGTGACAAGAAGCGGCAGAAGGCTGCGCACAAGATTGTGGATGGCATGGAGCGCGATGGGGAGATCAAAAAGCTGTACAGACTGTACAAGGTACGCTATGTTCTGCATATTTAAGCCGCCATTACTAACAAAGCCACAAGGAGCAGATCGAGTTTGCGATCGAGGCGAGGAATGATTATCAGAATGGGTGGGGGAGGCGAAACTAGGGAGACGATGAAGATTTGATTTGGTTGCTAGGTGCGGAGGCTTGAAGCCACTATTATCACTCGTCTTCATGGCGCATGAGGTTATGGAGTGGTGTTGTTGCCTGTTGGCACACTTTCTAATTGGCCGGGCATTTTGAATACTCTCTCTCTGTGTCTTCGGAGCAGATTCATGTGGACATGTACATGCCTGCATTTCAGGCACATACTCCTTCCTTTCGATATAATGATTCACTTCTTGTATAAACCGGAAGCACTTTCTTCCCATCGGCTCGACAAATCTGCTCATACAGAGGTTTCTCAGCTTAGGTTGATGTTATCATTGTTATTTATATATATGCTATCTTATTTTAGCAAGATGCTCATGAAGCTACCTGATTACCCGATAACCCGCCATGCTAAAACCCAAACGCCATCCTGAAATCGTGTGCCAATTCTCTTGACAATGCCACCACTAAGGCGTTTGCCCTCGATGCTACACCGGATGCTTTTGATATATAATACCGCATTGAAATGCACACAGTATGCCGCCTTTTAAGTGTATTTTTGTGCTCCTTGTACACACCTCTTTCAGACTCAATCATCCGCTCACTCGCTCCAGTCCTCGAAGCGATAGTCCTCAGCTCCATCGAGCAGGGTAAGGCGATGTGTGGAAAACACAATCTGCTCGTACAGCTCGCGTCCCGCCGCACGCGCCTTCTTATGCCACGGGCCCAGACCGCCTTTATACGCGTCTTCGCGCGAGTGCCAGAAGCCTGGTGATAGAGTTAGTCAATTGCTAGCCCCAAAAGTGAGTGAATGTTTCGTCCTTCTCAATTAATCACCCCTTTTTTGCTACTGCAAGAAAACACCAAGAAGTTGCACAGTGGAGAGATAAACAGTTTACGGGAAAACTTACAAGTCGCTAGATTCCGCCTCTCCCCATTCGACTTGCCAAACCAGTACTTCAGCAGACCACCAGACTCGCACGCTTCACGGTGAGATTCGTAATCGAGTTTATACAGCCAGTCGTTGTCGATGCCGTCTTTCAGCTGGGACCGGAAGGTGACGACGTAGAAGCTTGTCGATGGCCACTGGACGCCTTGCTTGCGGGCTAGATCCCTCAACACAGCTAGGACCGCGGGGAAGTTCAATGCCTCTGTGTACGGCGCTGTTGCGTAGTCTGGCCTCGTGGGTTTGAGCGCTGTGAGGGCTTTGGCGAAGAGGAGGGAGGGCGTGGGGAGAACGGAGAGGTCGAGGTAGTGGCCTGGGTTGTTGTAGGGTGAGGAAATCAGGAGAGTAGAGTAAGCTGGTGAGGCTGAATTTGTCCTTTCTTCTTCTTCGGTGTGGGATTTTAGGTCTGGGGTGGTGGTGATGTTGGGGCCGGTGGGGAGTTGGCCTGATGCTGCGGCTTCGAAACGGAGCAGGTCGAATTCTTGGGTTATGAAGGTGGGATTGAGGACGAATGTGCTCTGTAGAGGGAGGTCTTGGTTGATCTCTGGCGGTGTTGGAGAGAGCTCGGTAATGCCGAATTCTGGTGTCTTTGAGGGTTGGCCGGCCAGGTGTATGACGGTGGTATTGTCTTGTCGGAGCAACGTTATGTCGAGTCCTGGTGCCATGACGAAGAGCTACAGCCTCGAGTACGTACTTGAGTACTCAGGTGTACAGGTATTTGTTGGTATCGCGATGTTGCGGAAAGTCTCGCCTGGTGATTCCTCACTTCCGACTCTTGCTTGGCCTAGTTTTAACTTCCTCGGTGTTGTCGTATCAATGCACCTCGATTACTACTATTTCCGAATTTCCTTTTTTGGTTGAAATAGGTGGTTAGTAATAACAAAAAAATAGTTGGGGTTGCCTCTTTGTTAAGCACGGTGACAATGGGTGACATGTTGCGACAAGCACGTCGGATCACGCAATCCGAAAGAACGCCATTTTGGGCCTTCGCTCGTCAGCGCACGCAATAGCTAAACTGTGAAACTGCAATCCAGACCGAACGCAGAAGTGAATTGTGAAAATCATGCTCGCTTTTGTGCGAGGTGTACGTGTCTGGATATCTGCCGAATCTTGTGGTCTGCTAATTGGCTCATGGTGAGTCAAGTGAAGTAGTATTCAGAAGCGTGCTGCCCAGATAATCCCCTGAGCAAAAGTATCAATGCGGATTGGGGAGTTGGAGTGAAAGGTAGTTTGTTCCGAACGTTACGCTAGACGGGTGCCTTGCATATGTCGCTAAAAATAGTCCATTATACAGGTGAGATGGCTCAATAAGAATTTTCACCCTCAACTATGGGGTAACTGTGGGGTATTATATACCTAAGCTTACTAGTAGACTTTGGTGCTGTAGTAGATTTCAATGACTGATGCATGTCTGATGCACCCAGTCCACTTACAGCCGCGAATCACTAACCACGATCGCCGGCAGTTTCTTAGACCGAGATGAACGTCTGCGCGAGCCTATGCATGCGCTGGTAGCCGTCGGGATGTGCGTCCGTGATTGGTACTTCATGGCCGTACTCCTCGATGCAGCAATCAAAGGCCTTGTTCTGCAATCGATTGTCGCCAGGCGGAAGTGGAAGATCAGAACCTCGATCTCTCATTTCGGTCTTTAACTCGAGCAGGTTACCCCAGAGGATGAAGAGTCTCTCTTTAAGCCGTTCGAGTATTCTTGGATTGCTTTTGAGACTACAAGCTTGTCAGCGAGCTTAGTTGCTATGGGTTTGGGGGATCTTACTCAAGTGCATTCTGATCTAGGAGACCCTGGCCGACATCGTTGCCTACAACAACGCGCAGCTTCTCGGAAACTGTATCAGGGGGTACATTGGCGTCTTCGAGAAGGAGAACGAAGCCCCACTCCCAACGATCTTTGGCGCGGCCGTTGCTCTTATCTTGCTTCTTCGACCTTTTGTTCCATTTCGCGTCGCTTGACGGGTGTGCGAAGAGTTCAAGCTCTGGAGGGAAAATATCGACGACTCTGACGCGAGATCGGTGTTTGGCGTTGACGAACGGGAGTGTATAGTCATTGTAATTCTTGGTTTGTACCCGAAGATGAGGAGTGTAGATTACTTCCGAGATGGTGGAGAGTTTCATCTCTGGAAAGGCAGCACGTACTGTACGGGGTTAGCCTAGCAACTCAATACATTCGGAAAGAAGCATACTGTTGGTGTTGACGCCACTGCGCGCTGCTTCCCATTCTTCCGCTTTCTCCTCTAGTTCTTTTAGTTCCGCTTCTTTCTGCTCCCGCTGCAACCGCTGCTTCTGCCTCTTTTGTGCCTTCTTCGACGTAGGAGGGTGTGCGATTGGCTCCTTCGGTATATTCCGTACATTCTGCAGGGCCGAAGTGGTACCCCTTTGCTTCTCATAAGCTTCTCTTCTGCTATTGATCTCATTGATGTCTGATTGCTTAATCAATTTGCGGATGTCGACCTGATTCGGTCGGTCTCTGTCCTGGTGGATTGCGCCCTCGAGCTTGTTGAGAGGTGAAATCTTCGTCCGCATATTTCTGAGGTAGATGAAATCACCGACGGCGATGTTCTCACGCGCCCAAGCAGCATTGCTCTCGTAAAGGATAACATTGAGAGTAAGTTGGCCGTACGGTCCATTCCAGTTCTTGGCCCCGAACATCAAGTGATCCTCTTCTTCTGGATCCACATAGAGGAACAGGTTCTCGTTGGAGGTATAGTCGGTGACCTTGAGCTCGACCGTGCCGTTGAAAGTGTAATAGGTATTCACGACTTGCGCTCGGACATCATAAAATCGAGAAAAGTCAAGATCCTTGATTAAGGACAGCTTGTCTGGTGCCGGACCTTTGAACAAAGTTGTCTTAGCATACTGTTGCACTTGCTGCACCGAGCCAGATGACGCATGCTTGAGGTGTATGACAGCCATCTGCTCTTGGGTTGTAGCATCTCTCGTTCTGTACAGGGCATTGCAAGGAAGATGTTGATTGCCGAGCTGAAAGGCTTGACTGAGCTGTGGGATGGGTATCTTGTTCGCAGGAAACACCAAGACTCCTGAGCCTGTGTGGACACCGCCAACACAGTCAGTGCGCATTTTCCAGACGGTCATCTTGAAGTTGCGTATGATAGCAATGTCACCCGGGCCAGAGATTTTAGGAAGCTTATCGCGGGTAGCCCAAAACAGGCGGCAATTGATGGTGGAAGAACTGCCCACTAGGCCATTGTCGAACTCATCCTGAAGCTCAAAATCCAGGACCCAGTCTGTTCCTTTAGATCTCCGGGGCTCTGTATTGCTGATGATCACCCCGATCAGATTGACTATTTTCTGATCCTCAACAGCGTCCTTGATGGCCGTGAAGCCGTTGGGGAGAGGCATTGTACTGGCTCGATGCGGTTAGCGTGGATATGAGGGTTGAAAGGTCGGGCAGCAACTAGAAAAAGTTGAATGGGCTTGTCTTCTCACCTCGACCTATGCAGTTAGCACTCTCACGAATGTTTTAACAGTCGCTAGACTAGGTGAATTTGGCATAATACTGGGCAGTGAGAGATTCGCGTTGGTTGCTCAGGTAGACGCGCTTGAGCCAAGGCAGCTAAGGACCGGCCCACATACGCTGTGCTAGCGCCGTACGCTTTGCCGCTTCCGCCTTTTCATCCCCCCTCCGAAAGATAAATCCCCTCCGCAAACAAACACTGCTGCCCTGCCACCCCTCGCCCCTCTCCAACTCCTACTCTCTCTCTCTCTCTCCCCTCACCCACAGTCAACCAGAGTCGTCGCAGACATGGCTGATAAGTACATCCCCGAGCACCGCCGCACGACGTTCAAGGCGAAGAGCGCGTTCAAGCCGGACGAGCTGCGCCGCCGCCGCGAGGAGCAGCAGGTCGAGATCCGCAGGGCAAAGCGTGAGGAGAATCTCGCAAAGCGCCGTGGTATCGCAGGGCGCGACCAGCCGGGCGCCTCGCTCGGTGCTGCCCCCGACAGCGACGATGAGGGTGGCAATATTGAAAGCCAGGTCGGTATACCCCCACCAACGTTGACGGCGGCCCTTGCACAATAAAGAAGCCCAGGCTGACAGGATGCGCTAGCTCAACGAAGAACTCCCCCAGATGGTCAAGGGCGTCTTTTCCGAGCAGATTGACGAGCAGATCCAAGCGACAACCAAATTCCGCAAGCTCCTCTCCAAAGAGCGCAACCCCCCGATCGAGCGCGTAATCGAGACAGGCGTCGTCAGCCGCTTTGTCGAGTTCCTGCGCTCCCCACACACGCTCGTGCAGTTTGAGGCGGCATGGGCCCTCACCAACATCGCCTCGGGCTCAGCGCAGCAGACACAGGTCGTCATCGAGGCCGGCGCCGTGCCCATCTTTGTCGAGTTGCTCAGCAGCCACGAGCCAGACGTCCGGGAGCAGGCGGTTTGGGCCCTGGGTAACATCGCCGGTGACAGCCCCGCATGCCGCGACTTTGTACTGCAGGCGGGTGCCCTCCGCCCACTGCTTGCCCTTTTGGGTGACAGCCGCAAGCTGAGCATGTTGAGGAACGCTACCTGGACACTTAGCAACTTCTGCCGTGGCAAGACGCCGCAGCCAGACTGGCAGACTGTGAGACACCTTGCCCACCCCAACACCCCCAGTAGTACTAATTATCCAGCAGATTCAGCCCGCCCTCCCCGTCCTCTCCAAGCTCGTATACTCGCTCGACGATGAGGTCCTCATCGATGCGTGCTGGGCCATCTCGTATCTCTCCGATGGCTCCAACGACAAGATCCAGGCCGTCATTGAGGCAGGCATTCCCCGCCGCCTGGTCGAGCTGTTGATGCACGCCTCCACGTCTGTCCAGACCCCCGCCCTCCGATCCGTTGGAAACATTGTTACTGGTGATGACGTCCAGACACAAGTCATCATCAACTGCGGCTCGCTCCCTGCCCTGCTTTCGCTGCTGAGCTCCACCAAGGACGGTATCCGCAAGGAGGCCTGCTGGACCATCTCCAACGTCACCGCCGGCAACTCTACCCAGATCCAGGCCGTCATCGATGCCAACATCATCCCTCCTCTCATCCACCTTCTCCAGAACGGCGACTTCAAGACACGAAAGGAGGCCTGCTGGGCCATTTCCAACGCAACTTCCGGTGGTCTGCAGAAGCCTGATCAGATTCGCTACTTGGTCCAGAGCGGTTGCATCAAGCCGCTCTGCGACTTGCTTGCCTGCCCCGATAACAAGATCATCCAGGTCGCTCTTGACGGTCTTGAGAACATCCTCAAGGTCGGCGAGATGGACAAGGATGCCAGTGAGGGTGGTGCCAATGGCGAGCCCATCAACCGCTATGCTCTCTTCATCGAAGAAGTCGGCGGCATGGAGAAGATTCACGAGTGCCAGAACAATGCCAACGAGGAGATTTACATGAAGGCCTACAACATCATCGAGAAGTACTTCTCAGATGAGGAGGGTGAGGCGGAGAACATGGCCGAGGGCGGTCCCCAGGTCAACCAGGAGGGTCACTTTGGCTTCGGCGCTGCCAACGCTCAGCAACAACAACAAAACTTCAACTTTGCCAACGGAGGCGACTCGATGGATATGTAAGCCGAGTGCACCTCCAGTCCGCGTTGCCAGCTATTGAGCCGTACGCTGCTGCAGAGCAGTAACTACTTTCCCACCAGCCAGCCAAATGAGCCTGGCCGGCCCGTCCGCCATCATCGTACAGCCAATTGGAAGTCATATTCGCTACACGATTGATACATGGCCCTTGGAAATGTAACTTTTGCTCGCGCTGCGAGGATTTCACGTTTCCTTCGCAATACCCCCCATCTTCATCAGCCCGGCTCCTTTGTTGAGTCATCCCTTCACCATGATTTTCACGAAGCCTTCAATGATACACCGTCATGTAACCCCTCCAATGTCTATTATCCGCATCATATCCCCGGCGTTGCGTGTTTGGCCTTCTGCTGCTGTTCCCTCTTCGCAGAACCAGAATGGATAGGGTTGGGCTGGGCCATCTGCTCTGATGGCGGAGGTCTTGCACAGCTGCGTGGAAAGAAGGGTCTTGTGCGCTCACACTCGTGCCAGCCAGATAGCTGAATCTATTATTGAAAAAATAAAGGCGTTCAAAAGCATGCCTTTATGTGTTTGCAATACATGATGCTTGATTGATTGATGTATCGTCGACAACGGCTCCGCTAGTCAGCCTGGTATACGCACGTGCGTCATCAACGGAACCCTTGACAAGTGACCCCGCCCACCAACCGCCGCATTGCGTGGGGGCAGCTGTCTTCGTTGGTTTACAGCTCCTAGTCGCGTGTCGCGTGCCATTTAGCATTATCATCGTGGAAAACCTCGCTGCCTCTTACTTTTTGTACAATCTTCTGCGAAATGTCTGCACCTCAGTGACGTCTGGCACCATGTCTTGGACCGATGGCGCAATCATCGCAATCATCGCAATCACACCGCCCTGAACTTCCAGCCAACCCATTGCTCTCTTTCAAACAGTGAGCTGTCTAACGCCCGTAATACTTTGGATCTCTTTGTGCATGACTCTAGATTCGGGCCCTTCAAGGAAAGTGAGCTAGATCGCCTTCCAGAATGTGCAGATTCATGGTACGCACTGTTAAGAGTCACTCCCAAGCATCTAGCTGATAAACGCAGGTATACAAGGGCAAAGACGAGATTCTCCTCTCAGAGCTCATCCTGAATCCCTCGCACTCCATACTTACACAGTCCTTTGACTCACGTCTCCGGCTGGTACGCTCACAACCCCTCTCAAAGTAACATTCAACTTACCACATCAACAGGACCGTCGTCGACCACATAATGGCGATGGCTTCGGAATTGGCTACTACACAGCCCCCTGCCTCGGACCAGAACCCTGTGTCTTCACCTCCACAATCCCCGCATGGAACTGCATCAACCTGTCGCGGATCGCTTCCAAGACGACCTCCTCGCTCATCTTCGCGCACGTTAGGGCTACGACCGAAGGCAACCTGTCAGATAGCAACTGCCATCCCTTCTCGTACAAGAGCTTAATGTTTATGCACAATGGGGGGATAGGATGTTGGAAGCAGATCAAGCGGCGCGTCGCGTTGAGTCTGAACGAGCAGTGGTTCACGCTCGTTCAAGGTTCGACAGACTCTGAATGGGCTTTCGCTCTCTTCCTGGACTGCCTGGATAAAGCGGGGATCTCTCCCGATAGCGAGCCCGGGCCTGGGGGCTTCGGCCACACAGTGCTACGCAAGGCGATCCTCAAGACCGTAGAGCGCATCAATGGGTTCATCAAGGACGTGGTAGGTGAAAATGGGATGGGCAATGAAGATAGCAGGAGTCTGCTCAACTTTGCAGTCACAGATGGAGAGAGTGTGGTGTGCACGCGCTACGTGAGCAGCAAGACCGATGAAGCTGCGAGTTTATTCTTCTCAAGTGGAACGAGCTGGAAGGCGTTGAGCGGAGAGAAAAATTCCAAGAAGACCAGCAGCAGTGCAGAGGGAGAGGATAGAGACTATGTCATGGAGCGCCGAGACAAAGGGTCTGATATCGTGCTCGTTGCCAGCGAGCCGCTCACTTTCGAACGAGGTATGCCCTCTCTTACCTTTCCATGCAGTACTGGCTTGAGGTATACTAATATCACACCCACCTAGATAACTGGGTGACAGTCCCCACAAACAGCACCCTAACTATCTCCAAACAAACCGTCATGATCCACCCCATCATCGACGAGTTCTACTCACCTAACCCCGCCCACGAACGCAGTGCAGGCTTTGCCCAGGCAAAAGGGCAGACGGTAACAGGGCCCGATAAGATTGTCTTAGGAAGTAAGAGTCCCGCGAGCGGCGATGAGGGGGGCCCGGTGAGAGGACCGGATTTGGTGACTGCCGCGATTCGACGGCTAGGAGTGCAGGCCAAGTGAGAGGGTGACGTATAACGGGATGAGGACGAGATATGTTGATCCATGTTAGCATGTGCGTTCGAGCATGAGTAGGTGTTTTGGTCAAGAAGTTTCTGTTAGCCCGTACGTTTTTGCCGCATTATTTTAGCAGGTATTTGTTATGGGGGCGTACGGTATGCTCGCATTCAGGTTTCATAGCAGGCGTTTATACGACATTACAAGTACTCTATCTTTTGTATCTCTCACTGCGTGTATTGTTTGGAACTGGGTCATCTTATACCCGCTCTTGCTGCCAAGCTTGAATGAAGGGTGAGCGGCACTTGATTATTGCTTGTAAGTCTAATGGCCCCTCCTTCCTAATAGAGTGAAACTGATAAGAGCGTTGAATAGATGACGATCGGATCACTTAAAAAACGAACCTCTCTTAATCAAATGTGAGTCGTTCGTTATATTCCCATAGGCTGGTTTACAGACTATGACAGGCGATGTACCTTGTCGTTACGATGCTAGAGACACAATAGCTGTATATAATCAATGACGCTCGACTGCGTGGGGTAAGTCAATGCTGGCAAGGCCATAAGTCTGCCGCATGCTGGGGCCGATGTTCGCTTCTGCATGTTGTGTGATTCTTAGAGGCTGCCAGAGAGGTGCATACGCCAATGAGGCGTGTATCTGTGGCACAGCCTATGCGGTGCAGCCTTCACTTCACCGGAATTTTTGCGCGCAGGATCAGGCTCGCTGTCGCTTCTCAGCACAACCTTTGCTATATCTCCCATTTGCCTCAAACGATAGCATTCCTACACAAGGCAACTCCCCAATCTGATATTCGGCTAGCCTGAACCAGCATGGTGGTGTGTCGCTACTTCCAACAAGGCCGTTGTACCAAAGGCGACATCTGTGGCTTCGAGCATCCATCAGATGCGAATCTAAGCACAAGACCAACTGTTCCTAGATTCGAAGCTCCGCCTGCTTTCTTGCAAGGCTTTAAACCCCAGACGCCATGCGTCTTCTTTCAGCGGGGCGCTTGCAAATACGGAGCGACGTGCAAGAACGCCCATGAGTTAGGTGCAACCGCAGCTCCTCCTCCCTCCACACGGGTCGACGCACGATCGGATACTCCTTGTACCTTCTTCTTGCGAAATGCGTGTTCCAAAGGAGCGAGCTGTCCATTCAGCCATGCGTCTACTTTCCCATGCTCGTTCAACACCACCCTAACTGAGAGTACAGTCTCTCAGCCAGCCAATAATAGCCAGACAACCAACATACCCGATTTTGGAAAGAATGGCTCTGAACTTCAAGATTTGTCTTCCAGGACTATTGGAGGAGCTACGGTGACTTTCGCGAACGGTGCGATTATCAGCGAGATCTCGTTGCCGTCGGATTATTCCACGTTCACATTGACGAATATTGCCGCCAATGCGAAGTCAGGGGATATTTGTGACGACCTCAAGCGCTGGGCAAATTGTGAATTAGTCCACATTGGTTCCCTGAAGCTCGATCCACAGACGTCAAAACAATCGACCCAGGCAAAGATTGCCGATGGAGGTCGCGCATCTAGAATCGCGGCTGGTTCTAGCCGTGGCTCTAAGCTCGACGGAACTGATATCGAAATTCGTACGGTCCAGCTGGGCGAGTCCCTTTCAGGTACCAACCGTCTTCAGCTCTCAGGTGTCACCTGCACATGGCATGATCCTTCAACAACAGCTCATCTAAAATATGGGAGTGAAAAGTTCGCTTCGAAAGCGCTTTCAAATATAAATGTAGATCGCCGTGCGATTCGAGGACGCCGACCTACGGTTGAACTTGCTCAAAATCCTCGATGGATCAATGTTGGCAACCTCGATGTTCGAACTAGTGTAGATGACTTGGAACAACACTTCAACCGCTTCCCGACTCCTCTGGAGATTGGAATTGGCCAAAGATCACATGGAATGTCGTCTGGTGTCATTCAGCAGCGAGTCAAATCATCCCTTGAGAAGTGCGGTCATGTTCTCGAATGGTCCGTTACCCACCAACCTACAGGTGCTAAGGTCAAAGCCTATGCGAAATTCTCAACCGAATATGAAGCTGTTCAGGCGGTAAAACAGCTAGATAGCTCCAGCATCGACTCGAGATCCAATGACAGATTGCATGTCCAACACGTCATCTCCGTCAAGCTGCCAGTGTCACTACGTGTGCTTGGTGCAGTCCAGTCTCAACTCAATGCTCTAGCTGAAAGCGCACGATCTACTCACTATGTTTCAGTCAAAGCATACGATAACCCACTCAAGCTGTATACACAAGTAAGGGTGACTGGGTCTGACAAAATCACGGTCGCTCGAGTCAAGATACAAGTTGAGGAGTTGTTGGCTGGTAACATTGCCACCGACGGCACGCAACCTCTTACGAATTCATACTTCTTCCATGCTTCATCAACAGCATTTCTCGACCATGTCATGGAATTCCATGGTGTACTTATTGTTCGGGATCGACGCAAGATGGCTCTACGAGTGTATGGTGAAGCGACTCATGTCAGAGCTGCACAAGACGCACTTCGAGAAAAGGCCGCAGAGGTGAAAAGTGAAGTAAAGGAAGTCATACTTGACCAAAATACTCTTACTGCAGCTATGACAGGCGGAATTCAACGTATCGTAACTGCGCTTGGTAAGAGCAAGGTGAAGCTCGATATCACGTCAAACCCCAAGCGGATCCTTGTCACAGGTAGTGATAGGGACGTTTCGATAGTTCGCGAAATCCTAGCCTATCGCCAGTCCGACCTTTCTGGGGCCATCACCGGCCTTTGTATCAATCAGGAGAACGAATCACTATGTGCAGTTTGCTGGACGCCTGCCGAAGATCCGACTAAAACCACATGCGGTCACACATACTGCAGCTCTTGCATCGATGCGCAGGCAACATGCACATCAGACTTCCCGCTTCGTTGCTTGGGTGACTCCGGGAAATGCAACAACCCACTAACTCTAGAAGAGCTCGAGCAAGTACTAGCTAGAGGCAGCTATGAAGGGCTTCTCGAAGCTTCACTTACAAAGCACATCCGGACACACCCAGAAGACTTTCAGTACTGCTCGACTCCCGACTGCGATCGCTTCTACCGCACATCCAAAGCAGAAGACGCCATAGACTTCCACTGCGACCGCTGCCTCACATCCATCTGTACTAGCTGTCACAACGCTGCCCACGATGGAGAAACGTGCCACGAATCTAAAGCTGCCCGTAGTGGCGTTGATGAATTTGCCGAGTGGAAGAAACAGAACGATGCGCGAGATTGTCCCAATTGCAGCACAACGATCCAGAAGAGCGCGGGATGTCATCATATGACGTGTAGCTCATGCCAGACTCATATCTGCTGGCACTGTATGAAGATGTTCAAGCAAGGCTCTGAGGTGTATACGCACATGAACAAGGATCACGGACAGGATTGGGGGCTGGGCTGGACGCCGCGCGATTTTCAATAGTCAGACCAGAATGATGATATTTTAGTGATTGGTTTGCGGACTCGGATGGTAGGGGTGTGGGGAAGCGTATATGGAGCAGTAGCAGGGGGCCGAGAGAAAAGGCCGAAGCTTCGGACTCTGTCAATCACTATACAAGATGTATTGAAGATACGGGCAGTAATCAATATTAGCACAGTGAACCTTGCTTAGATATATTCAGACCATCATATCGTTTGCAGTAATACATTCTAGGTACCAAAATCTATCAAAACCCGGGTATATATAAGTCAAAGTACTACTAATAGCATGCCTGCAGGTTTCCGCTGCCCATCGCACGTATATATAAATGTATCAATATCTTCATTCTCCTATCGCTTCTTCTTCTCCCCTCCCTTCTTCCTCTCCTCTTTCCTTTTTTTCTCTGCTTCCGTTACCCTCCTAGTAATACTCTTCCCAGTTCTTTTCGAAACCATGACAAAAAGCTCCGAATTCTTATTCTCTTCCTTTCTCCGCTTCCAATCTGCTTCTGACCGTGCTAGCAACGGTACGAGTCCCGTCCGCCCTTGTTGGGCAAAAGGTTCTAGGGGACGTGTTGACCGAGAAGTAGGAGTAGAGCGTGATGACTGGGAAGTGGAGGTTGAGCGATATGACCCGGAAGTGGAAGTAGAGCGAGATGCCATTGGTGTTGTTGGGTGTGATAAGTTGGGCTGCTGGTGAGAAGTAAGATTAGGCTTGTTGTTCTAAATGTATGATGGGCTCTAGGAAGATATGAGGCTGGGGTCTAAGGCGGTTGGTGGTATTTATAAAAAGAAGAATGGCGGTTAGATTGAATGAGCGAAGTGTGTGAGAGAGAATAGATATCACGGCTAGGGTTGAAGGGAACATGTATTTGGGCTTGATGTGTGTACTCAGAAAGATATAGATTGCGGGATACAGGATTCTACGGGTATTGTTCCGTGACATGGTACATGATCCCATAGCAGAGTTATCCATTCAATTTGTAACTTTGTATGTCTGGCTTCACGCCTAGCGGGTGATGTAACTCGTAGTCATAGAAGCAATGATCACAACCTGTGACGTGAAGCAAATGACATAGCCTGTGACGTGAAGTAATGTATTCTAAGTATAAATTCTTTCCGACGTGGCAGAACTATACTTTCTATTTCCTTAGATAACGAACTATATTTAGAGATATATGCCTGCTTAATCAACTGCTTCTGTACACTTCGACAGCAAGAGTGAAGATTCGCCTGGAGCGAGTACCGCCAAACGATTGTTTCTAGCCAACTACCTTTCGGCAAGTAGAAACTCACTTGGATCGATTATCACCGACGAAATCCGAGGGACCTTCCTCACGAGAAATAACTGATAAATTCCCTCGTACGCCATTCCACTGAGACAATGTGCACCGCAAAGCGCAAAGTCTGCGAGAAGTGCGGTAAAGCCGAATACCCTCCCTTTGTAGGGGAAAACCAATACGACTTCAAGCCATGTAACAGTATACCAGCAGACAGCAGGATAGAGCATTATACGATGATAATAAAAGTGAGGCAAGATTACACGTGCATAGACTGTGTGTGGAATGAAGAAGAGAAACGGAAAAAGAAGCAAGAGCAGGAGAACAGGAAAAGAAGAAAGGAACTGAAGATTGTAGAGGAGCTGAGGAGGAAGAAGGCTAAAGAACAGGCTAAAGAGCAACTTCAAGAGCAACGGGCCCAACTCGCAGAGCAGAATTCACGACATATAGTACAGACGAAGCAGGCACAAGATGCAATGAAGAATGAGGAGAAGATACGGAATCAGGAGAAGATGCGAAATCAAGAGTTTCAGGAGAGGATGCGTGCTCAGCAAGATGTTTATGCAAAAACAGCTCAGAGAGAACATGCAAAGCAACTAAAAATAGAGGAGAATGCTAGAAAAGCACAAGAGGAGGCTCGAAAAGAACAGGAGCGGAGCGCGAAAGCCCAACTCGCAGCGAAACATTCACAACAAACAGTACTGGCTATGCAAGCACAGGCGGAAAAGAAACGAATACAAAAGCAACAGGAGCTCGATGCCCAAAAATCTCGGGAAGAATACGATAAGCAAGTAAAAGCTGAGAAGAAAATTAGGGATAAAGCGGAGGCAGAGAGGTGGGCAGAGGAGAGAAAGATTCAAAATGAACAGGCAAGGGTTCTAAGACAACAAGAGAAGGCTCGAAAGGATAACGAGAAGGCTCAAAAACAGAGGGAGAAAGAACGAAGAGAACAGGAGAAGAGGGCGAAGGCCAAGCAGCCGGCGGCTCACAAGCCTACTCAAAGCACACATAAGCGCAGTCCGTCAAAATCACCCCCAAGTCAGGGAGCCGGAGGGAAGGGAAAGAAGAAGAGAGTTTGAATTATTTCAAGGTGCTGAATTTGCTATGTTTCGAGAAGTCAGGGCATAGAGAGTGAGATTGAAAGTAGACAGTAGTGTACACAGTAGGAAAGACTGTAATGTGTAGTTATTGCGTTAGATAACTTTGAGCGAAAATAAACATATGGCAACTCACTCTTCGAGTGACAGTTTTGCATATCTTTTTGTTATACACACGACAAGTGAGCCGTGAACCCAAAGGTTTGACGCCCGCAGAAGACGAAGGAGGTGCGGTTGAACACGGAGTGGCAACGTTCGACGGTATCCTCTCGAAGTCTGGGCCATGAGTGAGTAGAGTGAAAAGGCGCAGCACAGTTCGCTTGCACCCCATGGCCAGAGATCCGCAAGGAACCGATGAGCATGGGTTTTAGGCCATCGTAAGACCGGAGTTCAGCGGCAGATGACGAGTAAATAGAAACCAGTCGTTGCCTTGAGCAAAGGCACGATGAGATCGCAGGTTCTAGATTTCGTAGGGTGGCATCGTGGCTGTGCACGTGGCGTCCTTTTCAGTCCGTGCCTAACGCGTCGCATGTGGAACGTTGACATCTCGACGATCGAAAATTAACTCGTGATCCTGATCTTTCGATCATTCTCGCTGATACCGAAAGGACAAAGGTCGAGCAACCACTTGCTCGATTTGGCGGGCGTAGACAAGGCGGTGACGTGAGAACGTGGCAACGGAATCGCCGTGATGAAAGTCTCAGCGCAGCTAATAAGTGGGAGTGCCTAGAATATAATAGTGGATGTAGTCGCCTTCAAGTACTGCGTACTCATCCAAGCGTATACCAGTGAGGTGGTTTTCCGGGTGTTTCAGCCGCAAAGTCGTCGGACTAGTCAGAGGTCTGGATGCCTGTCAGTTCAGCCTTGCGAAGAGCATCCCGGAACGCCCGTCGATTATCCGAATAAGAAGAGAAATATCTATAGCAAAAGGACATCAGCTCGGGCGGGCCGTGAAGGCAAGCACTAAGAAAATATACTTTGATTATAGTGCTCTATACAATGCTGCTGGTTGGGTCAAAGTCAAGGTCTAGCTCTCGCAATGGAGAAGACTCGGGGTATCTTGCACCCACTCGCTACTAGGAACCAAGTTCGACCACTATTCGATTAATGCAAACATGTGGCAGACATGCCTTAGAAATACCACCTGAAGAGTATTGGATCGGTTGACGGCAACGAATCAGATGATGGGGATCCACCGACGACCTCCACTTGCGACATCGACGTTTGGGCCGTATCTGAGATCTCAGGATCGATAAACAGAGGAGCGACGGAAGGCACCAAACCAAACTCGCGTAGTTGCAGCCTCTTACAGGGTGGTAAAGGCAGAAAAGCGCATGAGGAGGTAATAACCCCACAAATAGCATTGGCGGCGGCTCGAGAAGATTCCCAATAGACGCGCTCGTTGCTTGTTCTCCCGCAATAGTCTTTATTCCTTGGCTGTCTGTAGACGTATTCTATTAAGATGTATAGTGTGTTCCTAGGCGCATATCGGTGGTGCGTAGAGTTCGGTTGGCGTTCGCGCTGCAGCTGAGCAGATCCACCAGTCCTTGTCACGAGATGCTTTTACTCACCTCACTCCTTGAGGCACAAGATTGCAAGTGGCGGGCTCTACCACCGGGTGAAAACTTGGTCGAAGGCGTAAAGCCAGCTCGCCGTTGTTGCGTAGCACAGGCAGATCTCGGCTCTTCCCTGCCGATTTGAATGTTGGAGTCCGTGTACGCTGTGTGCAAACGCCACAGGCGACGCCACCACTGCACCCTTCAGCTGAACATGCTACCCTTCGCAATACCAAGACTTGAGGATACTGGCGGAGCTGCTGAAACTGCCACTAAACCATGCCTACCCTAGTAGCCATGTGCTTCAATGCTTCCACCGGCGCGATTCGACACAGCTGAACATTACGAACTCATGCCTGATCGATCGGAGCCCACGCTTCACTTCGCGATACTGTCGCCAAATGCGAGATTGCTATGCTAGCTCCTTCTGAGAATTGTTTCAATGTGACGTGAAGGGTTTGGAGACGCACTCAAATTGCCACAGGCTTGATGCTGTGCCCCGAGGCATACGTAGTGGGATGGCGCTCATTGTCTCGACGCATGTCCTAACATCCGACCCGCAACATCTTATTTATACTCCAGTGCCGATCCTACAGGATCGCACGAGTATTATTAGCCAACTTTTACCGGAGGATCCAATACCTAGTGCTTATTTTAACGGTTCTCCCGTCTTACGATGTAGGTCTATGAAACCTGCCGCATTCCCTCTTCTCACTGACTGGTTGATAGTGGTGAACACCTGCAGCACACCAACCTATCCTCTCGTATGCTAAGTCGATCAGACCAAAGCCCCTCGAATCAGTTTATTGCCTTGTATCATTCATGCCTCCGCAGCCAACCGCAGCCTATTTATCTCAGAAAGAAAGCTGGACGGCGTCGACCGAATTTGGTCACCTGTTCAAGGTCGTTTTGCTGTTGTCGATAGTTACTACGGCCGTTCGATCCTTAGTCGTCATCGTCTCACGAAGAAAGAGAAGGATGTCAGACTCAAGTTCGAGTCAAGAGAAGAATTCGCTTCCGACTCCGCCAGCTTTGGAGAAAGAACCAAACCAATACCTACAATCACTGAAAAAAGAAACACTCCAACCTGACCTGGCGCCAGTATATCCATGGACTGCCCTTCCTCATGCTTTACCTGGGCCTTACGATGCTCCATATTATCCACTGCCTCCGCCAACTATCCGCAGACATTCCCATGATCCATCTGCCGCAGAATCCGAGCAAACATCGAGAACAATCCCATACACTCGTCGTGTGTCTACGAATAGCATCTTGAATCATGAAGTCGTTCTTGAGGGTTCGAGTACTGTTTCATCTCAAGGCTGGCGACGCACTCAGTGGACAGTTTCTGCAGGTTGAGCCATTGAAGTGACATCGCCACTCAAAGACCAAACAGCCCAAGCCGCGTCAATGTGCAGCCCTCGCAAACCTCGCGGAACATGCCAGACTAGGAGGTTGGCCACGTGACGATGGAAATTTCAACCACAAGACTGTAGGCATGATAGGTCTCGGCGCTTCTGAAGTGAAGGATTTGTGTGTTTCAGAGAAGGAGGCTCAAGGGAAAATAGCTCAAGGCTTGCATTGTGGCTGCGCTGTGAGTCAGCTGGGATGGTGGAGTAAAGTGGGGTGGAGAGGCGGTCTACTACTTTTCGATCTCAAGTTCTGCAACAGCATTCGATAGTGTGCGCCTTTTTCGCTTTAGTATGGGTCTGAATATTTGTGATTATGGGAGTGAAGGATTTGGAGGGAATTAGTAGGAGGGTGAGTCTCCTTCCCGTAGCAAATGCAGAGTACCTCTGTTCCTGCGAGGCGTTCATCAGCACCAATAGGGCTATTGTAAATTGCCAAATACTAACTCCTGAGTATGTGTATTCCCTGACTTCTCTCTAAAAGCTCAAGAGTGATCAAGATCCCGATCGTCGATGGTGGTGCCCACCACCACTGACAGCATAAGCGCACGCCATAGCGTACAGCTGCATGCCACTAGTTGCCGCTGTCTAGTTTGAATTCGGTTAGAAACTCCTATCAAGGGCAGCGAGTTTGAAGTCTGGACGCCCAAGATATTAATACATGCTCTAGATGAGGTCGGCGATGGGACCCCCCATGTGGCGTAGTCATGTTACCTGCTCTCTTGTCGAAACAGTTCAAATTGTGTAGCAAAAGCAACCCCTAGGATCCAATACAGCTAGCTGTGCAAGCAGCCTCTGGCGCACCGCCGTGTACCAAAGATATACCTCGAGGTCAGGATGGACTGTGGTAGCGTCGCTTGTGTATGCCTAGGAAGGCAGGAGGATGTAGATCGATCTCGTCTAGGATTGACCACACCTAAGAGCTGCATTGTCGATCATTTCGGGGTGTCCTAAGGCTGTAGTTCATTTCCGAGAACCTACGTTTGCAAGCAACTTGTAGTGTGACAGGTTTCGACATGGTGTTTGTAGCTTCATTGCTACTTTCATGCATTCTATAGAAAAGTGGTTCGCCTGCTCTTTAGAGCAAGTATCACATCTTAACGCCAGGGCATATCCTGTATGTATATCTTAGGGCCCATATCTACATTGAGACCCACTTTGTTCCTCGTTCCACATCAACCCTATACCTTCCTAGCATTCTCATCGTCTCCGTCCCTCATATCGTTCTGTCTCTGTATAAAACCGGATCAGGCTTTGCGCGCCAATTTCATCTCCAATTCTGAATAGCTGCGCAATATCAACATTCAGCGGAGAGTCAGGTTCCGCACTCGTGAGGAGCTGATGTATCGATGTCATCGTGGTGTTGATCGTATACGCAGGCGTCCATGACGATTTTAGCAAGTCCAGGCAAATCTCGCCCGTCTTGAAGTCTACATTTGGGTGGCATATCGGCGTGACGAAGCGGATAGTGGGTGGGCTAAGTGGGTATTGCGAAGGGATGCGAATGTCGAGGAGCCATCGTCCGCCTATAGGCCGTTAGATAGGGGAGGTACATAGAACCAGGGTGAAGATACCTTCGTACGCCGTCCCGACTACACCTTTCATGACCGCTCTCCAGTGCATTATATCATCATCGGTAGGACCGAGCTCGAGAAGTGCATAGTTTGGGTCTGATTGATATGTTTGGAGCTCTGTCATGAGCCGCTTCGTGGGTGACGCGTTGCGGGATGAGCCTGCCATCTCTTCCAATTGCTCTAAGGATCAACAGAAAATAGTAAAGGACTAAGAGGGAGGGGTATCAATCAAGTGAACTATAGGATATCTTTGTTGTTTTGAGCGAGAGGCTGGTCAACATCCAGATGATGCGCCTCGGCTTGGAGCTTCAGCCGCAAGTTGCCCAAAGCTTCTCCCCGCCAAAACTTTTGGATCCTGGTTTAAACATCTGAAGGTCAATTATCCAGAACGCACAATTCGCTCAAGATGATCGCTCCAGAAGTTACATTAACGCATCTTAATCGTGCCGACGGCTCCGCAACATACACACACATTGGCTATTCAATTATTGGTGCGGTCAATGGCCCAATCGAGGTGCAGCGAAGAGACGAACAGCCCGAGGACGCGACTATTGAGGTGAATGTCAGGCCCGCTGTTGGTGTGGGAAGTGAGTATGCTGCATGGCCTAGAGATTGAGTAGTAGCTAAATATATACGTAGGCCCAAAAGAGCGACATCTCGAAACTCTCCTCCACAACACATTGCGCAGCATCATATTGACGCGCCTCATACCACGGACACTTGTACAAATCACGCTACAGATCAGAAGCCTACCAGAAGAAGATGATTCGACTGGTGTCAATACCGTACAATTTTACCCCCAGTCCCGCAAGCATGTCGTAAGACGAGCTAACACAATCTAGAGCCTCACAATTCTCCCACACCTTCTCCACACCGCGCTCCTCGCGCTTCTCTCCGCCTCGATACCCCTCCGCACAATTCTAACCTCCGTTTTAATCGCTGTCCCGTCCTCTGCTTCTCCAAATACCTCCTCCACACCACTGCTCTCGCCGACCGCGAACGAACTCTTACGCGCGAAACCTGTACGCTCTATCCACGTCTTCGCATTTTCAGGCGACCGAAAACTGTTACTGAATGAGAGTGATGGAACATTCAGCTACGCGGAATGGGCAGAAGCATGCGAAAAGGCGGAGGAGGTGTGTTGTGGAGAGGAAGAAGAGGGAGGCGTAAAGTTGGATGAAGGGGAAAGCATGGAACTCGATGGGCAGGTGCAGGAGGAGAGTTTGGAAAAGTGGTTGAGGGGCGTAGTGAGGAGGAAGGTGGAGTGGGAGCAGAGGTGGAAGAGTGCTACTTGAGCATCTGAAGCGAGCAGTCATACATCGCATACCGCAGACTCTGAAGATGGAGTGAGTGGCATGGCCGACATCCTCATGTCCCCGCGCCTGTCTGCTAGGCTAGCGATCTGTTCACGTCGACCGGAAATGACTCGAGGAGGACTGTTTGGCCGATGCGGCGAGCACAAGCTTGGGTCTGAGTAACACGGTCAACAGACGACGAACCTTTTTATTATGACGGAGGAACGGACCGAGTCATATACGGAAGGTGGTACAACGCTGGCAGCGTGTCGTGAGTGAACTTCACGGTAAGTAATCACCGTCGCGGATATATACTGTAGAAGATGAGATAATGATGATGCTATATAAAGACTCCTATATACAATACACCATAATGGAGTTTTAACAGCGCTGAAAGACCCACTAGATCAACATGCCTCCCAGACTCAAATTCCCGTATTTGTAATGTGATTGATACAATGTTTGTCGATGTAATGTGCGATGCGTCGCTTGCAATAATTGTCGTGAGTCGTAAATCGTCGTATCGGTCGTAAGATCCTAAACCTATGCCATCGCAGTGCCATGCTATATCTGAAAAAGAAAATACCCAAATATCGTAATAGTGCCGAAGCAGGACGCGCGCCTACACCTCGTCAACACCATGTCTTAAGATCTTGTCATCAATCTTTGCCTGCTCGTCCAACAACTCGGCAAGGTAAGCCTGCGGATCCCAGTCCGGCACCTCCCATGTTTTCACGCCCGTCGAATTCTCCTTATCGCTCAGTCTAACGTCTTTACTGCACGCCCTTGCAGCATTGAGCCAGTCTTCCCAAGCCCTTGTATCCGGACAAGCATCGCTCCTGCGCACCCAACCTGTAGTCTTGCTGACGACAATCGCTTTCCACAACGCTTGTGTGAACGTGTGGTTCTCGGAGGGATAGCCTTTCTTGTCCATGTCGGAGTCGGAAAGACATTCGTTGGTGACGGTGTAGCAGGATGTGTCCCAGTGTAATTTCCCAGGCAAAGCAGCGACAATCCAGTATCCAGAGCCGAGGAGCATATACGAGCCTGCCCATGCGATTTGGACCTGGATCTGAGCGTTGGCGAGACAGATTACGCCGCCCATGAGCATCACAGTACCTATCAAACTCAAGATCCTATAGGCTGGACCATGCGTCAAGAGGTATTCGATGCTTTCAGGCGCAAAGTAGAGCTCACGAGCAACGTCCTCATCACACCGGACTATGAGGAAGCTGCCCTTGGGGTATCGTATTACCACGTCGCCGCGTGGAACCTTGACCGACTTGTCTTTGCGCCTAGGGAGCTGTAATGTCCACTTATTGCCGTATCCGATGAGGCTAGATAAAAGCGAGAGCAGTACGGTTGCTATAATTGACATGCCATCCTTTTTCCATATCGAGATGGCGAGAAGGAGGACAGACAAGGCGAAGCCAAGCAAGAGGACGATGGTAAGTGGTGCAACAGACTTGGATTTGAGGGGTTGTTCACCGGTTCGTTTCACTTCAACAACACGAACAGAGAAAGGGGCGAGGTTACTAGCGTCACTAGAATGAGGTCAGTAGATGTTTGATGATGCGTAGTTGCCGTGTCGTGGCGTGAAGTTCGGAAGAGGTGGGGACGCTCTTGTCGTAGCGTACCGAGCCCGAGGCCGGGGACGACAAGACTTACGAAACAATATTCCCAATATGATTGATGCTGTCCCTATAGTTGCCTGAGAAGATGCCCGACACATGTCCAGGAACAGGCTCAAGTCGAATGGGCCTGGTAGGCCTCATGAGCGCCTGTGGAGCTGGAATTAACCGCGGCAGAAAGATCCATCTCGAAAGTGTCGAGACCTGTGCGTTGGCGAGTACTGAACCTTCTCCCAGGATGGCTAGGAAACCAACAATGTCGAGTTGCAGGCTTTCCAGGTTCATGCTCCCATCATCGTTCGGCTTAAGCCAATGCATGTCTGGAAAGGATCAGGAGCTTGTGAGCGGCAAACGAACTAAAGACTGAGCGGTGCGGGAACGAAACATGGGCCAAAAACGAAGCGCTATGATGAAGTAGGGAGCAGGCTGTACGGGTATATAATAGATTGATGGCAACCCTGAGGCAAGAAACGCGGGTGACGACGCATGAACGTCGAAAAAGAAAGTCTGTACGCGACCAAGATGGGGGCCAGAACCCGACAGCAGCGACTCAAGCTTCAAGATGCATCTTCCGGGGGACACTTCCAAACCATTCCGGTCAGAAGGCTAGCCTCCAAGTCGAGGGAAGCGGGAGTTTGTGCGCTCCTCAGCCGCACAGATGGACGCTTTTGCAGCTCATTGGCACGTTTGGGTACCTCAGGCTTGAACGGCAGTGAGGGGCAAGTTGGCTGACAGGACGAGTGGCTAGGCTCCAGGGTAGCTGGCGCATAGCGAGGCGCTGCATAGCCTCGATGCTGTGAGAGATGAGAAATCCGCCCAGGTTGACTTCAAACCTTTGTTTCTGTAACAGACCCGCTTGTCGCAACAAATATCGCGACCATTTCTCTTGCTGCGCCCCGTCTGCGAGTGGAGCTTGCACTCGACTGTAGACGCCCGCCATCGCTGGTTCGAACAACATCCGCGACCGCACGCGCGCACGCACCAGGCTGGCACCCCGTGATACCACTGATAGCGATCGCTGCATCCACCGCCGAGCTTGCTTCGAAAAGGCGTTAGACGACGTGTCGCATCGAGGAAAAGAGTCAAAGAGAAGGGAGAGTGAATCGTGCAAAGCGTGCGCTGATGTATGTGGTTGCTCCTTCCTTCCCTGTCTTGTGTCCTCAGGCACGCGCGCTCTCTAGCCGTCTCGCCGCTGCCCTTCTTAGTACACGAGGAAGGAGCGCGGGACCTCACTTTCTTGGTTTCAACGTGCAAATGATCCCTTCTACATCCTGGACTACTTTCTCCCCGTTTCGCTATTTCTTGTGCCTATCCCCGTTGCCCCAAGTCATGTCTCCAGGCACCAGTCGTATTTTCTAGCCTTGTCCATTACTCTACTGGCTCCAAGGAGGCGCAGCTCCCTTTTGCAACACCAAAGACTTCTACGTGAACCGAGATACTGACCCAGTTGGGAATGGTCTAGGCCGAAAAGTGGGCCAGCGGCTATTGAAACTGGTACTTTATACACATCGCCTGGGTAGGCCATTTATCGACCCAGGACTTTGCCGTCTATAGCGCTCGCCTCACGGGAATCGGTAGCCTTTGACCGTCGAGAGACTGAACACAGCCCTCTTCTCTATACATCATAGGTACACCGGCCGAATCTTATAAGGCTGCGAATAAGCTTTTGAACTCGGTGTCACCACGCTCAGCTACCAGATCACTGGACCTGCAGCTTCTCTCAGCTACACCTCGACCGGTATGCGAAGCCGGTGACAGACTGCTGAATACTATCGTCATCGGCATGCCCACTGACGGTGACTCGAAGACGTCGGGCGAATCTCCAAAACCTCGTCAGGGGTGGTTAGCAAAGTGTGGTATCGTGATACCGACACTGTAAGTCACCTCAAGACTCTGAAGTTGGTCAAGTTTATCACTAACTGGTAAATTAGATCTGTACGTGAGAAGAGACACGGATCCCCAGAAGATCCCAACAGGCCAGTCATTATGACAGTCGCTGACTCACCCAAGAAGAGAAAAAGGACATCAAGTCCTCCGTCTCATAGAAGGATACCATTACAGCTTGGAGAGCCAAAGACCATCGACATGGCTCCAGATAACAAAACAACCAAAGATACTTTCACGGCAGCGCTAGGCAATACCAAAGAAGTCACAGCCTATACTTCAGCCCACTCTAAGCTCCTAGAAGCAGAAGACCAAGATGCTTGGGATCGTGAAGCAAGGCCCAAGGCTACCTCAAGGTCCAAAGACGATAAAACGGAAGAGCAGGCTGCGACCATCATTCGGGCTATTCGAGAGTTCGAGCGGAGGGTCATCTTTGGCAGCCTGCCGTCAGAAGCAATACCCGGGCCCGAGACTCGAGACATGGGTGGCCAGTTTCTTACTAACAAGGATCGCATAGACGGAGAGAGTATGCTATATGAGATAGCAAAGTTGGTTCCGAAGGGAGCCCTTTTACATCTTCACTTCAACGCCGAACTACATCCTGAGCGACTTTTAGAGCAAGCTCGAGAGATGGAGACCATGTACATTCGCAGCATTCGCCCCATCCTGACCCAGGAAGATCTTGACTTAACAGAGACGGTCTTCAGTGTTTTGGACCCAGACTTGGTCGAGCCTAACGTCAACATCTTTTCTCCAGACTATCCAGGGAATGCAACTAACTTCAAGGTAAACGAGTGGAAATATCGTATCTGGATGCCTTGGTCAAGTTTCCGCGCCGAGTTCGACAAAATGAAATTTTCGAAGAAATACAAGCAGCAAGAAGACGCTTTCATTATCGAGACACCTAAAAGCTGCTCTGAGCCGGGAAAAGTGAGTCTATATCCCGCCGAGAACTGGCTGAAGTCAAAGATGGTACTCAGCCAGGAGGAGGCATATGGTTTTACACAGACAGTAAACGGGTAAGTTCAATGTCTGCCTAGATTGAATGTGAATGGAATGTACTTACATAAAATAGCGTTTGGGCACGTTTCAACCAAGCAACACGCTGCTTTAAAGGTCTGCTAAATTATGAAGGCGTCTACAAATGGTACATTAGTAAGGCTATCGACCGCATGATTGATGAGAAGGTCATTTACGCCGAGCTACGGCCTATGCTTCTTGATAAGACCATACCCTCCAACGACGGCAAGAGCATGATCGACAACTCTTCGCAGATGCAGCTCATTATCGATGGCGTAAGAGAGAAGCAAGCTGAGCTCAAGAAGAAGGGAGAACTACACAAATTTCCATTTGGGCTCAAGATCATTTACTGCACGCCGCGCTCGATCCCGCGAGAATTGATGCAGAAGGAAATGATACATTGCATTGAGCTGAAGCAGGAATTCCCCGACCTTATCTGCGGTAAGCAAAATGCATCTAGCTTTCCTATTGCCACCCGCTGACTCCCATAGGGTTTGACCTCGTTGGAGCAGAAGACCGGCCCAATCATATTGGCTTCTATAAAGAGGAATTTATTGCCTTCCAGAAGACCTGCCAGGAGAAGAACCTTGATATTCCCTTCCTATTTCATGCGGGCGAAACACTACTTGATACCGGCGGCTCCGCCAATCCAGCCAATTCAAACCTGTACGACGCGGTCCTACTCAATTCGAAGCGCATAGGCCACGGCTTCGCCCTTATGAAGCACCCACACCTTGTCGAGAAGTTCAAGAAGACAAACTCAAGTCGGGGTATTTGTATCGAGCTGTGCCCAATTTCGAACGAGCTTTTGCACCTTTGTAGAAACATAAAGGAGCACCCATTTCCCGAACTGTTAGCTGCAGGTATACCCTGCACCGTTAATTCAGACAATCCTTCGCTTTTCAGGTATGTCACACCCTTTCCTTTTGCCAGCTTTATAAAAATGCTAACGTGCGCAAAAGCAACTCCATGTCCCACGAATTTTACCAGATTATGGTCGGCGCACCCACAATGTCACTGTACAGCTGGAAGCAGCTCGCACGCTGGAGTCTCGAGTACAGCTGTCTCACGCCAGCCGAGCAAGCCAAGGGTCGCGAGTATCTAGACCAAAGCTGGAAAGAATTCTGCCAGCATGTTGTCGACAAGTACGGCCATCTAATGGCTGGCGATGAAATTGACGAGGCTAAGGCGAAAGAGGCGTATCCCGAGCGACAAGCTACTACGCTCTGAGCTCACGTCCTAGCATAACTACACACTGCTAGGCTTTTGCCTGAGTTGTTGAGGACCTTGGTCTCTCTTCGAGGGTGTAGCGAAGGGCGCTACGGGTCGAGTCGCGAGCCGTGAGACTGATTGGGGTGGTGTAGTGCCAGGCCGAGCTTAGCAAGCAGCAACATGGAATTTGTTCATGGTTTAGTATGGCATGCTTGTGAACATGATATGCCGCTACACAAAGGTACTAGAGCCGGTAGGATAGACCTAGAGGCTCTTTACCCCACTGTGCTGTGATGATTTAGTAGTATAGCTGTCGAGCAATGCCGAATTTCAAAGTTTTCTTTACTAATACAGTTGTTTCTCTAATTCCACGAAATTTTGCTGTAATTCCGTGTAAACCTCTTCCGCATCGACACCACAGTTCTTAGACCTGTTCAAATTAGTGTTGGTAGATTATGGTAAATCTTGCAGAATAATTCATGGAGACATTCAGTGTGGAGGTACTACCTAGTGATATGACTTTGTTCAAAAACCAATGCATCCCTTTCTTTGCATCACCCTAATGAATCTGCATTGAGCTGCCACTCTGGCCTTGGCTCCCGCCACTCATCGAACTCCTGCTCTCCCGGCATTTCCGTGCCATCCGCAAGCCGCAGCCTCGGGAAGTTCCTGTCCTCCCACTTGTACGTGGCTTCCTTGCTCGCCAACTCCTCATTCACCAAAACCAGCGCACCGGAATGCCACCCCGCGGCGCTAACCCTTAGCGCAAAGTACGCTCCAAGGCCATCCTCCCCTCCATCTTGATCCCAAGTCCGGCCCTCCTGTTCGAACCACTCACTCACTTCGCCTTGAACATTCCGATCGTTGTCAAACAGTGATCGGCGTGCTGCACTTTCTTCCTCGTCCTTCTTACCGTGCACTACATGGTCAACCCACTCCTTCTTCCTTGTGTCAAACCAGACTTGCCGACCACGTATGTAAGCATGCGGAAGTAGTTGCCCATTGTGACTGAACCTGTCGTACAAGATGCCGCGAGCCTGGCCACCTGAGCCCGTTTCATCGCCTAGACCCAAGGCACCGCAAGCATGCATCTCGGTACCGTAGGATGTAATCTTGCCATTTGAGTGTAGGGCAAGGTAGTGGTAGTCACCGAAAGCCACAGATATAACATCATTGTGCTGTAGAGCGGGGATGTTCTTCAAGCCTTGGATGTTATTCTGTTCAGGGTCGGTATGCTGCGCGCTCCAGCATGCTTCGAGGTAGTCTTGATTAGTAGTAATGACTTCGCCGTTCTTGAAAATAGCAAAGCGGCGGAATGAACCTTGGACATCTAGTGATGTTCCATTCTCATTCCGCAGCTGTCGTAGTTCGAGAATGTTGTCGACTCTGTTTTTGTCCCCGAAACGGCCGCAATAAACCCTGCCGATATCTGTGACAAAAACTACAAAGTGCTCAAGCACGATGTAGCTTTGGACAGCGCCGACTTCGATGGCAAGCGCCTTTTCTTCTGCAGATTCGCTCTTGCCCTGGGCATGCTTGTAGCCAGTTTTCGGAACTTCAGCATGTTCCAGAACTAGCATAGTATCGGTCAAGTCGTCACCATGGTCTCGCTCAACGGGGTCCCATACTACTATGCCGATGCCTTGAACGAAAGCCGAACTACGACTCCATCCAGCAACCACCTGCTTGACCTGTCCATATGCGGACGGCTGACTTGGCGATGTATGCAAAGATAGCTCTTTCAAATCTAGGCTCGCAAACTTGACTTGTAGAGCCGGGCGTTTGACGTGGTACCATGACCATATCCTGCCACTGTCCGAAAGCGCTAGTATGTGTGATCGACCCGCAGAGAATTGGCGGATGGCAGTGGTTGGTTCTTCGTACTGAGCGTCTGCGGACGATGATGAGTAACCTGCCGGAAATGTGAGTGGTCGTAAACGCTCGTTGCCAGAGAGAACCCTTTGTCCGTCGAGGACGCCGACGGTGTGAAGGGAACCTTTCGAGGTGAGGAGGGTCGTGGACCAGCCGCTATCTAGGTCAGTCGAATGTTCTATAACACAAAATGTGCTCCGTAGCACTTACCCGCATTGCATATCCGCGATAACACCTAGATCTCGTGTGTCTTCCATCTCGGTAGGGAACGAACAGGTTTGGTTATTGTACCTCAGCATTCCTGGTCGTCGGGCCCGCGGCATGCTAGGGTTTTGATCATAGCCATGTCCTAATCGACTATGTGTGTTACTGCCCCATGTGAAGACGTGGCTCTGGGTGAGCAACCGACGGTACATCTTCTGCCAGCGGACGCCATCGTGCTGAACGACGGGCTGATTAGGGACTCGGAATGCACTACGGGTTGCAAAGCTCCAGTACGCGGGATCGAGTCGGATTGAGGGCTGCTGAAAGGCTTTACAGGTGCTACAGAGGGAGAGGAAGCTCTTCGCGTCTAGGTATGGGAAGACGAGGACGAGGATGTCGAGAGGAAGGTCGGTGATTGAGCCGATTCTGTCCGTCATCGTAGGTAGCAAGGGCTAGAGAGTAATGGTATAAAGTTTGAGTGTGAAATGGGAGTTTAAAAGCACTATCCATCCACCATGTCAGTGGACGTCTCCAGACAGGAACTGGAATGTTTGGCGGGCACAACGCCATGACGCAACCGTTCGCGGGTCGCGACTGCCCCACGTCCGAAATCCTGGCGCGCTAGCGTTGAAGCGGCTAATACATTTCTGACTCAATTCACGACTGGACCCTTTATCAAATTTCCGTCCGTCCAGCGACTGCCACAACATCAACGAGCTGTACTGCTGCACCTAGCTAATTCGGGTCGCAATATTCGGAAGGTCTCCTTGACTCTCTAGACTTAGCGCTGTTACCTTTACATTAGCTCTGCACACCAGCAAACATCACGCTTTGTCAGACTCATCACACTCTGGAAAGGTTGAGGACAACACCAAGGACCACCGTCATGTCTGAAGCTCCAGCTGCTGAAGCAGCGCAAGTGCCTACATCAACGGCGTCGACCGTTCCAAACGAAACACCTGCAACAGCAAATGGTGACGCGACAAACGAACCAAAGAAGCTCTCACCAGCTGAGCTAAAGAAGCAAAAACAGGCAGAGAAGCAAGCAAAGAGAGCGCAAGCCAAAGCCGCAAGTAACACGCCAAGTCAACAGCAGGGGCCACCCAAAGAAAGCCAGAAGCAGCAAAAGGACTCGAAGCAAGCACCAAGGGATGACAAATCAAGACCATTGCCCACACGGAGACGACCTTCTCAGTCAAATGTCCCATTAGTAAAGGAGCCCGAGAAAAAACCCAAGAAAGAAACAAAGCAGGCCGGACTCTTCTTTGGACATCTGTACAGCCAGCCAAAACAACAATCCCTGGTTGGAGCGTCTAAAGACGTGCATCCCGCGGTCCTCGCTCTTGGCCTCCAGTATAGCAGCTATGCTATCTGCGGCAGCACAGCTCGCATGGTGGCTATGCTTCTGGTATTCAAGGCGGTCATCGAGTCATATTCGACACCTCCAGGAAACAGTCTGGCTCGACATCTTACGAACCACCACCTTAGCCCTCAGATCGAGTTCCTAAAGAGCTGTAGACCGCTCAGTATTAGTATGGGCAATGCCATTAGGTGGCTGAAGGATGGTGAGGATATCTTCTTTTGCACATTCATTTCGTAACACTGTGTTCAATGTGTAACTAACAACATTGTAGTCATCATTAAAATCGATCCCTCGACGCCTGAGAACGAGGCAAAGCGGGACCTATTGGAAGAGATCGACATGTTCATTCGTGAGCGAGTTACGGCCGCTGACAGACTCATCCGCGATCTAGCAGCGACAAAGATCGAGCCTGGAGATGTCATCCTGACCTACGCAGCATCTTCGATCGTTGAGCAAGCCATACTACACGCTCACAAGTCCGGCGTACCCTTTTCAGTAATCGTAGTCGACTCAAAACCACTCTTCGAAGGCAAGCAGCTTGCGCGAAAGCTAGCAAACCAGGGCGTCAAGGTGCGGTACTACCTGATCACAGGTGCATCCCACGCCGTCAAGGACGCGACTAAGGTGTTCTTGGGAGCACACGCGATGATGTCGAACGGTCGTCTCTACTCACGTGTTGGCACTGCACTGGTATCCATGCTAGCTAACGCACATTCGCTGCCCATCATTGTCCTCTGCCAGTCAGTCAAGTTCACCGAGAAGGTTGCCCTAGACTCGATCGTCGGCAACGAAGTCGCTCCAGCTGAGGAATTGCTGTCAGAGGCCCAACGCCGAGACTTACTCCCGCTCAAGTCAATGTTACCATCATCCAAGGGTGAAGAGAAGCCGGATTCAGAAGACGCTAGCGCCGACACTACCGACGTGTTGAAGTGGGTTGAAGATAATAAGAACTTGCATCATCTTCAGGTCCTCTACGACGTCACACCCACACACTATATCAACATGGTCATTACCGAATACGGCAGCCTACCGCCTAGCTCGGTCCCTGTTGTTCACCGATTGAGTACGAACATATAAATCCTGCTGCGCGTGTCTCCTTTTTTAGGATTTTCATTTTTAAACCAGGCGCTAATTGGACCTTCAGGAACCGAAGAGCTGGTGATATGACCCACGAAGAACGATCACCCTAGGTGATGTCAGAACGACGAGATGTAGGATTGATGGAAGGTGGTTGTAATTGTTATGCATTCGAATATTGCAAGGGAGGCTCTGATTACTGCCCGATCAAGGCAAGCTCGTTCTTATGCCAAAATAGACTACTTCCAAACTTTAATCCATCTAATCAGTACTGACTTACCTTTTCTAAGAATTGCACTCATCACCCAGCGCCAGGCGCAGCATTACCACTTCCGCGGACCGCCTGGTCTGAAATGCAAGCCTCGAAGCAGGAGCGAATGGACAGCTGATCTCCCCGAAAATAAGCCACCACCTGCACGAACTCGCTTGGGTGTGGGGTCATGAAAGTCTTAGTCAAACAAGGCTGTCTAATATCTTTCGCTGTTCCCACAACAATTTCTAGCCTCGTTGTGTTGCTAGAGGCACATGAGATATTGGATGATTCGCGCCACCCCCAAGTCTCTGGGCGCTAAAGTGAGATTTAAAGCCAGCACGGGAGCCATTTGCGTAATTTTGAGTGCTTAAAGTAACCTCTTTACCTATGTGAGATGGATGACATTGTGAAGTAGGAAGTAAATCATGTATATGATAAGGTCCGTGAGGCTGGCGTATTCAGGGTTGCTTTACAAAACGTCGAGCTCATCTATCAAAGTACCAAAAATGTCTCATAGATAGCTATTTCCAGATAAATAGCAAGGTTTTGTAGCATTGTAGCAGAACACTTCACACATATGGCGTTTCTGTACTTACAAATATACATATCATGAGTTTCTAGGGAGTAAATTTCTTCGCTACTCTCGTCAGCCCCAGGCTGTCCACTGTGCGTGTTCGTCGCAGCATTTTCCTCCATCATCTGACGTTGGGTTCAGTGCCTGTAGTTAGTTGGGATCCCATTCCTCGCAGGCGTGCGGAGTAGTGGTCTGTTTATCCCTGGAAAGGTCTCGTATGCGTCCACAAACGTTATCATAGCAATATATAACTTGTAAAAGTTGATTGAGAAGATACACTACTTATCTTACAACTTGACCAAAATCTTAGTATACAAGGCAGTGTAATCGAGTCATAGGCTAAGAACTGGCCTAAATCTAAAATCTAAAAAGGTTCTTACTCCGGACCTTTGCACTCGGCGCTGACATACTCGCGGTGAGCTTACAGGAAACTTCACTCGATACTGCCCTGAGAGTCATTCTACCACCACCCGGTCAGAAAAACTTGGGCACCTCACGTGACACGCTAGTCCATGCAAGCCAATAGGAATAAGAATCTACTGTGGCTAAGTGACTGTGCCACAGATTTGCATCACGTGAGTGTCCGAGTTATTCTGACCGGGTGGTGCTACCACTGCAAAAAGAACCATCAATATGTCATGTGTTTTAACATTTGTAACCTAACAAAGAGTCTATGCCTCTGCCCTACCCTCTACGCTACTTCTGGCTAGGAAGCTCGTAACAGGGAGACACGCTCTGCAGTTCGGATGGTTGTGTGAAGACTTCATGCACTGTATCATGTCCTGGCTGCTTTTGCATGTGAGCCTCGTCATAGTAGGAAGCAGCAGGCAACGGCGCCGAAGATAATGCATGCTTGCTCCTTTGACGTTTGCTTAGGTAGAATAACACTCCCGCGATGATGGTTGCGCCCGCGATCACGAGCCCAATTATTGGGCCGACGATGGTGCCTTTACTAACCCCCCTATTGTGCGTCTCTGCTGCCGTGCTTGGAGCCGCGGTAGCTTCGGGATTCGTCCCTTGCGTTATCGATGATGGACTGCTTGAGGATCTTGCTGACGACGAGGAAGCCGTAGATGATGTAGCTGTGGTTGAAGATGCTGCTGACGACGATAATGTTACCGATTTACTTGCGCTGTGATCTCGTGTGAGATACCAGCTGGTGCTCCAGAAGCCCTCGCTGTTCTGCTCCTCGGTGGTTCCCTGGGCATTGACGATTCTGAAGACAAATGGATTCGTGAGATTTGACTCTTCGGCGCGGACCTCCCACTGGTACCAATCGGCTGCCAAGTTAGCTAGGGGCACTATTAGTAGAGTTTGCGAGAATCTGAGCATGTTGCTGCACTCACTACCGAGCTGTACCGAGTTTGCAACTTTCCCCCTTTGGTAGAAGTATAGATTGATGTTTTCGTACGTTTTTGACCACGAGATGTTAATGCTGGAGCCTTCGCGGAAAGTAAGCGGGTATGTCCGCGGGAAGAGGAAGGAGCCGTTGATTGAGTCTTGAGGTGTCGTCCAGACGCGTCCTTCTTCTCTTGGCAAGACATGAGATGGAAGCAGTGTCGAGCTCAGAATCCCTAGCTTAGCAAAAAGGGCCCTCATATTCTCCTTGATATTATTGTAAGAAAGCTGGTAGTCCGGAAGGTAAACAGGGACATAGGTTGAGGGGAAATGCCTTGCCAATATGCCCCAAGTTTCATTTGAAGCTAGAACGCCTCAATCCTTTGCTGTGCCGCATCGGATGAATGTACAGATTGGGTCATTGGGACCGTGACTCCGGCAGACTGGGTAAGCAGTACAGGAACAGTATGTATAAAGCAGGACGATTTGCAGGCCCACGTGTGGTTTCAGGCAAAATGATCTTCGGTAAATCTTCTTGATGATCCTTCATTGCCGCTACCGCGATACACAGTTGATGTTGTTGGAAAGGTGGATGGCAGCGGTCATGTCTGCGATTTTTGCTTTTAGTAGCCTCAGCCAATCATCGCTCTTGTCTGCCGCCGCCAAGAGCTCTAGCGCCGTCACTCTCCAAAACCCCTGCCCAGCAATGTCGCTGCCATAGTTGGTCACATAAGGCGGTTGACCATCTATTATTTCTTGATAACGAAGATGAGGTTTGGAAGACAGCGTAATGTTTAACATACTCACAATGCAATTGGTGTTCTAGTGTAATTGATCCCGGTGGGAATCAAGTTACAACAATTCGGCGTCCTCGCATGACAAGATAGCCAGATCGAAGCATAAGGGCCGAGCGCGCCCCTCTACTGTGCCGCAATGTGCTCATTTAGATCACCGCCAATCCTAGATGCCGACGAGGCCGAGGCCAAATAAAGTTGGGTCACATTTTCTCTATCTTCGTTCCGACATGCTCCATTGGAAAGGTTGAAAATGACTGCAGGACGGTCCTGGGTGAACTTTCGACGCAGAAATCGTACCGTATTTACCGCCTTGGTCGTTTCCTTCCTCTTCTTCTACTCATGTCAAAGGTCAACAATTAGTACCAACATACCAAATCAGCACCGAAACACACTCTACTGTCCGCAGAACCCCATCGCGAAGGAAGTCCTGGTGGTCCTTCGGACAGGCGCAACCGAGGTACTCGAAAAGTTGCCGGTCCATTTCGATACTACATTGCGCTGCATACCGAACTATGCTATCTATTCCGACTACGAAGAAGATATCAAGGGGAGTCATATCCATGATGTTTTCGACGAGATCAGCCATGATCTCCAACAGTTAGTGCCGGATTTCGAACTATACCATCGGCTCAAGACGAAGGGTCGAGATGGCCTCTCTATTGACGGCACTGAACATGATGGAAGTGGCCCTTCGGGTCTCTTAGGCAACCCTGGATGGAAGCTCGACAAGTTTAAATTTTTGCCCATGATCGATAAAGCTCTCCGCCACAGACCGCAAGCGAAGTGGTTCGTCTTTATCGAGCTAGACACGTACCTGATGTGGGGCAATCTTCTGGAATATTTATCGAAGTTCAATGCGGAGGTACCGTATTATATCGGCAAGCAGATGTACATCGGCGAGGTGCTGTTTGCTCATGGTGGTTCAGGGTTCGCCCTATCGGCGCCTGCGATGAGGAGAGTGACAGAGCATTGGAGGGCTCACATGGTCGAGTATAATCAGTACACGATAGAGCAATGGGCCGGTGACATGGTACTTGGAAAAGCGTTGAAGGACGTTCTAGTACCACTGCTTTGGGCGTTCCCTCACTTCCAAGGTGATCCGGTGTCAACGCTCGATCACAACATCACGAAGATCGACAGGCGACCGTGGTGCTACCCCGCTATTACCTACCACCACATGCCCGAAGACGAGATCCGATTGTTGTGGAAGTTTGAACAAGAGTGGCAGCGTACGCATCCAATAGATGCTCCCTTACGGCATGCCGATGTATTCAAAGGATACATACATCCTTACCTGAGCAAAGAGCGAGCGGAATGGGATAATTACTCAGTAAATCCAGAGTTTAGCAAAACTGCTTTGAAGAACGGGGAGGCTCACACTTCTTTCGAAGCTTGCAGGTCGGCATGCGAAAGCAATCCCATGTGCCTACAATTCTCGTACCGTACTTCTATGTGTTTGGTCTCGAGTGAAGTACGCTTGGGTCGAATGGCGACATTGCAGTGTTCGGAGTATTCCACTGCTGCTTCAAAATGTGACAAAAAGGAAGAAATGGCGGTGGGAATGGATGAGGAAGGCCAGGGTGCGGTCCGTTCTGGTTGGATGGTGGACAGAGTAGCAAAGTACGTGAGTGCTATGGATCAGACTTGCAACCCCCGTATGGACTGGATTGTCTAGAGAACAGGCAGCTTGAATTGATATTGTTTGATTATCACCATATACGACAACGATAAAGCAAAACCGTCTCTATATCTCCACTCATATATGCAATCTATAGGACCATCGCAACACTAGACTTCACCAACTAGATGCTGACCCCCAGTAACGAGTTTATACATGCTCCCGGCTTCCGGCCTCCATCCCTATTCTTCTCGCAAATTTTAGGGGTTCTGAACATTCGCTTCTTATTAAAAACGACACTCGGTTGTGATCTTTCCGATATTCCACCAAATACATTTGCGACCAATTTTCTGGGGTTGAAATTATGGCTAGATTGCAAATTTATTAAATTGAGGTGTGTATTCATTCCCTGTAAAATAAAGGTTCTGGTCTGGATCGTATAAGGCGAATACAACATGATGAATGTGAACAGTGTTAAGGGTAGTGGCCAGTTGTTCGAGCACGGTTGCTGTTCCGAGACTTGACTGAAGATCACGACCCGTATGAGAGGCACCCGCTTTTCAACATGTCCTTTTTGATTGTTAGGCACCGAGCCGACAAAAGAAGAATCTAACTAATCTGTCACGGCTAGTTGAAGCTTGCAAATGAACAAGGCAAAAATAAAGGATAAATGATAGATTCGAAACCGAGGGCGTCCCCATCAATATTCTAAAATCTAGCTAGCGAGTGACGCGAAGAGAAGGAAACGGTCCACCACACATCAGTCCTAAGTCAGCTTTGTCGGAGTGTTGGACCCGACTCTGCTACCTATGCCTGCATTTTTCACACACTTTCGAGACAGTTGACCGGAGCGATTGTAAACCTTGTAGTAGTGACTTTGATCGGTGTTTGAAACTTGATGTTCACATACGGCAATCTATTTGCAAGTACCCACAGCTCTGGCTGAGCGAATAAATTTGGGCGCGCCCAAAGTGGAGCACTCGTGAGTCCTGGTGAACGTGATGAAGTTCACGCTAGAGCAGGTGGTGTCGGACCACGCAACGACTATCAAAGTCAGTGACTGTATCGCCAATAATCTTTAAGGGTCACTTGCGTCTGCAACCAGCAGGAAGTGCGGGCAGGTTGTCAATACGGCCGCTGTCAGTGTTTCCGCTAACGGGGGCGATAGGGAAGCAAGAGCCATCGGTGGGGACATTGGCAACGAAGACTGGTTTTGTGGGGAAGGGGGGGTCATTGCAGCCTCCACCAGTATATATGCCGAGGGGGATAGTATCGAGGCGCTTGCTCATCTGGTTAGGAGCAGCGTGGATGCCGACGGTGGCGACGAGAAGAGCAACCATAGTGGTGAACTGCATTTTTGCTACTGGTGCTTTGGTGTTGGTAGAGTAAATCTTGAAAATTATGGGTGTTTTGATGTGGAAGCCTAAAGTTGATGAATGTTTGCTGTGATGGGATGAGGATTTAAAGCTAGGAAGTGGTGAGATCTTTATAGTTCTGATGGTCGTCCATCACACAGGCGGCGCCCTTTTCTCTCCAGCTTCGATTGAAAGGTCAGGTTGGCGAGTGCCGCTGACACGAACAATACACTCCGCCACAGACACCTTAACAGGTGGTGATATTGACAGTAGCCTACCCGCCAACATGTTGGAGTGATGTAATCCGAAGAGCTTACATTTTGGCGACCGTCGAGGCGACTTTGATGTGGAACATAGCTCTGATATTTGACGTAATGCGAATGCTACACTACCGTAAGCGCTCCAAGATCCAATCCTTATGCCGTGTTGACCGTGTACGGCGTTAGTAGACGAGAGTTTCTATTATATAGCAAGCTGAATGTTGTTCCTTGCGTCCACTAAGTTCATCAGATAGAAAGGGCCTAGCTTTGAGGTTGTATGACTATAATCATAACTCGTGATCCAGAAATTGTTATTCATTTGTCCGAGACGTTCTCGAACGTTAGCCATGAAAGGAAAATGTAGCTTGAAATGAACGGCTAGTGTATAAACCATGCAATATCTGTTCAATATATAGTCGACCTATATCCTATTAGCACTCGTGGCAACAGGACTCGTGTCGCTGACCGCCACAGTGCCAAACTCTAGATGTACCCCCACTTCCGCGGATGGTGATCACTAGTACGGGTCGTCGGCCTGGATGTATGTTATATCCTATTCTTGAAGAGTCACATAAAGAATGTTTTCAATGATCAGCAGCTATGGACATAGTAGACACCCGCGTTATCTGCACGATAATGCTACATGTCAAGTTACAAACAGTCACAAATTGAGCGAATAAAAAGCTGTAAAGATTATCTATGGCTATCTGAAAACGTAGAAACAGTTTTGCGAGAATGAGCAATAGACTACCCCGACGCAAAACTCTGCCGCAGCACACATGTGACCTCGTTATGCTTATACTCGTAAGCTCACCGGTGCGTCACCCTCAGAGCAAATGCACAGGGTTTTCATCGGTGTTTCAAGGGCATAATCGTTGACCCGATAGGTTGAAACGGCTGGTTTTATAGAGGGGAAGTACAGCTTGGCATATGGGCTAGATGTGGTGGGGTTACGTATGGACCAAGAAGTCTCGTGAACAGATTCGCGGAAGCGATGCGATAGGTAGAACTGCTGACATGCAAGGGCAATGCACAATCACACACGAGCGCGTTTCTTAGTGCTCGGTCATTCGGGAACGAAAGATTACTATGACACTCGGTTTTGCATCCGGACGTGAACCTGATTCGCCCAACTTAGGTGAAGGCCCAGCTAGCATTACTTTTGCATCCTAGTGAAGGACCGCTTTGCGGCGGAAGTGCTAAGCCCCCGCGTCAGCCGTACGGTAGAGATGTTGGTGGGATAGTCTAAGCATAAGGACGACTTAGGTTGTAATGTTGGTAAGAGTGTAGTACCATCATTTTGCCAATGAAAACAGGCTGGGGTTGTCAGCACAGGGCGTTGGAAGTTGGAAACTGCTCATTCAGGTGACCCCGGCGTCCTCCGTCTGAGTAAAGAGCATCGAGAAATCTATGGAGTGCACTGCATTTCCGAGTATCGAGATACTTAGTGAAACCGTTGTGGATCCTTGGAATATATGTAGAAACAAAAGGTAGAGATGCTGAACCCCCATGCTGCTGTGTAGGCTAAATGCAATCTGTCAGGGGATTGGCCCACAGAAATTCTCACTCGGGGCCACAGCTGAGGGGTTTGATATAGATGAGTGGACCCACGGATACATTTTGTATTTTCGAAAAGATTCGATGCCTCTGTGCGTGCACTAAGTTGCACGGTTTGTATAGGGAGCATCTGGTAGCTGCAGGGCACTGGAGTCGCTGCGTGAGAAGATGCCATTGATGTCATCGTGACGACAGTTATTATACGACATCACGGACCGGAAGCCCAAAGGTCATGAAGAGACATGTGGGATCGTAAGTGTTGGAAGGTCCGATGTTGACATGGAGTTTTGGCTGGGGCGCACATCGCTTAGTCAACTATTGGCAAGACGTCGCATCATGAAAGCCAAACTACTTGTTTTGTCCTGTAAAGCCGTCCATGCTATCCACCTCAAATCGCGGTGCTAATCAAACTAGGTGTACGTCTATCAGCTTCTCCTCCGGATTCTCTTTCCATACCTCTCCCTCCATGATACCATGCACGTATGCCTCTCCCACCACCTCCCACCTCTCTTCCCCAACCCTAGGAGCATCCTCGTCAGTTCTCTCTATTCCTACAGCTCTCCGTAAAACAAAAGGTACCCTTGCTCCCTGCGACAACCAAACAGCACCCCCGACCTGACTACTATCTGGCACTAAGCCCAAATACCCCTTCACCGTCCTTGCTACACGGCGCAAATGCATTTTATGGTTCATTGCGCCACTGAATAGGCTATCCCAGTCTTGTGCATCAGGTACGCTAGGCGCGTGAGGTATAGCGGAAGGAGTGTCGGGCTTGAAGTCGCGATTCCGTTGGAGCTCAGTGATGTAAAAGCATGAAGGATTTGCACATAACAAGCGGCTTTGGGTACCCCTAGATTGTGCATGAGATGGAGAGGAATAAGTGAATTTTTCCAAAGTGGAGGGACATGAACATGTTACTGACTCCAACTGGCGATCTTCGTCCCACGAAAGTATAAAGCCACTATTGTCGGTTTTAGCGAGGTTGTTTAGATCGTGAAGAATTGGGAGCGCAGCGTCTTCATATGTGATTCCTGTATCTTGTAGTCCAGAAAACCAACACATTCTATGCAGTTGTCGGAACCTGCGCGAAACAAGTATCTCTTCGCACAACAACCTTGAACTCCTCCATGTTGTCTATTGAGTAGATAGATAGGCCCCTGACCTCATTCGCCACGAAGGTGTGGATGAGAGCTTCACCTCGCGTTTGGCCTGTTAAATACATAGCCGGAATTTTGAGCGTCATCGACGTCCACAACGGATCGTAGCCCACACCGTGGCCATGCCAACTCCAGGCTTCGGCTAGTTCTGTAACTCGATCAATTTCCTTTCCACGTACAGTCAAAACGCGGAAATCACTTGACACCAATGAAGGCACCACAGGTGGAGCTTTTGAATGTCCCGTAGCCCGATGAACTACATTTGTAAAAGCCAGTTCTTGCTGATTGATGTTTGTGGCGACCTCAAACTCTCCAATCCACGACGGGAATTCCGGAAGATTTCGCCGTGCCTTGTCGATCACCCAGCATAGAATGTCTAGGTTTTGCGTTTCTTGGATCCAGTACCGAATCGCTTCACTGTATAGCTCCTCTGTGCTCTTGTTATAGTCCGGATCTATGCCAAACGCACCTCGTGGTGCCATACCCAACATCGCATAGACCTTGTCTCTTGGATCGAAACAGCCCGAAGCCCGTGTCAGTATCAACAGCTGCTGAAAGCGAAAGGGCAACGTGTTAGATTCCGCTCTTGCTATTGACATCTGATTCCGATATGTGTATAGATTTACCACCGCCGTCGTATGCTCGACTCCACGATTAAGCCTCATTGGAATGACGAACGCTTGCCCGATGGGCTCGTGCAAATTGTATTTCTTGACATGGATCATAAATTCGGCGACTTGCTGTAAATCTTCCAGCTGTAATTCATCGGGGCCACAAAGAATGCGCAGATCCTTTGCCAATACCATCTCTTGGAGAACCCAACACCGGAAGAAGTATCGTCTGGCGTAAAAGCGTGACAGGCTTTCATAATGAGCGTCTGGTATCGAAAGGATCTCTTCCGTTAGAGGGTTTGATGAGGCAACGAAGCGGACCTTACTATGCTCGCGCTCGAAATTTGATGATTCTAATATCGATACTAGCTTTTGAATCAGAGGGACAGAAACCTCACTATCTTTGTCCGATGGGCCCAGCCACGAGATGACCAATGATGCCGTGCTGTAAATCTGCGACATCATGCCAACCTGCATATTCCGCTCTTGAATATTTGCCTGGTCGATACACAAGTAGTCTACCCATAGATATGGTGTCATATCACGAAACGTCTTATCCTCTGCGTGTCGCCGCGAAATAGCCCTCAGCCCTGCGTCAAGATTGCTAGTAATATTGACTTGCACGCCGTTACAGATAATGGATACATCTTGATTGCATGTGGCCAATGGCTCTTCGTACCAGGGTCAGAAGTATAGATCACCCCAGGTGTAGGAGAGAGCGTTGAAGTCAAGACAGTCGCCATCGAGGTCTGTTGTGTGGAGTGTGCATTGAAGCGGCGCACGACCAGCCGTGCTGGTCATAGGTTGAAGTACTTCCAGAACTCTAATAGATGTCTCCGTCGGTAGAGTTCTGTAAAGGTGCCGAGAACCACTTTCTGAAGTCTGTGAGTCCATCCTCATTTGGCGGCTACGCTCTACGTCAGCTTCGTGCAGCAACGTCATTTTCAGCCCTAGATGGATTTCGTAGTTCACAGGGATGCACGAAGCAAAGTAGTAGAGGACCTTATCTTGCTATAGGATGAAAGAATCCTCAATTTATTAGGTTCAGCTGAGTGCTACGCTATGATAACTGAGAGAACGTAACGTCAAAGCGGATGGACGATTTTGCAGCGATGAGACTCTAGGACTCTTGCGCTAGTACCAGTTCGGTCTAGATCAGGGACTAGTGCCCCGGCGCAGTTGCACGTCCACACCTCAACTATACATCAGACCTTTCTATTCCAAAGCGCCATAGAAAACTTTTTTGTGACAAGTTTCGTTCTCATCGTCGTAACCCTAGGATACTGAAAGGTGGCGTCTTATTCTTTGCGTTTGACATGACAACGCACCCGCAAATCTCCCTTGCAGCACTCCCAGATAGCTCTCGGGCGCACATGGACTTTCTCGACTCCACATGGTTCAAGACCCATGGTCGAACACGACAATTTCCGACGCCCGAATATGTACGCTCCTTCTTCAGGCCGACACAGCTTCTTCGTCCTGTCAGATTTGAGGATCTGGGTCTCATTGTCAAATTCGGGCCAGATATATCCATGACGGAAGCAATCAATCTTTGGGTCATTCGGAAAGTCTTCCAGCATCTAGTACCAGTGCCCGAAGTTTACGGATGGAGGGTGCTCGAACGGGAAGGAAAACCCCGCGAAGTCTTCATCTACATGCAACTTGTCCAGGGGCCTACGCTCGAGCAACGGTGGATGACAATGTCTTTCGATGAAAAGCAGACGATAAGCAGCGATCTACGTGCTATGGTGTCTTATCTTCGCAGCTTTCGAGATAATGAATCGGAGCAATGTATTGGTAAGCTTGCTAGTTGGACAAGCACGACATTGCTAAGTCCTAACAGGTTCTATATGTCATGGCTCTGCGCCTGATCGCTGCTTGGAAGGCTTACCGTTGCTGAAGCCATTTCCCGCTCGAGTTGTCTTCCATGACTGGCTCTCCTGGTTGTGGCGCCGGCATGTTCCTGACCCACAGAGCCTCGAAGATCCTTGGAGGGACTTGCTTCCAGACGACGGGTCTATTGTTCTTACGCATGGTGATCTGCGTCCAGCTAACATTATCGTCACTGCTACGAGTCCTGCCAAGGTTGTTGCGATTCTTGACTGGGAGCAGGCAGGTTGGTATCCGGACTACTGGGAATATTGTAAAGCTATGTTCACAGCTTCATATAATGGAGAGTGGCGTGGGTGGATTGATCAGTTTTTAGATCCACACACGGCCCCTTTGGAAGCATTCAATTTCTACACGCGTACCCTTGGTCAACTTTAACATTCACGCACTCATAGAGAAGATAATAGTTTAAGTAGCGTTGAAGCAATTCTCGAGATATGGAACAGATGGGTTGCCACAAAACTGCCTTTATATTGCGATTGGTTGAGAAAAAGCAGAACAACTATCAGGAAACAAGCAGCCGGCTCCACGCAAGACAACGCATTTCTACATGCGAATCACAACGAGAGAAACCGCCAAACAAAACGAGCCTATAAATAGTAAACAATGAGTAAAATCAAGCAAAATCACGAACATAAGCAGTCGGCGAAACTTATGCGTCGCGTATTGGCCCAAGCTGGTTCACACCTGCCATACCCATTTTCCACTATCCCAACGTCTGTATCGCCTGTGCTCCGCATCCCAAATCCATCCAGTGGCTGCTGCTGTGGCTTGCTGTTGACTCTGCTGTGGTGTAGCTTGTGCCTGTTGAGGACGAGTAGCGGTGGGTCGTAGGCCAATGCCAAAATCTGGTGCGTCTCGTTTCGACTGGACGATTGCCACAGCCGCTTCGTCGAGGTAGCCGACGGCAACAAGCCGACGGACATAATCCATCGCCCATTCCTGGCACCTACGGTTCGATGTCTAAACTTGTCAGGAACCCCACATGTCGCCTGACTTTTACACTTACATCGTTCACTGGTGCTAGAAAACTGGCGCTGGCCCTGGGCGGTTGAATCTGTGTTGCCACTAGCTCAAGATCACCTCGTGGGGTAGTGTCTGTTCCCCTGTTGCCTTCGAAGTTGTGCACATGCTGAATGTGAATGGATCCGATTGGGACTAACTCTGGATGACGTGCAGAGTCCGTAGGACTGTATCTACGCTTGAACTCCAAAGAGAATCCCACCATCGGGGCCCCCACTACGTGGATAATGGTTCCCTCAGCACCGCCCTCTTCGTACGGCACCCATATCCCAAAATGGGCACGTTGGTTGGGCTGCCCACGGTACATGATGAGGAATACAGTGCGGGAAGACATTTTATAAACGGATAGAAACAAGCTGCCCAAAACATAAATTGCAGTAGTAAAGATGCTGAAATAGTGTTGTTTTTGGTGCGGTCGAGATCACTAATAGCAGGCTTTATATTATTTATACTCCGGATCGAAACTACTCTAGGCAGCACCGTTCACGTGTCTTGCTACGTGGCTGGATCCACTTCTATACCGGCAACCTTTCCAAGAGTCAGCTTTGAAGTCTAGCTTCAAAGAATCTCGGGTTTTGTCACTTACCTACAAATGTGCCATAGCCTATTGTACCGGACTACGAGTCATCAGCATATCGTCAAGAAGCACTACCAATATGGCCTCACATTATCACCATCGACATGTTGTTTCCGATAATGACGAACAGAGCCTCGTCCGTTGTGGAAAATTGTGTGAGTAGTGCGGATCCCACTGTCTAAAACGTATACATCAACTCCTTTCCCGCTATCGATCAGCAGTTTCTATACGGATACCGTTATCACGAAAAAAATCAGAGATGCCTCAGACGCGATGGTGAGGGAAAGCACTTAGACCTAATCATCCAGCGACTGTTCAGTCTCCCTACTACCAGCCTAAGTACTACAAGGATGGGCTTAGAAAAGAGTTGAGACGTGCCGCAAGGTGCCAATTACCCCCCTTAACATCATCCTGAATACCCCACCTAAGAGTCAATCTTCCCACCATGGTAGAAAAGCCTCCCTTGTCTTCCATCTCTTCTGACGAGCATTAGAGTGATACGGTTTGGTGTCATCAGAATGCCAATGAAGCTCAGGAGCGAAGACCATATTGTGAGAAACAGACTCCACACCTGGATCATACCGAATGACTGTCCTCGGTTCAGCAATGATGTGTGTCCCACCAATCAATATTCACATACTTTTATGCATAAACCTCTCATCGATACGAATATGATATATGTTGAGGATGGGCATATGATGAAAGATATCTGCTGTTTGAGAGAGATTTTGGCCTAGGAACTGGAAGTGCTGTTCAATTGTATAATTATCCCGAAGATTGACCAAGTATTCATCGGGGATTAGAGGCTGGCCTGGACTGTCGTCGATGCGGTGGTAGGGACATGGGTCCGAGGCTCTTTTGATGACGGTAGCGATGGAAAAAGTGTAGAAGATACAAAGGAAGGAAAGGATATATCGCATACTGGTAGTTGTTTCGCTCGCAAGTGGAGTTAATAGGAAGATTAGAATGCTTGGGTAGTCAGCGTTAGGAGAAGCACATTATATACTGGTTAGGGCAAATTGCCCCCGGGATAGCTAAGAGGATTTCCAAGAATTAATGTGGCGGGGTACTGTGATAAATATAGAATGCCCGCAACATGCTATCATTGAACGCTGTTAATTACAGTGCCGCATCCACGCCGTATTGCGAGGGTCGCAACCTTCTTTGCCTTGTGTAATTTGGTAACTGGTGTCATTCACCACTACAGTATTCAAGACGCCAAGGAGGCACAGTATTATGGCGCATAGTCCAACATGGGGGCTGTTTAATTCCTCGGGACACAGCTCGACATTAATCGCCATGATCTGGTAGCAATAATGACTACTATAATAGAGTGAAGCCATAACACTGAATCTCGCCCTAAGTTTCATCCCAAAGGCAACGCCTGTGAGATCTCCATGAAGACGGCGTATCGTTGCAATATTTGCGACCGCCGTAACTGCGCAATGTTGAGCGACGCCGCAATGGAAATTTTTCAATTCTGATCATTCCTGATAGGCCAGTAAATTTTGGGTAGCGCTTGGCTGCATTGCTTACAAGCCGTCGTGTTTCAATCCAAATCGACATTCGGCTCTAGCGTCACAACATTTGCAATGTTGCAGTCCACCATCTCAACGCCGGGATCTGCCCTAATCCGAGCAAGAAGATTGTCATCTACCCCGAAACCAGAATACGTAATACTATCAGGCCAAATTGCTCCGTATATGTGCCGAATGTGAGTCTCTAGGTAGGTGCCAACTGCTAGTGAATGATCGTTTAAGGAATGGCCAACTTTCAGCTGGACTAAGAACTCGCCGGCAACAACCGGACCATACTCTTCATCGCAGTATCTGAGAGGCGCTTCGTAGATGGTCGGCGACATCATGGTGAGAACTGCCTGAGGGCTGTTGGCGCAGGACATGGTGATGGAGAAAAGGGAGAGGAGGGAGAAAACTATCGAAGTAATTTTGGTGCCAAACATTGCAGTGGAGTTTCGAAGCAAGGGTTCGTATGATCTGTGTCGATGTTCTTGTTGTCGATACCATGAAAGTCTGATGGAAGCGGGGACAAGGTCGGTCGAAGCTGTCGTCATGCGGCGTAGCTTTGGAGCGCCTGCCTAGGTGCCGAGCCTTTCTGCAAACGCCGACATGTTTCAGTTATACCTGCAACAGCTGGCAAGTGTGTGCTGTTTTTCATGGGAGGCGCTTATGCCCAAGGGTTGCCTAGGAAGCTATCATTAGGTTGTGGCTGTACAAAGCTGTCCCGCGAACACGTTAACGACCTTTGATGGCAGTTCTCTTAAGCTTTGCAAGAAGTGTGATATACACGAGCCTATTCGTTTATATCCGGGTTGTTTGATTTTGCACGCTGCTGATGCGCATAGGAAGGTTCAAGCAAAAATAAATCGTTTCGTAATCTCATCGCTATCCAATAAGAAAAATGGGGGTATAATGAACAAACATCTTCTCTCCTCCCTCCTTTACTCTTCGTCATCGTATCCCTCTCTAGCATCAGCCCACCCACACTGCCATCTCTTCCCCTCACTTTCTCCACCTATCCTCAACTCCCTCGCCATGCTCCCCTCCTTCCACCGCCGAACACGGAAGTCGTCGCTCACGCTGATCAGACTACCGTTCCTTGCCCAGCTCACGCTCGTGACTTCAGCATCGTGGCCTCGAATGAGTGGCGTACCGTGCTCATAGATCGGGATAGTATCAGGGCAACGACTGTTCGTAGAAGAGCGCGATAGCGAGAGTCTAGACGAAGAACTGCGTGTAGTAACGTTGAGGCCGGGAAGTTCGTCTGCATCATCCTCTTGATGCCTAGATTCCCGGCGAAGGAACCTCTCGTCCGTGGGGAATAGTACGGGGCATCCATCCGTACTTCCAACAGCTAGTAGCTCTGGCTTATCTTGAGATGCTTTGCGCAATGAGGCTTTTACGTAGAACGAGCCTGCATGGAAGTTTTGGTGTCGAAAGCCATATAGGGGTCCTAAACCTTCTTGGCCTACTTGGCAGTATTTCTGCTTGGATGATGATGTTGTAGAGAGCTCTGGTGCCACTCCAAGGATAAGATGACTGGTAGAATAGGCATAAACTGTGTTGTCTTTGCTAAGGGCATAAAGACGTGATGCATCGCCGTTGAGAGTAAGCGAGTTGATAGCAAAGTGTCGGTGGCGGTTATGTGATTCCGGGTGTGATGTGGTCGAGATCGGTATTGCGGGACCACGTAGTGAGTATCGGCCCCTTATATCCCACAACTTGACGCATGTTGATGCGTCTGAAGCTGTCAGGAGTAGATGTTGCCGGCCCTCGGGTAGAAAGGAGAGCGCCGTGACGGAGATATCGTTACGACGGCTGACGCTCTCTGATTTAGCGCTTGAAGCTGTCTTATTAAGAGAAGTAGACGACCCCGAGCTCGTAGTTGGGGTACTGTCTGCGTGTGCTGATGCTAGTGTGCGAATAACGCTGGCATATGGCGCATCTGATCCCCAAGCCGAATGTACAGACATGTGGCCTCCTTTGCACCGCAAGTCCCAGATCTGCACGGCGCCATCTCGACTCGATGTTGCTACAATTTTGTCGTCGCCAGGCTGAAAGCGTACTTGCTTTACGGAAGACTTGTGCTTTGCGAGAACAGCGAGAGTCTTTTGGGTTCGAACGTCGACTATTTGCGCAGTCTGATCGCCCGAACCTGCAGCAAGATATGTATCGTCGGATGAGAATTGCAAGTCCATGACAGCATTTGAGTGAGCTCTCCATGACACGTGAGCCCGGGAGAAGTCGCCGTCGGAGTCTAGGAGGTGGATATATCCGTCTTCGTCCCCTACTGCGATGAGGGAGTTGGCTACGAGTGGTCAGTATCGTGGCAAGTGGGGATTGAGGGGTATAGCATACTGTTACAGCTGGCTGTGGTGAACGGCGGTGCGCCCTGTGGTAGTTGGTTCAGATCGTCTGAACTGCTGTAGAAGTCGGCTGTCTGACCCTGCCATGAAGTGCAGTGGTCACTCTTGAAACCCCTCCCCACACTCAAGATGCCACCAAATGACCGCTGCAGCGTTCTCGACGCAGCCCCCAGAGTCCTTAATCTTCGAATGGGCACAGGAAATACGGGAGGTTCCTCGACTGCAGCCAGGTCGTCGAGTATCTCGAAAGGTGGAGGAGTGACGTATCGTGAACGCTTCGAGGGCGATGACTGGGCGGGGGAGGTCTCTGGCGACAAGTAGGCGTTCTTCCTCTTGCGCGAGCTTGATTGCGGCGTCTGCATCTGATTCTCAATGTCGACAAAGTTCACCGTCTTCCTGGGCGTGCTTCGCTGTGTGGCATTGCGATTGATGGCGGCTCGTGTGATGTCCTGCAATTGGCGGCCCGAGGCGGAGAGCGACGTGTGTGAAGAGACATTTTTCGAGTTTCGCGGGGTGAAAAAGCGCGTGAAGCGTTTGGGTGTGATGGGCGGCGGCCGCTTGGGCTTTCTGCTGCCCGTCGTCGCTGCGGGCGCGGGAGGCGATGATGAGAACAGGTCTGGGGTGGGCTCTTGGGCCGTGGTGCGAGGTGCGCACGGAGAAGACATGCTCCTTAGTAGTACAATATATATACAAAAAACGCCAATTGAAGGTCAAGAGGGAACACGCCGTGGAAGTGAGGATAGGATGTGGGGGGACAGGGACAGGAATATGGGATGCATGGGAATGAATATAAAGCAGGGCGGAGGTTGGAGCTGGCGGCCATAGCGCATCACGGTCGCGACTGCTGCACGCGTTAAGTGACGCTAAGCCCCAAACTCCATGGTTCACTCCTCGGCTCGGAGAAATCTGCGCCGGGACCCAGTCTTTTTTTCCAAGTCGTCCCAGCCCAGCTGCCAAGCAAAAAGTTCGAATCTCTTGAAGCTGCGCAACAGAAGGGCAGTAGAACGAGCACGCCATGGTTGCCATAAAGCGAAAAGCGGACCAAGGGAGTACCCCGTCCAAGAAGGAGAAAGGTGCATCCAGCGACCGGTCTGCGAAGCGGCGGAAATCCGATGTGGCAGCAGAGCCATCACCCGCCAAAGCGAAGCCTGAGAGCGCAGCGCCGAAGAGTGTCTTCAAGGACGAAGAGAAGTCCTTCCCCAGAGGCGGTGCGAGCGTCCTGACCCCTCTCGAGCACAAGCAAATCCAGATCAAGGCGAACCAGGATGTCCTGTTCGAGCAGTCGGGAACCAAGCGCACCGGCGGTGACGACAATGACTTCAGCGATATGGGTTCAGAAGATGGCGAACAGGCTAGACCAAAATCTGCGAAAACGAAGACTTTCAAGAAGGGCAAGAAGTCTCACGCGGACGGAGACGAGGAGCAAGTTATCCGCGCAGAGGGTTTGAGCTACAAGGTAAGAGAGCAAATCTGCGCATTGCGAGTCAACACTAACAGAGGCAGAAACTGTCGCCTGGGACCATCATCCTCGGTCAAGTCACCGACATCACCCACCAAGACATCGTACTCGCCCTGCCCAACAACCTCGTCGGATACGTCCCACTCACCGCCGTCTCCGACAAGCTCAACGAGCGACTGGAGAAACTTCTAAAGGAAGAAGATGCAGACAAGGCCGAGGGAAGCGATGACGAAGAAGCATTCGAAGATGTTGAGCTGAAGGATATGTTCTTTGTCGGCCAATACCTAAGGGCTTGCATTACATCCACAAGCGATGACACCGCAAGAGCGAAGAAGAGGCTAGAACTGTCAGTCGACCCGAAGCTGGTGAACAAGGGCCTGTCGAAGCGAAAGATACCTGTGAACAGTATGATACAAGCCTCCGTGGTGAGCAACGAGGATCACGGCCTGGTAATGGACCTTGGTCTGGCGGACCCCAAGTTGAAGGGTTTCCTGCCCAAGGGCGAGCTAGGGCCTAAGATTCCGCATGCCAAAATTCAAGAAGGGGCCGTCTTCATGTGCCTGGTCACAGGGCTCAACTCAGATGGACGAATCGTTAAACTCTCCGCGGATTTGATCAAAGCCGGGAACTTGACCAAGGGCAACACCATGACTGAAGCCCCAACCATCGACGTCTTCCTGCCTGGAACTGCAGTGGATGTTCTGATTGCCGATACCACGCCAGCAACGGTCACTGGTAAGATCCTCGGCCTGATTGATGCGACGGCTGATGCATACCATTCTGGAACAACGGAGAAGGGCGCCGATATAACGAAAAAGTACAAGATCGGCTCCAAAGTCAAAGGGAGAATTTTGTTTACATGCCCGGACTCAGAGCCCAGGAAGGTCGGTGTATCATTCCTGGACCATGTGGTTTCGCTCTCTACTCGCATGTCTGGGAAACCAAAGGAGCGGAAGCCTCCTCTAGAACTTTTGCCAATATCCACAATCATTGAGAGCGCAAAGGTTATCAAGGTACAGCAAGGCCATGGTGCCTTCTTCGATCTTGGAGTTCGCGACGTGGTCGGTTTCGCGCACATATCTCGACTGGCCGACGACAAGGTAGACATCCTATCGGATGACGCCGGTGCCTTCAAGCTTGAATCGAAACACCGAGCACGAATCATCGGTTACAACGACCTAGATGGCCTCTTCCAGCTCTCTCTGGAACAGAAGGTTCTCGACCAGCCTTTCCTTCGAATTGAAGACATCAAAGCTGGGCAGCTTGTCAAGGGCAAGGTGCACAAGCTCATTGCTGACAAGACTGGAGCTACCGCTGTGCTCGTCCATCTTGCGGAAGGTATCACAGGTCTTGTGCCAGAGATGCATCTAGCAGACGTCCGCTTACAGCATCCGGAGCGAAAATTCCGCGAAGGTGTGCCCGTCACGGCCCGTGTGCTGTACACTGAGCCTGCAAGGCACCAGATTCAGCTCACTCTGAAGAAATCTTTGGTAAATTCGGAAGTCGAGCCGTGGACAAACTTCGCAATGCTTTCCAAGGGTGATACTGGTCCTGGTATTCTTGTCAACGTTCGGCGTAACGGCGCGACAGTTCGATTCTACGGCGATGTCAAGGCCTGGCTTCCAATGGCAGAGATGAGTGAAGCGTATATCGAAGATGCTACGCGACACTTCGCAAATGGCCAGGTAGTCAAGGTGCGTGTCCTCTCAGTCGACCCAGGCGAGCGTCAACTGCTGGTATCCTGCAAAGACCCGGCTGCCATAGATACCAACAAGGAAGCCGCATTCAGCGCTCTCAACCCCGGTGGTGTTGTGAAGGGCACTGTCATCGAGAAGAATGAGGAGACGGCAACTTTAGACCTCGGTCATGGTGTCAAAGGTCTCCTTCGTATTGGTCATCTGACAGATGGATCAGAGAAGAAGGATGTCTCGACCATGAAAAAAATCCGCGTTGGAGGCACATTGGATGATCTTGTGGTTCTGAGCAAGCACAACAAATCCAGAACTGCCATCGTCTCCAACAAGCCTAGTCTTCGAAAAGACGCACAGGCTTCGAAGCTTCCGACCAACGTTCAAACCCTCCAGGTAGGCGAGATTGTACATGGCTTTGTGCGCGGTATCTTGCCAGACAAAGTGTTCGTGGAGCTGGGTAACGGCATCAGTGGTCCAGTCTTCAAGTCACAGCTCACACAGGAGATGCTCCTCGCTGCAAACTTCGGTCTGCGCAAGGACCAATCCGTTACAGTAAGAGTGACACATGTGGATTCCGCGAAGGGCTTCTTCTGGCTTTCCATGAAGCTCGAACCGGAAGCAGACGAAAGTGCTACGACTAAGACCACAGAAGCAACAGGGCAAGCTCTGGTCGACCCTATCGATCCGAAGATATCGTCCACTGCGGACATCAAGTTCGGCACAACCACTACCGTTCGCATCCGATCTGTCAAGAGAACACAAGTCAACGTCGAGCTCGCTGAAAATGTTCAAGGCCGAATCTCGGTCTCAGAAATGTTTGACTCGTGGGACGACATTCCCGACAAGAAGCGGCCCACGGCGCACTTCAAGATGAATGATAGGATAGAAGCCAAGGTACTGGGCCGACATGATGCACGCAATCATCGCTTCCTTCCCATCTCACATCGATCGAGCAACAAGACGCCCACGTATGAAATGACTACAAAGAAAGATAAGATAAGGGTGGAAACTGACGTGTTGAGCCTGGACAAGATTAGTCCCGGGTCATCTCATGTTGCTTTCGTCAATAACATTGCTGATCGATATGTCTGGGTGAACATCACAGCCAACGTTCGCGGCCGTATCGACTTTTTCGATCTGACCGACGATCTCGAGCAGCTCTCGGCCATTGAAGAGAATTTCCCCGTGGGCTCGGCCCTGAAAGTTCGCGTGAAAGCGGTCGACGTTGCAGCCGGACGACTAGATTTGACGGCAGCAACTACGGTGACCGGAAAGACACTGACCTTACAAGACCTCAAAGTGGGTTATATCCTTCCTGCTCGTGTTACAAAGCTACACGAAACATCGATCGTTGTGCAGATCAACGATAACATTGCAGCGCCAATCTACCTAGAGCAGCTTGCAGATGACTACGACAAGGCCAAGCCATCAGAGTTCAAGGTTGGCGACGTTCTACGTGTATCCATCATCGATGTCGACGTTCCGAACAAAAAGCTTGGGCTCTCTGCCAGGCCGTCAAGAGTCTTGAGTTCTTCCTTGCCTGTCAAGGATCCCGAGATCAAGGACAAAACCCAGCTCAAGGTTCACCAGGTCGTCCGTGGCTTTATTAAGCATGTTGCCGACAATGGTGTTTATGTGCGACTAGGCCCGCACGCCGAAGCATATGTGCGCATCAGCCACCTCTCCGACGAGTACATCAAAGACTGGAAATCTGCATTCCATGTCGACCAGCTCGTTACTGGTAAGATCATCTCGAACAAAGAGCATATGCGCAATCCTCAGATGAGCCTGAAGACCTCTGTCATTCAAGGCGACTACACTGAGCCGCTCGAATTCAGCGATCTGCAAGTTGGCCAGATTGTAACTGCTAAAGTTCGGCACGTGGAGAACTTTGGTGTCTTCCTCGTGGTCGACAACTCAAACAACGTTAGTGGTCTCTGCCATATCTCTCAGTTGGCGGACAAGGCAGTCGCTCAAGACAAGGTGAAGGAGATGTACAAGAAGGATGACGTGGTCAAAGCTAAGATCGTGCGCGTCGAGCCAAAGACGAGGAAAATCAGCTTCACTTTGAAGTATTCGCAGGTCAAGGGTGAGGGAGAAGATGAGGAAATGGAGGACGCATCTGATAATGAGGTCACCGACGAGGAAAAGTCAGATGAGGGTGGAGTAGAGCTCGACGATGACGTCGAAATGAGAAGCGTCAGGAGTGCAGAGAGCGACGACGACGACGCACATATCGTCGATGCAGACTCTTCGGAAGAAGATTTAGACCAAGACGGTGTACAATCATCAGCACCTGGTCTCAACACCTCTGGGTTTGACTGGACAGGAGCAACTCTAGACTTCGATGAGCAGAACGGTGCCGCAGCCTCCGACTCTGATGGTGGAGCCCCCAAAAAGAAGAAGAAGTCCAAGAAAGCTACCATAAAAGAGGACCGCACAGGCGACCTCGATGCTTATGGTCCCCAGTCCGTGGCAGACTACGAGCGCCTGCTGCTCGGACAACCAAACAGCGCCGAGATGTGGGTACGCTACATAGTCTTCCAGCGCGAACTCAACGAGATCGACAAGGCCCGGCAAATTGCTCGACGCGCGTTAGCGACTATCAACCCGCGTGAGGAGAAGGAGAAGTTGGATGTCTGGACGGCATTGCTGCATCTCGAAAATGACTTCGCTAGCGATGATGCAATGGAGGAAGTCTTCAAGGAGGCATGCCAGCATAACGATGCAAGGGAGGTGCATGAGAGAATGATCAAGATCTATATTGGTTCTGGGAAAATCGACGTAAGTGCCCTTGTCTTTATCACTACTACTTACATAAGATGCTGACAACGTTGCAGAAAGCAGATACTCTCTACCAATCTATGACAAAGAACAAATCTTTCACGCCAGATCCTCAGTTTTGGCTCTCATACGCAACATTCTTAATGGACGTCCTCCCCTCGCCCTCACCCACACGTGCTCGCGCCCTCCTCCAGCGCGCGACACAGTCCGTTGCTTCTAGTCAACACCGCTATCTCACACAGAAGTTCGCTGCGCTGGAATTCAAGTCCGCGAATGGCGATGCTGAGCGCGGAAGAACCATTTTCGAGGGCCTCGTGAGCACGTTCCCGAAGAAGGGCGATGTTTGGGATGTATACCTCAGCCAGGAAATGAGTCACGGTTCAGCAGAAGGGGTCCGAGATCTGTTTGAGCGAATGACCAAAGTTGGAGGGAAGAGCAAAAGGGCTGCGGCTGTGTACAAAAAGTGGGCGGAGTGGGAGAATAGCGTAGGCAACGCTAAGGGAGTGGAGAGGGTGAAAGCGTTGGCAGAGCAGTGGAGAGAGGAGAAGAAGGGGAAAGCCGACGAGTAGCTAAAATATTTTCATTGCTAGGCGTTGGGTAGCATAGGAAAAGTCATCATAATGTTCGAACCCAGTGAAAGGTCCCTTTGCACTTGTCCAATCCCTCGAGCAACGCGTATGCCAAGGGACCCGTGATCGCGAAACGCGCACATATGCCTTACAGTGTATGTGCACAGGACTATTACTATTTCTACAGCTTTACGACAGCCTCAACCTACTGAACTAAAGCAGAATTGCTCTCAACCATTACAATCACTCAACCCTATGGCGAACCAAGCAGACCCGCCCGCGAAGCGCCGCAAACTGTTCCTCGCCCGCCATCCTCATGCTCGCAATGGAGGTAACAACACTTCCTTCCTCCCTGTAGACGCTGCACCATGGGCTGGCTCCGACGACGGCTCCGACACGGAAGAAGAGGATAATGGCGAAATGGAGCAATTCTTCCTCGACCGGATGACCGACGATACGGATAGGAAGACTGAGACGGTTTTCGGTGACGGTGTGAAGGTGTGGAGGAGTATTGGCGGGACTGTGTATACGGATCTAGAGGATAGGGTGAAGCGGAAGAAGCGTGCTGAGGAGCTTTGGGGCGGGAAGAGGAAGCGTGAGGATGAGGGGGGATTGAATGAGAAGAAGGATTTGGGCAAGGGCAAGAAAGAGGGCATGAAAGAGGGCATGAAAGAGGAGAGGACTTCGAATGAGAAGGAGGAACTGGGCAAGGACAAGACCGTTGGTGAGGGCCAGGTTGAATATCCGCTTTTACCTCCCGTTCCCCCTGTCGCATCATGTCCTCCACCGCCGCCCCTGGCTACTTATCGTTCACGCACACCAAACGATACAATGTTCAATAGGGGGTCAGCTGGGATAGATCCTCTAGGCGCGTACCACAGGCCTATCAAGCCCCTCCCAAACGGCCATCAACGCACTGAAGGCGTCCCACCCCCTCCACGCAGGATTGTTTCGGGTTCCTTTGGCAGCTTCGAAGTACAACAGCCTAGCAGGTTCGATTCGCGGCCATATAGGCTGTTGCCAAAGACAGATACAGCAGAAACGGGGAAGGATACTAAAGGCAAGGGTACTGTAGAGAAGGATAACTGTGAGGGAACTGTAGAGAAGGATAGCTGTGAGGGAACTAAGAAGCTGGATCCATTCAAGAGCAAGCCTTGGCTTCGGCGCTCATAACTTTCTCCGCCAACCCCTCCAACGAGTCAGCAACTACATCCATCTTCCCAAAGACGTCCTCGAGCGGCTCCCTTTCCAGAACCGTACAGTACGCTGTCTTAAACCCGGCTCGACCTGCTGCGCTCACATCCCAGCCATGCGCAGCCGCAAACCACACTTCGTCTCCCTCGCCTACTCCAATCTGCTCCTTGAGCTTCGCATAAGCTCTTAATTCCGGTTTCCCCACGCCAATCTCATCGCACGTAACCACGCTCTCAGCATCAATGCTCACTCCACCCTGTTCAAAATACCCCACGACTCTCTCCCGATCCCCGCTCGTAAAAGCCCACACGGTCCACCCCTCCCTTTTCAGCGTATCGATACACAATTTAGCACCAGGTCGAACTTCACACTTCTTATATTCTTGCATAAAGTACTTGACATCTTCCTCGTTTGCTACACTTCTTGGTTCAGGGACGCCCGCAAAGTGTAGAACGCGGAAGAACATGGCTTCGAAGACTTGAGCAAATGGGACGTATGCGCCTGACAATGAGAGAAACGTGTACTCGCGCTCTGCAGACTCGAGCCAAGCAAAGCCTAGAAGACGGGCGGGCAAGCTGTGTTTCTTGAGGGAGGGGCCGAGACGGTCTTCTATGACGGTGTAGAAGTGCTCGTGAGAGACTAGGGTACCAACGACGTCGAAGACGATGTTCTTGACTCTTGGTTTTGAAGACATGTTGGCTTATGTTTTGGTAGCGAGAGGTAAACAAGTGCAGACGATGGCAGTGTTTGGCAACATGGGTAAGCATGGCTTGGACATGTCGTTATAATATGACGTCATAGGGCGCGGAAAGTTGCACGTAACCTCCAATAGTCTATAGCCCTCAAGCAAAACATACCTTCAATCTCAAACTCAGAAGAAGAGTAAATACATTGCCTTGATTTATGTAGGGTCCCCAACTGTCATTGGTATGTGATCAATGCACTCGCGGTTCAATCGATATGCCGCTTGCAACCGAAACAACGACTCATTGTACATCGCCCTTCCCATTTCCTTGGTGGATATAATGCTCGCAGTTGATAAGCAGGACATTATTGCGTTACTCAACGTCGAAAACGAAACTTAACACCGGAATTGAAAGCCTAGGTACAGCATGCAGTGCACTCCCCGCGCACCCAACCCACGACTCTCGTCTCACACAACATTAATATTGCCACGCCTCTTCGAAGGATTTACTATGTGTACTTTGACTCGCACAAGAAATCTACTTTGTATTGCATTGCGTCCCCTCACTATCAGCCCAATCGATACTATCAGTACCCAAGCTACTAGTCCCAAATAACCCGATTGGCTGAATGGATATGGTTTCCCGATTTGGATTGAAAATGCATCGTGGCTTGTGAACCCCACATGAACTCTTTATCAGAAGGTAGCGTCCGTTAACGGCGGAGGGGTAGCTTTGGTCTTGAGCGACATACGATTGTGAGTATGTTGCGATGGTGATTGAAGGGTACGCGATGAGGGAGAAGGGTCACCTACATTGAGCATTGTTGGGAAAGAAAAGCACCAACGCCACAGAAGAGCGATCGCTGAGCATTGTTAGTAGATTGAGATGATTTTTTGTTTCTTCCCCCTGTTGTGTGTGAAACCTCGGTTTACACAATACAGAGGTCAAGTGTGATATGAACAAAAGTGCAACCATGAAGACATGGGTTGTTTCCAATAGAGACAGTGGTCCTCTTGCTCGGTGTAAGAATTGCATCGTCACGTACGAAAGGGCGAACAGATTCGAACCGGAATCAACTCCGTTGTATCTAGGGGGAGTACATAAGATCTGCGCTTTCAGGAAAGCAAACTGAACGCTAAGTCTTTACAAACAAACCAATGAAACCAAATGTTAAAACTGCTACGAAGAAGAAACGTTCAGTAACCATCACGCCCAAACACCAAGCAATGTCATGCGCATCATAATTCATCGCTTAGCAAAAAGACTACCAAGCCAGTTCGCTCTTCTCGTTATCATTGCCACAAGCTAGACCCTCACAGAAATCTTGCAATTCGCCACTGACGACAGAGTCGCCTGTAGTTTCCAGCTGCTGTTTCGCAGGCCAGATCTTCTTCCCCTCACGCTTCTCGCGCATACCGTGCTCCAAGACGATCTCGCGGCAGCGCTTCTGGAAGAATACTGGGCCCTTCTCCATACGAGGGTGCAGCTCGCCATTCACGAAGACGCCAGCCTCGATGTTCTTCTGCGCACGCTCACACAACACCTTGTCCTCAGCCATAACTCGCTTGTACGTGTCGCTGATGAGCGAGAAGTCCTCCTCAGACGAGTTCTTATTACGCCACACCTCGTAGTACATGACAGACTCGGTCGTCGACTTGGGCATAAACTTTTGCATGAATAAGAAGTGTTTTGTGACGGTGAAGGAGACGTTGGGGAAACAATATGTCGAACATATCTCCATGCCACGTGCCTTGAAGTCTTCGGGCGTGCCAGGCTCATGCTGGATGTGATCAGCCGAGCAGTGCACGTCATACGATTCGAGGTCGAGTAGGCCAGTTGTAAGATCGGGATGGGTTGTCTTGCAGTGGTAGCACTCGTTAAAATTATCCGCAAGAATCTTCCAGTTGAAGGGACCGTCCAAGTTCCAGGTATGGTCAAACTCGTAATCGTCAAAGTCGAATTGGTCGAATCGTGTTTGCTCATCAACGGTGTCGAATTGCGACTCCCATGACACCTCAGGCTCCTTTTTGGAATCCATGTTGATCCATATGAAGCCGTTCCTATCAATCCGAGTGTGGATTGGGAAGAGACCGTTCTTAGCCTTATCAAATGTTGGAAAGTCTTGGTAGCCTGGGGCCTTCGCCAATTTTCCGTTCAGGCCATATGACCAGCCGTGGTATCGGCAAGAGAAGATCTTTGCATTGCCTCCTTCGGTCTCGACGACCGGGTAGGCGCGGTGTCGACATACATTGTGGAAAGCATGAATCTCACCCGTCCTGTCTTTGGAGATGATAACATCGTAGTTGGCAATGTTGTAGCGAAGATAGTCACCAGAGTTGGGAAATCTCGACTTGTGTGTAATGAGCAGCCACCGGCGGGAGAAGATTGCGCGCCTCTCAAGCTGATACATCTCTTCTGAGGTATACCAGTTTCCAGGGAGAGCTCGTACGGTTTGTTTTTCTGGTGGAGGGGCGGGAGAGCCACCAAGGCCGATGTAGCTCCATAGAGATCCGACCATTGTATGTGATGTATGTGAAATTTGGTAGATATTGAAATGTCGTCCAAGATTATAGCAAGAAGTAGTTGCTCTGACGATGTGGAAGTAGTTCTTTGCAAATATGGTGTTCAGCCTGTGGATGCCTGTAGCATTATTATACTCTATACATGACGGTGTTACCTTCTCACCCTTATCGAGTAAAACAGTTCCCTACTCCCCCATGGGGTAATAGCTTCCATACGCTACCGGGAAGTGGTAACCAGTGAGATGTATGAACGTAATCGTACTGCGAGTGCCCATCAAGCGCCACGTACTTGCTGTTTTCCCGGATCCTCCGCAACCGCTGGGTCTGCCATCGTGATCAAACGTACCCAGACGAAGGCGGTTCTAGATGACAAGCTGTGAACCACAACCCTATCAGCGGATGATGGCCCAGCTGTATCCATTGCTGTACATCAATGCATGCAACGGTCCTGGTGACAGAACGCTGAGACTGTTCTCGCCATTGCCCCTCTCATGAGCACGGGCTTGGATGGATCGGATTTCCGCATTTGGACATCTAGCACCAGTCCAAGCCTCGACCAATCTGCCTACCAAACTTCGATACACCATCAGATCTGCAATATCAAGCTCTTATCACACTCTTATCTAGAGGATCCTTATGCGATAGATCTCCAAGTTTCGATCAAGAATAGTAGAGATATCGCGATGAAATTCCGGGATGTATGTCGGAATCACTGTGAACTGTGATACCGTGACGCGGATCGCGTCTTACGGCTCGGTATAGCCTTGAGAGCCCCAGAAAGAGGAATAAAATAACCAGCACACCCCTGAGATGCGTTGTCAAGGAATCCGCAGCCAACGAAGGTGAAGTGCATCACCATGATGCGAATAGTGAGCTGGCACTGGGTGCACTTGACGGTATAGCTTCGTATGGAGAGTCACCACCCCCGTCGCACGCTTTTACCCCTCATCATATTCTGCGGTACTCTTTCCCTGGGTGATTTTGGCGCTTTTGGCAATCTTAATCGCGTTGTCTCCACCCCCAGAAGGTACTGCCAAAGGAGTAGGTGGCACTTTTGACCGCTATGAAGATTCGCGATATTCGAGCAGTGTCGCTCTTTCTGGGTCAAGAGTTCTCAACAGAAGCGGCCAGAGTCTGCAATTGATACTGTCGGCAGTGTTACAGCAGGCAAAAGTCTCGGCATGCTTGTCAACGTGAACGATCGTCGTTTCGCTTAGCACCACATCGGCAATGCTAGTGAACATGGACGAAACAGGCGATCGGGGCTGGCGCTCTCGAGTAGTCCCCGTGCCAGGCGGGGCTTTGGGGGGAATTTTGTCGCAAGGCTATTATCGCAATGATTTGGTGCTCTGATTTTGTTGCAATGGCTTGCCGCAGGGTTCACCGTGAGGGCTGGAGATCACGGCCATGACTTATTGCGATTATGTATTCGCCATGTCGTAGTATAACTTGGTTTTGGTGGTTGTTACGTGTCGACAAGGTTTAGTAGGGCAATTCGTCCCAGTGGTGTCGTTGCTCAAGGACATGTTGGTCCGTTCAGACAAACCGTGACTAGTGACCACGTATCGTATGGGAAGCTGTGGAAGCCGTATAGGTTGTGAAAAAGGGCAGGAGCCGTGGATTGTACGCACGCGAGGCGGGGTCGCTGCAAGCTATGTAGTCTCGCAATGTTTTGCCCTCCCAATCCTCGGCAGATACGACTAGGCCCGTTCTGGCAATCAGGACCCTACATCTCTGGTAGACATACTTCCCCACCAATGTCGTAAGAGCCACACGCGGGGTGGTGGACTATCTGCACAGGATAGCTTTCGTTTTCCTGAAGCTCTGGTCCACGCTTAGATTCGGCTTCTGGGAATGAATAGTGCTGCGGCCATGGTCCGTTATCGCGGGCGTGAATAGTCTTAAAGAGGAGCCATCCTGGGGCTCTAGGGAACTAATTCATCATTTATTCTGTTTTAATTGCCATGGCGACTTCACAGCGCGTTGTCATCATCGGTGCTGGCATTGTTGGTACCAACCTCGCCGACGAGCTAGTCACGCGAGGATGGAAGAACATTACCGTTGTTGAACAGGGCCCACTAAGTATGCCAGGAGGGTCGACGTCGCACGCCCCCGGCCTTGTGTTCCAGACGAATCCTTCGAAAACAATGACTCTGCTCGCAAAATACACGGCTGAGAAGCTGAAGTCTCTCGAGAAGGACGGGCAGAACTGCTTCAATCAGTTGGGTGGCCTAGAGGTTGCGACAACACCAGAACGTCTACAAGAACTCAAGCGCAAGCATGGTTATGCACAGTCGTGGGGGATCGAAGCGCATCTGATCAGTCCTCAAGAATGTCTCAAGAAGTATCCCCTCCTGAACAAGGACTTGATACTTGGCGGACTGCATATTCCGAGCGATGGACTAGCACTGGCGGCTCGCGCGACACAATTGCTCATCGAGAGGACGCGTAAAGCCGACGTACAATACCTCGAACATACCCTCGTCACTGGCTTTGAGCAGGCGAACGGCCGCGTGACAGGCGTCACAACAAACAACGGCTCAATTCCCGCAGATATCGTCGTGTCGTGTGCTGGCTTTTGGGGTGTTGAGATTGGAGCCATGATCGGCTTGAAGGTTCCCCTTCTACCATTGGGGCACCAGTACGTAAAGACCACAGCCTTGTCAGGTCTTATAGGCCGAGAAACCAATAACAAAATAAACGGGATGAACGCCGAGTTACCCATTTTGCGACACCAGGACCAAGATTTGTACTACCGCGAGCACGGAGATCAGTACGGTATTGGATACTATGGCCATCGCCCTATGCCTGTGGTTGCGGCTTCGTTAGGCGCAACTCCTAAGCACGTTGACGAGAATAACATGCCATCACGCCTCGAATTCACCCCTGAGGACTTTGAGCCAGCCTGGAAAGCTACCAAAGAGCTGCTCCCTGCTCTTCAAGAAACCGAAATTGCTGACGGTTTCAACGGGATCTTTTCCTTCACTCCAGATGGCGGTTCCGTCGTCGGCCAAGCACCCAATCTCGATGGCTTCTGGGTCGCCGAGGCCGTATGGGTCACGCACTCGGCCGGTATAGCTCGTACAGTCGCAGAGATCCTTACCGAAGGTCGTTCAAGTATCGATATCAGTGAGTGCGAATTGACGCGATTCGAAGAAGTCCAGCTCAGTCCGGAGTATGTCAGTGAGACTTCGCAGCAGAACTTTGTTGAAATATACGACATCCTTCATCCTCTTGCACCAAAGGAGTCACCGCGTAACCTCCGAATTAGTCCCTTCCATACTCGGCAACGAGAACAAGGTGCTTTCTTTCTTGAAGTAGGAGGCTGGGAGCGTCCACATTGGTACGAAGCGAATGCGGAGTTGGTCAAGACCCTTCCAGTAGAATGGAGACCCGTTGACCGTGATGCATGGTCATCAAAGTTCTACTCACCGATTGCTGCAGCCGAAGCCTGGAAGACGCGTAACGCAGTTGCCATGTACGACATGACAACTTTCCATCGATTCGAAGTATCGGGCCCTGGTGCTGTACATTTACTTCAGCAACTTACGACTAGTGACGTTTCCAAGCAGCCTGGTGCTATTACCCACACTCTGCTTGTCAACGACTATGGCGGCGTCATAAGCGACATATTTGTATCGAGATTAGATGATGAATTGTTCCAGATCGGCGCAAATACGGCAACCGACCTTGCCTACCTCGCACGCGCGGCTCGCCATCAGGCTACACATACACCCAATCGATGGGCATTGGTACGCGACATTACCGGCAGTACCTGCTGTCTCGGTCTCTGGGGTCCTCGAGCTCGGGATGTCATCCAAACGGTCAGCTCGGACGACTTCAGCAACAAGAGATTACCATATATGGGCGTGAAGAAGACAAGCATTGCTGGTGTTCCAGTGACCATGTTCCGAAAATCGTTTGTGGGCGAGTATGGTTGGGAACTCCAGACCACTCCCGAGTACGGTCAGCGCCTCTGGGATCTCCTGTGGCAGTCAGGGAGGCCCCATGGACTTATCGCTGCAGGCCGTGCCGCCTTCAATGGCCTACGAATAGAAAAGGGCATCCGATCCGCAGGAAGCGATATGAACTCCGAACACAACCCTTGGGAAGCCGGAGTCACATACGCCATACATATGGATAAGAAGGCAGACTATGTAGGCAAGGCTGCGCTTGAGCAACTCTCGAGAAAGTCACCTTCGCAAAGACTCAGATGCTTGACCGTTGACGATGGCCGCTCCATGGTTCTAGGCAAAGAGCCAGTTTTCTACAATGGCGAGACGGCAGGCTATGTCACTAGTGCCGCTTTCGGGTATACCGTACGCAAGCCGGTTGCATACGCCTGGTTACCGAGCAAGGTCCGTGAAGGAGAATCGGTAGAGATTGAGTACTTCAGTACGAAGGTCAAGGCCACAGTCACGAAGGACCCATTGTACGATGCGCAGGACGACCGGCTCCGTGGCGATGGGCCTTCGAGCGAGCCTGAGCTGCAGAAGAGATTGAAGTCGATGCTGTAACGTCAGGAACTTTGTAAATTCGGACAAACACCCCGATGGGGCTTGATTATGAGGTATGGTGCATTGATATGAAGTTTTGCTGTCTCTGCATTAGCGTGCGATTCGTATGCTAGCATTTGTCTACGGCGTACACGAAATGGAACCCTTTTTCTCTTGTTCAAGGTCGCGTCTTCGAGGACTGTCGTTCATGCCATTAACTACGTCAGCATACCACAAGCCTACATGACCTCAAGTGAATGAAGATGGCAAACGCGACTGAATCAAAGACTGAAAAACGTCAGGCGCGACGTGTTGATGTTGGCACGTGACTGCTGATTAATCAGATTAGATGTAACGTCATTGCCTCGGCGATCTCAACTCCATGACATCGACAGTATTCCGACGATTTCTTTTCAGCATCTTCCTTATGAGCTTATTTACGGCTACAATCAAACGCTATTCGTTATCAACAATCACTATACCCATCTCGAGAGTATGAAGAATATTCACTTTGCGGTATCGTGAAGCTAATGCCAAGCAGCCAGCAAGAGCCATGCATATCCAATCAATACCGATGTGTACGAGCTCCCTTATTGCCCCAAGCGTATATGTACTGATAAATCTCAGGGGTGGGTTCGGGCAATAACTACGCCTATCTAGTCTCGGATGACAAAACGAAACAAGCCGTAATCATAGACCCTGCCAACCCACCAGAGTAAGTCTTTTATTCACACGCGTTGTTTAATAATGAACTAACGTGCAAATCTATAGAGTGACACCAGTCCTTGAACAGCAGACTACAAGTGGTGGTCTCAAATTGACAAAGATCGTCAACACTCATCAGTAGGTTGCAACGGGTTCAACATTAGTCTCAACTGACAATTTTGGGCTAGCCATAATGATCATGCTGGAGGGAACAAGGTTATCGTAAGATCTTAAAACATCCACTAAGTGATCAGAATTTGATAAAGAGCCCAGTCTGCAAAGTTCAATGTTCCCGTCATGGGCGGTAAAGACTGCGCCTTAGTAGCTGAGACGCCCGGACACAATACAAAGTTCAACATCGGATCGATACAGGTAACTGCATTGCACACGCCTTGTCACACTCAGGACAGCATTTGCTACTTCTTCGAAGACGGCGAGGACCACGCCGTGTTCACTGGAGACACGCTGTTCATCGGCGGCTGCGGCCGTTTCTTCGAAGGCACTCCCGAGGAGATGCAGAAGGCGCTGAATGAGACATTAGCCGCTCTTCCAGACGACACAAAAGTTTACCCGGGCCACGAGTATACCAAGGGCAATGTCAAGTTCGCAAAGAAGGTGCTTAACAACGACGCAATCAAGAGACTTGACGAATACTCGCAAGCGAACGAGGAGACGCAGGGAAAATTCACTATTGGTGATGAAAAGGTAGAGTGCATTATAGAATTAACAGCTGTGATGCGCTGCTGACTTTGACAGCAACACAACGTATTCATGCGCGTCACTGATCCAGAGCTTCAGAAAATCACGGGCAAAACCAATCCCGTTGACGTTATGGGGGCGCTACGATCCATGAAAGATCAGTCCTAGGAGGGCCATGAACGTCATTGCGAAGATTTCCCTCTCACCGTTCTGCGCCAATGTGTTCATTGGCGGTTTTGCGGGAAGTCTGGGTAGAACAAAACTATAACGGGAGTATAGGCTAGCGCTCATTAAAGGCCTGATAGGATATCGACCTTCCTCATATGTAGTTTGGATAAAAAAAGTTGAAAGGATGGATTCACAATAACCATAAAGACTTTCTTCGCTGCGTCTCTTTTCGAGTGATCATCCCTGTCGCTAATCGATACAGGGTATGAATAGATTGTGGTATTTCCACTCAATTAGCTAGTGTCTTATTTCTTTAGTAAGACAACAGTAGGAGAGAGATTTATTGGGATACAATGTAATGTGATGTATGCTACGTTAACCATGCGATATGTACGTTCAAGATGAAACCTTCCAGTATGATTCCACCCAAAATGCGATCGAGATGCTTCCAAATTTCATCATAACCGTATTCGCGGTGGGAAACCCCTGAATATATCACCACAAAACGCCAAATGCATTAAATCAGGGCCGGTGAATCCTGCATGAGAACGTCCTCTGCACTTTCGCTGCCGTCCAGCGTCCCGGTCAAACTCCTCGTCCCCTCCTCACCCTCCTCAACTTCACCCTTCCAACCCATACCCGCCCACTCTTTCCCTGCGGTAGCCATCACAAGTTGGAAGTTCAGTTCCTTGTCGAACCATCTGTCCCTTCGCTTCGTCTCTCGCACACCGCCCTCTAATGCGACCCGACTCGCTCGTGTAGTCCGCGGCCGTTTTGCGTTACCACCAATGCTCAGAAGGTTGGAGACGCGGAGGCGTTGTGTTTCAAGGACCTGTTCGTGGGCAACGATGGAGCGAACGTAAGGCGCGAGATCGAGAGTTATGATGCTAAGCGTGCGGTCGAACGACGAGGGCATAAGGTTGTACGATGTACCTTGCAATGGTATGAAGTCTGGTGGTACGGCGAGAATATCGAGAGCAATGGCGCAGTCAGACCTTGCTAGGCTATTGTCACCCTTTTGTTCAACCTTCAGTCTCAAAAGTTTGTTGGCGTAGTCAGTTTCCGTTGTGGGCTTGCTAGCCCTATGCGAGGATATGGGATGGGAAAAATCAGGATAGGCACGCTTGATAAGTAGATGTGTTTGTGTAAAGATAGATGAATCGAGTTTCGTAAAGTCTGAGGGATGATCGACCTGGAGGAGCGGAGCAGCGAGTGTGACACTCAGTCGGGCTTTATCGGTAATAGGCGGTAGGGATGAATCAGTTGGCTGGTGGTAATCGGACTCGTAGGCCGGCAGTCCGACACGGCAATATACATCTGCCGCGCTGAGCGACTCCGAAAGGGCATCGAGACACTCGAGGTTCTTCAAACAACTGAACTCGTCGGAACTAGATACGATCGTCCGCTCGTCGTCAATACCTTGAGCGACCCAATCGATGGGATTAATGTCCCAGTCCGCACAAGCTTCTTTCAAGAGCTCCTCTTCCTTGTCGAATGTAATGTTTTCTCGTGTTTCGAACACGTTGTGTGAAAACCACCCCATACCAGACAGATACGTGCCTTCACTGGCAACTCTGAGCAAGCGACCATGTGAGTCAACGTCTCTGCCCCGGGGCCATCGTTGGTAGATCCACTCTAGACCACCTTTCCTGTCGCCAACCGACATTTGGCACCAGAGGTTCAGCTCCGTAATGCTAGCTCGAAGATCGTAGTTCTTGGAGTGGTACAGGTCACTGACGGCTTTTCGTTCAAGAATGTGACCCTCCCTACCCGCTAAAACAAGCAGATAATCTGTCGCAAGGTCGACTGGAGGTGGATGAAGCCGCAGCACAGCGGCCAGTGGTAAGTCTTGGCTTGGGATTTGCCGCTCATCATTACAAGTAATGACAATGGGACGTTTTGAACTCAAGGCAAGTTTCGTCACCTGAGCCCAAAACTGCTGATCTTCTTCAAAGAGAATGTCTGCTTCCTCAAATAATATCAATGACTGCTTCTGGGACTTCCGCGTTGTTGATGCCATGGAAAGCATGGTTTGATCAGCATGTGTCGGTGCCTTCTTCGGCTCTTGTACCTTCACTTTAGCGGCTGAGTTCGCTTTTGCTGGAATATTTGTCTGGAAGAAGGAAGTCATGGTGCCTTGTCGCCCGCTATTCAAGTCTTCCTGTAAAGCTGTATTCATGCGTTCGTTGTCGGTATCATTATCTGTCGCGAGATCCTCCTTTGCCGGTGCTGCGCTCCGTTGGTGATTGACTAGATGGTTCGCCGTCATATCCCCAACTTTGTCCTGTATGTCTTTGCCTGAGCGCCGGGTACCAGGGTTGATCTCGAAAACTTCGAACCCGAGCTCTTCAGCTACAGCATACACTGTCGCGCTTTTACCACAGCCATGAGGTCCGCTAAGCAAAATGACGTTCTTGTTTCTCGTCCATTGCGGCCGTCTCAAGGATTTTAGGTGAGGAACGGCCGTACCCTCCCTATCCGAACACTCCATCATATCTCCGTCTTCTTCGTCGTCATCTGAGACGATGAAGTCGTCCACTGCCTTCTTCCGCTTCTTCTTTGGTGGCCTCTTAATATCGACCGCAGTGGAAGATTTGAGCGCGCCACCGACAGCCAGAACGGTCAAGCTTTGAAGCCAGTCTTTCAGTACTGCAGCCTCATTCCCCGGTTGTAGAACATGAGATGCACACTTCGGACCGTACTTGTGAGTCCAGGGCTGGCCCTCACATCTTCCTTCGTCGAAAGGGGTAAGGACACGTTCAATATCATTGAACAGCGTAGTAATAGCTGGATGAATCGCCGTTTGAAGCTGATGTAGCTCGCCTGGCTTCGGCAAGACCGCGTGAATTTGAGAACAAACCCTTCGCTGGATCTCAGTACCCGTGGTGAGTAATCGTGTTGGTAGCCGTACATCCTCTGGGGGTTCAAATTCAGACTTGGACACACTTTCTGCTCTATGCACAGCTTGAGATAAGTCTTGGGCCAATCTGGTTATCACGTCTTCGCTATCTGGGATATAAGTCACAATGCTCTTCAGCTTTCGAGGCCTTAGTACCAACGTTGAAGGCCTTTGAACTCTAGTGCGGTAGTTCCAGTCGACATCGTCTAGGTTGCGCACATGGGATGTTTCACGTGTCGGCCAAGAGGCTTCATTCAAGCCGGATTGATTCGTGACCCGACTTCTGCCTGCAGGCATGCCGAAAGCGGGTGTGGGTTTGGGCGATCTATCCCTACGAGCCTCCGCTCGCAGCTTTCCTGGAGTAACAGCACTCCTCCTTGGAGTGGGAGGTAGCTGCTCTGAAGTTGTCTTCATGGGAGGCGCATCTTTCTGTGTACCAGGTTTACCCAGAAAGAAAGGATGGGTAACTTTTCGAGGCGCAGCAGGCTTCGGTGGCACTTTCTTAGGATTTATTGCGCGTCTAATCGATAACTTCTTTCCGTTTAGAATTTCTTCTATCCTTTGACCAATTGCTACTTTATTCGCCGCATCCACGCCGTAGCGGATTACTGTCACAGTAGGGGAGACCTTCGGCTTTGCAGGCTTTCGGCCTCGTCTTTTCCTCGGTACGCTCGAGGGTTCAGGTGCGTGCTTTGGTGGACTCGACAAAAGCTTGCCGCTCTTGGTGACTTTGATTTGCTTCTTGGGCGTTACTGCTTTCGTCTCGAGCACTACGGGGTCCGAAGAAATGAAGATTGCGGTAGGGGGCGGTGTGCTAGGCCGCGGCATAGCCTCGGCTTCGTTTTGTGGTTGCTCGTGCAATGTGTTACTCATTGGGGTGTCGGTGTCCACCGTGCCCTCCAAGGGCTCTTCCACTGTCATAGGCTTCGCTGCTTCCGCCTGCAGTTGTTGTTGCCAATCCAGCTGGCCTGTAATAGGTCGTACTGAGGTGTGTAGGTCATTCGACAGTTCCGGTGACGCTGTCTTTCGTCTTTTTCTTCGATCCCTATTTGGATCCTCGTCTAGAGATGCTTCTGCAAGCCCGTATCCGTTTGCCGGCGTATCAGTGGCATCTTGCGCTCTAGGGCGAGTGAATGTGTCTAGGGAAATCTGATTCAAGGTGCCGGATTTGCCCGTGTTCCTTTCCTTTCCATCTCCAGCTTTCCTTGTCTTCTTCTTTCGCCCTTGGGCTGTCTTAGGGCTCGTGCCGTAGTCTGGATCATCGTGTGCGTCGTCAACGGGTTGATCGTTTGTGCGCGGTGCTTGGTCTGGTACTTGGTCTGGTGCGTGGTTTTCTAAGTGCTTGTAAGCCGTAATTCACGAAGGTCAAGGGCATGACCGCCATACTGGGGGGCTTAGAAAAGAATGGGTGTAGGCTCTTTGCCTCCAGATTCATGGCGGTTTGCACCGCGGCGAGAGCCATTAACCGCAATGAAAGGCTACCGGAGCATATCCATGACAGCGAGGAGACAGTTAGAGTCGTCGATAGCGTCCAAAGAGCTGGCGTGGTTTCCAATAGTGAGTGACGGCGTGAAGTTGTCGTACACCGAAACACGACTGTCAGGGACGCGACTGCCGACGCGACTGAGCACCAGCCACTTCCGCCACATGCCAAGATTTCGCACCTTCCCTCTTGACCGCTCAGTTTTCTGCCAGAGCTCCAACTTTTTTCTTTGCAGCACTCGACGACCGAAACTAAGCACGCGGCTCGACTTACGGCTCACGCAGACCTCATCCTATCCGACAAGCGGGTCTGGCAAACAACATGTCGTTCGATCAAGCGATTGGCACGCCATTCACTTTGGCATCACTGTCCAAGCCTGTACGCTCCACCAACGGACGTGTGCATGCCGCTGGAGTCTGCAGCGCAAGCGGCGTTAAGAAGAGAAAGCGCACTGAGATTGTTGTTGGCTTGGATGGAGAAGGCTTATCTATATACAGCGTATGTATCACGTTATTTCCCCTCTTCCCACAACCACATGCCTAATATCCGTCAAGCTTCAAAATCCGCAACTCGTAACTTCGTATGCGCTGCCGCCGAGCGCCTCCCTCACATCTGCACCTTTTTCCATTTATCGAAAAGGGTCTTCGAAGACCCCGACGCAGCGCTTCACATATGCTTCCCTAGCCGGAACTACCGCGGTCGACAAGCCCCAGCTGGTCTGCTTCCACGAGAAAACCCGAGGCGATCAGTCAGAGACGGTCAAGACCTCATACACGCATAGCGAATACCCCGCGCAATTGTTGGCTCTTGATGCGCTTCCCGTAGCAGCAGGCGGCTCGGCCAAGGATGCAACACATGATGTCCTTGCAGCTTTTGACAACGGCGACGTCATCTGTCTGTCGGCAGATCTCGAGGCTGTAAGATGGGTCGCAAACCTGACGTTGCTTGTCTCGCCTAGAGACCCGCGAGTGGAACTCGAGCATGTCTCATTGACAAACGCCAAAGCAGCAAGTCGGGGCCTACTACGGAGTCGAGGGGATATCGCCGCCGTTTTGAATCCAATGGCAGATGAGACCTCGGACCTATTAGAGCTCACCCAGATTCTATGCGTCATTGGTCGCAAATCTGACGGTTCCAGGACATTGGGTCTTCTCCAAGTCCAGTCACGATCTCCAGACCTAGCCACGAATCACTTGTCACCGCTCAAGCATCTTGTGTCTTGGAACCTTCCCAAACCGCCGAAGATCTCGACATCGATAACTTTGCCACCGCAATTCGACCTTAATGCCCCAAGTGGTTCCCTCCATATCCTCGACAAAGGCGCGCTGCTTACCTACGACTTGTCTGGTACTACCCCCAAGCTAAATTCGGAACTTTCTATATCTAGCTCGAGCGTCGATTCGTTCCTGCGAACAGCACAGGATGTTCTCTTCACTATTTCGCAAGATACATGTCGCGTGTTTGATGCGAAGTTCAACTCTCTGCAAGCGCTCTTGGCATTGGACCCGTCTTCAGGCAACCCCGACGCTACAAGCCCCTCGAAGAAGAGAAAGCTTGCGCAGACTGGGGCTGCGGGCCAGGGAGTTGGTGCTTGCAGCCTGGTCGCATACTACGCTGATATCGGTTTAGTGGTAGCTGCACGCGAAGATGAAATCTTCGGCATGCAATTTGGAGGTATTGGCATGCGGAAGCGGATGAAGACAGATAGCACTCTACTCATCGACGCTCTCGGCAAAGGAATTTGTTCGAACCCGCCAACTGCCCCTAATCACGAAAACAAATGGCAAGAAAGAAAGGCAAAACTCAACCGATACGCAGCGAAGGGGAAAATTGCTAAGTTTGAAGAGGCATTCGCTACAGCCTTGGGCATTCAACTCGAATCGGTCGATGCAGCAAAGAAGCGGGAAAACGAGGCAAATGGTGGCCCAGTAACAAACGGTGTTGGACCAAAGCTGCCCGATGCAGATGCCATGGTCATCGACAAGCTTGACGATGGAAGCGAAATTGCCGAGGACGAACTGCGAAGATGGAAGACAACCAAGGTGCGATCTAACAATCAGTTGCCGCAATACCGCCAGTACGCTCTGTACGCTTTGAGCAAAATCTTCCGTTGGATAGATGCCGATGTCACATCAGAGGCGCCTTTGTCCAAAGCGAGCCCACGAGGTTCTTTGAAGGTCGACTTCTTTCCGCCGAACGTCTTTCAATGGCTTCTACAAACTGGCAATTTGACCAAAGAGTCGATTCGTAGATCGATACTGGACGAGATGCCTTCAAAACCCCAGTCAACGTCGATCATCAGCGATGGAGATATCACTAAGGCTCTTGTTGAATTTGATCCGGATCTGCATATTCTCTCAGCAGTCCTCAACCATGATCAGTTTCTTCCAATAGGCGAAGTGGTCCAGGCTATCAAGCTACTCATTCAAAACATAGGCGACGAGCCAGAGCAAAACGAGGTTACCAAGCGGCTGACAAACGGCACCGCTCCATCGGAAGATGAGATGGATGTTGACATTGCTTCTGAGCTTGAAGCAGCCTCGCACGAAATTGATCACGCTCTGTCTATCCTTGACCAGGGTCTTTTAATCCGCAGCCACACCCTACGCCCTGCTCTAATTCGTCTCCATACCTTCCCTACGCCTACCATCAGCTCAGCACTTCGTTCAATGCTATCCCGACGAGACCTTGAATCACTCATTCGACTTCTACATCTTGAGCTTAAGAATGGCGGCTGGACCTCTTCGTACGACTTCGTCGATGTAGAAGACTCGGCTTTGGAATCTTCAACAGAAGACCCCGACGACCACGCCGTCACCATCATCGCCTCCCTGTTGTCTAGTACCCTAGATGCAATCGGTGCAGGAGCTTTTCTCACCTCCATCGGCAGTCCTTCTTCTCCGGAGTCCAGCGAAGAAATTATCAACTCGCTCCACGGCGACACGTCCGAAGCACTAAACGGTTTTTGGGAAGCACGCTACATGCGTGGTCTCCTCTCCGAATTCCTCCGCTATGCGTCTAATGTACCAAAGTCCCAGAAGCCCAGTAATGAAAAATTACAGGGACAGGGCAAGCCATTCCTTGTCACTGGGAAGTTGAGTGGGGAAGAGGATTTGCCCATGCTGCCGCTGGGCGGGAAGGGTGATTTGGGAATCGAGAGAATGAAGAAGGGTCTGAGCGGGAGGAAAGAGGAGAGGAGTAAGAGAGAGATGGGAATGTTGATTAGTAAGAGGGTGCCAAAATATAGCTTCGAGAGGATTGTGATCTAGGTGGTTGTATTTAGGATAGTGATCGGCGCTAGCGTGTATAGCCGAAGATACCATTTTTGCATGTTTTGGCTATGTACCCTAGGATCCGGGCATCGTGCATACATCGTGCATCCGATTCCGCAGCCGTGTTGCCGATAGATCACTCGTTTGACGCTGCAACGTGCTGACAATTGGGTGCATTGCACAATTGTTGCACAATCGAACCAGCGCTAAGCTTTAGATTGACTTAGTACGATGCTTATCCCGAGGTCCCATGACGTCGATCTCTCGGCCGTATTAGAGCACTTTGCACCGTGCGAGCCTGACATGCGGAGCATCGGACGAGCTTTGTCGAGTGATGAATTAGCTACATCGTCTCTTCACGCTTTCATTCATCATTCATTCTCTATGTTCTCCGCTTCTAGTATATGATTTAATTGAAAAATTCGTGCCTCAAACGTCGCAATGGCATCTCCTGCGACGCGTCGAGATGTGCCGGAAGGGGAATCAAACCACTATCATCAGGACACCCCACTGACAGAAGACCCGGAAGATACCGAAAAGAAAGAGAAGCAACCTTCATTCATCAAGAATACATGGGACAAATTAGGCCTCGACGCCGGGACGCTGTTGATGATGGGCAAAGCCGCCCTGCCTCCCACAATCGCCCTGGCAATGCAACAAGCAGACAACGTCGCGAAAGTCTATTCGACGCTGGGGTACCTAGTGGCCATTATCAGTATCCTAGGATTCTGCATTATGCCACGCGCGAAATTCCTTCAAACAATGACCATGAACATCATCGCTACCTGCTTCGGCTCTGCCGTCGCTCTGCTTATGGTCTGGTCCGGCGTCAAGGCACGTGAGCATACAACAACCCCCGGTGCACCTCCGCAAAGGTACAATTCGAGCCAGAGCGTGGTCCTGGGAGTGTGGCTTTTCTTCCAGATTTACGCCGTCAATGCGCTAAAAGCAAAGTTCCCGCAATTGGCATTTCCAGCCATCATATATGCGATTTTAGTCAACATCGCTGCGACGAATGGATTCCTGTTCCGGACGGTACCGCAGTGCGAAGCGTTCGTTAAACGGCTGCTCGAGGCGATTTTAACAGGACTCGCATTGGCGACGGGCGTGTCTCTCTTCATTATTCCGGTTACGTGTAGGACGGTTGTGTTGAAGGAGATGACGGGCTATATTGGACTATTGAGGGGTGCGCTTGGTGCGCATAAGGCATATATTCATACCTTGGAGGATACGGATATGTTTGGACAGGTGTATGTTCCTGAAGCGGAGAGTGCGAAGAAGAACAAGAAGGCAAAGGACAAAAAGACAAAGAAAAAACCAGAGATTGAAGCGATTAAGAAGATGGCAGAGGCACTAGAAGGATTGCATGGGAAGCTTACTGCTGACCTCCCATTTGCGAAGCGGGAGATTGCGTATGGCAAGTTGACACCGGATGATTTGCAAGCTATGTTCAAGCACTTAAGGTTGATTTTATTACCCGTACTAAGTCTGGGGTCAATCATGGATCTCTTCGAGCGGGCGGCGGAGATCAATCACTGGGATGGAGAAGAGACAGAATACGACGACGAGGTTCGCAAGAAGGTTGTGAGCGAGTGGAACGAGATGTTCAAATTTGTACATGAGCCTTTTGATAACATCTTCAAGGCCCTAGACGACGGCCTCGCACATGTTCTCATAAGATTGCAGCTTGTCAAGCTACCGAAGAAGAAGAAGGGTCAGAACCAGGACGATGCCGAAGCGAAGGGTGACATGATCAAGCCAGGAGACGATGGGTTTGCAGAACATCTAGAGAAGCAAGGCGACCTGTTCTTCCGCACCAAAGAACCGACTCTCCGTTACTGGGTCGAAAGCAAAGGCATCAAGATCAGCAAAGACTATTTTTCGTGCCCTGATGCAGTCGAGGAGGCGACGCTCAAGCTCCTGCCCAGCATCACAACTCGGACACGCGACCAGCGCCAACTCTACATGGTCCTCTACATAATGTTCCTCCTTAACTCGATCAGCCGCACAACCCTTGAACTCGTCAAATTCGCGGACAAACACAACCACGCGACCGCAAAGAGTAAACTCATATGGCCCGGTGCAAGGCGGTTCAGGAAATGGGTCGGGAGCATCTTTCAAAGCCAGGATTCGAATGAAGACGACGAAACTACAATTGCTGCGTATGAAAGGAATCATACGACAGTATATATGGGCGAGGCTTACAAATCGAAGAAAGACCCCGAGCACCTACCCCCTTCCAATACCTGGGAGAAATTCGGAGATCTCATACGGTCCTTGGCACATTTTCTGCGCAGCTCTGAATCCTCATTCGGCTTCCGCGCCGCCTGCGCCACCATGTCCATCGCGATTATAGCGTTCTTGAAGGATACGCAGACGTTCTTTGTTGAGCAGCGGCTCGTTTGGGCGTTGATCATGGTCGCTATCTCCATGACACCAACAGCCGGACAGTCCATTTTCCAATTCGTGCTCCGAATTGCCGGCACTGCAATCGCCATGGTAGTCGCCTGGCTGATGTGGTACATCCCAGGTCAGCACACTGCTGGAATCCTCGTCTTCGTGTGGGTCTTCGTTGCACTTGGCTTCTACATTCCCCTGAAACGCTTTGACCTGGTCATAGTCGGAATAATTAGCGTTGTTACCGCGACAATGATTGTAGGCTACGAATTACAAGTGAGAAAGATTGGCGCCATGGCTTCGACAGCAGCAACAGGACAGCCTGCGTACCCCATTCACGAACTCGGCCCATATCGTCTCGCTACCGTCGCTGGCGGCCTAGCAGTCGCGTTTTTCTGGACCATTTTCCCCTACCCCATTACAGAACATAGTGCGCTCCGACAGGGACTCGGCGGCGCCCTCTACCTGTCCGCCAACTTCTACTCAATAATGCACGAGCAAGTCATGACCAGGATTCGAGGCGAGGCTGGTGATGAAGAGAACGATAAGAAGAGCCCGGGCTATGCGCTCATCAAAGCACGCAATAAGGTACTCGCGAAGCAGATGCTTACACTTCAGAGTTTAAAAATGCATTCTGGATTCGTGAGGTGGGAGTTTCCCCTCGGCGGAAAATTCCCGGTAGAAGAATACGAGAAGATCATTGAATGTGTCACCAAGTAAGTACTCTAGCCCTCTCTTGCTCCTTCCTCAGCGTTCATATATCACGAGGAGAGATGAGTCCTAACGAGAGTGACAGTATCGTGAACTACACTGCCCTTCTAGGCTACGCATCCCAACCCTTCACACACGCATCCCTCAACCCACCACCACCCACAGATGCTACATCTCCATCTTCCCCCTCTTCCAACCAGGTGTTTTCAAATTACGCCTCGGAACAGTGGATCCACGACTTCCGCCGCGTCCTCAACGACGCAAAAGTAACGTCCCACGAAACCACATCCCTTCTCGCTCTCCTCTCCTCATCCATAACGAACGGTCAACCCCTCCCACCCTACCTGCACGCACCCCCAGGCTACCAGCTCGGCCAGAAACTTGAGGCGATAGATCATGATATTTTGAGCTTGAGGCACATTGCCGAGCCAGGATATGCTTCGTTTGCGGTCATGGCGATTAGCACGACGTGCATACACATGGATATCGAGAAGTTGCTAGCTGCTGTGAAGAAACTAGTCGGAGAGTTGGATTTTTCGTTCCACGTTGTGAGTACGCAGGATGATAGTCTGAGTTCGAATGAGACGTTAGTGAGGGGAGGCTCGAGGAGGAGTAGGAAACAGGATTAGCTAGCCAGCTCTTCTTTCTACATTACGATTTAGATGGAACCAATCAAGCATGGGTAGTCATCATTACAGCGTCCCGTGTCGTTCCATGAGCGAATCTGTCTCCCTTACTCTAGCTCGAACACCACTGCCTTCCCAAAACACCCAGCCTTGACAACTACATCTGCCCCTGTATTCAGCAACCACTCTTCCTGCCCCGGCAACGCCATAGGCGCCGAGAAACCCAAAACATTCGCTGCAATCGCTCTGCAAACAAGACATTGAACCACACTAACATTCGCGGGCAAATACTGCACCATCCTCTCCTTCACACAACCACCACAAAACGCGTGGTTACACGGCCTCAGAACACAATCACACAAATTCCTACGACAAGACGAGCAAGCGACTTTCTGGGAGGCCGCAACCGAAGTATCAGCATGGATAGGCCCACCCCTACCATCGATTTCAGACACGCTTTGGATCTTGTCAAAGGCTTTACCGCCCTGTACTGCGCTGCTATATCGCCCTTTATCGACATATGTGTCGAACCACGGGATACCCGCTTCTGTGTATTCCTTTGCGGTGATGGGTGTTGGCGGACATAACATGCCTGTTAACGTCTCATACGCTACGGCGTTGAGGAGTTGGACAGAGAGCAGGGCTGTGGCTGAGGGCGTGGTGTCGCGGTATGCGGAGGGTGTGGTATCAAGGTGAATTTGTTGCGCTAGGCGGCCGCCGGCTGCGAGGCCCATTGCCCAGGACTCGACTTTTGGTTCTTGTTGCGGTGATTGAGGGGGTGGTTGAGACATTGGTCTAGTGGTTGGTGATGCCTGCGTCTGGTAAGGAGGAGTGGTGATGCTGCTGTAGGGTGACGGTACCGCGGAATACGTAGGCGCTTGTACGGAATGTGGTGGCTCATAAGAACCTGGTGAGGCCTGAGGACTTGGCACGCTATATGGATCTGATGCGCCGTAAGAAGCTGGTGGAGCATAGGAAGTTTGTCCGCTGTACGTTGGCGCAGAGTATGGTGCTGGAGTGTTATACGTGTTACTGAACTGTCCGCCCTGGGTTGGAGCTGATCCATATGATATAAGTGTCGGCGCAGGCCTTGAGGGACCACCAACCATACTGGCCGAGTCGTCAGGAGCAACTTCCTGATAGTCCTGCTGGTAATATCCTGGATAGCTCATGGCTGGTCCGTCGTCGTTAAACTGCGGCCTACTCTGTGGAGCCGCTCCAACATAATTCGGATCGTCCTTGTAATTCTTGTAAGCTGTTAAAACTGCACCATCATGTATTCCCACTCCCACCAACGTGTCATTGTTGTACAGCATCTCATCGTACGCTAGACTGTAGAATCTGAGATCTTTCCCTTTATATCGTGTCTCTTTAATGACTTTATCGATAGTATCAAAAGGCAAGAAGGATGGAGTGGTAATCTTGTGCTTCATTAGGGTACCTGGCATTTTGATCTGGAGCCTGATAGGGTACAGCGCCGTGATTATTGTTGATGAGATATTACGGCGATCGGATAGCGGATCAATTAGTTCTAGGAGCGTTTTCTTCTGCTCCCTTCGGATTCTGCCGCCTAGGAATGGCAGTGTACCTGGGGCACCAGAACGCATCATATTTATCGTTTCTCCCGCACGAAGACCATATGTTCGAGGTGTTGTGGTCCTCCCCGATTCCTCGTTTTCCTGCCATTTGATGTCTCGACCGCGGTAGTAGAAGTGCAGATGCCGATTCTGCGCAGTGATCTCGAGCTGTAAGCCGCCTACGTCTTCCTTGCCCGTGATCTGTTTTTCGATTGAATAACCGCTACCAATGGGCATTGCGATGAATTGCCGAACAATGCCGTTACCTACTGCTATACCGTCGACATGCTCTTGTGGTGGGACAAGAATGTAGTCTTGCTCGTCCTCGTCGTACGGTGAGTTGCTCTTGGTGTGGTCATCCCATTTCTTCCCAGTGACGACGTTCACGCCACCAACAAAGACACGGACTTTATACTCACTGCCTGCGGGCGAGCTGAAAGAGAGCCACATGGCTTCGCGCTGGAATATGGGGAAGAAGACTCCTCCTTTCCTCGCCATGTCGAGTAAACTCGCATTCTTACTATTGATCAACTTCTTACTATACACCGCGACATTTTGCACTGGAAAACGCCCGAAACTCGCCGGTAGCTTGTGGGTACGACCATCTTCAGGCACACGCAACGTCCTGTGGAAGGCAATCTTGAGATCCCCGTCATTGACCAAAATCCGTGAATCTTCGCATTTGACAGAGAGTTGGATGTGTGCTAAGAATACCGAGAAAGGTTCATCGATGTGGATACGCAACCCGATTTCGGGGTCATAGCAGGATTTACCAAGAGTGATGAGGATAGGCCATGGAGCTTCTTTGAGGCCTATAGCGACAGATAGTGGTTGTGCACGATTAGTTTCTGTCGCGAAGCCGAGTGGGATTCTATACCCTATTCAGTCGATCAGCAAGGTATGGTAAGCACTTGCTGATCAGTTTACACGACTTACCACAAGCTCGAAGTTTCTCCGCAATATCGCCCAGAAAGCCAAAGCTCGATAACGACACAACTTCTGTGAATGTGCCCTTCTGACCTGCTTTCTGCAGACCTCTGACTTCAACCCGAGAAAGAGGATCCGGTACATCTACAATCACAATCTTCTTAGCCTCCAGGTCTTTCCTCTTGTTCACTACTGGAAGCGGTCTTGGCTCGGGGCTCGGGTTGTAGATGGGATAAGGAAGCGGGGCTGGAGAAGGTTCAGGATTGTAAATTGGATATGGCAAAGGAGCAGGAGCAGGTGTAGGATTGTAAATTGGATATGGCAAAGGAGCAGGAGGAGGTGTAGGTGCTGGGACGGGTTGTGGTGGGTAGCGCGGTGGTACCCGGTGATGGTCTGGCAATTCGGACAGGTGATGCTTTCTTTGCGCGTTGGTCGCTGAACCTGCGTCTAGTTCGTGGTAATCATGGTAGTGATTGTCCAACTCGTGAATATTGTGTTGCTGGTGGTTATTCCTCTGATCGTATCCATCGTACCCTGGAGCAGGCTGAGGTGTGAAGGTCGACATCCAACTCCCGAACCCGGAGAAGGTTGTCAACTCATCCTCCTGTGGCTTCATCGTTTTCAGCTCTTCTGTGACAAGAATAAAAGAAGATCAGACGGAAACTGGCGCGACAAGGCTGGACAGCCTACGATGATTATATATCGACATTGACGTAAATCTAGATGCTATTCCTTGCTAGGCAGCTGAGGCTGAACCCCAAAACGGAGTTGGAACAGACCATCGACTCGCTTGCCTGCTGGAGCGATTGGCTGACTCGGACAGGGTATTGCTTAGCGTTGAAACAACCATGCATAGTGGTACCGAAGTAAGTTGAGGCGTGAATAATCATGTCATTAATGATGGCGCTACCTACCTCCAAGAACTACAATGTGCATGACCACCGACCTGACCCTATTCGGGCAACAGGTATGTAAACGCCAAGATCCGTGAACTCCCAATCAACCCGAAAAATTATGCTTTTTCCAGACCTTGGGCCCAAAACCCTCCCATCCGCTCGAGTTCCTAGGATAGTCCTTCAAATATACGCCATATCCCTCACGAAGTCTAAGCCTCGCACGCTTTGCCCTACGAGCAACCTACGTCGCAGAAACTAGCGGTAAACTCTGCCTACTTCCTTGACCCCTATTTGGCGCATTCCCAGCTGTCCGCATCAGGTGTGGTGAGACTGGTGGAATGGAGATGGTCTTAGGTGTAGGCGGAGTGGGGATGTCGGCTTCAGAGTCGTAGTCAGATGTCAGTTGAGTGGAGAGGGCATCTTCGGAGTCTGCTTCGCTCATTTCGTTGTCTCCATCGGTATCGTGGAGGATGCGTTCAGGCGCTGTCTTCTCTGGAGGTGGTGTGGGGTACATAGATATCGTTGGGGGTATGTTATACCCCGCTAATAGCTGGCTTGAAACTGTAGTCTCGATTGATGGTACAGTAGACGGGTCTGGAGGAATGAAATCAAAAATATCGTCATCGTCCGGAAGAGGGACCTCTGCAGCATCCTCATTCATAACCGCCTGTGCGTCCGACGTGACATTAGCGGGTGGTAACGGAGCGTCTTGAGCGACCGCAATAGACTCGACTGCTAGATCAGTCTCCCGTGGTGGTAATGAGATGAGCTCGTCTATACGCTCGTAGAATAGCATAAAGACATTACCCTGATGCGCCTCCTCTTCTGATACAGCATAGACGCTTTCATCGCTGAACCGCCACCACCTTTCTCTAAAGGTTTCTTGCTCTTCCACTGCGTTTGAGTCTTCGCTGCTCTCCTTCGTCTCGCTGAATACCCTCGGATGTGGCCGATAGCAAACGTAGTGTCCACTACCGTGCGATCCGTAATGAGTCACAGCAGCTCGGAGCCTGTACTGGAATTGTGAGGTCGTTACCGGTTCACTCTCTGAGTCTGGAAGCATAGACTCTCTGGGGTCCCTCGGCCACTCCTCTATTGACATGTCGGGCTGCTGCGAGCCGCTTGGCTTGCTGCCCAAACACCAGTTGGCCAAATCCAATATCATTGGGTATGACACACCGGCAGTGTTCTTGTACGACATTCCAGTCATTTCATTGAAGCTGCTCCGGTTGATGTGAAGAACTAGTGACTTCGGTGCTCGTGCAATGACGGCCTGTTTCGATTTTGTACTTTGCACCCAATTCTTCTTCGCTGCGTTAAGCTTCTTGATCAGAGTCTTATCTTCGAAATCTTCCTCGTCCAACGCCTCTTGCACGGCATTCAGTTTTGCTTCGAACGGTGATCCCGGAGCCTTAGTCGCTAATGGTGTGAGCGTATTCTTCAGCTTAAGAAGCGTGCACTTCGCACATTCCACCCCATCAATATATTCCAACGTCGTGTATTCGTCGAGGCATTCGCGGATATCGTATCCATAGTTCCTACCCAGCGATACCGTGACGCAGTTGAAAGGTATAAGCGAGAGTCCTTCCGAGTAGCCACAAGATACGCAACCAACCCGCTGGGCGAGTAATCCGTCCAGTGGATTCGGCACAATCTTCGGCTGCCTTGCTGTCGCTTGACCTTTCTCCGACCCGACCGTCTCGCCCGCCTTTTGTTTATCTTCTGCCTCTGGTAAGTCACTCAAGCTCTTCGTAGCCTCAAGCCAAGAGACCGAGGATCGCCTCTTACTACTAGAAGCCTTTTTGACCTCCTCATCCAAAGCATCTAGTACCTTGCTGTAATATTCCTGCGCATCTTGTTGCTGAAACGTACTCATCGACTTGAGCTTCCCTCGTATCCAGAAATGTTGACTGTGGTTGCCTGGATCGTTGAGCTTGCTGATCATCTCGTATAGGGCCCCGTTCGTTGTGTCGGCGGTGAGCGCGGGATACTCGATAGCCAACCTCGAGAGATATTCGCGCAGAGAAGGTAACGATGCGAGGCCCTGGATGACGCTGTTTTGGTAGCAGGAGTTGCTAATGTTGCCTAAGCCTGGCGGCACAGCGCTGGAGCCTCTAGACCAAGCACCTGCAACACCTCTTACACCTTTTTGTAACAAGCTTCCAGGATTGAGACCAAAGATGCTCCCTAGCATGCCTCCACTACGCTGCATCGTGTCGTCGCTCGACTCCGAGTCGGTCGACACGAGGGATGCACCGCGCAAGCGCAGAACCCCGACAGACATGTGGGCAAGCTGGTGGATCCAGAGCCAGACAGGATAGCCAAGGAGGCCCAAGACCTTGAAAACAATGTATGCGCCTGCTACAACCGCAAGTAGAACCGAAGTGAGTGTTGTCGTGGATTCCGGAGTAATCCACCGCCGTTGATAGTCCTCAAACTCAGGATAGTCTTCGTAGCTCATAGCTACAATGCAATAAGCACCACTAGGCTGACTCGGTAATGGTAGTGAATTGTGTGCGGTAGTGATGAAGGGTAGAAGGTTCAGGAATGAGACAGTGCAAGTGCTTCATTCAACCTTTGGGCCAGCGCATAGATAGTGTCGGACAGAGCAAACGCTGGGGTGTTGAGTTTGTCTGCGACATGGAGAGGGGAGACAGGCTGTGAGGTGGGAGGATCGAACGATGGCAGTGGTGGCGGGGATGGCGAGTGAGTGTGAGGCGCGAGACAAGGCTTGTGAGAAGGGCCATCACCGGGGAAGTCGCGGGAATCCGCCGAAGTGGGACTAGTGCAGACAGATGGGCCGGGAATTTTGGCATGTGGAGGGGAACTTTCATTGCAAGACAACAACCACAAAGATTGGCAGTTGTATCACGCTTCTATCTTTTACGCAAATTTCGACAAATTGAGTGATTGGAGGCCTATCAACGCCCCTTTCGAGCTTTCTCCAAGCACTAGTCACCCACAGTCCCATTTCACCAAAAAATACATATAGGCAGTCGTTGCAATGGCGAAGACAGCCAAGGTCAAGAAGCGTCGTACGTCTCGGAATATCCTCTATTTTAAACCAATACTGAGATTCTTTGCAGAAGTAACAGTTCACTCTCGCGCCGCCCGCCGCGCAGAATCTCCTTCAATCAACCTCGACAAATCCGCCAAACCTGCGAATAACACCCGCGACTCGGCTTCGCCCTCGCGGCCGTCAAAAATAAATCCACATGCTCTAGCCGCAAAAGATGCTGGAATTCAAAAGAAGCAGAAGAAGGGCACTATGAGCCGCGCACAAAGGCTACGGCAACAAAAGACCCTCGAACGTGCAGCCGACAACATGGATAAGCTAGAACTAAAAAGGATGAAAAGTCTGGGTAGCGAGAAAAAGATCAAAGAGAGAGCAAAGGGGTGGGAGGATGTGAATGGAGTCAGTGTGAAGAAGAGTAAGAAGAGTGCTAATGCATTCGAAGAACTGGACGACGAGGACACAGAGGAGAAGAGACAGGAGAGGGAGTGGGTGAGTGATGACGAGATGGATGGAAATGATTTGGCGGCGCCTAAAGATGCAGCGAACATTCCAGGTGGAGTCAAGGGCGAGGGAAAACCGACAGAAGCCATCGTGCCTACGAGCGCACCGTTGCCTGTTGAAGAAGACGAGCTTCTCTAGTTAAGAGGGAAGGATATTGGGGCTTCACAACTTCGAGTAATGAGGCCGTGAACAATTAAGAGATACCCAAATATGACGAGCTCGAGACGTTGACGAGGGTGAGCTCGAAGTAACTGTTATTTCCAACTCTTCAATGCCACGCAACAGTTGATTGTTTGAGTTGAACTTGAGGTGTGATCGTGAAGCTCAAATAAGAGACTTGTCAGCGAAGAAATAGACAACTGCGGTTTCCTCGTATCGATATGACAGCTGTGTTTCCATCCTAGTTAGCAACGAGTCGTGCAGTGAAGGGCTCGATGTCGTAGGTGTCGTGGCACGTGCGCGTAAACCTTGCACTAAAACGCGTCTCCCCATCTGTCCCCGCCTCAAACACATCAACTGCAATTGTCGAGCCGCGCCCTTTTCACTTCCACCTCTCTTTCTAGCAATACAGCATCGTGCGCAAACACCATGAGCGCAGCGGTTTCGGCCTCCGAGGCTAGCGACGGCGCTGCATCCACGGCGAGACGCAAATCCGGACGCGTATCGAAGAAACCAACGAGATTCGCGCCAGCATCGAGCCCGACCGGCAGCGCGAAGCGAAAGCGTGGCGAAAATGACGACAGCGGAGTCGACGCGGATGAGCCCTCATCAGAGCGGGAAGAGGAGGAGAGCAGCGAGAGCGAAGGTGAGGGCGAGCCAGACCCCGAGGAACTGAGGGACCGTCAACGTAAGAAGAAGAGCAATACTCCTGCTAGGAAGCCAGCAACGAAGAAGCCGAAAACGAACGGCCAAGGCCTCAGTCTTGCCATTCGACCCGCGGCGAATGCAACAAGGAGAGGCGCCAAGAGATCGCGCAAAGCACCCATTCGCAAGAGTGCGCTCCCAGAAGAGACTGAAGGGTTATACGGTAGGCATCTGAAGCACAATGGCACATGTATCTAGCTAATCGCGCAACAGCCGACGTGTTTGCCAGTGGAGACCGACTTGATGCTGTCACCGCTCGCTGGGTCGCGCGATTTTACGAGCACGAAGGGCGATCAGTCGCCGAAATCATCAACCTGGTCCTGACAGCTACCGGCTGCGACGTGCGGATAAACGAAGATGACATAGCAGACCCAGATAACGCGCCAAATCGCGTAGCAGAGATTCAAGAAGAATACCAGACAGTAGGTTGTCGCAATATGCATAGCAGTCGTCCACAAGGGCTAATGTAAACAGCATGAAGTTACAGAGTATCCTCTGATCGCCAAGGCTAAAGACGGTGGTGGCCAGGCATTCAGAAATGCGCTACACGGCTTTTTCTCAACACTCGTTCAAACAGTAGCACAATCAGGCCTCTTGTACGATAGTCCGGAGCTTATCGAGAACATCTCAGTATGGCTCGGCGCCATGTCCTCCACCGGCAACCGCCCTTTTAGACACACAAGCACAGTTGCCTCACTAGCTATCACGACAGCGTTAGCTCAAGTCGCAGCTGGCATTGTGGAAAACACAGCCAAGCGAATGCGCCAAAGCGAGGCCGAGTCTAAGAAGTCCCGCGTTAATAAAGCCCGCGTATCTGCCGCGGATCAAGAAGTCGACGAGTACAACCGGAAGCTACAGATTGTAGAAAGTTCCCTGGACGACTGGTTTAACGTCGTCTACGTTCATCGTTATCGAGATGTGGATCCTAGGATCAGGGTAGACTGCGTCATAGCCCTGGCAGACTGGATCATCGCCTATCCAGATAAATTCTTCGACGGCACGAAGTTACGATATCTCGGTTGGGTTCTATCGGATCCCAACCCGCCAACTCGAGTTGAAGTCCTACATCAGCTTGCTCGACTGTTCCGAGATGAGAACAAGTTGGCAGGTTTGAAGACCTTTACCGAGCGTTTCCGACCTCGCATCGTCGAAATAGCTACCTACGATGCTGAGAACAACGTGCGCGCCGCTGCAGTTGATCTCCTCAATATACTTCGAGAAGCTGGCTTCCTAGAACCCGACGATATCGACTCTGTTGGTAAACTCATTTTCGACTCTGATGCAAAAGTCCGCAAGTCTGTGGTGGGCTTCTTTGCCGAGAACGTGAACGCTGCATATGAGGCACTCGTGGATGACATGGGTGGGGAAGAAGCCCTCAACGAAGCGTTAGCACCCTCGGATGAAGACGATGAAGGATACCATAATCCGCGGTTAGAGTGGTTAAAGCTAAAATGTCTTGTTGATCAGCTGCTCTCATACGACGAAGATGAAGCAGAATTGCCATCACATATCGAGCGCATCTCTTCGACTGGTGCAGAACTCGGCTTGATCGCGGCCGGCGTTGAATCACGGTTCTCTCTGGCGGCACAAGCGCTTTCTGATGCTATACCAGAAATCAGAGCGTGGGAGGTATTGGCTGGTTATCTCCTGTACGACCACTCCCAAACTATACAAAACAGTGGAGGGGACGATGCCGAGGCTATGCTTCGTCAGAACTGTCAGCTCGAGGAGAAGCATGAAACGGCCCTCCTCGGTGTACTCAATGCTGTAGTCCGCCTTCGCCTACAGCGTCTGGCAGAGGTACAGAAAGACAAGAAGAAGACTAGAACGCAACGTGAGAGTGACAAGGAAGACCAAGCGGACATGGCTAGGCGGCTCTCGCTTCTCATTCCTCAGCTACTAAAGAAATTCGGTGCCTTGCCTGAAGCTGCGGCATTGTGTTTGCGCCTAGAGCGCGAGCTCAACTTGGACGTCTTCCAGGAGCTGCGGCAGAATGCGGCGCTTACTGCGTTGCTTGACGACATCAACAAGCAGTTCCTAACCCACCACAACGAGCGTGTCTTGATAGAGGCCATAGAGTCCATTATGCATGCCCAAGGTAACGACGAGCTGAAAGAGACAGTCAGCCTAAAGGTCCAATCACTTTGGGACGACTTGCTCAACACATTTGACGCGCTTCGACGAGGCAAAGATTTTGCGACTCGCGGCAGCCTTGACCAGAACATACTTGTCGGTGTCTCCAACGTCGTCCTGAAAATGGCGCAATTGGCCAAGGCCTCGGACGCTGCCGTGCTCGACCATATCAACACGCCCGCCAAATCGAAGAGCAAAGGGAAGAAGGTCGCACTCGACACGCCGCCAATCTCATCCGTGTTGCAGATTCTTGACCGAGGCGTGCTAGTTGACGACCTCGATGCAGAGACCGAGGAGGCAGAAGATGCACTCGTCCGCCACGCCATGTCTGTCATGCTCATGTACATGCTATGGAAATGCAGAGAATGCGCTACCCACGTTGAAAAAGGTACCAGTATGCCTGATGACGAACTCACAGTCCTTGTTGAGCGAAGAGACGCTTGCGTAACTGCTCTAATGAGGATCATGGCGAGCCGGAAAGGTGCCGATGAAGTCCGTCTTGAGGCCGCAGATTTGCTACTGGATATATACACCATGTTCCGTACATTGAAAGCAAATAAAGGCAAAGCGGCAAAGACGCCGAGAAAAACCCAAGGACACGGCTCTAACAATGTCAACGACGATTGGGAAGCACTCTGCCGCGATATTGACGGTGACACGACGAAGCTCATCTTTCAAATCCTCACCGCGTGCGAGAACAACTTGGCTAAGCTTGCCAATAAGCGCCTCGAGGAACCAGAGGTAGACGACGACCCCGTCGATCCTGATGACGAGCCTGAAAGCGATGACGAAGACGTAAATGACGAGCGCGCAATATCTGATAAACAGCTCCGCATACTCCTTGCGGAGCAGAGCCTATGTGCTTTTGGTGGCCGGATTGTTCAGGCTGTACACGTTGGCGTGCTGGACAGTGATGGCTCCGATGCTGTGAGGAAGAGGCTAGAGCGTAACAAGGTGAAGCTCACCACCACGTGGAAAGAAATCGTCAATCATCTCGATGCCGTTAAGCAGAGGAAGGGAGCAAAGAAGGCGGTGCATGCAGCCAAGCCACCAACCAGGGAGGCGAAGAGCAAGGAGACGGTGATTGAGATTGACAGCGACGAGGAAGATGAGGTCGAGGTGCAGGGTGATGAGATTGAGGACGAAGAGATGAGGGACGACGACGCTGAGCAGACCAACGGCGTGGACGATGCTAGGGAGAATGGCGATGGAGAATTGGAAGGAGAGCGAGATGCTGATGAAGAGAGCATCCTAGGAGATTGAAGGGTGTTTGGCCAAATGCGGGCCTGGACCGCGATTCGGCACTTCTGCTGGGCGCTTTAGATGCTGGACGGGGCTTGTTGTACGTCTATCTTCTCTTCTTCATGCATACTTTGAGGGAAGGCATGAGAAATCGATGCTTCATGTCGACGGTTGCTGTATACCTCCAGTCAGGCGCTCCGGCGTTTGCTGCTATGGGAGGCCATTTTCTCTCCTTCTTTTCTTTTGAATGTGGGTACATGTTTGGTTCGAAACGAGGAATTAGAGGTTCATTTACTGTGGTAGCGTGGATATTGTCAATGCAATTTGAGAGAGAGGTCTGCAATGTTCTTAGAAAATGTGGTAATTATTGTATTGGTATAAATATGAAAATTCAATGTCGAGCACGCGTTGTTTGTATTGTGCTCTCCACCGGGGCTACTAGTATTATCGAAATAGCTGTCCCTTTGGCAGCTCTAAGTAAACAGAGTTCAGGCGTCTAAACACGTGGGTGCGCCGATGGTGTGCTATTGGGCGGACAGGCTGGAGTGGCCCCAAGGAATCCTACGTCGCCCACTACTACATCGATGATCGCACGATACTCGGACTGACTCCGGCCATTGTGCGGCACTCACTGGGCGGACAGACAGCTGTCACTGCGACATTCCCATGGTGATGGTGCCCGACTAGGCAGATGTCATGCAGCGGTCTACCAAGTAGTGTGCGACACTAGAAAAGAGCGACTGTTATTATCGTCTCTGCGCATCCCGTGCGAGATGTGTCTCAATGGCGCTCTCGGCTGAACAGGCAAATGACCTGTTGACCCCTCATGGAGGATTCTGAAGCGGTCGAATGCTCGATAGACAGGACCACACACCTCGCGGCGATTCCAGTCCGAATCGGTCCGACGCCAGCGCTGTCAGTCAGATGAGGCCACGATTCCCAGAAGCGATGGGTGCGGCGTGCAGTTCAGTGATTTCGCGATTTATCGAATGCGCAGCGAGGAGGAGCCTTTTGGGGTGGCTTCATCGCCCTCGCCCTGAGATAGGCCACGGACCTGCGGCGTTTCGAGAGTGTCTCCAGAGTCTCGTCCAGAGCGTCGCTGTGGAGGGGCCGGGGCTCCCGACGTTTGGAGTTACTGGCGTCGATTTTGCATGGTAGTGAAGAACAAGGGCGCGGGGGGCGTTGGCAGCCAATCGGACCCGCTCTAGCCGGGTCGGTGGCTCCTGCCATTCCAGGTTCTAGCCTGCAAGTCAGCAGCGCCTGCCTTCTCGCGCAACAGGCAAAGGCTTGATTCCACTTGGCTCTTGCTCCCTCTCGTGGCCTCGACGCTTAACCTCTCTCCATTACCTACTACCCTCGCCTCGCCCTCGCCCTCGCCCTCGCCCACAGACCATGTCGTCGCTCGTCTGATTACCCATGGGACATGATCGCCAGACACCCGCTGCTGCTGGACCAGTATAGACGACGCCGAGCATGTGGGCGCAGTCGTGGAACGCGGCCCACCTCCTGGACCGTCGCGACTCCAGCAGGCCCTACGTGAGTAGCACGCCCGCACCCACCACCACCACCACCACTACCATCACCAGCGACGCGACTGACAACGGCCGACAGCACTGCCCTTCGTACAAACTCCCCGCCTTGGGCGTCATAGAGATCAGCCCGGGCAACCTCATCACCCTCGATTCAAACGCAATCTTCCGGCCGCAATGCACCAATGCACAACAGGGCGCCCTGGAGACGGGAGGAATCACCAGCGTCGCCGACATCAGAGACCCCTTTCACGCGTCTATTACCCCGCAGGCCTATGCGACGGGCGCGGCCACCGTCATTGCCTGGATGCTTGTCATCATGCTCATCATAACACCGCGCACCTTCTTCGTCGGGAATGCTTCGGGGCGGTCGGGACTCATGGGGAGACGCGGCATGATTAGCGGCGCGTCAGGAGGAGGGTCCATCATAGGAGTCGGGAGTCGACCGTGGCTACAAAAGGTTGCCGCCCTGACCGTCGCCATCTCCCTTACGCTCGCCACCGCCGACACGTTCAAAATCGCCGGGCGCCAGTATGCCGAGGGCTTCATCGACGCCATGGAACTGCGCGGCCAGGTCGTGGCTGGCATGGAAATCAAGGTCTCGCGCGTCATCTCCGACATCTTCCTCTGGCTCGCACAGGTCCAGACGCTGATACGCCTGTTCCCACGCCATAAAGAGAAGGTCATCATCAAATGGGTGGGCTTTGCCCTGATTCTGCTCGATATTGTCTTCAGCTCTCTCAACAGCTTTGGCCCCTACGAAAACAGCCGTCGTCGCCCCGCTCACTTCGATACGGCCATCCCCGCACTGAGTTATCTATTCCAGCTGTCACTGAGCATGTTGTACGCCGCCTGGGTCATGTACTACGCCATCACGAAGCGACGATATGCCTTTTACCACGCCATGATGTGGAACATGTCTGTCGTCGCACTCTTATCTATTATCGCCATTCTTACACCTGTCGTATTCTTCATCACCGATATCGCCAACGACACTATTGCCGGATGGGGTGACTATTTCCGCTGGGTTGGAGCCGCCGCAGCCAGTGTCATTGTTTGGGAGTGGGTAGAGCGAATAGAAGCTCTGGAAAGAGAGGAGAGAAAAGACGGAATCTTAGGGAGAGAAATCTACGACGGGGACGACATGCTCGACACAACACCATCTTCAATATCTCGTTGGCCCTCCTCTCGAAAGAGTCCCTTATCGGAGAACGAAAAGAAGGGAGGGGGTGGAGGACACGGCAGTCTTACCGTGTTTACGTCCGCTCATACTGGCCGCTTTAGTGATCTCGCCCATAGATTAGGACGAAAGATGACGGAGTCTCCAAGGACAGAGGCCAGGAGAAAGCGAAGTATCCATATACCAGCACCGGCACCCGCTCGTCAACGTTCTAATTCTGCGAACCGCGGTGACCGCAACTCGCGAACCTACACACGCGTACAGACTCCGCCTCCAGTTCCCGTCATCTCTTCGCCCGTTAGCCGAACGGATACAACAAGCGCCGACTCGACTGTTTATACGGTACGATACCATCCTATAAGTGAAACCCCACCTGGACGACGTCTTGCCCCATTGGGGGATCGACTAGCTCAGGAAGAATCACAAACGCAAACTCAATCAGGACCACAAGTGGCGGTAGGCCAACCAGCCAACGTGGATGATCTAGAGAAAGGCGGCGATGCCGGCACAGAACCGATTACCAGCAGGAAAAAATGGCAATTACAAACAGTTCCCAATCCATTTCGACGAAAAGGACGAACACCGCCGCAAGAACTCCAGAGAGGCCGAGTCATTGAGCCGCTTGGGGTCGATGATGTTACCGCAAACATACCACAACGCAACTACACCGGCTTGGCATTGACGGATCGACTGGGGACATTCGCTGCACAACAAGGCGAAAAGTTTCGCTCAAAGAAGAAAGATGGACCACAACTCGAGGCGAATCTACCTGTGACCATTATACCAGCTCAGCCCCGCGGCCAGACGTGGTCACCAGACCTCATTCTCCAGCAACAGGCTCAACAGGATGAGGTCCATCATACTACCGGTCTTCAGCTCGCTAGGGTACCAACTGCCATCGAAGAAGAGGACAGTATGTCATCCCCTACACAGCCAGATCAAGTGATTGAAAACAATGAGATTCCTCACCTTTCTCCGTCACCAAACCCAAATCGCAGCCCACGCATCCGGTTTGCTCCGCAGTCCTTCCGCGCACCTCAACGGCAACCAAGTAGCGAGTACACTCAACAACCTCCCGTCTCTGGTGTACTAGGCACTGAGGTGCGTAGACCGCCACCAGTGGAAGGCTCATTGCCCCCGCCAAATGAGTCGACGGCAATCACAGACTTCTCCGTGCCGCAGCAGCCAACTTGTACAAACCACGACAGATGACATGTCTCCGTTCGTTCTTTTTACTTTTCTCTGTTCATATATCAAATCTCGGTGTTGGCGCATTTATACCCACATGTTTGATACGGCGCATAGGTGATGGCATGAGTAGTTGACGTGTGGTTCAATACCCCACATAGCATTGGCATGGTTTTGGCGCATTGTTGGTCTACAAAAGGATCTGGTCTATCAGCGAAGGGGGTTGGGAATTGTTTGGATACCCAGGGAGGACTGGCGCAATGTCAGCTATGTTTTGTATATGTCAGCAGACACCATGATTTGTAGATCTGCTACGAAGACATCTTTGAAGAATCTAAACGCATTTTATGTCTACCTTTACAGCTACTTGGATGAATTGACGTGGTGCGCCATGGTGGTGATAAGCGTGTAGTGGAGCTTGGGCCAGGTGCGGCGCGGGTGGAGCTCCGGTTCCATCATAGCTCCATCTCCATCCATGTTATCATCCATCACGTTGAGCGCTTCCGTCCCGTGTGGCCTGTGTTCCTGTAGCTACTCTCTGTTAACTACCCATAGCTTGCGGGCTCATCTTCATATCATTGCGCATATTCTATAAAATTACCCATGGCTCTCTTTGGTGAAGACGACTTGCCGTCGCGCGCGAAGCAGTCGTCTTCGCTGTTCGATGACGAAACCAAACCCGCGGGTAAGACGGGCAACAGCTTGTTCGCGGACGACATTGACAGCCACGACTCGCCGTGGGCTTTCCCATCACCGAAGAAGGCAGGGCGAGCGGCCTTGGTCAAGTCACTACTTCCTGCCGCTGGCGTGCCCGACTCGTACATCGATGCTTTCGACGCTCTGCTAGACGCCGACGACAGCAAAGGCAACGGCGTCAGTGTGGCAGCTGTAAAGAAGTTGCTGGGTGATAGTGGGGTGTCAAGTGACTCGCAGACCAAGATACTCGACGTCGTGTTACCATCTGGGCAGGAAAGCGCGGGATTGGGGCGGAACGAATTCAACGTTGTCTTCGCATTGATTGGGCTGGCGCAAGAAGGCGACGATATCACGCTAGACAGCGTGGATGAGAGGAAGAAGAGTGAGCAGCAGGCCCATGTCTATTTGAGCTTGGGGCAATATTGACGCCATGCCAGATCTTCCCGTACCTACCGTATCCCTCCCCAAGTCGGCGAAGCAACAGACGCAGGCTCGAGAAGCTTCACCTCCACTGCAAGAACCACTGCCTCCAACCCCTCCTGCGCAGCAGCCGCCCTCTGAGCAGCCTACACCCACCCCGAGTCGGTCGCGTGCTCCGATGCGCAAGCAGTCTTTTGGCGACCCAGAGGCAGATCCCTGGGGTAGCCCAGACCTACATAGAGGACACGACCACGCGAGCTATACCAGTGTACCACCTCGGACGAATGGCGCAAGTGCGCCTCCTACCGCGCGAACTACCAGCCAGTTCACGACCCAATCAACGGCCAATTCCTCGACGATCCAAGAGAACATACAACCAAGCTCTTTGAGCAGTGAAGGGGGATGGGGAGGCTACAACGGAGGCTCGGGCCAGCCATTTTCTGCTCCAGGTCTTGGAGAAGGCGGGTTTGGAGTACCACCTAGCGGTCAGGGCAGCTCCAATCCGCCTCCTGAGTTAGGCCGGTCCATTGGTCGAGTGACCCCAGGAGGTAGCGGAACCGAGGAAATCATTACCATAACCGCACTCTCTGAGAAAGAGGGCATGTTCCTGTTCCAGCACCGCAACTACGAAGTGGCCAGCTCGCGACGAACCACCAAAGTCGTTCGTCGATACAGCGATTTTGTTTGGTTATTAGACTGTCTGCATAAGCGTTATCCGTTCCGGCAGTTGCCGCTATTACCTCCGAAACGAGTTGCCAGTAAGTCGCCCCGATGAAAACATTTTGATGTGTGTTGAGAGTTCTTAGTCAATGGCAATCCAATAGCTGCGGATACAAGTTTCCTCGACAAGCGCAGGAAAGGCCTAGCGAGATTTACAAATGCTCTCGTGCGCCACCCGGTACTTAGTCAGGAACAGCTCGTCGTAATGTTCCTGACAGTTCCTACGGTAGGCTTATCTCAACACGAAACACAATAACCTTGCTGACGAAAAGCAGGAACTCGCAGTCTGGCGCAAACAAGCCAATCTCTCCGTGCAAGAAGAGTTCACCGGCAAGACGCTACCTCCTGACCTAGAAGACTCTCTACCAAAGACACTGCCTGAGTTGTTCGACACGGTCCGCTCTGGGGTAAAGCGGAGCGCCGACACCTACATTGCCCTCTGCAATATGATGGAGCGGCTTTCCAGACGCAACGAAGGCATGGCTGTGGAATTTGCTCGCTTCTCCGCCGCTCTCTCAGGACTCACCGCGTGCTCGCAAGAAACGTATGCCGTCGACACTAACGATGTGCCTCTTCTCAACGAAGGCCTCAAGTCAACCGCAAGACATCTTGACCAATCACGGCAGCTGCTAGACGACGAGGCAAAAGGCTGGGAAGAAGGCGTGCTCGAAGACCTAAAACGGCAGAGAGATACCCTTGTTGGCGTGAGAGACATGTTTGACCGAAGAGATCGTTATGCAAAGGACAATATCCCGCAACTTGAGAAGAGGATAGCGAGCAATGAGACGAAGTTGCAGAACATTAGGAATAAGCCGGCTGAAGCGGTTAAGCCGGGGGAGGCGGAGAAAGTGGAAGATGCAATCTTCAAGGTTAGCAGCTCTTCTGTCCCCCCGACTTGAAAATAATACTAATTCCCGGCTTAGGATAAAGAATCTATCGTCCAACAACACGCACGCGGCGTCTTCATCCAAGAATGCATCCGCGACGAGTTGGTCTTTTTCCAGAAATCCCAGTATCATGTCAGCAAGTTGCACCAGGAGTGGAGTCAAGAGCGAGTAAAGTACGCCGAGCTGCAGGCAGACAATTGGCGCGCATTGAGTGAAGAGGTGGAGAGCATGCCTTCCGCAGACTAGGCTCTGCATTGCGGCAAGCTTGGTATACTATTGCTATGGTACGCCGAGAAACGACTCATGCGCTGAGTCGCATATGAGAACCAGGAGATGATGGGATGTTTGGGGGGCGTGTTGGCTTGACCAGGCTATAATTTGTACATGTCTCCATTTTGCGCGCATTTCCCCAGGTAGTCATGATCGCGGACGTATATATTGACAGGTTCGTGTAGCCTTGAGGGCTGTACGTTTTCTTTTTTTTGTGCCATCTATGGAGACCACAGCTTTGAATTTTATGTGTTTGCTCCTTATAGGATATGCGGTCATGTGGTACAGAAGCACATGCTCTCGCGTTGCTTTTGCGACGCGGCGACTGGCTCACGCAAGCTGAGGAATTCAACGCGCGACCACTGCACTGTGCCTTCCTTGCACGCGCAGTTGCCTAGACACACACTTCCAGTCCCTGACTTCACTATAGCGTTGTAACGTATTGTTTTCGAAGCCGCCCGCCACAGACACTTTCACCGCGAACATTCTACCTGGTTTTGGAAGGCACGAGGCACGCTCTATTCATTCACATCCATCCCCCGCATCGCCTATCCAGTGAAGTGAACAGCCCTGCATGAGAGACCTGCGTGTCTGGACTCGGCGTCTTCTCTGCTTCACTGGCACGAACGTCAACGATACGCACGAGCTGCCTAGTCGGTCAAAGGCTGATTCTCGGGGTCCTTGCACGCCAGAGCAAGAACTCCCACTTGCTGACCAGCCAAAGACTAACTGCAAAGCCGAAGCACCTCAACTCCCACCCCACCACGTCGACGGCACGGAACACCACGATTCTTTGATGCCGCCCAAACGCAAGAGCCTGGCCACCAGTGCGGATATGGACCGCCCTGATAAGAAGACCAAGACGACGAAGAAGAGCAAGAAGGCTGCTGCTCCTGTTGCTGAGGATGGTGAGTCCTCTCCTTTTTCTTTCCTTTTCCCTTCTAGATATAATCAAGCGCCCGAGAGACAGCGAGCGAGCTTGGTGAGGGAGGTGAGGTCCGCATTGGAGATTAGCCTGTCTTTCGCGGTCTTAATTCCGAGGCATGGGTGTTGCGTGCACAGCGAGGGGGCCAATGGTGGGCTGGCCAGCGGCGAGTCGGCTCCAACCAGCTGGTGCCTCGACGATGCGTCATGTCTCATTCAACCCAAGACATATATTCGCCCACGGCACTACCAGCCAGTCCGTCCACCACGGTTCCGCACAAAGCTTAGCTTTTGCTTTGCCTGCTGTCCCCTCCTCCCCTCACTTGGCTCTCTCGCTCGGTTGCGCACATACTATCCTCATACGGCGCGTAGCTTTACTCCTTCGACCCCGCGATCGATCGCTGCGCAGCTCGAGTTTCTACACCGTGTGCCGCTTTTTTGGAGTTTGGAAAATAAGGTGCTGATACAAGGATGCCTCCAGTTTACAGCACGCAGCAGAAAGCTGCTATTACGCAGTTTGTCAGCTTCACGCAGCTGGATCGGAATACAGCGATACGGGTGCTGAAGACCCATGGCTGGGATGCGCAGACTGCTGTCAACGCGTAAGTTTTTTCTTTCTTTCTTTGTCTATGCATGCAGTTGAACAGGGTGTCTTTATTGTTTTACTACTGGCTGTCTGGATTGGCACTGCGGTGCCTATACGACTTCGGATGCGACCGACCGATTACGGGCATATATTTGCAACTGCAGCTCGAGCAGGCTTGGGCAGGCACGAATTGGGCTTCGCTGCAAGGAAAGCACACGGCGCGATGGGATGACGAGTGAAGCTTCTTAAAAAGCTGGGGCGGAGACATGCAAGATTTATGGGCTCTCACTGCTGGATACATTGGATATGGAGTAGAAGGTCCACCAAGGACGTGTCGAACCTAGCTCAGTCCTGCAGCAGTCTCTACATCTTCGCGATTTCCGTACTACGAAGCATGCACCGGTGCTCCTTCTCAGCCGGAAACACCAACATGATGCCTTCCACCGGAACTAGTACGATACACTCGTTGTGTAAACACGATAATCTTCCTTCGCTTCTACCTCACCTCAACCACTTTACCTTTCACGACTGTTATCCAGCATTCGACCACGTCTACGCTATCGACACATATTGCCATGTTCGGCTCTTCACAGGACCGGGCCCGACAGCTTGCGGCTCGCACGCGAAGAGAGAAGACCAGCCCTCGCTCAGTCAGCTCGTCAAAGCAAGCACTCCAACAGTCACCCACATCGGCTACCCTGGAAGACCATATTCAGCAACCGCCTGTCATTCCAGAACATCCTAGTGATCTCGCCCCCAACGGCCGACATACTTCTAAAGGGTCTTACGCCGCTCGACCACTCACCAACGACCAAGTGGCCTCTGATACGATCCATCATGTATCGCAACCACTGAGCGCAGGACTTCACTCGCAGATCGAGCAGCACAGACTACAAGCTGAATATCTGAGCCAGGTGCTCTATGATAGCCTTACGCTTCCCGTCTTAGGCCGTCCGCCGCAGAGCCATTTCAAGCGCTCTACACATCATAGCCGCTATGGAAGTTTAGCGACGCAATCAACTACATCGCAATACCCGCGTAGTATTACCGCTCCCATCCCGCCAGTTCAGTCGTCGACTAAGCCATTGTCGACTTTGCCAACACAACCAGGTTTTCCTATGCTTCCACCGCTTCAGAAGTCCGCATTTGGGAATCATCTACAGACCCCAACAGCTGTTTCCTTGCGAGGTGGTGCTGGTGCTGGTGCTCGTGATGGCAACCCTAATCATGTCGAACGGGCCAAGAATACGCAAAGAGTCCTCCACGCGGATTACCGTCCAGCAGGTTCTTCCAATCTATCTCGCGGTTTACCATCAGACTCTCTTATGCCTGATCCGAGTATCGACCAACGAGCCTTTGCGCGCGAATTTCGGTGGGTGTCTAGGGTCTTCCAACTACCTGAATGGGAATTCCCCATAGCCTCAGGCGTGTCCTACGATGCTTTCCTGGAATCGCTTTCGAAGCAGGAATCTGTCTGCTTCCGCTTCTTGTTTGATCTGCACACGCCTCCAATAGACTTGGACTGCGAAACGCGGGCACGGAGGTGGTTCTATATTGACTTGTCACCTGAGAAGAAGCGTGTCTTCAAGAACATCATCGAAGCACGAGGATTGGGGCTCCTTGACATGATGCGGAACGATTCCACGGGGAAACGGGAAGCACTATTCAAGGCATCTGACGACAAGTCGAAGCCTTTTGTCAAGCTGTATCATCTGTTGGAAGCAACCGAGAGTCACCCCGGTCCTTACCAGCCCTCCACGGCTGCCAGAGCTTCCAGTGCGCCAAACATGGGAGAGGTTGCGCTACCAACATCTGGCCTTTAGTATTTTGTCCCCTTTGTCTTTCGTCTAAACATGCATTATTCTTGATCTACCACATCACAGTGTATGCTAACATGGTCCGACTAGTTACTACAGCGGCGGCGGTGGTGGTTCGACTGCCTCTCCTGCAGCGAAAACTGCTCTCAACAAGCTGTTCGATCGGTACCGAGAGTCTGGTGTAACGGAACCAGACATTGTCGGCGTCGAGGGTACGATGAAGTACTTCCAAGATACTAACGTCGACGTCGAAGGCCTTGAGTCGCTTGCTGCTCTCGAGGTAGTCCAGGCTCCTACTATGGGCGAGATGAGCCGAGAGGGTTTTGTCAACGGCTGGCAAGAAAAAAAGTAAGCATCTGCCTTCTCCATTTTCTGTGAGATAATACAGAATTAACACCACTCTAGCTGCGATACTGTCGACAAGCAAAAGGCGTTCATCAAGAACCTGAAGCGGGAGCTACCTGCGAACAAAGAGCTCTTCACACGGGTCTACAAGTACACCTTCGCCATCGCCAAGACTGGAGGCCAGAAAGCCGTTGCGCTTGATGCCGCCATTGCCTATTGGGAACTCCTCTTCAGCTCACCATTGTCTGCAGTCAAGTGGACGAGCGCCAACACGCCGTGGCTGACGTGGTGGACAGAGTTCCTCACCTCGTCGTGGAAGAGGAGCGTCAACAAGGACATGTGGAACGAGACGCTCAAGTTCGCACAGCTCACCCTTTCTGATGAGGCCATGAGCTTCTGGAACGAGGAGTCGTCGTGGCCATCTGTGATCGATGAGTTTGTCGAGTGGGTTAAGAATGAAAAGCGCGGCGGCAGCAAGGAGGAGGTCATGGAGGAGGATTACTGAGCTATCTCACTTCTTCGTCACCACGGCAGTCCTCGGTGTATTCGATTCACTATGCGATCGACATAGATAAGCGGGAGTTACGGTGGTCAACATGGTTTTCCATCCGATGGCTGATGGCGTTTGCCTCAGAAGGCGGGTTTACTTGATGCATGATATGATTTCCATGGGAGCATTCACATACCCTTTGCCTACTTTTCAGACACACTTTTTTTCGACACAGGAAGCAGCCTCTAGTAAATAGAATAGCACTAGCATGAGTATCCACAGGCTCCGAATGCCTCTTCATCATCTGCGACTTTGTGCGTGCTTGACGAAGTTATCAGTATTACTGCGCGTGAGAGTTGCTACCCACAAGGAAAAAATTATCCCCTCTCAGCTACCAACTATAGAGTTCAGCCATTCTTTTCCTCCAGGTAATGATGGCCTTTTTCCGTTCCGTCGCAATCTGGTGTTGGTGTTGGGTTGGGCGAGGCGAGGCGCGGGCGCACTGTCCACATCTGTGTGGCTAGTGACGTTTCGCTTACGCTAGCGGCTTGGGACACACTCGCGCCTCCCATTTTCGCTTTGGCACACGAGAACGTCAAAATCGTCACGACAAACTAACCACACAGCAGACAAAGTGCGTACAGGTCCTCTTGCACTCCTATTGCAGTACTAATAATCACCGCAGATGGTTGCCGCTAAGAAGCACGTTCCGATCGTCAAGAAGCGTACGATAGACCTCCGTGAGCTGGAAAATTCGCGACTGACGATATCGAATAGACACCAAGCGCTTCAACCGCCACCAGTCGGACCGCTTCAAATGTGAGATACAAAGGGATCCGGAGTGAAGGAATGGGAATTGACATTGGATAGGCGTCGACCCCTCATGGCGCAAGCCCAAGGGTATTGACAACCGCGTCCGCAGGAGGTTCAAGGGACAGGCTGCTATGCCCAAGGTACGGACTGCCTCTACCACACGAGCAACGAATGGATCACGCCGTCGAGATTGAGAAATTGGTTGTGGGAAATGCTATGAACACGGGCTGACGGAATTGCGACTCACAGATTGGATACGGATCCAACAGGAAGACCCGCCACCTTATGCCCAGCGGCCACAAGGCTTTCGTCGTCGCCAACGGTACGAGCTCATGATCTCGCTCATCGCAATCCGGACATTTGCTAATGGACTATAGTTGCCGATGTCGACCTTCTCCTCATGCACAACACCACCTTCGCCGCAGAGTATGTCCACCTGCGACAGTCACTACTCTCCATGCACAGTATACTGACGTAAACTAGGATTGCCCACTCCGTTTCAGCACGGAAGCGCATCGATATCATTGCCCGGGCGAAGCAGATCGGTGTCAAGGTGACCAACGGCCAGGCTCGCGTCAAGACGGAGTCGTAGACGAGTGCGGATTTTCACTTTGGGGCGGGGCATACAAGGCGTCTCTCTGATTAGTTACGATCTCAATGGGAAGGCTTTTCATCCTCCTACGAGGCATGTATTCCAAAAAGTCATTGCGACAGAAGACTGCGGGACGGCCTACGACAGGAGAGGGAAGGAAACCGTAGGAATGCAATGAAAATGATCTAAGCCCTAGGTTTCTGAATATCGACGTCAACCTGTCTCATGATGTTGCAGCGCTTTCGGCGCTTGTCAGTTTGCCAATCCACACTTGAAGGTTGTTTCTCCTCCACCACCCACATCGACAGGTCGCATGATTCGTTACGGCATAGCAGCAGCATCATGCGGGTTGTTACCAGGTCAGTGTTACGGCCGCGCAGATGGTAGCATTCTCAGTATTCGTTTCGTCACCGAGCAGCATCGCCCTGTCACTCGCATTGCGAGATGACCCGATGCCCACCCCTGCCCTATCTACCTAAACCTATATGCTGCAACGCCAAGTCTTAAATGCTGTGTACTTTGTTATAGCACGAGTAGACTACTGCTGAGGGAGGAAAGAGAGACGGCTGGATAAATTCTTATCGCGGCAGAGCGATGTCGCGGAACAGGAGTGGTGGGATTTTCTTCCCCCTCATGAATTTGTGTGTCTCGTGGTGCTGCGCAGAAGTGGGTAGATGGATGGGATGGATGGAAGTGGGGAGATCTGGGGTTTGGAAGTTGTAGGCTTCGTCTACACTGTTGCTGAAATGGCTAGCGCTGTGGAGTTGAAATATTGCGTGTTGGTATGCTATTTGCCTGTCGATCGAGAAGCACGTCATACTGAACTGTACTGCACTGTACGGTAGGTGGTGGTGGTGGAGGGCAAAGATCCGCAAGAACAGTGTACAACGATCGGGTCAAAGTTTCCTACGAATTTTCTCCACTGATAACCGTTTTGTAGAAACCTTGACATGTTATGCATGCTAAGCGTAGAAAGCAGATTCATCAGTCACGATTTCAAATTACCTTTCGTTATCCCTATTCATCCAATGTGCTGGCTGTGCCCATGCAAAGCACAACGCCTCACTCACGAATCCGGCTATTCCTGTCCGTTGGTTGCATAATAAGCAAGGGCCCAGACGAAAGGACTGGCCGTTCCTTTGGGTGGTACGCGCAGCTCAACACGGCGCCCCGAATTCACCGCATATTGAGCATGAGATAGTAAGGTTGTCCGAGTCAAGATAACGTGCACTGGTTCCATTTGTCCTGGGATGGAGACCTTGGCGTCGTCGCACGTCCCGCGACATGTCCAAGACGACCCAAAAGGGGTACCTCGAGGGCTTGAGGTACTCTGCTTGCTGACAAGTTTGCTTATTGTTTCCATCTCCCTCCTTTTTTTTGGTAGTGACTGTGCTTGGAGATGTGGGTGCTGGGCCAAGCACTCCAAGACCACGCGACACGCAGCTGTTTGTTAGTACAATTATTGATGCACTTCCCGGATGACTTAAAGACCCGTACTTCCGCTTGGCTGTGCATACTATGTGGAGTCGCGATGTGTTTCATGGTGTTCACAGGTCTTCGCTTACGGGAGGGCTTACAAGTCCCGCGCTCTAGTCCACTCACGACTCTCCACTCCATTCCCTTTCCTTTGCCTTCCGCACACCCCCCTTCGACCCAGCATCTCACCGCCATGAACCCGTCGTCGTCTGTGCCTGCCCGTGCAATTTCACTATCTCTGGCTCCTGCTTGACCACCGTCTTACAGCAGCCGCTTTATCTCGCATCATCCACGGCGTGCTGGCAGAATGGCGGCTGATTGGCTGGGTTGGGCCACTTTATCAGCGGATGCGGCGTGCTGCGAGGGAGGTACGAATGGGGAATCACACATGCAAAGATGTGCAATCCGCATGTTTGTGAGGCAGGAAAGGAAAGAATCGGAGCGGTATCGCTGAGCAGAGCTGATGGAGGCAGTGTGCGATGACGAAATGTGCTGGCTGGCTGAGCAAGTCTTGGTTGGGTGCCCCGAGTCGCCCGGCGCCGCCGCATAACGCGTCTTGGTCGATTCGTAACCCAAACTTCGTATAGGACATTGCGGACTATTTCTACGCAGTCGCTCGACCCACAGTTCTGCAACCCCCCCTTCCACCGGCTAGGTCGAAGCGCCTTTTCAATTTCTTTCCGTCGGCCTGGGAAAGATTTTCAAGCCCAACACTATTTTAGCTCCCGTCCGTTTAAAATATCTTGACCACCTTCCGACGTCCCTTTGTTTCGAATTTCGTCTTCTTTTTTTCAAACACACAACAACTCTGTGAACTACGCCTAGGCCTTGCATCCAGCGACATAGTCGTGCTTTGCACGCTGCGGATCCGCCGTCGCTTGGCTTTCCCTCACTCACACCACCACCCAAGGTTTCGCCGCTCCTGTGACCGATTTTATATCTTCGCATACAGCCTCGCCATTCGTCAAGGTCTTCTTGGCGCGTCACATCTTATCTACTAGGGTCAATTCCCACGTGCGTCACTGCAAGACCACTGTTGAAGCATTTCGAGAATTATTTCGAGAATTATATTGCAAATTCACGCCACTCCGCATATAAATTTCCAGATCCACTTATCACTCGACTCCTGAGTTCATTCGCACAACAACACCGAAACAATCTATTTTCAGCCATCCCCGTTGCCACCGCTAGGATGACACCTAATCTTTTCCTCGCAACCCAAAAGGTCTTCTCGCCGCACAAATGGTTCAAAACATCCAAGAGTGAGCGCTCGGTAAGACAGACTGAGTACTGGGAAGAGGGCCCCGTCCCTGGTCTCTACGAGTACATCCCTGGCCGAGGAAAGTACCTGATCGCGACACTCAAAGATATTCCCGCGGCCGCTATCGAGTCCAAGGATCCCGAGGGTGGTCCTGTGCTACCAGCCGCATCACCGCAGACCAAGGAGTATGTCCAACTCGAGAACCCCATCCCAATCATATATAGCCGAGCAGTCAAACGCTGGTTCCTGGATCCCGACTACAAGTTGCGAAAGAAGTCTGGCTCTATAAAGAACGAGCGCGGCAAGCGAGTTGAAGTTGGCTTCTTCCGGACCGACGACCACGGCGGCATCGCTTGGGTTCAATGTTGGGACGAAGAGGGAACCTTCATCCCTGGCCCCTACCAGAAGTGGTGTATCGATGTTGAAACCAAGCAATTTCGACATATGCGCAAGCGCGACGACCCCAACTATATCCGCTCACGGAATAACTCGCCAGATCGCGATGCCGATTCCCATAGCCAGGACTCGATGAGCACCGAGATCCGGAGCAGCCGTCCCGGTAGCACGAGGAATGGCCCTAGCCTTCCCAGCACCCGGGCGAACAGCATCCGTCACATGCCTTCCTACTCGACATCAAGACCCAACAGCCAGCGCCCTTCACGACAGAACAGTCCCAAGCGCAACAACAGCATTCCGCTCGAGGAGGCCAAAGCGTCTCTGAGACGCATGGCTCGTGAGCACGAAGAGGCTGTCGCTGCGGCTGCTGCGGCAGGAATCCGTACAAACTCCAAGGACCGCGTCGAGCGCATCGAGCGCGGACGACCCACGGCGCGCGTTGGCAGCTAAAAAGCTTTCTCTTCTTTCTCCTACTGGCGTTTTCTGTTTGCGGACAGCATGTGGCTAGCGATTCTTTTGCAAACTGGCTTACAGGCGTTTGACTTTCAACGGGATGGGTAAACTACTACACGTGGCGCTCTGGGCCTTCACCCCGCTACTATATTCACGACTTTTTTTTTCGAACGGTTTTCTCGTCATAGTTTCTTTTAATGGGTTTCGGATATTGGCTTCAACGATTGTTTGTTCGTGCAGGATATTCCTATTTCTCGGTTCCTCACGACTTTTTCTGTATGGGGCGTATTTTTCACTACGCGGTGTAGCCAACAAAAGCACGGTATATACCCAGGCACTTTTCTAGATGGTCGACTTTCGTTTGGGGGTTTTCATAGATGCATAGCGTGGCAACAATGGTAATTGAAGTATTCTTACTTATCTTGCTCTTCCCCTATTTTACAATCGCGCCGTTTGGTTGCCTGTTTGATCAAAAGTGCGATTACTTGCCCCCTGTCTGTGTGCTTTTCCTTCACGCTCCTAGATCGCATCGATCGTCTTTTAGGTGCTGGCATGTCACATTTCCCTTGCGACATTCCTCTGCTCTGTGATCTTCTAGTTCTTAGTGGTAAATGCATTAACTCTTCAATACTGGAAGTGTGTATGCGTATATTGAGCACACGTACTTCACGTCCCGGGACAGAAGACAGGCGCGCGGTGCACTTCACACAGAATTCTTTGATAAATACCCTCTTCCTACGACCCCGTTGCCTTTCCCAGCGTCAAGGTTCAAAGTTCAATAGTAAATTCCCGCTCTTAGGCTCTGGAAGTCCGAGATAGGCTTTCTACTTAACAAGTGCAGCTAGTGTTTACGACATTCGAACCAACCTATTCATCTTTCTTTTTCCGGCCCGGTTCAACGGAAAGGAATATTACTACTATAAAGACCCTTTGATTACTCCTTTGCTGATCTTAGGGAGCTCAAATAATCGGAACGCCGAGCAGTGGACAGAGGAAACAACTCCAACTCGACGGAAATACAAATCGAGAAAGGGAGACCTAGACCCCGAGCGATGCAGCGGCGTGACTTTTCTCATAGCAGAGACGGAGATTCACCGATAGCCTGGGACGAAGGCTACGATAACGACACCAACACAGCCCGGTCCATCCCACAAGGGAAAACGAGCAACGCGCGGGACGTGTGGCGCTGCCTCGAGACTGAGATGAGTATTCTGGAGCTGAGAACGCGAAGTGATGCGACGGACGAGAGAGTTGAGAAACTTGTCCGCTTGGCTGAGGTGCAGGCTCAGACGCTGGATGAGGTGGTTCGTTGCATTGGCTGTCGCAATACCTCGCCGGTCACGACAAGCTGGGACAGTCTTTACAACGATAGGGACGACGTGGTTAGCGAGGATGCATACCGAAACAACGAGCGATTTCATGGGTTTGGCGTGTACGAGGGCTGGGATCCGCAGGCTGCTGGACAGTCAGTTGATGTGAGAGATCTTGAGGAGTTAAGAAGCCAGATTGAGAGGTTGGAGGTGCAGGTCCGTCGGTTGACGAGATGTCCAAGTTGTGGGACTGATGTGGAGTCAAGTCGAGATGCTGAGCATGAGCATGAGCATGCTACCTCACCGCATATATCGACCCAACGAGCGGAGGTACCCCCCGAGACCGAAAGCAGCAGATACATCGAGATATTCATGCCCCACCCTTTCAATCTCACCTCCAACAGCCCTCATACTTCCCGCCTCACGTTCAGCAGCCCGGCTACAGTGTACCACTTCCCTGATGGCATCAGTACGGAGCTCTTCCAGCGTACCATACGAGAGGTAAACCGGTTCCGGGGTATAGAAGAGCAGCATGTGAATATAATCAAAGTAAAGAGGCGTACAATGGAGAAAAAGCCCAAGGATGCCATCACAAGGTTTTGGGAGGACATGGGCATTCAGTACAATGACTTGACTGGAAGCAATTTGGAACACGAGGAGGTTAGCGACACCTACATTGTCACGGACCAGAACGTCATGTTCAACCACGAAGCGGGAAGGTCAGAGAAGAGGAATCCTCATATTCGAGGTGGATGGGGTACCGACCCTAGCCCGTCAATCGTCGAAAACCCCATCCAGAGACCATTGTCAGCCCACCGGGGTTTTGCAGAGGACTTTGACCACATTTACAACCACCTTGTTCAGACAACCACTGGTGCTTGCTGCCCTTCACCCCTGTCCGATTGCACAGACGCCTGGATGAATATAGCAACCGTACTCCAAATGCGAAACCACTACCTCGAGCGAGAACTCGAGAGTTTCAAGGAGATGTACTATAGCCTCGTCCAGGATGTTCGTTGGCAGATGGGTACGCAGGTCGAACTGGAAGAACGACTGGAAACTGAGCAGGAAGAGAAGGACACACTGTTTGAAGAACTGCAGGACCTAAAGGTGCGATGGATGCGTCTGGTAGACGAGCTGGTTGCTTCGCCTCTGGGGAGTTCGGTCGATGCTCAGGCTTCGGAGAATGATGTGCGTTCCGAGGATAACGTGCTGTCGCCTGGACTGTGGATAGGCGATCAATCTTCGCTACACGCTCCGACAGAAACGTACAGTGAGCCGAGCGCGGCGCATATCACAGCTACGGCCTTTGAATTCTTCCCCAAACATTCTATGGTCATCTTTCCTGGTGATACTCCACAGATCTTCCAGTTCCCCGGCGCCACTACACTGCCACAGGTTTACGAGCTCCTAGAGTACCGACGCAAGCATGGCCTCGAAGATGAGCCGTTCGCCGTGCGCATGCGGGAGATTATGGAGATCAGAGAAGAAATGGGCGTGCAGCTACCCGAGACTCTAAAGGATGAGAAGGTGGTGATCTCGATTCCGGATTTGCCTGCTGAAATCAAGGTTGATAGGGAAGTGAAGATCACAGCGTGGGAAACATTCCCGGAATCCCATGCAGATGGGATGGTCACGCAGTTCAGATGCCTAGAGCTGGAGAGAGATCAGTTCAATGCTTATACTCAGCAATCTCAGCAACACTCGCGTGGTACTGAAAACGAAAGCGAAAACGAAACTCGAAATGATTATCCTGGCGACATTGTCAACACAATGACTCGCACAACAGACAGTCTCAGCGATATGGACTCTCCGGTACTTTGCCACTGTAGGTTGTGTATGAACGGAGAGATAAACTCGTACATCGGCATGCCAAACCCCTACGCTCCACCTATCGTTTCGGTCCGTGGTGGTGGTGGCAATGACCAGTCGTCGTTGCTATCGGAATCTGATTCTAATTCTGGGATTGGGTCAGATGATAATGAAGCCGGTGGCGAGGCGAAACGCGGAGAGAGACGGAATGTTCAACAAGAGGGCGCACCGGATAATCTGAAAACTTCACCGTCACCAGACTATGGGCTGCCTTGCCTCTGCACCGTTGACGAAAGTCTAGAACCCTCCTGGACGGCTCCCGGTGTTACTGTGACACCGCGAGAGGATGTTAGATTCTCCAAGTCAAAAGGCCAAAATGGTCCGCATATATTAAATCAAATCGAGAATAAGCCTGTCGACGAAAAAGAAGACGAGGGAATTGACCTCGACTGGGACTCTTTATATCGCAAAGAGTACGAGAAGAGGCCCGATCATCTCGATTCTCTATATACGTTCTGCGATATTTGCCAATTACCGTTCTCCGAACAGATGAGGCACTCAATCCGATGTAGTTCCGAGGAGAGCATCAGACACGAGGACGATGCGCCAACTCCAGCGATCACAAGGGGGCGGTCTTCTTGTAAGCGAGCGAAAACTCCTCACCAGGTTGAAGATGAACCAGAACTTATCAAGGCCAATGAGTTCCCTTTTCCAATCGTCGAGGATCCAGACCCACGACTGAGAGGCGGTGCTGCATTCGACGACGACCCTGAGTATGATGGCGAAGATTGGCGACCTGAATGGTCCCATCTTGCAAGTCAGACTCATTGCTCAGGCTGTCAGTGCCGGACCTTTCGTAACTCCCACACATTGTCAACCAAGACTGTAATAAGACCTTCCTCACCTATCGACCGCCATTTCAGTCCTCGGCGTCGAATTCGGACCCCGGACTTTCAGGACCAGAACGGCAACGTCAAGCGCGATCTTGGGCGTTCTGGGTACGAACAAGAGCAGCATGATCTGAGAATGTTGAATTCCATCTCGCGAAGAGCTACAGGTGAGTCTATCCATCAATTATACCACCATGGTGTCTCAAGGCCCGGGAAGCTGACTCGCTCAAAGACAAATCGGCTTTCTAGGCTGGAAGGGCTGAGCGTCGGACACGGGCAAGCTGTTGGAGGATTAGAATCAAGCACTGGTCCAGAGCGAAACCAAGTTTTGCATGATAGCCATTTATGTGAGAATATAGATGACGGAAGCTCAGAATACAAGGTTATGAGATGGTTAGAGAACCCTAGACCGGCGCCGCCTCCTCCATCGATTCATCGGACGCCGTCTGGACGGGGCAACAACCCTGTGGTGCAAAACCGAAGCGTGGTGTACATCAAAGCAAAGAAGATGATGCAAGACAGAGCTACAGACCAAGGTCTTACGGTATCAACTCGTTCTTCAAGTCGCCGAGCATTGTATAAACCAAGCGGAAATCAGAGCTTCCACACCAGACAGTCTAATAGCAGTTCGAAAAGGTCAGCCACGCAGCTATCCTTGTGCAAGCAACTTGCAACGCTTTTGCGTATCTTAAGAAACTACATTAAACAGCTCCTCAGACTCACTGGATCGAAATTGCCTCGGCCTCCGCCGTCACAGCGCGCCAAATCGAAACCAATTCCTCCACCCCCAGTATCACTCGATCCAAAAACACGCAAGACCGAATGTCGTGAAGTTAACTCGTCGGGAAGGAAACTTGATGCGCATATCGACAAACCGCTTCCGCCAATGCCGAGAGCATTCAGTCATTCTGGTTCAATCGAGTCCTTGTACTCGGTCCCGACTTGCTCCGTTCCACCCATGCCGCCACCGCCACCGCCGTTGAAGAGTAACCTCAAGGCCCGAGATGAAGACGCATCTACACAGCAGCAGGAGATTAATAATTACATGAACCGCGCGGTCGTGATGCAAGACTCGACTCATTGGGTACCACCGACCGTTGCCGGACCTTCTGACCCTACTAGGGAGATGAGAATGTGGTCTGATTGGAAGGAGAAGCTGGAACGTAGAAATATGGAGTATGATGGTATGATGGCTCCCCGTAGTGGGGAGTGGTTTATGCGGTGGTGCGAGGGTGGTGAGGGTTGGATATCTGTCGGAGCAGAGGGGAATTGAGGGTGAGTGTGGTCTTTGAGTTGTGTGCCCTGAAGTCGTCGATATTTCTGTTCTACTCAAGGCACACTCTAGAATGCGCTTGTAGCATGTCGCTCATTAACTCATATTTCCCCAGGTTGTTCTTTATATATATTTTCATCTCGATATAAATCATATAGCCTTGGCAAATTCTTAGCCCTTCCATTCAAGTTATGGCGGAGTGCTGTTGCAGTTGCGCTATATAGGCGAGGGACGGGTGAGATGCGTTTGCGTGCCACCCTAGCGAAAAATCTCAACAGGTTGCCGTTCACCCAATCGCGCAGGTGCTCGAAACACTCCTTGTCCACACCACGCTTGACATGCATAACAGCAGTCGGAATCTATCAAAAGCGCATGTTTCAGCTCACCTTCCCACCTCGGGTCCTTTGGTCGGTGTGGATATTGCTGTCGCCTTCTGGACGAACAAGTCTTCACCACTATACATCAAATGTAGGAACGATAACTCCTTATCGTGTACAACGGAAGGCTGCGCCAAGCACTGCAACCGGTGTGCGGGGTAATTGGAAAGTATCGCATTCTGCCTCGCGTTGACGTGGTGGATTATAAGTGGCTTTCATCGGCGCGTAGGCTTTAGTAACTGTACGACTGGATTGGCGCCCGGGCACGCTTCTGCCTAAGTATGCGGCGCAGCCTGCTCGGCATATAAACTGAACTGTGCCAGCACTTACATGTCAATTGCTTCAATTTGATCAACTTCTGAATTCTCAGGGAGTCTCTATCAACATTCGCAATGGCTAAGAAAGTCCCGAAAAAGAAGCAGCCAGCGCCTCCACCAGCGCCTCCACCGGACCCTCTCTTACCTTTGGATCCACGACCAAAGACCTGGTCAGACACAGTTTCCTTATTATACTGACCGATGCATGTCTAACTAATCGTGTGTACAGTCCATATGCAGAAACTCCTATCACGCTTTGTATCGGCCCAGAAAGAAAACAGTACTATGTCCCAAACAGCCTTTTGCAAAATCCAGATTGGGTCAATTTCCCTCACTCATGGGGGGGAAACATACATTTGTCCGATGTGGATGAAGGAACTGGCCATGTACTAGTTCATTACTTGTACACTGGGGCTTACCAGACACTCAACGATATGGAGTCCTCCACTCTCAAGAAAGGAATCATTGAATTCAGGAGAGCCCTTTTGGCGTACATCGCGGCGAAGAAATATAGTCTACATGGCCTAAAGAATCTGGCCAGGGACGAAGTCAAACGTTTCGGCGCCGAGTTAGACATCTTCGACATCGTTGAAGCTATCAATAACGACTTCTCAAAGATGCCCGATAATGTCGCGTGGTTCCATCGCTACTTGGACAAGAAAGTTCAGGCCACCTTCGAAGAAGATCACACAATATTCGCAAACGACGACTTCTTCGATTGTATCAGCAATGCCGCTCTAACCAAAGTTCTGGCAAAATGCGTGGTACAGCTCTACAACAAAAAGGTCTCATACATGCTCAACGCAGATAGGGAGCCTGTCATGGAGACAGCTGAAGATTATACCCCGGATACCCAAACTACAGTCAACGAAGAACCTCGGGCGGAAGCGTGGTGTGCCGATAATGAAGCCCCTGCCGAAGAATGTATCCCCGAAGCTGCGATTGAAGGCGAAGCATGTTATCCTGACAATGAAGTCATTAACGAAGAGTATCCTCCTGCCCAAGAGTATCCTCCTCCTGCCGAAGAGTGTCCTATTGATGCGACTCCCACCCAAGAGACCTTAATCGAAGAGCCTGTCGCTGCCGAGGAGTCTTCTGTCTTGGACTTTGATACGTTTGGTGCAGTACCCACTGAATTGACACCGGTGATCGAAGAGCGTCCATCCGAACCTGATGAATGGGGTCTTTTCGAAGCTGCTAGGGAGAAGAGGAAGAGGATGAGCAAGAAGGAAACTAGGGCGGCACCAAAGATCGAGGAGTCAGCGCTACCGCCACCGCCACCGCCATTTGAACCTGAGTTGGAATTTCAGGCGGAACATGTAACAGAGCCAGAATCTCTCATGGCTGAACAGACGAAGCATGATATCTGGGGCACTTGGGAATCTTCCGGCACAATCAAAGAAGACCGCACATTTGCTGCGGTGCCTGGGGGTTCCTGGTGCTCTACTCCAGTACCTCTAAGCTCCTTCGGCACAACCACAAATGACACTACGTTTGCTGCGGTACCTGATCCGTCTGTTGAGAAGCCGAGTTCCGTACACCCACCGCCGGTAGCGGAAAATAAGGGAAACGATCCTGGGTCAAATTTGGCGGCGACCACGAAGATAAAAAAACTCCACAAGAGCAAGAAATTCAAGAAGAGCAAGAAGCATATTGTTCATGATGATCCTCCCCCACATCCCCCTGACGTCCCTGAGGCCGAACCTGAACCGTTTCCCGAACCCAAATTTGGACCTGTATTTGACGATCCAGGTGAGCCAGTAGCAGAAACTTTCCAACCCGATGAAGTAGATATGCTCGTTAAAAATGGCCATGGCGATCTTATCGGGGACCCAGAACAGCCTGTCGAGGCTGACAAGGAAATATGCCCCCTTCGCGCCAAGCATTTGCTTGAAGGAGACATGTGGAAAAGCTGTGAACAATGCCGGGCTTTGTTGCGCCAAATTGCTATCGAAATTGCCCGCAAGGATCTTGTAAATGAGGATGGATACGAGGTAGTGGGCCGGGTGTAGATAAAGAGATAGGAGAGATGCGGATGATCAGACTGTGGGCATTCTTATCTGCTACTTCTGTAGGCCGCAGTATTACTAGTTAGATTTAGTTCTATAGTTACTCCGACTAAATTTTTGCATTGCGGTACTATACTGTTTATTGTGTTGCAACACTGCTTTGCGATTTGTATAGAACTCCTTGAGCTTTACAACTTTCTCTTAGATGGTAGAGGAAAACCGTTTAGCATTTTCTATACGGCTTGCTATATGCCTCTAATCTTCTTCAACTCTCAATATGATCGTTGTCTGTAGGTATAATCGAAATAGATGCCTCTCTTTGGTTGTGTGTTCGCTGTGTGTCTGTATTGCTAAGCAGACTAAGAGTAATAAACAGCTACAGAGGATAGGTTTGAGTCAAGGTGATATGTTTCAAGTATTGTTGTGAACATCGGATAGACCAGGGACGTAAGATATATGGTGCATTGGCATTGCCACAAAACCTTTGCTATTTATACACTTACTCACATTGTTATCAATTCACCCAATAAACAATTAATGAGAGCAACCAGCTGCGACAGTAATATGAAAACATCCCATGCTAGAAGCTTGTGACGTGTTTCATTGTTCTGGCGGGGAATAACAGTAGAGATGAAGGTGCCAATAAACAGCCAACATGCTTGACCTATGAGGTTGGAGGCACAGATGATACGCTGTTATGTCAAGTCTCATGGGCCAAACGACACGGTAGTACAGCCATAACATCGCAGCACTGGAGGAGAGCGCGTCGCCAAGTGAAACAGCTTGCACCATCGGCATTTGTAAATTACCGACACATTTATTTGAACAACACTTAGGACATTCTGACTTAGCTTTCTACCTTGAATCCCCCGCATGCCGAAAGCCTCTCTCAAGCTCTAAGCTAGACGTGTAACTGTCATATCCTCGTGCAGTGGCTCGCAAATAGGCGGCTTCGCTTACTTCGTCCTGGTGTGCGCCATATCATCCCAATAGGCAACACAGAAAACGAGTTTGCCCTTGACGGCTTTGCGTTCATGAATTGCACTCGCAAGTGGTAAGGACCAATGGATTGAAACTTGGACAAGAATTCTAATTTGAAGCCAGGAAATGTTTCGCTCTGCACTTCAACTACGACGCTTTCCGCCGAGGTTGCCGACAGTGACTCTAGTTGGTGCGAGGTCCAGCATGGTCCCAGGTCACAATGATTTCATTACATGTGGAGAAAGTGGCACTTTGACACGTCTGGCACCGAAGCTGGATGATGTTTTCACCCAAAGCCGAAATCTCTACATTTATTCCGAGTCTACCTATCGCAAGGTCTACAGAAATGGTCGTAGCGAGGAGATTGTATTCATCCCGTGTTTTCCACCTCCAGGCTACGTGTTTTTGCCCTCTGGTGGTGCCTTCATTACTCGGAGGTGCCGCGAGCTCGCGCAGACAGTGTATGCCGTGTATCGCCCTAAAAGTCGGGAAAGGTGTGCTACGCAGGTCGGCCTCCATGTTCCGAGGGATGTCTTCAAACAAGCTGAAGCTGAATTCAGATTAAAGAGAGCGAGGGTACAGGAAAAGTTGTGCCAGAATCTTGAAAAGACGTACCCTAGGGTGCCCCCTGCTGATAGGAATAAGCTTCACCGTCTTATTGCTTCTCAGGCGCCTGATATGATTGGGAATGCAGGGTTAGCACGTATCAAGATCATAGTGCGCGATTATGTTCATGATAATTACACACGATTCAAGGATCTTGCTGCTTTTTACGGAGACAGTCGAGATACCGAAGTCAGCGCTCGGGCGCATTGTAAAGTTGAGAAAATTCTAGCCTGTTGGAGTGGTGAGAGTGAGGAAGAGAAGTAGTCAAATACGGCGATGCTATTGCTGGCAATAGAAAGTTCAAGAGATTGTCGTTCCGCCCATGGAGGCTCGTCTCAAACAGAAAACACGATATGAACGTCGTTCAAACCCGACATTCATCACTACCTTGTTCCCTTCTCATTCCTGTACTACCTAGTATCAAGTTACAGTCGTATCTGCAATGAAATGTTTAAGATACTGTGCAAGTTGACATACCTCAATGATGCCTATATTGTATCTGCAACCCAAAGCTCCAGTACTTCCAGTAACCTTCTCGGGCCACTAAGGTTGGTTAAATACTAAGAGGTGTTCAGGAAACCATATTGATCAACTAACTAATACTGCATTGAGAACAACTATTCTTTGGAGGCAATACACGTTGCACTACAGGGTGGGAGCTTAATGCGGCTAGGATATGTGTCGTGCCGTCTTACGATTGGGAGTACTTGTCGCCAAGACCTGTGCTGAGCGCGTCATGCTTCTTAGCGAGCATAATGACGTATAACCCTTGGTTGAGGTATCACAGTAATCACATTGTGAGGGGTAAGGATTTTGAATCGGAAAGTATGCCATAGTAGCGAATTGTACGCAGTAGACCTGGAGCGCAGGCATGCACAGGATGCAAGGATCAGGCTGACATATATACTGGTATGTTACCATTTCTAGCAGATATCATATTCAAATATCCATGGAAAATACCTTTGTTCCATTTTGACCAAATGCTAAGTAGCCATTTACGCGGAGGATGGCTGTACAATGTGGCGCACTTACAGAGAATATAGCTCTATTAGCGCTATGCGATACTACGCTTGAACCTATGATCGAGGATCACCCACCTCCCGAAAAGTCTCCCGAAATTGATAGCTATAAGCTTTCTTTCCAGCATGAGCAACAAGTCACCGAAGCATTCGCAGTACTTCTGGCAAATACAGATGATCCGAACAAAGTAGGGGCAATTTGCCTAGAAGAACAACCCGATGGACTCTTGATCAGAACAGCCGTGAACTCGGGAGATCAGAAAGATAGGAAGGCAAGCTTCGAAAGAATAGCTAGAGCTCTAGAGAGCTGCACTGCAGGTCCGTCGGCTCGTCTTCGCTTATGCAGTATACTCATGTGGACCAGAACGAGATGAAGAGACCTTCTTTGGAGAAATCATAGCTGCTTGCCAATCAAGATTACTTGGTCGACTCCGATCATCCAATGCAAAGCCTGCCCGAAAGGCTGGCAAGCAGGCAATCCTTACAAAACTATGCGATGGTGTGAGGCTTCTTGACGGATTTCCAACCCGGCCCCCTCAACTTGCGTTGGTAAAGAATCATATATCCTTACTAGAGGATGCTTTCACGAGGCTAGAGTCTCTATCTTACGTTGACGCCCATTCAGAACCTGGAAGACAGATTCTTAAATCGATTCTCTTGAGCATTGAACAGATGCTAGCATCCACTGACATCAAAACCCTCCTGGGGTTGATACCCAAGAATATCCCCGCGTGGTCTGGAATAGCCAGCCAGAGCTTGGCCAGAAGCTTGAAAAGTCTTGCTCAATACCAGGATGCAGCTCACTACCTTCTCAGAAGAGCTTGTAGAGACCCGACATTTCGTCATCTCCGTATAGCAGACGTGCCTAGTAAATTGTTTCCTCAGAGTCCGGTCAGTCAAGAGCCCACCTCGGTTACTACAGGCCTGTTCACTCGTTGTCATGAAGAAAAGTCAAAAATGCAGGGAGGGCTCCAATCCAAGTTTGGAAACAGGTTGAAGAGGAAGAGGGCCGAAATTGAGTTTTGCATTCGCTCGCACGCTCAAACATCGAAGAGAGTTCATGCAGAAATCCAGTTGCTGTTCTACTACGAAGCGAGCAGTGCTACGTCCCTGCGCCCGCGGATCATATGCTCTAATAAACATGCCTGCTTCTTATGCAATCTTTTCATCAGGGCGCACGGAAAGTTTCATATCCGCAGCTGCCATGGTAGATTGTACCCTAGCTGGAGGATCCCTCTTCTCAAAGAAGTCCAGTTGTCAGAACAGTCCGAGATATGGATGCAGCAATCCTTAGACAGACTAAATCATCTTCTAGAGGAAAAGATCAGGGAATACTTAGACCGCCCACGGCTTAGGATCTCAGATCCGACTGAGAGCGTTATCTTCATACCTGGGACATGTTCGCCCTCTGCAGTATCGATAGTGTCGTCATTGAATCCTATCCGCGAGGACGCAAATACGACAGCCACAGACCTCGGTCAGAAGGATATTGTATTCACCAGGCCCGCGAAGTTGCAGTATCTAGATCATGGCCAACTTATCAGCATACATCTGTACCCGAGGTTGCCAATACGAATTCATACTCGCTGTATTCACCTAGAGCTCACGTACGAATTGGCCTGCGTTATAGCCTCCAGTTCCTCGTCCACGATATCTTCTGGATATGAGCCACATTCAAGCGACACTGGGCTACTCGTGCAAGTAGAGTGTATTGATGGTGGCGACCCACAAGTCTTTCCAGGCCCAGGACCAGTCTTTGATCTTAGCTCACCTTGGTGCTCCAAGGAGGTTCCCGATAGCATTCTGTTCGGCGAATTAGGGTTGGTACTAAAGAAGAGGAATGATGTCATTTCCGTTCGAGTTCTGCAATGAAAACGATACCTCTGGATCATTGAACGGTTTTTCTTCCAAAGCATGTACACAAGTTCCATCCAGGGCCAGATGATGCGCCACTCTCCAAATCTCTAGATAACTTTGGTCTCCATGACCTTGAACCATTCAGTCTTGCCAAAATGCCGCAAGATAGCTTTCCCAATGAGTAAAGAACTACCATGGCAGCAACGAACAACATAGGCGGTCAGAGCAACACTCCTGTCTCCCCATAAAGACCGTTGGACCACCTCCATCAATCCTGCCCCCAATACCCACCCGGACGATTCACCCCGAAGCATGACCAATGGGCACTAGAGTGTAGCAAGACCATGCAGTGATTGGTAGAGACTACGGACGACTTCGAGGGGTTCTCCCTTTTGAGAAACGCTATGTAGTGCAAGAGAGAGTTTAGCCGTAAAGGCATTTAGATGTAATTGCTCACGCTATACAAACACTGGTCGCTCCCGCTTCCATCTTCTTCCTTTCGACCGCATATCTTCGCACAAGACTTGCCAGTCTGTTTCCTCTTACGCAATATAAGCATACAGCCCATCGTCCTCCCTCTCTAGGAATTCCTTCTCAATGAGCCGGTCGATATTCTTCTTGATCCCGCTAACTTCCAGTGTGCCCCTAGTCCTCGTCGCTTTGATCGTCTCGCTGACCAGTTCCGCATGACTGATTCTCTTCCTCGCCTTCAATATCCTCACAATCGCCGCTTGCGTTTCGTAATTTCTATCAGCTGCGACGCGCTCGTGCGTTTCTTTGTTTTCCTGAGGCGTCTCTTTGAGCTGTACGGTGTTGATTTTGATGCGGTATTTGGGGTCACTGAAGGTGTTGTCGAGAGTGAATGTGTCGGTAGGGTTGATGTCGCGGCCTTTGGGGTGCTTGGTTAGGGGCCGGAGTTTTGCGCAAGCGAGCGATTGTAGTGTACGGTTTAGCTCAGGCGTTGCTGCTAGGGGTTAGCGATGACATAAGTTGGGCAGGCGAAGAGATGACTTACGTAGTCCTGTGGCTTCTTTCAGGTAGTTGTAATCGATATGCTCCCCCTCCTTTAGACCATTGAAGAGGAGAAGGACGATGGCCTGGAAGGAAGAAACCACAAACTCCTTGTTCCCTTTAGGGAATTTTGCTTTGACCTGACAATGTGCGAGTGCATGTTTGAACTCTAGTTTGCGGCCAGAATGCTTCACCTTGTAGTGTGCTTCAAACTTATCAATGGCGGATTTGATTTGTGGGGGAAGAATAACAGGGACGGTGGGGTATGTTGGCCAAGCTGATGCTGAGAGAACATTGACGCTCATGTCGAGGCTCAGCTTTTCGTTGCGCGCTTCACTTATGTTCTTGTAGGAAGCCATTTCCTCGCGTGAGAGTTCGATGTCGCGGAACATTTGCTCCAAGTTGGCGGTAAAACCAGCACCGCACTCTGGAGAGACATTAGCACATTCTATCGCCAGGAAAGATTCACTTGTAGGAATTTACCAATCTTCAGTCTTGACAGCATACTCCTCTCCGCGTCCGCGCTTGCACTTCGACCCATCAGCAACCGCCGCGCAAGATCCTTCTTGTAGAAAGCCTCGAAGACAGCCTTGCCGTGCACGAAGCGGAAGAGATCGAGCACTTGATCCAGCTGGTTATTGACCTCGGTATCTTCATCAAAGACGACTTCCTCGTTCTCCTCTACGGCCTCTGCAGCAGCCGGCTTTTCTGCTTTCCGGCTCAATTGCGCTGGTATGGCCTTCGCACCACCTCTTAGTAGCATATCGACATACTTTGCGATCATCTCGCCGGTCTTGGAGTTGTCGGTACCCCAACTAGCATTCGTTTTCTTTGTCTTGTTCATGAACGCCTCGAAGGATTCTCGTAGCCCGTGACCGATCTCCGAATTCCGATGGAAAGCCACTTTCCATAACGTGTCTAGTTGACGTTTTAGACTGAGCAGTTGAACAACCATGGTATCCTGCTCTTTCTCATTGAATACGATAGCTGTGCCTTCGTCTTCGATCCACTTCATGAATCCTGATCGCAGATTGGCACCAAGCTTTCGCCGTTCGAGGAGAGTATATAGCAGTTCGAGGTCTTCGACGGCATTGAGTTCGAGGAGGTCAGCGAACTCATCTTGATTGGCTGCGAAAGCGTTAGCGGTGTCTACCAGGTAGTGTATGCAGGAAACGCACTTAGTCTCGGCTCCTTTCTCGATACCAAATGGTCCTCGAGCAGTGTGAGAAGATCGCGTTTCGTTGTGTTCGGGAGGCTGAACATTTCCACTCTCCGCATCTCGCGATCCATAAGCGCTCTTGCACTTCGGACATACTCCGGCAACGACTTCTCTGTGCTCTCAGCGTCGGCCCACTTCATAACGTACTCCTGACTAAATTCCAACATGCGTGGCTCGAAGTCTTTCGTGTATACTTGCATTTCATGGAACATGTTGACCGTTTTGGAGAACATTTCGCTATCAAGATCACTGCCGGTTCGATCGGCCGCGACGAGATCGCAAGCACCATCTACAATGCGTTTGTTGAGCTTCGCGTGCTCAAATATTGTGGTCCGGAAGAGGGTAATGGAGATTTCGCGAAGGGATTCGTGCCGTGGGAGCAGGTAGGCGCGGTCGAGATAGCAGAAAATCCAGTCGAGGTATTTCTGCAGTTTGTCAGTATGCGGCCTACTGTTCCTTAGTAGGCAAACTCACCACTTGACCGTTCCACACCGCCCATGCCTGCAGCGTCGCCCTCAGCACATCGATATTCGTCCTGCCTAAGCTCTCCTTGACCTTCGCCTTTAGACTCCCACCCACATAGTCCCGGCATTTTATGACCAGCCGCTCCTTGACGTCCTTGGCCATGTTTTGGCGGCAGATATTCTCCACGCCTCTATACAGCTCCTCGAGGCTGAAATCGATGTCCTCCTGCCTGAAGATGGTATCCAGAGCCTTCTCGATCTTCTGCCACGTTTGGTCTAAAAAGACCCTGGGATCCACCTTTCTGGTCGGCTTGAAGTTCTTGACCAGCAATCGCTTCGGGCCACTGGCATGCATGTTCGGTGCCGGCTTGCGTAGCCCATTGCGTAGACCGTTAGCCTTCGCGGGGCTGTTGTCCGGACTTGAGGTAACGTCCACCACCTCGGCGGTGATCGATGCATCCGCTCTTTTGCTGGGGAAATGGTACATGTCTGCCGTACTCATGTTGCTTATTGGAGCGGGAGGTGCGGAAACCTCGGCGCCAGCTACTGGGGAGCTCCCCCGCCGTGTGCGCTTGTTGGTTGGTGACAGCGGAGCTGCGGCGGCGGCGTTGGGCTTTGATTGGGTCGTAAAGAGTTCTTTGATAGTTTTGGCAGAGTGCTTTCGTTTCAGCGGCCCTGGATTAGCGGACATTGGGCGGGTGTGGAGAAGGAAGTGTGGTTGCGGAGCTCTAGACGTTAAAGCCGCGGTGATAGCAGAAGGCCAGGATGACGCGCCTGGTCTAAACCACTTTAGGCTGTATTGTGACCTATAGATATCGATAACGAAATGCTATGAGTTTCACGACACTCTCGCAAACGCGCAAAACACGCGGTGCAGACGTTCGCTAAGGCTAGCAGGTGTGAGACTTCGCGTGGCACTCGGAAGCTCCTGGAGTTTAGGTCGCCACCGAGGCTGGTGTACATGGTTGCGCAGAGCTGTCACCTGTGTGTAACCTGCATTCAGACGATACCACTCAATTATTGAGGACATGGTTACTGGGTCAGGTTCCTAGGAGATTGGACATGACCATCGAATGTGTTCTACTAAGAAAATTCTCTATTTTCCTATATTACATTCGAATGTTTTCAAGTTATTCATTAACATTCATCAGCTACAAGCCTAAAGCATATCCCCCGGAGATTGTCAAATGTCATAGATAGGTTTCTCTCTACCTATTACAAAATGGCAATCAATGAACGAACTCGATTTCGGGAATCTGTAGTGCAGCGTTTCATTTGCTCTGCTTTTGGACGGAAGCACGTGCTTTCCTCGGGAGCATTACAACGTCACCTTCCCCACACTGTCCGCCCTCTTGTCATCCCAACTCCGCTATTGCTACGGCTGAAATGCCATCCCCTCCAAGGGCACGTACTGACTTCCCATCCCGTTGCGGCCCGAACAGGCGCCTAGGGGTCGACAAGGCTGCCGATTTTACAGTGTCGTCCGCGTACGGGACTGCGGGGCGCAACGATGGCTTGTGCACCGAGCTGAAATCGTACATCACAGTCCTCGCCGAGCGGTAGCACCCTTACGTAGACTCGAGGTGTTCGACGAAATCTTGGGCAAAGCCCCCAGCCGCACTCAAGAACACTAGGTGGACCGAGGCTGAATCCCCCCAGCATTGGACCAACCGGCCTGTTTGTACAACGCGGCACTTCTTTTCCCTCCTATCCCGTGCATGCAAGACAGCCGTTTGGCATCGGAGTTTCTCTCTCGCAAGCAAAATTTCCACTGGTCATACTCAATTCCTTTTTCCAAGGCTTCCGTTGCGCCGTGTGCAATCAGATCGAAGCAACGCCCGCAAATGGTAGCCTTACAGACTTTGTATCTATTTTTGAGGTTTGAACAAAGTTTAAAAAAGGAACAACCCCATGTCAAGATTGTGGGGGTATCCACCTCTGGAGCCGGCACCCTTTTGTGGAGACGAAGTCTGCATACGGCGGACGCGAGCGCTCGACAGCGCTCGACTCATATGAGTGTCTTTGCCTTGCTGAAGATCCCCCACGCACTTTAGGTCTAAGGACTACAGCATAAGACCCATGTCCGCTAAGGCCTGGGCAGCTGAGATCCTGGACGATCGAAGACGCAACGGCACAAACGGCTTCATGTTCCGAGCGTATTGGTTATTTCCTGCGCCCCTCATGCACGTCTTCTGACGTATGCGTCGCTGAACCCAAGCCCTTGTCTCTTTACAGATCGCATGCAGCACGCCGTGGGATAACTCCCATGCTTGAAACCCGATGCACGACACGGTAGAAGCACACCGCTTCATCGGATTGCTCGTTGCTATTGGACCCGTTTCCCATCTTCCTGGACAGCGGTAGTTCTGCACATGACCGCACAATGCTACTCTTATTCGGTGGTAGTTATTCTATCGCCTCACTCCGTAGGGGTATTAGAGTCCAATGAGCTTGAAAATGCGGCAGTAACGACAGCTGCAACACTATAGCCCTGCCGCCTTCTTTTGTTGATCAACAACGTCACCCGCACGATTGACCTTTGTTTTGGAATCGAGCTGTTGACATCTGGGGAGGATCTGGACCGGTCTTGAATACTCATGCGCTTACCGGGTAACCACACTGTCGGGCTCGCTTCAAGGTGCTGATACTTTCGGGCATCATCGTACCTGGGAGTGACCTCTTTACCGATGAACATGCGTGGGGGACATTTGGGCGAAGTGTATGCTTGGCGACATTACATCCCACACTAAGTCGGGGAAGCGGAATGGAAAAGGCTCTCATGCCCAGCTTTACCGAATCAGTGGACTATGGTAAGCCTTTGGCATTGGGGAGGCGATCATCAATCAAGCAGGCTATCGAGAACTCATTGTCGGGATCGGGCACTTCTCCTAAGCGGTGTAATATCCTTGTACAAACTCATTGACAGATAGCCTTTGCAGAATACGAGGTTCAGCCTGGCTTGTTCGGCAGATCGTCTTTGCCCCCTTCGCTTTGGGCAGTCTCCTCGGGTTTGAACGGGATGGGAATTCTTCTTTCCTCATTTTCCACCTAGTCTGTGGCACAAGCCCTGTTCTGCAAAGTAGTTTTTTCTTCTCCGCCCTTCTTTCCTAGTAAATTTCCGCTTACTGGCTAACGGTAGAGCTAGTACTATGCTAGTCATTAACACACCGTTTGAACCGGGGCCCCGTTACAAGCTCTGTGATATGCAGAGTTTCAGCTACATCTAGAGGCCCCATGTCCACGATGCGCAGCTCAGGCCTGTGGGAAAGCGGTTTTGTCCAACCCCCACGTGTCCCAGGTTCAAGGACATAATAAGAACCAGCGTTGGTGCAGTCTTACCTGGCATTAAGAACTTCCGATACCCAGTGCATAGGAGTCCATGTGTGACGGCTGCGGAGACGTCTTCAGAACGTCGAAATCTCCGAGGAGTACTCATTGAACTCTCCGAATTTCCCTACACCACTACCAAACCGCGAACAAACGTCGGCTGTCAGCAATGCCTGCGCTCGCGCTACCCCCAACAGGACCTGGTTCTCGCCCCAACTCAACTAAATATACACCAGCTGGCGGTATTTTTGATCAGCCGTAGCCATATATAGGCCAAGCTAACCAAGTCAAAGATCCTCCTCTCCTCTCCTGTCCTTACCACAACCCAATACTGCAACTCCAAGCTACAATGAACACGCTCGCAGGCATGCAACCCATGGAGAAGTTCCTCGCGGCATCTTCCTCTCAACACCCAGTAGCTTTCACTGAAGCTCTTCAAATTGGAACTGCCGCCTCGGCTGGTTGTACTTGTGGTTCTGTACTGGATGCAGTTGTGCACGGCTTGGCCTATGATGCGATGAATCTTTGCAACACAATTGATACAATCCAAGAAAGTTCTGGGGATTCAGTCCTAGCGGATGCTGTACCGCCTTAGAGGATGTTTGGGGGGAGATGGAATGGGATTGGATTAGAGTAGTCGGATATACCCCTGTAAAGCCCTAAGAGCGGCTTTTGTTGAATAAAATTATGTAGTTTCGTTGTTAGATATGTCTGTATTCATTTACTGTTGATATTGACTCATGAGTGTTGTCGCGGTTGTAATGTCTATTTCTACATAGACGCAGCTCACGTCTTCTTCTTTGAAGCCATGAGCGCTCTGTATGATTCGATAATGTTGTTTCGCTCTTCACCGATCTCCTCCCTCTTCCTCAGACTCCCCACAGCATTCGGCACATTGCCCACCTTTGCGCCCGCCCCGTTCTTCACTTTGAAAATCTCCCTGGGCGCCTTGGTAAACGTCGGCGGCGCGGAAACAATATCATGGAGCCCCTTCCTCTCCTCCCTAGTGCGCTTGAGCGCTTCCCACTCGTCCTCGCTGTTGTTGTCTATCTCGCCCACGACGAGTTTGCGCTTGTTCTTCTTCTTTTTCATCTTCTTGCCATTTGTGTGGGTGGGGGGTAGATCGGATGTCTTATCTTCCCACATCGCGGCTAGTTCGTCTTCGTCCTCTTCTGCCAGTTCTTTCTCTTCCATCTCCTTGTCTCGTATCCGCGCTTCTTCTTCGCGCCAGCCCTTCTGCAGGCGCTTGAGTCTCCGCTCGTGTTTTGTTACGCGGTGATCGCTGACGCCTTCGACCTTTTTGCCCGTCTTTGACAAGCCGGAGAGAGGTAAGGCCATGTCGACTCTTTGCCTGAACTCTACCATGCTCTCGCCCGGTTGGATCTTCAACGCAGCTTTTGGTGGTGCTTGCTCTTCGCTCTTGTTGGGGACCCCCGCCTCTGCATCCCCAAGCGTTTTTTGTTCCGCTTTTTTCTGCTTTTTCGTCTTCACCAACCCATCGTCGAGCCCAGAGCGCTTCTTGGCACCGCCTTTGGAGAAAGCCATAAGCCGTTGGAAGGCTTTGGGCGTGTCATCTACTCCATAACCCTCGATATGATTTATCTTCCTCTTCTTGCCCTTGGGTGCTGTACTGAATGTTCGTGCTTTGCCGACGGGGAGGGCTGCAGCGTGGACTGAGGGTGGGAGGTTGAACCTACACAGGCGATGTTTAGTACACGCACTGCACTATACTGTGGTAACGATAGACTTACTCCGACGCATTGTCTTCTACCCGCTTGTGTTTGTGCGGCATTGTAGCTAAAAGTGTATATTATCTTTTCGGCTCGAAATTCTGGCGTAGGTCAAACTCTCAAAGTGAAGTCGCAAAAAAGTTGCGGAACACTTGCAGGGATAAGCTAATTGTGGGGCGCCGCGTACTTGGCAAGATTCGCACGTGCTATCTTCACCCCACCTTCCGCAATTATTTTGAGGCCTTATAGACGACGGCCCTGATACTACCTACTACTACAGAATATGGTCTGTTTGTTCTTGAATTGTGGCCGTATAGGAGTATAGTGGAGCGTGTATCTCACGTGTTCTCACCCACATGAGATTCGCTATAACATTGAATTATCATTGGTGTGGAGGTTTCCCCGAAACCCCAGCTTGAATCCAGGCCCTAGCCAGACATCTGCAACTCTCTAGGACTGATTTATCGATTGGCAACAACCCCTGCCTGGACTGAGGACGTTATTGTGGCTGATTACGCGTTCACGGGATCCATGGGATTTGGAAATGTCGCGCGCAAACAACCTCATTGCTGTTCGTTCAGCATTGGAGGTCCCCAATTCGAGAGAGCTGTGACGTTCTAATTTTACAAGCTTCGCAGCCCCCAGCACCGCCTAAGTAGATCATCGCTGTCGATGTCTCGCGAATTGATCCTTCGGTTTCCTTCAACCGACCCGCAATAAGCACCGCGGCGTTCAAAAACCGCTGCGCTGTCACACCAATTGGCGTTGAGATATGGAGAGAGCGGACCAATTAGGCGTCGAGGCTGCGCGTCGTGCCGAAAACCGCTCCATCGGCCATGCGCCTCCACTTTGAGGGCGCGGTAGCACAGCTAAGCGTTCCTTTGTGGCTTGGACATCTGGCCTGCCTAATAATAATGCGCTTTTACCCCGAAGCCTTAAGTTGCCAGATCCTCCCTTTCCTTATGGTTCTATCTGCATCGTTCACTGGAGCTTGCAGTGCGAGACCCTCCACTAGGACCCTGCGTTGCGCGACCCTGCACAAGCTGCCAACGAGTGGACTCGGCGACACTTGGCCCTTGTGAAGGTTAGAAACAAGAGCTGTGCCAAACTGGCTGCCCTAGACCCGGGTTATTGGCAAAGTGGACAGTCTGGAACCGGATCTCCACAGAGAAGTTGTCGCGCCGTTTACGACTATCGTTTAGGAAGTTGTCTTAAGGAGGGTGATACCTTGCTTTGAGCTTCGCTGGGTCCTGCGGCGGCATTTGCACGCTTTCAAACAACCCGCGCGTATTCTCGAGCATTTCAAGACGTCAATGGAAAGAGGCTCTGCGAGATAAGTAAGATAGTTAGATCGACTCTACGGTCCCTTCCCGCCTATCAGGTCCTCCCGCCAAATCACTCAGATCCCCACCCGGGATTGGCTCGTGCCTGCCCAGCAACAGCCATGGCTTCCGGCGCTTCCGACTTTCGACATACACAACCTCTTCTCCATGAATTCAACACTTACGACTCTGACATTACTTCCAAAACAAAATCTTCCAATGCATCTCTACGGGCGTTAGAAGATGGCGATGCATCAACTTTTTCTTCTGAAGATAACGAGCTGAGGCCGCGGCCTGGGTTTTGGAGACGCTTGCTAATGTCTGCAAGAAGGAGACGGAATGATGCAGCTAGGGATGGGGCATTTCAGAGAGTAAGATTAGAGAATGATGACAAGAGGAAGACGAGGAAAAACAAGTGGAGGAAGCGACATGTTGCAAGGGCTTGCGTTATCGTACCGTTGCTGCTGGTGATATTCTTGTAAGTCATGTCAGCCCGATCCTAGCCTCCGCCGCCACCCGCTGCGCTTTCCATGTCTTGCCGCAGGGCATGCATGTACAGTCACGGTCTGAAATGCGGTGATTGGTATAGGAAGTATCTATATACTAATATTCTTAGCGGCTTGGTCCACATCCTCAATGTATTCCTTGGGTTTATCCCCATTTTCTGGGACGACCCTTCAGCATTATCCCGCGATTGGCCTATACATGGAAAACACGGCTCAGACGCCACATCAAATCTTTTGGATATTACACGCGATGTCACGCCTATCCCGTGCCACTCGCACAACGACTACTGGCGCCGGGTGCCACTCTACGATGCCCTCCACTGGGGATGTACAGGCGTCGAAGCCGATGTCTGGATCTATGACGAGGAGTTGTATGTTGGACATAGTGCCAATTCGCTAACCCATGGCCGAACTTTCCGGTCTATGTATGTGGATCCTTTGGTCAAGATGCTGGATCATAAGAATGAGCTTGGCGAAATTGGAACAACATCAAAGACCAAGAATGGTATCTTTGATACCGCAACAGCCCAGACTCTGGTCCTACTCGTTGATTTCAAGAATGACGGCCATACCATATTTCCGGTAGTTGCTCGCCACCTGACCGCTCTACGAGAAAAAGGCTACCTGACCTACTATGACGGCACATCGACTATCGAGGGCCCTATCACCGTCGTAGCTACCGGCAACGCGCCATTCGATCTCATCACAGCGAACTCAACTTACCGTGATATCTTCTTTGACGCACCATTGGATAGCTTGTATGATGACTCCGTCGCTTCCAGCAACGATTCTGCCGGGCAATCGGAGAGTTCGAATGACTCCATATCGTCAGAGATCACAACGCGTGGGGGGCAAGGCACTGTCGGCACAACGCCATCTTCCCACTTCGACTCCACAAACTCATACTATGCATCCGTCAACTTTGGCAAGAGCATTGGCTGGTTGTGGTTCGGGCATATATCCGAGGTTCAACTAGACTTGATCAGCGGTCAGATCCGCGGCGCTCATGCACGAGGCCTGAAGTCCCGATACTGGGGAGCGCCCAAATGGCCAATCGGTCTGAGAAATAAAGTTTGGAAACTTCTGGTGGAAGAAGGCGTCGGCTATCTCAATGGAGACGATTTACGCGGCATGACTAGATTAGACTGGGGGCTCAAGAAGCATTGGGGCTTGCTCAGTTGATCGGAAGCAGATACTGACAGATGCACTCATTTTTCACGGCATACACGGCGTTCTAGGAGCATATGATAGATTTGCAATACATGGCGGACGACGTAGATGGCATATAGATGAACTAGATACCCGTGTTTGGGAAGGTTTGGGTTACGTTATAGTTTAGCGTGAAAAGAGTCAATATATACACAAACTATCTCTGATTAACCTCTAAGCCCTCTAAAAGATATCGTGTCGTGATCACCATGACTGTCCTCTGTCGCGATTTGGAGGGACGAATTGGAGTTGTTCCACGTGGGAGTGCCTTGATGGCCCCTGCGCTTGGCGCCAAAAGTGAGCTGTGACGTGCATACCCGCATGTTGAAACCTCATAACACACCACATCAAGCTAATCACCAAGACGCTCAACTTATGATACAATAACTCCATCCTGAGCAACTTTCATCTTCACCATGAGCGGCAGGCTCGTCGCCACACGCCTCGCCACGCTCGCGCGCCGAACGCCACTGCACACGTCACGCCTCTTTGCAACGCATGCACTTCCAGCAGGCGGTCTGCTCCGCAACGAAGCAGGTCTTCGATTAATAAAACGGAGACCATGGCCCCTTGGTAGCTATGCGCTGCATAACATACCTGCTACGCGGTCCATCTCTTTTGCGAGAGTAATACCGAAGCTTGTCTCCAAGTTCGCGACTGTGGGAGCTGCTGCCGGTGGAGCTGTTCTTGCAGGTGTGAGCTACATACAGTACCAAGCTGGGCGTATGTACATGTCATGTTCTAGGGGACTATGGCAGCTAATTTATAATAGAGGCGGGAACCTTCGCACTCGACCTCTTCCACCGCACGAGAGATGGCGCAACTGAAATCGCTGGCGGTGCACTAAACACAGCGAATGGATTTTTCGATCAGATCGACAAAGGATGGCGTCAGACGAAGGATGAAATAGAGAATGTGCAATATCCCGAATGGCTACAGCGCATGCTTGCGAAAGACGAGTCTGGTGGCGCAGGAGGCAACAATGGCGGTGGCCAAGGCCCACAAGAGCCCAAGCAGAGCGGTGCTGGGACTGCAGCTGCAGGTGCATCGACAGCAGCTGCTTTTGGGTACGAACAAGAAGACGAGGACAAGAAAGAGGCAGAGAAGATTGCACGGGATGAACAAATGATGATGCTCACGAAGAAGATGATTGAGATTCGAGGTCTGCTACAGACGGTGGGACAGTCGGACACACTCACCCTGCCGTCGATCGTTGTCATTGGATCACAATCCTCGGGAAAGAGTTCTGTGCTAGAGGCTATCGTTGGCCACGAGTTCCTGCCAAAAGGACACAACATGGTGACCCGCCGACCGATCGAACTCACACTAGTCAATACCCCAGATGCGCATGCCGAGTATGGGGAGTTCCCGGCTCTGGGACTAGGAAAGGTCACAGACTTCAACCAGATTCAGAAGACCTTGACGGACCTGAACCTCGCGGTACCGGCGTCAGACTGTGTATCAGATGACCCCATTCAACTGCGGATATACTCGCCCAACGTCCCAGATCTATCGTTGATTGACCTGCCTGGTTATATCCAGGTCGTCGGGCGAGATCAACCGCCAGAGCTGAAGGAGAAGATCTCACAACTCTGCGAGAAATACATCAGAGCGCCCAATGTCATCCTCGCTATTTCAGCGGCAGATGTTGACCTTGCCAACAGCACCGCATTGCGAGCTTCGAGAAGAATGGACCCCCGGGGTGAAAGAACGATTGGTGTGATCACAAAAATGGACCTCGTAGATGCTGAGCGTGGTGCCAGTCTACTCAACGACAAGAAGTACGCTCTCAGACTCGGGTATGTGGGCGTCGTCTGCCGTGTCCCTGCAAATGCCGGTGGCTCAAAGCTTTTCACGCGTGGGAACGGTAACATCACGAACGCGATTACAAAGAACGAGGGCGCATACTTCTCCTCACACCCAGAGTTTGGACCCGACTCGCATCTCGATGTTGGGACTAAGAACCTCAAGAAGAAGCTGATGCATGTTCTGGAACAGACAATGGCCTCCAGTCTGAAAACCACGAGCGAGGCTATCCAACGGGAGCTCGCGGAAGCGACGTACGAATACAAGGTGCAATACAACGAGCGCCCTCTCAGTGCAGAATCATACCTCGCCGAATCCCTCGACGGATTCAAACACTCCTTCCGCAGCTTTTCTGAGCAGTTCGGCCGTCAGCAAGTCCGTGAACTCCTCAAACACGAGCTTGACCAGCAAGTCCTAAATCTGCTTGCGCAACGGTACTGGAACCGGCCGTTCGAAGACCTTAGCGTTCCGTTCCCAGAAACCGATCCGCTACACGGCCTCGCGAAAGCAGACCCTGAAGGCGAAGATCAGATATGGAAGATCAAACTCGATAGCTCCAGCGCTGCGTTGACAAAACTTGGAGTTGGAAGGCTGGCTACAAGTGTGGTAGCAAACGCATTACAAGCACACATCGATAGACTCATCACCAACTCGCGATTCGCTGCTCATCCGTTTGCGCGACAAGCTATTACTGAGGCTTCGACTTCGATTCTGAAAGATCTGAGTTATGATATCTCAGACGAGTTGGAGATTTGTATCAAGCCGTACAAATATCGAATTGAGGTTGAGGATAATGAGTGGGCGAAGGGGAGAGAGAATGTTACTACAGTCCTTAAAGATGAGCTCAAAGTCTGCGAAGCTGCTGTCAAGCAGCTTGAGGATCACGTTGGCGGGCGCAAGAAGGTCAGGGATGTAATGTCCTTCATCGACCGCGTACGAGGTGGACAAGTTGTCCTCGAGGGTGACGGTGTTGGTGGCGCTGGAGGCTTCAGTTCAGCATTGCTCGCGAAAGGTAAGCACTTTTTCTCCACATTCCTTGTGTAAACCCTTCATGTAGAGGGTGGGACGAGAGAGTAGACTGAGATTAACACTACAACAGGCCGCGAAGCAGTCTTTCTCCGCGACAGAGTTGATGTCCTCAAACTCCGCCTCCTCGCAGTTAAAAGCAAGCAATGCGCCAGCAAGAAGAACAAATACTACTGCCCTGAAGTTTTCCTCGATGCCGTTGCCGATAAGTTGACAACTACCGCCGACCTCTTCTTAGACGCTGAGCTTTTGTCGAAGTTCTACTACATTGTAAGTCTCTCATTTCCACCCTTAGGTCACCATATAACCCTTCTTGAACTGATGACACTAACATAATACAAGTTTCCCCGTGAACTCGACGCCCGCCTCGGTCGCGGCCTGTCACAAGAAGAAATCGACCGCTTCGCCAAGGAGGACCCGAAGATCAAACGGCATTTGGATGTCGTGAGACGGAAAGAGCTGCTGGAACATGTGTTGAAGGAGATGGAGGGCCTGAGACAGCTGGAGCAGAGGGAGAAACGTGTCATGTCCAGACGTCAAGAGAGAGAATTAAGGGGAGGGGATGCGGGGAGGAAGGGTGGGTGGAGCCTATTCTAGTGTGATTGTTGATGAGGGAGAGATATCTTAAGGGCATAGAATGTTTGGCGCTTTGGCGTTCGGAGGTCGGTGATACCAGGTAAAAAGCCTTGTTGGACTAGGAGACTTCGCCGCTCTGTATGGAATAGTGTAGATATGACCACTTATGATAAGCATATCTTTGCATCTCCACCTGGGTATCATCATTGTACGACGCTCCACTGAATAGTCCCCCTTGTAACCTCACTTCAAGCACAATAGCGCCCGCTCGCCAAACGCCTCCAACACACTCGCCTCTTCTCTAATCATATCCCTAAGCCAGTTCCGCGAACCTTCAACTTCTCTACTTGCGAACTTTACAAGTACAAATCCACGCACATTGGCCGCACTCCATATCAGCCTATCATCCTTCTCCCTCGCCAATCTTTGCGCTCGCCTCTGCTCTCTGAGCGAAAGCTGCGGCTGCGCGACGTCACCCCAATTCCTCCCTCCAATACGCGGGAGCGCTTCAAACTCCTCGATGAAGAAACTAGACAGCGAGGAGAAAACCGGTCCGCGGAGGATCAGCGTGCCGAACACGGCGTACCCGTCCATGCGAGCGGAGAGACGCATATCCGTCCTACCATCCTTGTCCAGGATCAAGTTGTCTCTAAGTAGCAGGCGTTTCTTGCCCGTGGCATCATCGGTAGTCCAAACTTCATTTCTACTCTTGTACGCGTATAAATCCCAGTTTTCCCCTCTGGCTGACCGCCCGCTCGTCACCCAGTCACATACACACAGATTGCCCTGCTCGTTTTCCAAGTGGTAGATTTGGGATTGGGAGAAGGCTGTTTGGGCGAAGGGTTGCACTGGGTCTGGGAGATAGACTAGGGCAGCGTCGCGCTGGAGATGCACGGTCATGTGCTGCTTTGAGATGAGGTCTGGGGACGGTGTTTTGAAGATCTTTGTTGAGCCTTGGGTTAGGAGGATGAGGCGCGTGTTGGTGGCTAGGGTTATGTCTAGATTGATTGCGTCGCCGGCGACTATGCCGCCGCCGTAGGTGAGGAGGAAGATGGTGTGGACCAGGCGGGGTGTCGTGTTGTTGTTGGGTTCTGTGGAACCCTGGGAAGGGGGTGGTAGTGGATCTGGGGCGACCAATTTCAATGGGTATTGATAGGATAGTGTCCGGAGGACTGGTTGATCAGGTGGTAAGATGTCGATGATGATAGATCCATGACCGGGTTTGGATGTAGATGCTCCGAATGGAGAGACAAAGGACATGGCAGAGTACTATCGAGAGAGGAAGATCATGCTTAGTTAAGAACTTATGCCACCCTGGTATGCCTGACGAATGAAACAAATTTATACAAGAAATTGACGTTGCATGGAACAGTGGCTCTACACCAGCGACGCTAACTAGAAATAGATCAACGAGTAAGCAGAAGGTGAATACGCCTACCAGGATAGGTTCAAGCACGGGGCGCATCGCCAAGACGCGCCCCACCAAGCCTCTTGAGCATCCCTCTGCAGTTCGCAAAAAACCCCACCTGCAGCTCAACCCTCCACTAATACGACCACCTCCACTTTGCGCGAGTTCGAATCTCAATCTGACCTCGATTAGCCCTAGGGCAACGCTGGCTTTTTTTCAGAGCCGTGAAAATCCCAAAACTTTTGCACTCACCCGACTACCCTACTTGACCCGAACGCCAACCAAGCACGGCACTCACCTGCGCGCGTTCGAATCACGCCCTCACCGTCTCCGAATATGCCCTAGAGCTTTTCGGGCATTTTTTCTTTCATTCGGTAGTAGCAAGGGGATGGGTAGAACAAGATGACGGCGGGTTTCGATAAACTGATCGATTATTTGCTGTCGGAAATCGCTCTTTGCGGTGTGCAAGGTATGCATGACTCGTCGCTCGCATGTTGGCGCTGGTTCGAATCACCCATCTGTTGAAAGACATTTTTTATTGTCATATTCTTATTTAACACTCGTTGCTGCAGTCACTCAGCTTGCACCCGAATGAGGGTGTGTTGATGGGGTTGTCGGCGCGCTACCAGCTATTTGTCTTGTTTACTTGCGTTCGACTTTCGCGCTGATCCACACTTTATGTTGTTATTATACAAACGCTGACACCCCATCTTCATAGGAGCTGGCAGTGCAGATCTTCGTCGCTTCATAAAATCCTTTTACGATCAGTCGCAGACCGATGAGGCTTCTCCAACTAGCAGTAAACAGGCGTCTGGTCCTCCGCCGGGTGGACTAGGCCGCACCTTCCACGAGCGCGTGTGGGACTGGGTCAGCAATCACACTGACATCCGCATCACTTACAAAAATGAAGTCAAGCACTATTCTCTGTCGGAATTTGAGGCGGCGGAGCTGCAAGTGTCGGGCGCGACGGGCGCGGTGTCGTCAATCGACGTCGAGCAACTCCCACCTACGCCTATCAACGGGCCAACACAGCCTACGCAGCCTCTTTTGGCAATGCGAGAGGCTTTGCGAGAACGTCTTTTGAAGGAAGGACATAAGTTGGGGAAACCAACAGCTTTGGCCACTCAAGCTCCTACCTCAACGTCGCGTCAATTCCCTCGTACAATCCCCGAAGGCACTCCCGTTGCTACTCCTATCTTTGATGAACCAGACCCTACAATCACTACGCCTCGGCTGTATGCTAGTCAGAACCGGATCTGGCAGGCTTTGACGGGCCACAGTATTGACCTCAAGAAAGTACCCAGTATGGAATTCGTGTTACTGTCTCTCATTGCCGCTCGCGGACCAAATGGGATAACACAACCGGATCTCACGCAACTAAGTGGCCAGGATAAACGTTCGGTTCCGCACAGAACGAATGAGCTAGCCCGTAAGGGATATATTGTGAAGAATCCTGTACAAGCAGGCAAAATCCGCACTAGTCTCTGCGTGCACACCAAGTTCATTTCTCAGAGTCATTTCTTAAGTTCAGGCGCAGTGGAGGATGTCTTCCAGGAGGGCACTTTCCTTCTATCTGGTTTCGTGCATCTCCTATACAGAACGCTGAAGGATGATGGCATTGTTCCGACGCGAGACATCAGGAAGAAGCTGGTACTGCCACTTTCTAGTTTAGCTATTCGCCTTTGCTGACAATCATTAGGGCGTACCGATGACAACATGGAACAAGCGTGCCACCCAAGGTGCTCTTATCCGGTTGGATCAAACCGGAATGATCAAGCGTTTCAGAGTGCGTAAGAAGCACTCTGAAGACTCCTGGGCGACTTGCATCCAGGTCCTACGAGAGCCACGGGATGAAGATGTCAACAACCTCGGGTTTCGGCGGCAGCCCACCACTATCGACGAAACCGTGGACGAGCTACTTGATGAGGATGTCGATGGCGATACGTTGATGAGGGATCTTGAAGTTGATATGCTAGACAACGCTCATGGCGAAGGTGATGTCAATGCTGAACCACGCCACGCTATTGAAGACTCCGGTCGCATCCCACCGCAATGGACCCCGGATCGTTTCTTTGCCAATATCATCTATGATGCCGTGGCGCTTGGCGGAGCAAATGGTGTGGACGCTAGCATGTTGCGCGATCGAATCATAGGACCCTTCTGGAGACGCCCGATAGAGTCATACGTTACCCGCTTGACTGACGATTGGGAAAAGACGCAACCTCTTCCTCTCCGGCACCTAGCAATTATAAGAGATTCCCGGAACACCGAAGAGAAGAAGTTCATACATTATGTCTACCGCACATACGAAAACTTCCAAAAGGCCGTCGATTTAGGCGAGGTTCACTGGGAAGGTGTTAGCAAGCCCATTACGAAAGAAACCGGCGCAGCCAAGCATGGTGGGTCGAAGAAGAATAACACGAAGGATGTAGCTCTCAACGCTTGGGGCTTTCCAAACCTCAATCTGAAAGATCTTGTCCGAAGCGATGGCTCAGCAACGCTTTCCGAAGTTCGCTTGGCTATTGTGCATCCTCGCAAGTATGGACCGAGATGGGACAATGCACTCACACGGGAAATTGGCTATGAAAAGTCTGAGACGCCCATCACCAAGAAGAAGTTTCCGCGTGCCAAACCGATAAGACAGAACCAGGGCGATGGCGAGGGGTCATCTCAACCCTCTGTTCGGGTGCCGAAGATCTCCAAATCAAAGAGAAAGGTCGCCAATCTCTGCCTCACGTTAGAACAGAGAGTTTTTTTAGGCTTGAAGCCCACTGGTCGACTGAGCAAGAGGGCAGAGAAGCAGATTCTCGCGCATCGCCGAAACACCGGGGACCCGGAATCTTTGCCAGACAAGATCACAGAAGAACCAGTCCAGCGTGGGCAGCCCCCTCTGATGACAGCAGAAGAACGGGTAGCACAGGGCTTGCCAGCGAAAGGCCGATTAGGGCTAGCACGCGAGAACAAAATCCGAGAAGAGCGCGGACTAGTCAAACTGGCGAAGAAGACAACGACGAAGCGAGAGAAGAAGCCCGTCAAGGAGCCGGCCTTGCTCAGCAAAGAGCAAAGGCTTGCATTTGGCTGGAAAGGCCATGGCCGGTTGCCACAGGATCTTATAGATGGTTTACGTCAGGAGCGTGAGGATGGCATCTCTTTGGAAGACTCGAATGTGCTACCGAAGTACATGGATATGATGAAGGCCAAAGCAGGAACTCTAGCTGCATCTGAAACTGCTGATTCTGTCGAAAATGAAGCTACAATCCTAGAACAGCCTTCATCATCAATCGGCGATGTCGGTCATGACCAAGCCCCAGAGCCTACAGATGACGATATCGATCGCGCTTCGTCACTCCCAACTGTTCTAGGAAAGCGAGAGGCCCACGATGAGGATCCTGTCTCACAGTCTCAGAAGAAGCAACGCACCACAGATGAGTCGCAGCAGGGAACCCGGACAAGAGTGACACATCCTGCAGCGCTACTAAATGAAGCTGCTGCCTCAATGACAATACTCAGTGACTCAAGGAGCGGTACCCCATTAGCTGTGATGGACGACGAGGACCCCATGGAGGGTACCACTCCGACTCCAATAAGAGTAGTAGAGAATACCCAAGGAACTAGCCATCCTTCCCACGCTCCGGCGGGTAGTAAGATGGCTAAAAGTGTCGGGGTGCAGCAATCGCCTGCTCCACTTGCGAACACACATGCAAAGACTCTATTCCCGTTATCACGCCCTTCGGTCTTAGTTCAACCAGTTGCTTCTAACCTAGAGCCTCAAGCTCGCGCAAAATTCGAGCAGTATACGAACCGATCGGCTTCAGGTCTGTACCTCAACCCTTTCGCTAGGCACAAGTCGCGAGGTCGTCCGAAAAAGGCCTTGATTGCTACCTTCAAACTGCCACAGCTACTAGAGTATGAGTGGTTCAAGCATGACCCGGGTCATCAGCAAGATCCAACCCATACTACTAGTAAGGAAGTCCCCGTGGCGTCTCCCAAGCATGGGATCCAGCAGTATCTGGACAACACGGACCCACGTCCGATGTTGGGTACTAAAACCTCATTACAGCCCCATACAATGACATCGCCAACAAGTGGGACCGATTCTAACAAACTGCATGCTGGACAGCCAGATGATATCAATGTTAACCGACATCCTTCCATCACCAATGACTCGACATTATCCACGCCTGTCTTGCCGTTCGTTGTCAACGAAGACAATGCCGAAAAGCAAGTACAGCCTACACCGCGCGCTCTGAATGCTAGCCCAGAAGCTCAAGCGCTTTCGACTGCATTGCCAGACGACACGGAAGAATTGCAGGAGCAGCGAAGGCAATCCCCAGAAAATCTACAATTTTCTTCTGATCTTGACAAGGAAGTGCACGATAAGCATTCGTTGTCTCAACAGCTGCTTGCTGCCGCTACTGGTAACACCGTCGAAGCGTCAGCTGAGCCGCCTGTGCAACAAGTATTGCCAGTATCCCATCCGACAGCCGCATGGGCCGCCATCAACGCCTCTACATCACACAAACCTTCTCCATATCGAAGTCCGTACGCACCAAGTTCACGCTCAGAGTCTACTCCACCACCGCAAGTAACAGAGAACGCTACTAGTACCAATTTTTCAGCTGCTTCCGCCTCTCTACCGCAAACGCCTCTTGGCGATGAACGTGAAGACAATTCTTTTCCCGAAGGAGTGTACAGTGCCATTTTGGAAGTTGAAGCTCCTCCGACCGCAAAGTTAAAGTCTCGTGGCAAGAAAGATCAAGCGACAGGGGGGAGTGGCCTACTTTTCCGACGCCAGATAATTCGAGAGATTATTGATCTATGCAAGGGCGTCTTTCCAGATGGTGGTGAAATTGGACGACCGTTTCATAAGTTATGGACGGAGCGACACGGACACAAAGAGAATGTCAAGGAACCAATCGCCAGTACCGTAAACACAACGATGAGAAACATGTGCACCAATCCGAAATTCGGGTTGAAGCGCATGGTCTTTCTGGTGAAGAATAAGCACGGGCCATTCACTACCGAGAGGGCGATGATCACATATGCGCACTTCACTCCGAGAAGCCCAGAAGTATTGCAAATGGCATATAAGATAGCTAACTTCTCTCTCGAAAAGTCACATCAATACTTTCCGGACGAAATAAGCCACCTCGTTGATGACACCTCTTTATACTACCCGGTACGAGTCGCGCGTAAGGATGAAAGCATCGTACTCAATCAGCTAAATCCGGTAAAACCCGAGCTTGAGGCACAAATCAAACAGGCACAGAAACGACGCCGCAATGACATGGCCCGACAGAAGAGGCTGGAAGACAAAGCTCGCAAAGCACAGAATGCCCAAGTCGAAGAGGCGCCCTCGAAGAAGGGTCCTGAGACTGATGGCATTCCTCATGCCAAACGAGCGAGGCTTGCAAGTTTGAACGATAAGAACAAGCGATATCGTCGGGCGCCATTGCAAAGTTCCGATATTGATCCCATCGATGAAGCCAAAGAGGGACAGGAGATCGCAAAACCACATGCTGTAGCGACTCTCCACTCCGAAGTAACTCCGCTTATCTCGACTCACTCTTGGGTTGCTCCTATTGTAGGTCGTTATACCCCAGATGACGAGGAGGATGAGTCCTCTGAGCCTGAAGAATCAGACGATGAATCCTCGGACTCGCCGGTGGGTGAGACACAGAAGGATCCAGCAAATGGCCATGACCCATCGTTTCTCTTGCAGATACCCGAACAACTTCGTCCCACCAACAATGCGACCTCGGCTGCTGAGCCAACCAGTAAGGGTACTGTTCAGGCATCGGTTGTTTCCCAGAAAGGCAATAAGCGAGTTAGAATTACAGATCCTTCTGCAGAGCGATCTCAGAAAAAAGTTCGTCTCAACACTGCTGAAGCAGCCATATCGGGAAATGCGGACGTCTCATACGGCTCAAACGCTGGGAGTGATACTTCTGCACCCTTTGAAACCGAGGATGACGACGAGGATGACGAAGAAGATGTTCGACCCAAAGAGAAGAGGAGGAGAAAGACATATGGGAAGCGCCAGACGGGCAAGCCCGGTCCACTTCCTACCTTACTCGAGCGTCTGACTGGTCTCACCGGAGATCCAAACGACCCAATCTACCAGCTTCCAACACGAAAGGAGCGGCAGCGAACTACCACTCGGCCGTGGAACGAGAAGAAGAACAATACCGTCAATAAAAAGCGAAAAGAGCGGAACTACACAGAGATTCTGGACCCTGTGGATAAATTCAAAAAGCTCTGCTGTACTCTGGTCCTTGCTTCCTCTATGCCCGGAGAGGATGGATCTGTGGACTGGGGCATCGTCGAGAAGGTCTACAACACCGACAAGTTCTTCGATATCACAAGAACAAAGAAACTTTGGACATGGATGCAGGTGAATATGGACGCGCAGCTCACTGAGTCCACATCGATCTTCCAATCTTCTTTCCTGCAAGCTTACGCGGATGGCAAATTCGCAGCTATCGAGAACCCCGAGACATATGACTGGGCGAGCATTGTACAGTGGGCCATGCGACAGCACACGTACCCTGAGATACCCCTTCCGGTCTACCAAGAAGCGCTTCGACAATTCAGCGTCGACGAATCGAGTTATGAGGTTCTGGACCGTCTCACTTGGTACCAAAAGAAGATCGCGGATAGGGTGCGAACACAGTTACAGTTGCATTATACATTCGCTGCCCGTCTTCATCGGTCCCGCCGCTCAGATTGGTCTCCGAGTGACACAGTGCTGAAGGCTCGGTCATGGATACGTGCCAACACAGCGACTCCTCAAGCTCAGTATAGTGGAAACCAAGCGCATGACAAGCTCATGGGTCTAGGTACTCCCGTACTTGCTAGTGTTGTGGGAGATTACGTCGAGAAGCAGAATCTCAGGATGCGACAAATCAAGCGTCTCTTGCCTGGGCGCAACTATACCTTCACTAAGGCCTTTGCGAAGAAATTTGTGCGTCCATTCGAGCTTAATGACTTCATGGCGGCTATCAAAGTCAAGAAGGACATGGACGCTGCATTCGCACACCAAGATCCGGAAAAGAGATTCTTCAACATATCACGCTGTGAACAAGATGGTTCGGTCACGGCGATTTTGAGCATGGTCAGTGAAGGAAAGGTCAAGCTAGTTCCTCAATTGCCGCCTGTCAACAACGAATTTGGCGCCCCACTCCCACGCTTGTCGGTCTGGGGCTTCTGTGAGGGTGACTATATCCACCGAGCGATCGACCGCAACCGCCTGTTTTGGGACACCCATGTTGTGCCTACAGCAAACTACCAATTTGGCAGCCCGCTCCAGCCGTTACCACTGCCGCTTGCGCCAGCCGAGACAGACGAATATGTGCAGTGGCCATCGCTGCCTGACCCACCACTTCCGGGAAAACACGATCCCGATGCATTGTTACCCATCTGGAGCACCCTCGACGGCCAATCAATCACATGGCCTTGGTGGTATCGCATTCTGAACCTCGTGTTGCAGCCGCTCATCTTCCAACCCGGTGCCACGGCAACAGATATCTACGCTCATTGTCCGGAGCATACTACCGAGATCTTTGAGATTGAGTTAGTGCTTAATTGGCTTGAGTCTATCAATGCAGTCAGTAAGATCATCGGCGGAGGCTACGTCACAAAGCCTAGTTTCTGGGCTGCATTCGGCGACAAACTGCTCGATACGGAAGAGGACTGGTTTGGTGGGCATGTCAAGCGCAAGGCGAAGAACCACGCGAAGCAACAGTGGCGTGAACAATACAACCTTAGACATTCGACGTTGCAGGGGAGGAATTTAGAGCGTGTCAATAATGATTCTGCGGAGGAAAATGGAATGCAAGAGCCAACACACGATCCGGAAGAAGCAACTCGGGAGCAGATTCTCAAGAATCCGAAGCAGCAGTATAGGATCATGCAACAGGCCCTCAAGTCCAGGACGCCGCAAGCAGAGGATGGTGCAGATCTTCCGGCTGCTCCAATTCCCGTACCTCTTCCGGTGCAATTCGGACAGACTGGCGTAGAAGAGGAAGCGCTGGCAAGTGTTTCGCAAACTCCAGAGGTCGCATATACTCCAATTCATGACATGGATATAATTGGTGCAGACGAGGATGCAATGGGCGAAGATATAGATGCGGAAGGGGAAGTCGACGATGGGATGTATTAAGTAAGAGCACGAGTCCGAGTTACGGGTTACGAAGGGTGGAAGGCTAGATGAGAGGCGCTGGGTCCACAAACATTGATATTTTCCATGCATAGCGAGGCGCATATAGTGGCACGAGACTACAGATCCAGCGATACTACGACGCAAGAACATCATGTATATCAGCGAAGTGTATTAGTAACGTTTAATCATGTCTCGTGCAGTTATTTTCCCATCTCAACCTCTGTTGAGGCGCTGAAACTTACAGAGAGTTAAAGTAACATGGAAATTGTGAAAGAGACCTTGAAGATTTATTTTCATGGGAATGAGCGTTCAGATCAGACGATCCGGAACATTGCACAGCTGAGACAAACGTGACACTGATATTGAACGCTAGTGAAAGGACCCTGTGAAAGCTCGGTGTTCAATGGTTTCACCACAGGTATGCCATCTGGACAGACGCCACGTGAGCTACCAGTATTGAATTGCTGTCCGGCATTTCTATTGGATAGAATACCGAAAGAGCATTGGCCTCTCCCCGTTGTGCGGGAAGGATACATAGTGCTCATAACCTCGTCACATTCCGTAAACGTATAGCATTCCTCTCCTCGTCCACAACAACTCCCTTCCATGGCCTACGTCAACATATTCAATATGGTAAAAAACACCATCGTGCCGTCTACAAGGTCAATAGGCTCTGATTTACAGCCTACCTTTTACAATGTTATTTTCCTTTATTATCAGCATTGCGTCTCTGACATCTCTTGTCTCTGCTGCTAATGTGTGTGGCTTGGTCGGCATTCATAATGATACGCAGATAAGCTACTATATGGGCAATTTCTTCTACAAAGGGCCATCGACTTTTGCGCTGTGTGCCGCATATTGCAAAACGGATCCAAATAAGTGTAAGGCCTTTCGGTACAGTTATTTCAGCGACTCTCAGGGGCAGTACTGTGAGTTCTTCGACAATGGACTGTAAGTTTAGTCAACTAAAGCAAATAAATGAGAAAGATCGGAATAGCTGATAATGTGATTACCAGCTCTGGCAATGTTACAGCAGACTCGTCCCAACCTTACTACTATTACGACATTGGCTGTGCTTTTCCTGCTTTTGGAAGCACGGTAACGACTACGAGTACAGCGGCTGTTGCGACTACTACGCAAGTCCAGACAAAAACTTCGACACAGACCCAGACACAAACACAGACACAAACCGTGACGATAACATCAGCTCCTGCAGCGGTTACGAGGACGCAGACACAAACCGTGACAACAACATCAGTTCCTGCAGCGGTTACACAAACACGGACGCAAACTGTTACAACGACATCAGTTCCTGCGGTAGTTACGCAGACACAAACCGTGACGACAACATCAGTGTCTGCTATGCAAGTCCAGACACAAACAAAAACAATCTCCCAGACACAGACTCAAACGCAGACTCAAACGCAAACACAGACTGTTACCTTGTCACGAACTCTCACTACGACATCAACCCCGCCAGCAGCTACTATAACAGTAATTCGAACGCAGACATCGACGTCGACTGTAATGCAAGGCCAACAAGTTCGTGTCACAACGACCGCGCAAGCAGCCACTGTAACATCGACTCGAACGCAGACTGTTGTCCAAAACCAACAAGTTCGTGTCACATCCACCGCGCAAGCAGGCACAGTAACAGCGACTCGAACGCAGACAGCCACGCAGACTGTCGTCCAATCAAAGAATTTCACGACGACCTCAACCGTAACAACAGTCCGAGTCCAGGAAGCTGATGCGGACTACACGCAAACAATAACGGAACTGACGACGACGACTTATTACTTCAATACTATATACACTAGAACAAGCACGGCTTACAGCACGTTTACGGTCACGTCGAGAGTCGTATCGACATTGCGGTATTGTTAAGAATCTCTGTTCTTCATGCGTCTAATGGTTGTGAAGGCATGTACGATGGATTGTACACGATATTTAGCTTCGTCTTGTTATTCCCATTAAGTACATCTAGCAGTTCACGTGCTTTTCGTTTTGGATGTTAGGTGAAAAAGGACTTGGAGTAGAGATAGATGGCGATACTCTCACACGGCTTGATGTACCGCATCGATACTAGAGAACTACATAATCGCCTGAGATCCATTCTTCGGTGCCCAGAAGGTTTCGCCGCTTTCCTAGCTTGGCGTGACTTGGGCATCACGACTCGCCCGTGGCCATGTCCTCAAACGGCTCCCTAGCCGTGGTTCCTAGCAGATGATACGTTGCAATTGCTTGAAGATAAATACTTGCCGTCAGCCCCGACTCCTCTTAATATGTTTTTTCTGTCCTGTATTCTGACGCACTTAGTATTTGATTATGCCTTGCCACATTTAGTTCTCCTACGCCGCCAGATACTTATTCGCCCAGAGTTCAGGAACGTTGTAGCCCTATGGCCTGATATGCAGATTCCAAAGGATCTGGGCGAGAAGGAATGCCAAGTAATACGCCGAATGAAGAAGCAGGCCAAACGTAGGCTAGCTATGCACCTTAGGTCGCGTCAATCGTACGATAAAAGGAGGGGTGCAGGCCTACGCAGATATCTGGTCGAGAACTCGTACGTTTGCATGACATACACTTGGTCTTCGTCTACTGGAAAACCATCCCCTGGCCTCTTACTCAGATCATCTTGCAAACGAGCTAGATCTTGCAGATCCAAGTTAACTTCGATCCACGCAATACGTCCTTTGATCCATTGTTTCATCGACGCGGGTAAGTGCGGAATCGAGTGTAGTGCGTAAAGTTGGAAAAGCAGGTGGTATAGGCTTGCTGAATGGGGATGATACATAGCCGGGAGAACCTGCGTTGGGGCCGCGGGCTGAGGTTCGTGGGCTCTTGCAGATGAAGAGGGTGAAATTGCAGTAGGCTTTAGATCAGCCTGGCGTTGGGAGGACCTGAGATTGTACGCAAGCGGGGTACTCAATTCTACTGTCAGCCCCCTAATATTCGTTACAGGTTGAGGCTTTCCAGGTCGTAGAGCCAACGATGGTGATTCATCTCGTCCTCGTGAATTTTGTTCGGTGGGTATTCGATATGATCCGAGCTGTTCAGCATAGCCTGCCAACTGTGGCACAGTTGCTATCATCTCAGCAGTCAAAGCATGAATTTTGGCTTCCGATTCTGAACGCTGGGTGCTCAGAAAGGCGTATTTGTCTGAGAACTTCAGGGAAGTAAGATGTTGGCATTGTTGAAGCACGACCTGATGGAGACGCAGACGCGAGGATCGAACGTTGTTCCATAGACGAGCGGTAAAGCGCTGGGGATAAACTTGGGAACATCAGTGCGTATTGAGAGTCATGAGTCATAGGGCTAGGTACATACTGTGATAGTATCCTCCGTAAGCTAGCTGTTCTACTTCAACGCTAGAGACGCGGAAACTGTCGAACCGAGCATGGCGAGGCATGTTTTCAAGAAATTCGGTTAGAGTATTGTCGATCTCCAAGGCTTTTCTTATGATAGCCATGGGACTATCATAAATCCCATCCTGAAGCGCATGTCTGAATTGGACCAGTTCCAGGACTATATCCAAAAAGTCGCCGTGCACAGAATTTGAGTTGCTTTTCTCGCCGACTTGCTTCTTCAACTCTGTAAATCCAGGTGGTAAGGGTATATGCTGAATCCAACTGTTGATGACAACGTTTTGAACTAACGTAGTGAGTAGCTTTCGTGTCACGTCGGTTTGTCGCCTGTACTTCATACTCAAAAGGGCAACAGCAACAGCGCCTTCTAGGTGTTTAGAGCAATTTTGCATACCCGCGCGTGGATTAATCAGGACTTCGAACATAGCCGCTATAACAATAGACACTAACGTACTGTCCTGCGCTGCTATGTTAGGGTCCGACAAAGCAGTGTTAATAGCCCGAATAGCAGAGATGTAGCTCTTAGTAGCAGTGTTAGTCATATCTTTGCGACGAGCGGTCTTCGCGTAGCCAGCTAAGCCAGCAGCAGTGATACTCTGCTTCAGTCCAGGATTTGCATACCCCGTCTTTGCGTAGAGGGCTGGGAGGTAATGTAATTGTGAAACGGTCGGATCGCCGCTGACGTAATTTGACATGAAGAAGTTGACGCCCAGATCATCCAGCGACTGATACATGACAAAGTCGGCCAACTTGACGACCGAGGCCATCACTGCTTGAATAGTTGCTTGTTTGGTACTTTCTGTTCCTGAAGATTTGGCATTCGACGAGATGATATGGCCTTTGTGCTTGTGCATGATTTGTGTACTTTCATCGTGGAACATAACATCCACCGCATTTCGGTAGCCAGGACAGGTGCGCCTGGCCCTCGTGCATTGTCCGCACGATGGAATAGCTTGATCGCACTGGCTACCGTTAGCCTAGAAACACCCTTTTTTTTTAGGATAGCGAGGAAATGCGATGAAGGATGACGGGCACAGCGGTGGACAACTAGCCTTGCAGTATAGATAAGAAACATGTTCATTTACACACCCTACTACGACGTTTTCGGCATTCTCCACAGCCTGCCGATGGCTTTCCTCGGTACACCATATTGGCTAGTTTTCGCGTTCTCACCCTGCATGAGAGCGGGATCGTTAACGGATCGACGTGTAACGGCTAGGGCATGATCGTGCATCAAAGGTCACTGAGCAGAGGAAGAGGCGCAATGAAAAATTCCATCAAGTAGAGGTATCGCAGTACGAACGGGATCCAATAGAATGAGAGATGGTGACTAAGGTAGGTTGTGAGTGCGGAAGTTTCAGGTATCGATAAGTCCAACGGCCACGTGGATAATGTGGGGAAATTTAACTAATACGACTCAGCTCAACCTCACCGTCTTTTTCGCCTCGGTGACCGACAATCCCTTTCCGTCACACTAGGAATGATGTTATCGTGCAAGCGACTGAGAGCGTGGACTCTTTTCTTCTAACATTACAGTTGATAATCCTCTTCTCGCTCCCTAATACGTACCAATCAATCTGCGACGCATGTTCTCTAGCTCGTCCAATGTAATGTTATACCGTCGTTGATGGCAGGTGCCTTAGAGTCACCTGGTAGATACATGTAGCCGATCGATGCACACTTCGGAGCGGTCGTCTCGTGAACCTGCGCGAACTGCACATTTATGAACCCGAGCGACTATTTCGAGGGGATCAGGTTGATAACCCCTTGACGACTGCAGCCGAGCTCAGGTAAACCAGGACATAGCTACTGCCACTCGCTCTTCGCGACATCCTCTATAGCAACGTATTAACGAACTCAATGGCCGAAATTTGGTTTAGGAAAGGAACTACTGTTCCGCGGTGTGTGAGAGAACATGATGCGCAAATTTGGAAAGTTGACGATCGCGAGGTCGCTTGCGCCGGCAATGCGCACGAAAAGTTTGCCTTTGCCTACAGCATGCGAGCCAGTGGAAGAAGAGTCCAAGAACCACAAATTACAACTCGGTCAGGCGTCGCACCATGTACGTCCTGCCTCACTCCTGCCTAGATCACGATCGGGGCAACGAGCAGTTACCTCTCCAAAACGCGTTTCGCAACGCGATATCACGCACACTTTAATGTGCTGATGCCAGTTTATGAATGAAGAGAAGCATTATGCCGTGCGCGGGGTAGCTACGCTCGTGGTAGACAAGCAGTGGCATGCCTCTCCCAGCGCAGGGACTTTGCTGCCCAACTTTTGGGAGGTCTGCTTAGGGAAGGAATTCGTGCGAAGCTACATGGAGAATTTGTTTCTCCACTAGCCTAAGCGTTGCTCAATGCGCATATGAGAACTATACATGTCCGTTAAAAAGATACATTTTACGTTGCGCAACGTAAGCGCTGCAGAAACTTGTTTTCAAACCTCTACAACAGTCAGAACACGATGTTCCTACCTACAACACAAAAGTTCAGACTATCTAATGCTTTTAGAACAGATTTTTGCCAGAAAGCAATTTTTATTTTATTTCTAATTCTAAGGAATACAAACACTAAGCAAGATAAGCGCACGAATTAGGTACAGAACTCCCGTCCTCGTCACCCTATAACACGAAGATCAAACCGTCATACGGTTAATAGACTTGGCAAGTTATTACTCACTGGCACTCTCACTCTCGCTCTCACTATCATCACCCTCGTCCACAGCCTCACCTTCACCCTCTTCCATAGAGGTATCCTCGCCCTCGTCGTCCTCATCCTCGTCATCCTCATCGTCCTCAAGCGTAACTGACTTCTCCGGACGAGCACTACCATGTGCAGACATCTGAGCCTGCGAAGCTCCACTTAGATGGATGGGTAGCTCCGCGCTGTCGCCTGTGACAGGTCTCGATGATGTCGGAATGGAGGTAGTGACCGCAGCTGAACGTTCAACAGCAGGGATCTGGCTCAAGCTGGCACTCGGGTGGACATCTGAGTCAGTATCTGTGTTTGCATTCGCTTGGTTTCTAACGCTAGATAACGACGCTTGCACTTTGCGTCGTCTTGTCGGAGGTTCAAAATCAGCAGTTGAAGCTGGCGAGCTAAACACTGCAGGAGCATCTCGTGTAGCACCCTGGGACGCTACTACAGCGTTCTTTGCTTTCCTGTGTCGCTTTTGACCTTGACTTGCTTGTGGCATCATGTAAGAGATGTGTGTACGACATGCGGCAGGTCTAACCGGAGTTCTGAGGCTGTCATCCGAGTCAGACGCTGCTGATTCTTGAGACCCAATCACCAGCGGTGCCGTTGCAGTTGAGCCATCCTGCTCAGCTGATTCGCCCTGCGCGCCTGAAGCTGTCGAAGCCCCAACAAATTCCAAGTCTTCCGACATTTCCTCCGGGAATCTTGGAATAGTTTCGGGTTTGTTGTTCTTTCTGGTGGCTCTTCTCCTGCTATTGGTAGGGCGACATTGCGGTATTTCCGGTTCAATTGGTAAATTGAGACCCCTTGCCCATACAGGCCCCTTCTCTGCTATCATCGCACACTCCAGGCGATGGTTTACTACTCCTCTATCTTCGCAAATGGGGTCCTCGGTTCTGTGTCTTTTCTTGCAGTTCAGGCATTTATGAAACGCCGGTTTAAATCGAACGGGGCAGTGTCCTTTATCCCTAGTTATTGGGTCCGTATGATCTCCAGCGCAGTACAAGCACGGCCAGGATTTGCCTTCTTTGTTTTTGCAACGTTTATCACCATTCATGTGCCCCGGAAGACCGCATCTTCGACAGAACATGGGAATTTGACGCTTGTCAAAAGGTCTAGTTGCATTAATACGATGATCATATGTGGAGGCTGGCATAACACATACCTGCCATCGGCGCCGGCACCCCCAAAATTAAGTGACATCCTACATGCCTTCTCAGCTTCTTTGATGGAATTAAATGTCCACAGCAACCTTCCCTGCCACCACTCCACTTTTTCGATTTGAAGGTGGGTTTGTGATGCCCATAACTCTTTGTGATGTTCATAGTCCCTTGGGGCGATGCCATCGATCCTGAAGCCACACAAAACCACACAATACTGCCCCTGCATTCTCGAACACTGGACAGACAGCTGGAGGCCCTTCACTATGTCGGTTATAAAGTGTCGTTTATCAAGATCCGCATAATCTTCGTAACTGCGCATGTTCAGGGCAAGTGTTTTGTTCTGGGGAGCAAAGCGGATACCCGATATACCCTCATACATTTGATTCCGTTTGTGCAAATCGTCGAGTATATCCTGAGTGGGTTTCTCACTGATTCTTTTCAAATCCTCCTCGGTCTTGAGTTCGAGAACTATCTGGGGTCGATGAAACTGGAAGGATGACATCGCAGGTTTCTTCGTGCTGGAAAGGCGTTTGATCTCTGATTGAAACTCTCGTGCATTCTTGTTATTAGATTCCTTCATCTCATCCATTGTCTTATAGAGCCCCGCAAATCCGGATCTCATTTCTTGCCTGAGAAGAGCGGTTGGGTCGGGAGTAAAGGACGGGGGTTGCGCGACGTTTGACGGCATTTTGAGCTGTGGGGGAGTTTTGAACGCAGTCGTGGGACCGTTGCCCTGGTTTAGACCAGTGAATTGGAATGGCGCCATGCCGTTAGAAAACTTCTGCGATTGAGAAAAGAAAATTCAAGGCCACAGGTTGATGGTTAGGAAGTGCATGTTTCGGGGCTGTGAAGCTGTGTCTATTCTTCAATGTATCATGGGTACCATGTGCACACCGACGCCGTGATTCACAATCATGGATACAGCTCATCTTGATCATCGGCCAGCTGGCAAGCCGGTTTCAGAATGGTAAAGCGCAAGCGACTCAGTCTCCGAAGGACCCGCAGCGCCCCATTTTTATTAACCTGCGTAATTGTCCACGTAAGTGTCTTTAACCGTAAGCAAAATAACTTAAAGAGCAGGGGTAAGGCTCTAGGCGCGCTTTACAGTAAATAGTAGCCCTAAACGCTAATATTACTAATATTATTTTGCACTTTACTTTTTATTAGTAATAAAAAATATATTAATAATATAATAAGCTTATACTAAGCTTTTTATAAATATATTATTATTAAATTACTATTACTATTACTACTACTACTACTACTAAAATACTTTTAATTATTTTATTATAATTATTATAAATCCTGCGCGCTTTGCGTAAAAAAAATTTTATTTTATTTAATTTTTAGCTTAGTATGCTTTAAAGAAAGGCTAAAACTGCTTAGGCAGCTATTTAATAATAAAACAACAGTACTATATATAATAAAATCTATGTGTCTATGCCAGTTTACTGTATTAAGCTATAATTTAAAAAGGCTTATATACTATAGTATATTATAAGCTATTTATTTGCAATTTATAAAAAGTAGTTATTTAATAAAAAGTACGCAATATACTTAGTTTATAATAAAATTATAAGTTTAATATAGTAATATTATAAAAAACTAAACAGTTATATATTTAAAAAAATATTACTTTTTTTAGTAAAAAAAAAAAAAAATATTATAAAGTTTATCTAACTAATTTTAAATACAAAAATTTCTAATAAAAAGCAAAAAGGTAGAAAGTAAAAAAGCAGAAAGTAAAAAAAAAGAACAAAGTATAAAGCGCAAAAATAGAAAATTATAAAATTTATAGAAATTTTATAGTTGCAATTTAATAATAGCAATTTAATAGTAGCAATTGCTTAGCGCATAGTATATAAAATATTATAATTAAAATATTATTTTTAATAAAATCTTGCAACAGTTATTTAATAGCAATATTTATTTAATAGTAATAGTTATTTAATATAATAGTACTTAAAAATAAAACTTATTTTTGTACTGCAGCTTATAAAAAATTAATTTATTATATACTTAATTAAAACTTTATACAACGCTAACTATTACGTGGATACTATATATCTGCTTTTTATTATTAATAAAGTAGATTTTAACTACCTAAATACTACAACTATAAAATGTAAAAAAATAGCTAGCATTAATAATAGCTAGCAAAAGCTAGAGCTGCTAGAAATATTTAAGCTTTTTTAATTTTATATTAAAAACTTATATATTTAAAATACATAATTATTGCAGCTATATAATAATATATGCGCTTACTGCTAAATTATATAAAGTAGCTAAAATTGCTAAATAAGTTTTTTTTGCTTAACTAGTAGCGTATACTACAGGATTTAGCAAACAAAATTATTTAAAGCTAAAAAAAAATTCTAAAAGTAATAGCAGATAAGTATTATTTTTTTAAAAAAATTTAAAAATAAAAAAAGCTAGAAAAGTACTTATATATTAGCAAGTAAATAATTGCTACTTATAACGCGCAATATAGCAGTGCAGAAAAATTAAGTAGCGCTTAGTACTATAAGCCTAGTATTATACAGTATATTAGTACTATTATTTTTATATAAATAGCAAAGCTTATTATAAAATAGTTATAAAAATAATAATAGCAAATTGCAGGCTGTTAATTGCTTATTGCAGAAAGTTTAAAGTATAAAGCATTTAGTATTACAGAGTTTAATAGTATAGTAGAAAAATTTAGTACTATAATTTTTAGCTAAATATAATTTATTTTTATATTAGTATAAATATTAGTATTTTAGCTTATAAAGTTGTAGTAATCGCAGTAATTATAGTATTATAATATTATAGTATTTACAGTATTTATATTTATAATATTTATATTTGCAATAATTTATATATTTTTGCAATAGCCTAAAGCGGCTAAAGAGCTGCTAAAACTTAGTTAGTTATTAATAATAAGATTAATGCGTAATGGTTTAATAGGGTCCCTGTTTAGAGAACTTAGTATACTTATAATTTTAAAAAAATTTACTAAAAATTTTTATAAAACTAATATATTTTTATTATAATTTTAGTAATATACTAATTTTCTGCACTTATTATACTATATTTTTAAGTATAAGTAGCTTTAGCTTTAGCAACTTTAGTATATCTAAAAAGTAAATATTATATTTATATATTTTATAATTTTAATTTAAAAGTTTAAAAATTTTAAAAATATATAAAGTATATTAAGCGCAAAGTGCTTACTTTACTTTTTTTTAATAAATTTTTTATATTACTAAAGTTTTTTGCTTTAGCTTTTACTTTTATTTAAAATTTTATATTAAGTATTTATAATAATAATATAAATATTATTTATTATTTATATTTAAAAATTTTTACTTTACTTTTAAATATTTTAAGCTTTTTTTTTTTTACTTTTTAGCTTTTTTTAAAAATTTTACTAACTTATTTCTACTTCTAGCATTGTCCCCCTCTTATTTATTTTTTTAATTTTTATAATTTATTATTTAAATTATAATAAGTACTATAAATATTAATATTACTAGTTAAAAAATATAAAATAATAGTTTTTTTAAGCCTTTGTCCTGCTGCTTGCAGTCTACTATAAAAATTAATAATTTTTTTTTAAATATTAATAATTCTATTTAAAAAATATAAAATATTAGTTTTTTTAAATTTTTACTTTTTAGCCTAGTAGTTCTTAAGCCTATATAAAAACTTTATAATATTAATAATTTTATTTAAAAAGTATAAAATATTAGTTTTTTTAAGCTTATGCTTTTTTACTTATAACTTACTAAGCCTAAAAAAAAGCTTAGTAATATTAATAATCCTAATTAAAAATTGCAAAATATTAGTTTTTTTAAATTTTAGTTTTTTAACTTTTTAATTTTTAAGCAAAAGCAAAAGCTTAGTAATATTAATATTTTTAAAATAAAAATGTAAAATACTAGTTTTTTTTAGTTTAAGCTTTTTAATACGCAAAGTACTAAGTCTAAAAAAAAACTTAACAATATTAATAATATTAAAAAAAAAATATTAAATAGTAGTACTTTTAAATTTTTTACTAAATTTAATAAATTTATAGCAGAAAGCGCTAAAAAAAAAGTAATAAAAAAAGTAATTACTAAAAAAAATAAAAGCAAAAGCAAAAGCAAGCGCGTAATAAATAAAAATAAAAATAAAAATATTAGAAATTTTAAAGCTTTACTGCCTCTGCCCTTAATACTTATACTAATAAAAAAAAAAGTAAAAATATTTTATTTTTTTTAAAATATTTAAGTATAGTAAGCTATTTTAATATAACGTATAATAAGGCAAAAAGCAAGTATATAGCTATATAAGCTTCTTAAAAGTATAAGTTTAAATTTTTTTTTTTAGCAATTTTATTCTTTTTAAGCTTTAACTAATATATTCTAAAGTAAACTACTTAAAAACTATATTTAGTAAGTATATTTAAATTTTTTATAATTTTCTATTTTTTTTATTTTTAATTATACTAATTTACTTTATAAAATTGCTTTCTTTTTACTTATTTTTTCTAGCTTAATATTTTTTTATTTTAGAATTTTAGTACTTATAAGCTTTATAGACAGGCATTACTAATTTTACTATATTATAATATTATATTTTTTAGCAATAAGTTTTATAATACTAGCAAAAAAAAACTTTAAGCTATGCTATTATATTTATTATAAAAAAAGCAATATAAGTTATAAATTTTTTTAAATTTTTTTTTAAATAATTTAAAACTTTTTTAACTAAACCTAGTTAATGCTAGACTTTAATAATACTTTAAATAATATTAAAGTCTGCCTATTTGCGTTTTATAACTATAACTATACTATAAGTTTTTTTTTTAGAATCTTTAATATTTATTAAAATAAAAATTAATAATTCTAGTATTAGGCTGCTTGCTTTAAGTTTTATTATATAATATTTAAGCTTTAAAAAATAATTAATTCTAAATTTTTTTTTTTAATTTTTAGCTAATTATATATATAAAAATTAAAACTTTAGTATAGTAAACTTACTTTTTAATATACTATACTTAGTCCCTTAAGCTTTAGTACGTTTGCCTAAATAATTATATAAATTTAAAAAATAAAATTTAGCTTTTAATTATTTAAAAAAAGTATAATTTTTTAATATTATTAATATATTCTAAAACTATAGCTAATATAAAAGTAAAATGCAGATGTTTAATATTAGCAATAAAAAAGCTAAAATTATAAAAATGCAAACTAAGGCTTGCAAGGCAAAAAGCGCTATTTTAAATAAATATTTTTAATTTTTTTAATATTTAAACTAGTACTTAACTAACTTTTTATAAACTTTAATTTTAAGCTACTTTTTAAAATTAAAGGCAAGGCTAAGCATTTGCATAAAACTAAAAAAGCAAAACTAATTAAAAATAGCTTTACTAGGCCTAGTACTTTTTATAAAGCTTAAAAGTAAAAAAATATAAATAATTAAGCTAATAATATATATTTTTTATAATAATAATAAATAAATTTTTTATTTTTTTTAATATTCTTTAGGCTTTAATATAAAAAGAATAGTATCTAAAATTTCTTTTAAAATTATTAAAATAAATAATACTTAGCTTTAATAAAGCTTTATATAGTTTTTTTTTAGTATTATCTATATATATAGCTAGGTAATAACAAGCTTTATAAATAATATTTATAATTATTTTATATTATAAATTGTTTATTTTTTCTAACTTGTCTTTTTTAAATTGCAGAATAGTTATATAAGTATAAATTATATTTTATTATATATTACTAAAAA